GTTCGAATAAAATGAATGGTTCCGCAGCTGTTCGAATAAACACTGTGTAATTCTTTTAAAAGCGCATGCCTAGATTCGAAATTTATCGCTTCGCGCGAAAAAATTCGCAAGTGGAAAACCGGCTTTAGATAAACAAAATTTTCAATGAAAATTCCTTGGCGGGAAAAACATGTAAATTAAATTAAAGCAATAAGTGTATTGTGTGACGTTTCGACGTTAAAAGTACCTTATGAATTGTGTCCGGTCGCACAGCTCGAAATGAGCTCAAAAATATTTGTAATTTCCTTATTAGTGGAGAATGGATGAAATATAGTACTACGTATAAATGTCTTTTTGCTGGCAGGCAGAAACATCGCAATGGATGTTAAGCATTGTTGCTAGTGTTTTCTAAATACATTACGACCAAATATGCGTGTCAGCAAAACGTAAACTGGGCAAATCGACGATAATTAATTTATTCAATCAAAATGTTGAAACGTCTTTGGTTAATATTTAGTTTTCTTTGAGCTTTCTGCTGTAGCCCCATATCGTTCAATACCATATTTTTTGTAAAAATATTCACGACTTTTACGTCCTTCTTCATGCCTTCTGTCCATTTCACGTCGCGCCAAAGTAGGTTTCAACTGATTCTCAGCCGTTGTTTTCGCATTTCCACTGTAAACAAAATTCTGCATAAGCGTTTTAGAATATACGTTCTAAAGATAGAGTGAGGTGGGATGGAGCAGGAAAGGATAGGGTGAGATTAGAATAGGATAGGAAGGGGTAGGGTGCCTTCGGTTAGTCAAATGTAGTAAAATCGTATTAAACTAAAACTTTCTTTAAGAGTTTCAATTCTTGCATACTTACCAAGTCTTGATTATTTTAATTGTTGCTTCTTTGCAGTATTCACCATTTTGAAGAATCCTTCAACTCTAAAGTGAAGAGTTTATATTATTTTATACAGTTATTCATTACCATCACATGCAATACACAGTCTCATACTATCTGCTACATGCCTTCATAATTCATGCTTAATGTGTATTATTTTGCACGTTCAAAGTATTCATGCTATGATGTCAACACAGTGCCATATAGTCGCAAATATCTACAGTGGTGAGCAAATTATTGCAAATTCAAATATACCAAATACGGGAATTGTTTTAAATATAGCAATTACCTTGGTGGATGACCAAAAAACACTAAAAGTCCAAAAAAACTATTTTACACTCAAAACATCATCGGGTCTATTAGTTTCAAAAACAATTCTATTTTTTAGAACTATTGGTTTTTTTTGCCATTCCACATGGCAATGCTATATCTTTAAAACAATTTTTATATTATTCAACACAATAAAGTCTCTGTTTTATCATACTAATCCAAAAATGTCAAGGTATTAAAATGCTACCTTGTTTGTTGTCGCAAATATTGAGTTGAACATGGACCTTTCGGAGTATGTTTGTTATTTTTTTACTTTATAAAACAGTCGGTTGGTATTAGATTTCAGCTCTCTCTCCCTCAAATATACCAGCCCCAGTGTCAACGAATGATATTACTGTTTAACGCTATTTTTTATAGGCATTCAAAGACTTCTTTTTTACAAGAGGTATAAAAAATATTAACATGAATATGACATACTGTACCTCGAAAGACCTTTCATACAAGTCATTTCTACATCACTAGCAAAATTCGGTGATTGGTTTTTAAAGGACGCGTTGTTTTTATAGTTTGTGTAAAAACCATCAAGCAGTGCTTCAAAAAACGCAAATATTTGATATTTCCACCGAAAGAATTTAGCGAGGTATGAATTTTTTTAGTGTTTTTAATTCAATTTTTACAAGAGCTAGATTCGCGATATGTCAGTGTTTCAGATCAAAGCCTATCACGAGTCCCTCGCTTTTCTTATTGGCAGTTCCTGAGTAAACACGTAGATACTCTGCACTTTCTTCAGACATGTTTTAATTTTGACAAGTAAATGGTTTGAAACGTCAGTCGAAACGTCAGTCAACAACAACAAAAACAGTCCTTCTCAGGACTATACCAACCTGGACGATCTACATTTACAAACATGTAAATATATCCACTATCAAATAAGGTCTCGTCTACTCCGGAGCACATGTATACGGATATTTTCGTATCCGCTACAAAAAAGTTGCGGATAAGCTTTTCGTACACACGCATCCGAATATTCGAGCGGGTAATCCGGAAACTTTTAAATCCGCTTCCTAGAGTGAAAATTTTCCTATCCGCAAACAATTTGGATGCGTGTGGACGGTAAATTCGGATATTTTGAACCACTATAGCGTAGCAAGTATTATAGGGCGCGTTTAAAATGTCGTCATATTTGCTTCAGATCCATTCCAATCGACTTTCTACATAGCGTTGGATGTTTTGAATTCTAGCGTGACTTTCAGTAAGAGTTCAACCTCAACATCAGTCCAAATGAAGGAGTCCGTCTGGCTTTTCTAAATTTTGTCTCGATTTCTGTCACAATTATGACATATTTATTCAAACAAAGCCGGACAACGTTTGCACACACCAACCTAATTCAAAATTGCTAACCAATTTACCGCCAATTTGCATCAGTTTCAAAATATGTGCTCTTATCATAGTTTCCACTTTATTCCAAAGCCATCATCAGAGAATGTATAATATATTAATCCTAACACAGTTTTAATATGCACATGAAAAACATGTGACTTGGACGAGATTTGAACACGCACCTTCGGGATACTAGTCCGCCGCTCTTCCTGTTGAGCTACCAAGCCCACAGGGATTGGAGACGAGTCAAATCTCTTCTAAACTGCATATGGACGAGAAGTTCTCGCCACTATAGCAGTTTACTGGATGGCACACCGTGTTTTGACTTTATCCAAAGCCATCATCAGAATATATATAATATATTTATCTTAACACGGTTTTCACATGTTTTCATGTGCATATTAAAACCGTGCAATCTCTCGCATATTAAAATTAGGATTAATATATCATAGTTTCCATAAGCCTTGCTTCTCAAATGGCGGACAAGAAGAATCCAAAAATCAACAAGTTACTAAATAATACGCTCAATCCTCTTGACTCAAAATTACAGGAAAACTGTGCAATTTTCCCTAAGAATTTTTCGAAGAATTTATCCCATAACATTTAAAAGTAAATTAAGGTACTGATTGTTTTATATAAACTATAGATAAAATGTAGCAGCCATTTCTTGTAATTGTTAAGATTACAGTTTATCCCGTTTGTGTTACCTTTTTTATAATACGCTGCGCATGTAACACGAGATAGACAATTTACTTAAATGTAGATATGATCTTCGCACTTTGCTGGACAATTTAAGCAATTGTCTCAAGAACCTGAAAAATTCAGGTGACTCAACGGGATAAGAAGGTTCTTGAGACATTTGCTTAAATTGTCCAGCAAAGTGCGAAGATCATATCTACATTTAATTTCAAACACCTCACTGCATATAACATTCTTGCAGATGGACAAAATGCCTCGTGAATCGAATGAGACAATTGTAAGTCCAGTAATTGTCTCCCGTATAACGAGAATCATATAAACTGATTATAATAACACAACCATTTTAACTCACTTGTCTCCAGTGACCTTTTCAAGAACACCATAGCCATGCATCTCGTCAAATTTCCAGCATCCACGATATATGTCACCATTAGGAAACATATATGTACCGTAGCCATGTCGTTGTCCAAAACAATTCCTTTCACCTTCGTAATGTGAGACAACTACTGTGTTGTTATCGTCATTTTGAACTGAACAGCAACAAATTTTACTTAACATGGCGATAATGTTGATGTCGAACACTTCTCCACCACTGAATCAATTTTTTAAGTATAACAATTTTCTTTTTCCTTACTTCAATTAACCATCCAATTTGGCAGTTTCATTTACGACTGAACAAAACTCAATGTCAACTTCCGCCCTTTCATACACCCAACTCAATTTCATGAGGCATTTATGAATTATAATTCTTTCGTAAAAGCACTGTTGCAAATGCGTATTTAATATACACGACTTTTTTAGAATAGACATGTTTCGACATCTCATGATGCCATCTTCAGTATGAGTGAGATAATAGGAAATGATACAAGGTTTATATCTAGTTCTGCTTTCCGTTGTTTGGTTTGAAGCTTTTCAAACTTCCGCAATGCTGCTGAACTAGATATGTCGAAACATGTCTATTCTAAAAAGTCGTCGTGTATATTAAATGCGAATTATAATTCTATAAGCTCAACTGCGTAAAAGCACTATTGATAATGCGCATTTAATAAAAACGACAAGTTTTTTTAAATAAACATGTTTCAACATCTCGCGATGCCATCTTCAGTATTATAAGGAATATTATGTATGTGATGAATATATATATGAGTAATATGATACTGTGATACAATTTATACACTTATGAATGGATTATATTACAATGAAATAGTGGTTAGAATTAATGATGAAAGTATTTACAGGCTGAATATAGTGTTAAAACGAAAAACTTGAACGTTGAGATTAGGGTTATTTTTGTTAATGTGAAGTGCTTCTTTGATTTTGAGTGCGAATGTAGTATCTGCAGTGTCGATGATTTTAAAGCAAGCGGGTGAATAGTTAGTTTTGCATGAAGGTGATTTTAAAAGGTGTCGAAAGATATGAGTTTTGTCACTTATCCACCAGAATCAGGAACACACCACAACTGAAAGAGGGATGGAGCTGCCTTGGGTGTTAAGTGAAGGTTTTAGTTTGGAGATGAGGAGGCTTTTGTGGATCATGTGGTCGAATGTGTCGGAGCAGGATGAGATGATTTTAAAATCGTCTGGCGAAGCAGGGTGGTTGGAGGAGTTACCATGAGAAAGAATACTTGACATTAATGGGTTAGTATAGCGTTTTCCAGTCAAAGGAGAAATCCTCAAGTGTTCCGAGATTCTGGTGTGTATATGTGTGTGGTTTGACCCGCATACGACGCGAAACACGTGTCGACGCAGTTCCGCATCGTGTATTTATACACGTGTCGATGCTGTTCCGCGTCGTATGTGGGTCAAACCACATGCCACTGTTTCCCGTTTGTTGTATGGTGTAGCCTTTTGAGTTTGTTTTCTACGCTTGGTCTGGGAAAAGGTAGATTGGCTAGCCTAGCTTACACTTCTTCTTCTGTCTCGGTATGGAGAAAAAAGATTTGGGGAATTGCACAAATTGCGTTGTGAGCTGTTTACTATCGACGATTGCATTATCAATGGAGACGAATACGATTGTGTATGATGTGAATGTGTTACATGTGATGACGAAGAAACAACTTGTGTTCTACTATAAAGGCTGGCATTTTCTCTAGCATCAAAATCTTTAGATGCAGCAATCAATTTCGTTACCTCTTTCAAAAGAGAAACAGCGCGATGCCGATCGATTTTGCTGTCTTCTGCCGCCATTAATTACTTACATCCATGCCACAGAATAAGATTATACAGAAAAGTCACTCGTGTCGGAAAATTTGATGTTTTTGTCCTCGCGCATGTCGTGCCGCGCATGGTGGCCGCCATTATTCTAGCCAGATGATGAGGGTTTTTGAGCTTTTCCCAACCTTTAAAATGATCCGAAGTCATTTCTTGAGTCAAAATATACTTGAATTCATTGTTAAGTCTTGACGTCATGTAATTTTAATATTTGGAAGCAAGTGAGAAATCCTAATCATCTGGCTGGAATAATGGCCGACATGAGGACATGTTGTACACCTGAGTGACCCTTCTGTATAGCCATGCAGGTGATGCGGCCATGATATTGCCATATTTGGTGGTGGAATGCGCGTGTCCGTGTTCCATTACCGTTCACAAATAAAATTGGTTTCTGAATGCCATTCCGAATGAAATGCTCAACAAAAGAGAGTTTTCATTGCAAAATTGTAGTTAAAAGAGTATAGTGAAATGACATTACTTAATAACGAAAACTTTTAACTTCAAATGTGAATAAATTAATATTGGCGGATTATACACCTCATAGCATAAACGCGCTGGGGTATGTAGTTATATCTATTTTACTCTAGGTATTTCATGATGGATGCGAAAGAGAAATACAAGAAATGGTCACTAAACGAAAACACCACTGTCGAAGATTTACTAAAACATTACACACAATTGGCGGCAACATTTGAACAGGTAAAATTGAATACTTGTTCAGATCAGATTCTCATATGACAAACACAATAAACCTATTTTGTAGAAGAACAGTATGCCCGTCTATTATCCCGAAGCAGATTTATTTTTTTTACATTCATCGCATTTACTGATAACTAAAATGCTCTCGCATTTCTGTGCGACATGGTCATATTTATTATATTACTGGCTGAGGTTAAACTTTTCACTGTTTTCGTCAGAAAATGCAGTTTGGTTTTTATTATGTTAATCACATGCTAACGCTGCGGAAATTTTAAAAAAAGGAATGTAATCTAATGATCGCACGATTTATGAAAACCTCTCTGGAAGTCTCGAGAAAAATACCCGACCCTTATTCTCTATCTACTTTTGACAAACGACAAAAAATGACCATTGATGTAGAGTGCTACTATAGTATTCTAACACGAAGAAGGGCATCTTCACTATTTTTTTGACTACACCATAATAGATGGCTTGTTTGAAAGCTATTTCGCCGCTAAGAAATTATTGAAACTGCTTTGACATAGCTTGAATAATTTTTGTATCTAACATTAAAATAACAAATCCAGTCATTATGTTTCCCCAGCTTTATAAATGTATTGCAGATGATTTTTACAATACGTTTTTATTTCAACGCCACTCATTTATGAAGTTATTTCTTTTGTTTCGATTTGTACAACAGGGGGGTGGGGTGGGGTGGGGTGTGCACGAAGGCCGAATAGTACTGTCCACTGGATGGCATATTATTTTGAACGCCTACAAAATTCCTTAAAATGGAAAAACATACCATTTAAATTGAGCAATCACTGAAATAAAGTATTACTTCTAGGATTACAATATTTCTTTGTTATAAGGAAAAATATAAACACCTTATTTACAAGTTTGAAAATTCTACGATCCAATGGATAACACGATCAAGAGCTTCGTGCAACCTGCCCCAAAACAAAATACGCTCATGTAGCGAAGTAACTCATTCATTCATGGATGATGTTTGAAAAAAACTTTTCTAGACTCGTAAATCACGCTCTAAATTTTATTTTTTTATCTGCAGAGAGCGCTAGATGATGAATACATCGGACCATCAAAAGGACCAAAACAACTTAACGAGAAGCTGAGCGAGTATGGGTACAAGAATGATGCCCAAATTATGGATTTGGGTTGTGGTACAGGATTGGCGGGCGAAACTCTGTTCAAACTAGGATACAAGAATGTTGATGGTCTGGATTTTAGTGACGATATGTTAAAGATTTGCAAAGAGAAGGGCATTTACAGGTAAAACCTAACTAGACGAACAATAATTAAGGTTGAAATTTCAAAGTTCTTAAGGATACATCATTTCTTTCCACGCATTTGAAACAAATTTCATTCAAAACAATTCATCAGGTGGAAGGAACTCCTATATATTACTGCAATAATTTAATATTTATAATCTTTTACAACAGGTGTCTTTACAAGGGACTTATGGGATCAGAATTTTGTAGTGAGTTAGGAGTTGCCGCTGACCAGTACGATGCAGTCATGGGTATCGGCGTGTTTGCTCCGGGTCATGTCAAAGGCAAGGCAATGGATGATTTTGTCTACGTCGTCAAATCTGGAGGTCTTATAGCATTCTACATCAACGATATTGTGGAATTTGATCTTAATTATGGGTATCACAAAAAAATGGATGAACTATCTCAAGAAGGAAAATGGAAACTTTTGTCCAAGTGCCATGAACCGAAATATGACAAAAGAGTTGGAGGAACATTTTATATATATCAAAAACTGTGATTTACTTTCAGTTAGTTGGAGGAGCATTTTATATATATCAAAAACTGTGATTCACTTTCAGTTAGTTGGAGGAGCATTTTATATATATCAAAAACTGTGATTTACTTTCAGTTAGTTGGAGGAGCATTTTATATATATCAAAAACTGTGATTCACTTTCAGTTAGTTGGAGGAACATTTTATATATATCAAAAACTGTGATTCACTTTCAGTTAGTTGGAGGAACATTTTATATATATCAAAACTGTGATTCACTTTCAGTTAGTTGGAGGAACATTTTATATATATCAAAACTGTGATTCACTTTCAGTTAGTTGGAGGAACATTTTATATATATCAAAAACTGTGATTCACTTTCAGTTAGTTGGAGGAACATTTTATATATATCAAAAACTGTGATTCACTTTCAGTTAGTTGGAGGAACATTGTATATATATCAAAAACTGTGATTCACTTTCAGTTAGTTGGAGGAGCATTTTATATATATCAAAAACTGTGATTCACTTTCAGTTAGTTGGAGGAACATTTTATATATATCAAAAACTGTGATTCACTTTCAGTTATTTTGATTAGTCTAATTTATTATCCTACTTCAAACACATTTTCCATGATTATTATAAATTGGTTTGGCAGTCTTAGATTACCATCTTGCGCAGATTGTAACGTAACTGCTGTGCACGATGATGTGGTGATTAATCTTAAATCCGAAATCTGACATTATTATCGTGCGTAACTGCTGTGCGTGATGATGTGGTGACTAATCTTAAATCCGAAATCTTAATTTTTTGACGTACTAATTTGTAGAATACATGTTGAACAAATAAAAACGCTCTTGCGTCATGTCTAGTGGGTAAGCATTTTCAGCCATAACGAACAGATTTATAGAAAAAGGTACCCTACCCTGTTTGCAGTTCTCACATGAGAACGATGAAAAAAAAATGTTGAATAAAAAATGTGACACTCGGGCACTTTTTATCCAACTTGCATGCAAAGGAAATTGAATCAAAGGAAAATCAAGCTTACACATTGTGCAATGAATATCTTAGATACTTTGCGATAGTGAAATAATACACAAACCCTAACACCCCTTATAACGTTTTCTGCCTATTAGTATCAATTTAACAATTCTGAGCACACAAAACAAATTTTGAGAAAACTCATGAGATAAATTTACAAAATAATGAAGCAAAAAGAAATAGGAAAATTTTCATCACAAATTCTACTTCTCTATTCCATTGCAGAAGTCCACATCCCGTTTTCGTCTTCATTCCACCTTAAAGCCTCATTGAATCTTGCTTAAATCAACTGCCATTCTTTTGTCCTTTTTCCCTTTTATTTTTTATCGTTCGCTTTTTTTCTTTTCAAATTCGGTGACTGTTCTATATCCTGAACAGAAGTTATGAAAAAGCCTTATTTGGTATTGACAACAACTAAAATGTTAGCATAAGAAGTCAACAACAAAATACTAAAATGTTTTATCCGGTTTTTGAGAGTTTCCATACCGAAGATTTGCGTTTTGATGGTTTGTCACTAAAAAAGATAAAGTTTGATTAAATTCCAACAGGAAAATTTTCGTTGTTATTAAAATACGAATAACACAAGACGCGAACAATAATACAAACCGCGCAAACAGAAATCAAAATTGTTTAAATTATTATGAAATAACATGGATATCATATGATACGTATTTCGTAAGGACAATTCATGAGCAACGCAGCACAACCTTCATGTAGGTACACTACAGGAACTGCTGTCGAACCTTGCACTGAATTGTTAAGTTGCAAAATATACAAACAATGGCCTTCAACATGAGTTTCAACGTTGAAAAGCAATTTTATAGAGAAAAATATATTTCATGTTAAGACATATAATGGCCAAAGATAGGCTCGTGAAGAAAGCTTCCTTTTTCTTTCACAAAAAAATGAACAAATTCTTAGTTAAGACACTTGAATCTTGCACAAAAGGATAGACTCATGGTGATGATTTTTCAAAACTCGTTTTAAATGCCATTTTACAACGCACATTTCTTCACAATAAAAACAAAAAAACAACTGTGTTGTTTATCGTTTAGCTCGGTCCGTACTTAAAAAATATTTTCACACGGCCTCAAAAGCGTCAGACGTCGTGTAAATACTTCTTCGGTACGGACCTCAAAGCCGGTAAATAACATAAAAATGTACAAACAATGTGGCTAACCTTGAGATACTTATCATTGAAGTTGATGTTTTAGTCTTCAAGGCCTGTTTCCATTCGTCATCCTTTCCTGCGATGGCGTACCTAAGGTAGATCATATATTTACATTTACGCATGCATACAAAACATAAAGTTTGATAATTGTTTGTCGTTTTTCTGTTTTAATATTATGTACTTAATAAAATAATAATATTCCCTAAAATATTTCTCAACTTTGATTGGTTCATTGCAGAGCAGTTTATGTGTAATTGCAATGTGAAAATGTGTAACTGCACTGTAGAAAAGTGCAATTGCACTGTAGAAAAGTGCAATTGCACTGTAAATACTGTAACCTGATTGGTTAAAAAGCAGTGTAAGCCAAACAAGCTTCTTTTCAATTAAAAAAAAACATGGTGGCAGTTGTAAGTACACATAGATTTCCACAATTGGAATCGTTTGAAATACAGGAATTACACAAAAATGCAAAAGAATAAAAACAAAACAGCAAGTACTGCTTGTTGGGTGAATGTTTAACAGGAGTCGAAGCTTTCTTAGCAGAAGCAGGAGTATTTTTAGAAGGAGCCGAAGTTTTTTAAGCAAAAGCCGCAGCATTCCTAGAGAAGCCAGAGTATTTTTAGCCAGAACAGGAACCGGGGAGGTAAAACACCAGGGACTTTGCAAAGCACCATTTCTTTATTTCGCTTATGAAAATGGGAAAATGGCCATTGCAAATGTTTCTCTTTAACGGATAAACAGAGAAAAGAATAGTCAGAGAAAATATCTTTATCACCAATAAACCCAAAATGAGGCGAAATAGCTACACGAAGCAACCATTCATACACAAAGAAACAATTAATAAGACGAAAGAGTGGTCATAATATCAATATCTCACTGGCTCAAATCCATCTTCTGTAAAATTTCCGTTTTCTCCTTGTGTTTTTGCTTTATTTCGTCAGCTAATTCCTCCTAAAACGGAACATTTTTAAAGAACGTTAAATTACTGCTAAGTTTGTTTTCTTACAATGTACTTACAAAAAAAAACCCATCATGCATAACCATATTTTTTATCATAAATTTTTCAAAGGGGATAAGAGAATAATGACAGCAGCATCAACAATTAAAAAAAGCTAGAACTTCGTCATTTAAGCGAAAGAAACGAACAACTACGATTGAAAACGCCTAACATATGTACGCAGATGTTTAGAAATCAAAAATTCACAAAAAAAATACAACTCACAAGTTCTTCATTTAAATCTTTTCTTAAAGGTTCCATAATAACTTCTCTGCTCGTCGACAGCTCACTGTCAACAGCTAACTCCACAATTTCAGTGAAATTCTAAAATATTGATGGAAAAAGTTGATAGTATCAAAAATAAAACACATAATATAAATAAAATATGCTGATTTTAATGCCAACTACCAAACATGTTACCTTAACGACCTTTCTCATGATTCGACTAAAAGACCAAGAAGTTGGCTGACAGGAAGCTTTAATTCTTTCTAAAACAATAATTCAAGATCAAAAAATAAAATGAACGTAATGTAATATTACGATTTCGAGTACAATTTGGAAAAATTATTGACGAAAGATTTTTCCTTAGCCGACTAGAAACTCATTGACGTCACTCATAGGTTATTTGGGTGGGGTGAAGGGGAGTGACAATACCATATTTATACATTCTGCTATAACTCGCTATTCTCTTTTAAAACAATTCCACGACGCATCCCCAATTGAGTGGCGATTGATGGCCATGCATACACTAAACTCATAATCCGTAATACATTATTGAAATACATTACAGAAACTTTACTACACGATGATTTTAAGTCAAATTACACTTGAAAAATTCATTCAGAAGTTTTAATGTCTAAAAATCATGTGTTATTTTTAATGACAGTACATACATCATCACTGAGGAGTAAAGTCGCATATAAATTTCACGCAGTAAAACTTATGATAAGAAGTCTAACACAAAAATTCTTGAAAATGGTAATTTTTTTCACTAGATACACGCTGACCCGTTCAAACACCATATGCTTAAATAACTGAAACATTTGGAGCACGCTGAAGCAGTTTGGTCAGGAGAAAGCAGACTTGGTAATATATAATAAACTGCAGTTCGTGGTATCAAGTCTTATACAAAACTTCTTTAATATTCACCTCAAGGTCTTCCATGGTCTTGTGTTGGAGACCAATACCCATCATGATGGCCTTGCGATAAAGAATTTAGCAAATTAAAGAATTCAATAACAAAGATCACCAAAAATGTAATTATGTTCAGATTGTAAAAGAAATCGTTGACATTATGAACAATTTCAAATCGCAATCGTATCGAACGCACAATTGTGACAAAAACTATTTTAAGGATTCAAATAAGATAACAAGGTCATTTAAACTTACATTGTACTCCAGAAAGATGGAAATTCATCTTCTGCAGGAAGAACAGTCTCGCAACTGTAAATAAGAAAATCACAATAAAAATAAAACTTTTCAGATTAACATGATATTGAAAAAGTCATCCTAGAATGAGATCATAAGAACAGGGCACAAATAAAATCTCCAAATTGCCCGATAATAACACATGTTTACAAGAACTGATTAATAAAATGTCGTCAACCTGGTCCTTTTTGGGAATGAGCACGCCACAAGTAAAATAATTTTGCAGAAAAATCAGTTTACAATTATTATTCCATTTCTACTCCACCAAATGAAATAATCCACCTTCCCCATACTAGACACACGCGCCACAAAATACGAGATCAAATTACAAAATTCGGACAATCAAGTGGTCGGACATAGTATTGTTTATGTAGAATAATGGCAATAAAATGGTTAGGTAATGCTTGTGAGTTTTGAGGCATTTGTGAGTTTGATTCTAATTATTATTTATTATTATTTATATTGTATAAAGAGGCTCCCCTTCATCACGAGAGAGTTATTAGAAAGTTACATTGCAAAAAAGTAACAAGTAAAAAACGTGTAAACATGTTTAGAGTTGGTGTAAATTATAAGTCAAAATGGCAGAAGTTCATTGAACCTTTGCAGTATCCTTGGATGTACTAGTTTCTATTATAAGAAGCACTTTTGTAAACAAAAAAGATAAAATTCGAAAGCAAAAAACCCCGTTTTCGGTCCATGCTTCCCGATACCTTCTTCAGCGTAAGGCACTAGAACGCCGCATGTTAACGTTTCGGTAGGAGATTTCGGCCCCTTCCACGCTATCCTACTTGGGGATGTCAATAGCAAGCTTCCGCCCATCAGACCCCGAGATCACCTGCGATAGGCTTTGCTCGGGGTACGCAGGGAGAGTGCGGTCGCGACCCGAAACGTCTGGACCCCTAAGCCACTGCATACATATCGCACCCAGCTTCCACTGCTAGTTGACATCTACTATCCATATATTTAGCTTTACATTTATATACATAAATTTAAAGGCCTTACGAAAGTTGTGGTATTATTAAAGTCACTACTGCGCAAGCGCAGATGATTTCTTCAATAGTTTGTGACTAAGTTAGCTAACTGCCCCAAATGTAGTGCAAATACATATGGCTAGTCGTTGCCATGACTATGAACAACTATTCGAGTGGACTGCGCATACTCGAGCGCATGCGCAGATGATTTCTCTATGAAATTGTTACTAAGCATGGTAATTACTTCAAAATCGGTGCTAGTAGATGCAGTTGTTTGTTAGCATGACCATGAACATGGGCAGCTGATCAAGTCGACTTTGCATGCTCAAGCAGACGCCGCATGCGCAGATGATTTATTTGAAAATTTGTGACTAAGCGAGCTATTTACTCCACAATCGCTACTAGTGGATCCAGTATGTCGTTGCCATGAGTTGGTGGATTTGACGAGGGGTGCTCAGATTAATTCTCAATTAATAATCTCACGGGCTCCGTCTACAAAAAGACCTCGCGCTCTGTTAGTAAGGGCTTATTAATTTGTGACAGAGCGAGCTCTAAAATTGGTGCTTGTAGATGCGCTGAGCAAGTTTTCAATCATATATTTTTGTTTTTGTTTGCTTTTGCAAACAAAAACAAACAGCTTAACGAAAACAAGCTCTTTGTTTTCTTTAAGCTTGTTTTGACTAACGCATATCCAGCTCATTCAAAACTTTGTTACATCTTCTTTCTATTTTATTGCCACTATTATACATAAACAATACTATGTCCGACCATTTGATTGTCCGAATTTTGTAATTTGATCTCGTATTTTTGACATGTGTGTTTACCGTTGGAAAGGTGGATTGTAAGTGCAGACTTATGATAGGTAAATTTCTAAGGAGCCACTCTAAAGTAAAACCTAAATGTAATTATTTAATCTTAATGTGACGTCAGATATGAACTATTTCAAGTTGGGGCTGTATATCATTACTCCCACAGTGACGAACACAAAATTTCTAATTCAGCACAAATTACTTCTTAAAAATATTTGACCAGCGTATATAAGTCAAAAATCGTATATAAGATGTCGATATTCTACGATCCTATCAGCCATACGATGCACCATTGGCAATATTCTGAATAATTACGTAAATAGAATTTAAATTATTTTGAATTTATGACACAAATTAAAAAGTTATTTTTGTGCAGAATAACACAAGTGCGACAACAGTTTAACGCATTGAACTAAAATACATGGAACGCTACCTGTAATAGAAAACCCTCAATTTCTTGAAGCCAAATCTTACACCCAGACACACGTTTGTAGTCCAATCAATTTCACCCGCGAGAGAATCTCGAAACACTAAACACGCGTGTCTGGGGGTGTAATCTCGCGTGTCTGGGTGTAAGGTTTGGCTTCAATTATTTGCTTCAGGTAGCGTTCCATGTATTTTAGTCCAACAGTTTAACGCAATCGTGCTATAACAAAGGTCTACGACTTGTTACCTGCAGGAAGTAAATCCGTGATAAGATGGTAGTCAGCTAAATTCTTTGAATACATATCCAGTCGTTTTAAATCATACTTCGTAAAAACACTGTAGAGCTCTTCTTGCTTTAGATCTATAACATACAATTATAATGAATCTCAAGTTTTTAATAGCATTGCGAAGACATGTAAAGAGACGTGAAAAAGTGAAATGTTGTAGAGACTTTGGAAACATTAAAGATCCATTAAGTGTAAAGTTATTGCATAAACACTGAAAAATCGCTGAGCGCGAGTTAACATTATCTACCCATCGGAGGATTTACATTAAGAAGTATGTACGACTGAACCAATTGAATTTTCGCCAATAATCATAGTATCACTAACCACATTTATTCGACTTAAATACTCTATTTTGTAAAAACAATTAGACTCAGAGTTGTTGAACATCACTCACTAAATTTACTCAACCTACTTCATTTAAACACTAGTGATAGTATTCTAATAGCTTCCCATGTTCATACTCAGTGAGTGCGGCTTCAGAATCAACTCATTGAAAGATGGTATTTTTACTGTAATGTTTGCTTGATTTGAAATATTTTAGCAATAATATTACCATTAATGCGAACTTGGGTTTTACATTGAACAGTGGTAACGCAATTCCTGTGTCGCTCTTTTTGAGTGAGAGTGTGAGCGAGTTCTTAGAATACAGACGTTACCCCCAGAGCAGCTGAACACAACCACTTACCAAATTTGTTTGACTCAAACACTTTATTTTGTAAAACACTTAAACTCAGTGTCGATGAAAACTTGCCAAACTGATACGAAAGCAAGGATAGAAAGCGTCGACGGAAATCTAAAGACAAATAGCGATGTCTTAATGTTTAAGTATAGAAGACAGTATAGTCAAGTCAAGTGCACATTAAATGATGTAAACTAAGGAAAGTTGACGAAAATTGGTAAAATTTGTGGTATTTGAAGACAAAGTCATTAACGTGTACCATTTACTCAAATTTACTCTTTTTGGTAAACTAGACACATCATCAAAACTGACGATACATTTTTAACAAACTAACCAGCCCAAAATTCTTTTAACCAATTAGAAACGTTATTTTCATCCACGTGATTTAGATTTCGTAACATGATACACGAATGCTCTCCAGTAAGTTCGTTCTAAATCACACAATGAATCAAATTTTGAATAAAATTTTCAACCTCTTCCTAACACCATACTTTAAAGACGGAAACTTAAAAGAAACGTCGAAAATATTAAAACAAAGTAATGGATGAAACGTTTTGCCCACACCCATGTAGGCCAAAGCATACATAGTTAGCCCCGCCGAACATCTCCTAGGGCCAAAAGCAGAGTATTGTCGTAGTTATTTGTCAAAAATAAGATAATGAATATAAATAAAGTAACCACATTCATTGCTTGCTTGTGTAAGTTAAAGCACACTGGCGACTTTGAAATACAAACTCTTCTACAAAATGAAATAAAGTGACCAATGCAAAAGTTCCCATAGTGCAATACTGCACGACGAATGCAAACGTCACCGTAACTATGGCTACAAACGGAAGTCATTATAAATGCAAGTTTTGACATGTGACATATATTTTATACACAAGACATCCAACATTATGGCTGCAAACAGTCCTTCATTCATTTTTCATGGCGGCCAAAAGAAGAAAGTTTACACTTACGGCAGTCTGCCTCATATAAACTGGAACGAACAAAGATTTTTTCCAAAATCTAAAATAAAAACGTACATTTTAGGCGAATAAAAGTAAAGGCAAGATGTAACAATCAAGGAGGCAATAAAAAATGACTTCATATAAATAAGGATAATTGCTGACGTAATAAGGCCTTATAAGGATAATTGCTGACGTAATAAGGCCTTATAATTCGTAATCACTGTAATCACTAAACACAACGTGTTTGATTATTTCTGCCCTACAAAATTGTACATTTAATAGTGTCTCAGACACAAGAGTTGTAACTAAAACACGCGTACGTTGCAATCGTCATGTGAATACCTTAACGTTAGCTTGCCAATATTAACACTATTTATTAGCTTGCCAATATTAACACTATTTCATTACACCATTAGCTTGCCAATATTAACACTATTTATTAGCTTGCCAATATTAACACTATTTCATTACACCATTAGCTTGCCAATATTAACACTAATTATTAGCTTGCCAATATTAACACTATTTATTAGCTTGCCAATATTAACACTAATTATTAGCTTGCCAATAGTAAGACTATTTCATTACACCATTAGCTTGCCAGTATTATAATTATTAGCTTGCCAATATTAACACTATTTATTAGCTTGCCAATATTACACTAATTATTAGCTTGCCAATATTAAGACTATTTATTAGCTTGCCAATAGTAAGACTATTTCATTACACCATTAGCTTGCCAATATTAACTTCAATTATTAGCTTGCATATGGCACTATTTATTAGCTTGCCAATATTAAGACTATTTATTGAGCGCGTAGTAAGACTATTTCATTACACCATTAGCTTGCCAATATTAACACTATTTGTTAGCGCCAATATTAACACTGTTTATTAGCTTGATATTGGCACTATTTATTGGCGCCAATATTAACTATTTATTAGCTTGCCAATATTAACACTATTTATTAGCTTGCCAATATTAACACTATTTATTAGCTTGCCAATATTACACTAATTATTGAGCGCCAATATTAACACTATTTATTAAGCTTGCCAATATTAACACTATTTATTAGCTTGCCAATATTAACACTATTTATTAGCTTGCCAATATTAACACTATTTATTAGCTTGCCAATATTAACACTATTTATTAGCTTGCCAATATTAACACTATTTATTAGCTTGCCAATATTAACACTATTTATTAGCTTGCCAATATTAACACTATTTATTAGCTTGCCAATATAAACACGAACACGCATCTATGGATACGACTTTGCACAAATAAATTTCATGATTATAATGGTGCTACGTGATAACAATGAATATGTAACCTTAGAAGATCGTTGGTAAGTCCAAAGGAGACACCAAGATAGTCTAATTTCTCTGCTTTGCGTTCAGTTAGCTTCAACAGCAATGGTGGTAAATTATGACGTGGTGAAATCGTCTCTTTTAAAAGATCACCAGACTATAAAATAAAAACACAGCAGACTGATATCATAACAGAAACTTTTAGAACTTCACCAAGGCTGTCACGCTTTATATTTAATATAGAAAATCGATGAAAACAACATTGGAACAAAATAAAATATATTTGATGAAAAAAGTCAGTGTACTTAATTTCAAATCAATCATTGAGCTGCGTATTTCAGCACCTTAGCGACCGTACACACAGCTCAAATAAAAGATACATTGCCTTTCGCCATGTATATCTATCTAACCTCACTGAATTCAGTGGAGTGTATTTCTTGATCTTGAGAAGGTAAAATATCTTCAGAAAGATTTGCTATCTTGCCCTCGTAATATTGAATAAGTTGGAGTACTGCTCGCCTACCGTAACCCATCTAATAAAGATAGAATTATATTGACCTGATAGTGAAAATGCTGTAGTTACGTAAAATGACAAAGTGAATTGATTATATGATTCGTTAAACTATACATCTTTACGTATAACCAGGCATAACTAGTCAAAAACAACAACAACATTCCCTCTAAACACTGAACGATATACTCACTCCTTGATAATCTGGATGGGTGGCAATGCGAACAATTCTCCCACCAGAGAGACTTGGAAACTCGTTGTCATTAAACTGAGAGAGAGATCACATTAAGGCATTTAATGTCTACGTGTCGTTAGCTAGAAAAAAATCTACGGCAGGAAATCTTATAGTCGCTTTGTGTTCAAACAGGTCATCAAAACATTCATTTTGTAAGCACATTTTGAAATTTATATTGAGCCATGGTTGATTTCAAAAAGAAAACTAATAGAAATATTTACACTCGATGATCAAGGTAATTTGAGCTTTGTAGGCAAAAATAACAATGTGTTACTTCCGCTTCGTGCATTCGTACTGAAAGGCTGCAAAAATTGAGCTACAGAATGACTTGATTGTACTTAAGAACTTTGGGAGAACTCGAAAGCAGATCAGGGTAAGCCCGAAACCTAAGGTCGATAGTTTGCACCTGTTTCTCGCGTTTGTCTAAGACAGTGCAAATACGAAAAACATCTTTTAATTCTTTACAAAATAACAATAATGCGAAAAGACAAATTCGAAACAAACGTTTTGATTTTTCCTCGAAAATGTATTCATGATTGATTTGCAAACTCACTTTAAACTCACTGATTTCATCGATTGAGCTCAAATTGGTTTTCACAGCCTAATGCTGACAACTCAGCTATTTTCTTTTTTTATATTACGAAATACTGTAGTAAATACAATACATTGGTACCTGTTGTGAAATAGTCCATGGTATCAGATCACCAGATGCTCTTTTACCACGAGCTAAACTGCTCATTATTGATTTCTTTGATATTTCACCTTCCAAGCAAACCTTCAATAAAGAACGTGTTTGTTCACAAAGAAATAGCAAAACACACTTTAGCATAAAGGTGGATTGCAACTAGTTCATTATTTTTTATGGGAACTACAACTGAAACAGAAAAATGTTCTTGTGAGGAATGCAAGCAGCGTATGAGTTTTTTAAATGCCGTGGAAAGGGTTTTGGTTGCATTCATCAAAAGGAAATGACATATTTGGTTACCAAGACGGTACTTTGTGTAAGTTCTCGATATAAGATGGCGTCATTTTTGCAGTATTATCTCAATGCACAAGATGAAAATTTTAAAATTTGATACTGAATATTTTATGAATGACATTTTCCCCCTGTGTGTCATGGCCTTCAATGAAGCACAAAGATACGGTTTCTAAAGCATACTACTGACGCTTTCTGTCAACAAATTATCATATTTTTTAAATTCTTGTGTGCCGTAACCCATAAATAACCAAAAGATTGGCGAAACTTGCTTCTAATCCTGGATACTACAGAATACAATTTAACAAGGCGTGCCAAACGCTCGACGCGATACTTGATGAAATACTACAACTCGACTTATAGCAAAACAAGATATGCAGTAGAGTCAGGATTTAAACATTCGGGGAAGAAAGAACGATCATGAAAACATTTTATGGTTTTCTGTTTTCTAAAAAAAGTATCAAACTCTTCAGAAACATTAAAAGCAATTAGTACAAAAAAAACCTTAACTGTATCATTAAGTTGTGATATACGTAACCGTCGTGGTAAGCAGTTACCTGGATGACGCAAAATATTTCCGGTAAAGTTTTCTTAGCGACATCAACAGGTCCAAGTAAACAAAATATATGATGAGCAGGGGCATCTGACAGCAATTGTAGATCGTTAGGAGTATTCTAAGAACAAGTGCAAAAAGATAGGAAATTTGCATTGTAAAACTTTGAAATCCTTATAAATACATAGTTAGTTTTGGTTGTGCAGCCAGCACGCAAGTTTTGGTTGTGCAGCAAGCACGCAAGTTTTGGTTGTGCAGCCAGCACGCAAGTTTTGGTTGTGCAGCAAGCACGCAAGTTTTGGTTGTGCAGCAAGCACGCAAGTTTTGGTTGTGCAGCAAGCACGCAAGTTTTGGTTGTGCAGCAAGCACGCAAGTTTTGGTTGTGCAGTCAGCACGCAAGTTTTGGTTGTGCAGTCAGCACGCAAGTTTTGGTTGTGCAGTCAGCACGCAAGTTTTGGTTGTGCAGCAAGCACGCAAGTTTTGGTTGTGCAGTCAGCACGCAAGTTTTAGTTGTGCAGCCAGGACGCAAGTTTTGGTTGTGCAGCCAGCACGTTGGTTTGTTCGTGCTATATAAATTTCAGGACATTATTATTATTCATTTCTTTTCTAGTCTATTGTTTATACAGTAGATAGACACACAAAACTCTACATAGCACGACAAAATTTGCCGGACAAAATTTGCGGGCTGGCAAGGCCACAGCAGTCTGCCTAAATACTGGTAATTAATAACAAACCTTATAATGAGAAGAAACGTATAGCGACATAATTCTTTGAAGGAAAATCTCCGATGCTTTGTGATAAGAAAACAGAGTGTCCCGATTTACATAATATCTAATGCGTACGTTCGACGTTAAAAATCAATAACATAAGATAAAACCTTATTAACACGACATAAACTAATCTGGGTTTAACTCAGATTTATTTTCTTGCGTGTAAACACTACTAACCCAGGTTTAACCTAAGTTAAATTCAACTTGGCTCTTGAAATGGGTTGAGTTTAACCCAGGTTTATTTTCTTGCGTGTAAACACTACTAACCCAGGTTTAACCTAAGTTAAATTCAACTTGGCTCTTGAGATGGGTTGAGTTTAACCCAGTTTAAACCTGCGTTGGCAGTGTTTACACGTAAAAAAATAAACCTGAGTTAGACCCGGGTTTGTTTATGAAGTGTGAACAGGAAGGGCTCAAGCGTCAAATAATCGAGTATTTCTTGTTTGTATGTTACTTGGTGATAGGTCAACAAAAATCCATGTGAAACAAAACGTTAGTAAAAACGTTACTTAACAAAATACAACCGATAAAATTACGTAGGCATACGCACCGATGAAAAAACATGGGTAAGTCAGAAAGACAAATGTACGTAACTACCCTAAAATACAGTCACCAAACTACGTAACTATCTCTCGACCCAGTCTCAACTTCACAACCACACAACTTTACCTACAAGTTATCGCACTGACTTAATACTCCTCAAGCCGTTATCCCTAGCCCATTAAATCAGCAAATATTCCTAATAATTCAAATCCTCCGTTATCCCTAGCCCATTAAATCAGCAAATCTTCCTAATAATTCAAATCCTCCGTTATCCCTAGTCCATTAAATGAGCAAATCTTCCCAATAATTCAAATTCTCGTAATACAACGTGACGTCACTTTGAGTACAAAATCGGACATCACAAAACTTCAATATTTTGAGAATGCAAAGAGATAGACTAAACTGTTTTAGAAAGTCCACTGTCATTTTAAAAGTTCTCTTCAATGAAACTATAATTTTCATAACAAAATTTTCGTTTGACTACAACCCCTAAGATCGGTGTTGCACAGGCTAATGCAAACTTAGGAACAGACCAATCTGCGCACGCATATTATCGTTTTGATTTTATAAAAAATAATAAAAATATAAAAGGATACAGATCACAAGAGTCTGGAACTGGACAACCAGAGGAAAACTTAGGAACAATTGTAGCATCGAGGCAGAGTAGCTGATTAAGCCAATCTTCAACTGAATCATCGGGAGAATAACGTATAGACTCATTAAGTGATATCTCTGAAAGTATGCGACCATTAGAGCTTCCACTATTGTCGTCACTTTTACCATTGGTACCAGTCCCCGAAGTTGAATTCTGAGATCGTAACTGACTAATTAACTTTAACGATAAAGATCTTCCAGTGCCTTCATACCTAAAATAGAACGTTTTCACGAACGACTGCCTTTTTGTTACAAATTAAAACTTACTCCAAAACAACTTGAATATGGAAATATTTTTCTAACGATATCATCGTTTTTTGAGACGAAGAATACACTGTGGTTTTCATCACCAGATAGTCTGGTTATCTCAACAGCACACATTACGCCTGTATTCACTCCACTTAAGTTAAAATAAGCAATTTCACAAACCCGTTAATAGTAGAGGAGAGAAAAACCAGATATGGTCCAAAAAGACTTTTGACCAGCGGTAATGGTATGGCAGCAGCCTCGTCAACAACAACTAATTCGGCTTGACCCAGCTTCTGAGCATCACCAGGATGGATGTACTACAAACAATATAATGGAAAGTTTAACTAAATATAATGAGTTACTTTCGAAGGTGAGCACCCTCTCAAAAGTTCTCGCAAACGTCTACGAGATTTGCAACTTTGCATAAGCCAGTGCAAACACAAAAAACGTTATTTATTTCGGGTTTTACTATTGTTATTCTACATCAAATGATATTGTTTATATAAACCTGAATTGTCTGTCTGTGTTCTCTGAACACATTCACCCTTATTACAGCTTTATTGAACTCTGGATTCGTCGATTGTACCAGTTCATAGTCTAGATGTTCCTAAACAAAATTTTGCATTATGGTTAATGTGCATACGTAATATTCTTCCCATGAAAGATTCAATACGATGTGGCACGGCAACTAAAATGTAAATTTTTCTTTTTTCGAAACAATATCTTTTGCTGCTCATGACAGTTAGGAGGACAGTGAGTGAAAGGTTTACAGATATTGATTTAAATGATATACTTGTTAAGTTGAGAATTAAAAATATGATTTGGGTGTTTCACTAAAAACATTACTCACAATAAGCTTAGTCGACTTATTGTTAACACAATATCTTTGGTTTTTTATGGTGAAATTAAAACCTTCAAGGAATAACTTGTTGTGACAAAAAAATCCGTGTAATTGAGACATTAGAGACCTTAAGATCTAGGACGCCAGTGGTCCAGGACGGGTAACGGAAGTAAATAGGCAAAAAAATTTCAAGTGCGCATGCGTTTGTCAAACTGCACCTAACGTCGACAACGTGAACATTAGCAGTTTGGCGTCGTATCTGGAAAGTGACATTTGAAGCAATATTTTTGTTGAATTATAGTTATCTTTCTTAGAATAAGTATGATTTATGTTTGCCTGCTATTTGGTTAATAAATCACTCCAGTATTTGAGTATTTTTAAGCTTGTTAATGTGTATTAAGCAATAGCCTGCCTAAAATCACAGGTGCACGTTGTTAACCTTAAATGGTTGCTTATGTCGCCGTCGACGGGGTTTTCGTTCCAGTCCTCTACTCGGAATCAACGTCGACGTCGACGGGGTCTTCGTTCCAGTCCTCTACTCGGAATCAACGTCGACGTCGACGGGGTCTTCGTTCCAGTCCTCTACTCGGAATCAACGTCGACGTCGACGTTAAGCATCTTAAGGTCTCTGTTATTAAATAGCCTATTTAAACCAAGAAATGTTTGGCTAATGCCTTAAAATACCACATGCAGAACGTGTTAGTGAAGGAAAACATTGTGTTTGAGAGACAATGTTTTACTGACAGAGATCTTCTTTTGCTTCCACTGGTGTAATTTTGAACTAGGTGAAACTTATTCTCTGTTATGTAGGTCGTGCAGGAAAGGTGGTAGTTATTTTCAGTTAGGTATGTAGGTCGTGCAGGAATGGTGGTAGTTATTTTCAGTTAGGTATGTAGGTCGTGCAGGAAAGGTGGTAGTTATTTTCAGTTAGGTATGTAGGTCGTGCAGGAAAGATGGTAGTTATTTTCAGTTAGGTATGTAGGTCGTGCAGGAATGGTGGTAGTTATTTTCAGTTAGGTATGTAGGTCGTGCAGGAATGGTGGTAGTTATTTTCAGTTAGGTATGTAGGTCGTGCAGGAATGGTGGTACATGTTGAGAAAAGTTGTACCTGGTAGTCTAACGCATCAAATCCTTTGAAAACAAACTCAAACAACGTATGAAGGTTCTCTGGACTTGGGGATGACACGAATATGTTGGAATACCTTAAAATGAAATGACAAAAATAAGTTTGAATTTAGATCTTTTTATCCATGAATCTCCTCTTCCGCTTCGGATCCGCATAGATCTCCCTTGCTTTGCGACGTTTGTTAACATTCACTTTGTAAAATTACGCATGATGGACTGCCTGTTCATTACAGCAAAGTATTTGACCGGCAAAAATGGTTCTGATTCAATCAAAACACGACTTTCGAACGGAAGCGAACGCTTGCCGTACAATACAGTGAAGGTACGTGTTGCGAAACATGCATATCACGTGAAATAAGAGTAGGTAGTAAGGTTGTGATAACGTTGTTATTTGACTAACGTTGTTAATTTCTGAGATGTTCCACAACAACTGAGTAACAAAAATTCGTGCTTACCCAAATGCAATAGCAGCCGCCATTGCTAGGCCCAGGGCAGCAGATTTTCCACGACCTCGAGCTGCTGTTAATGCAACAGTAGTTCTTAATGTTTTCTCAGAAATCGCTTCAATAAATTTTAAAACTGCTTTAGCCTGAAACAATTAAAAAATGGTGTTTCCTTTTTTAATTTTTTCTTCAAAGATGGCTACGTTTTAGCTACAGTGTATCGTTTACAACAAAAACTCCTAAAGTCAGTCCACAATATCATCAATTTCGGAAAATTAAATAAACGATTTAATTCGTGTTTAATAATTCATGGTTAAATATAGTTGGAAATGGTGGATTTTTTTCAATTATATCGAAGTCTGTAGAAAAGATATGCGATATAAAGTTATAGAATATACAATTCTTGACTTGCAATTCAGCCATGTTGGTAGCATGATAAAAAAGAATATTTTATCAGTGCACTGTTATAAACAAAAATAATAAATTACTTGATCAAGAGTCTTGCAACAATTGACAATCACGCCGACGGGAGGTGTATCCTCCAATGAAGATTTCAACTCTCGTAACTCTACTTCGTTCGGACTTGTTGATTCCTCCTACGTATGAAAAATATCCAGTAAAACAAGTATCAAACAAATGTGTTTACAATGCTGTTTTTATTCCCTATTTACGTATGTAAAACTATTACAAAAGCGGTAAGTAGTTAAATACATCGTCCAAGACCCGACGATGTTGAGAAATATTTCAGGGAACGAAAATCACGTGTACGTTGTACCTAGTGTACAAGGATTGTCAACCGTTGGACGTGATGTGATAAAGGATCTTGACAAAGGCAAAGGAGGTACTCTCAGTGCTACATCTAGTACTTGTTAGTTAGAAAGGTAGTAATATATGAGCTGTTTAATTACTTCAACGTTGTTTAATTTTGTTTTAGACTCACTCGAACATCTTATACGTGGTATAAATATGTTATTTACCGGTAGGGAGGTTCGTACGGAAAAAATATTTTCACGAGGTCTCGAAAATGGCTCGAGGTCGAAGGCCGAGACTAAAATTGGATTGTTTTCAAAAAAAAATTCGCTTCGTCTTGATAGTAAAATTCACTTTTGCTATGATACGTAACTTTCATCTGAATACACTTTGCCTACTCGTTCACCAATTTACATCGCTTTCAAATCAATTTTAAAATTTATATTTCAGTTCGTAAACAAATACATTGCGAAAAAATATGTTTCGCTTAAAATTGGATTGTTTTCTTCAAAGTTCGCTTTGTCTGGATAGTAAAATTCACTCTTGCTATGATAACTTTCATCTGAATACACTTTGCCTACTCGTTCACCAATTTACATCGCTTTTAAATCAGTTTTAAAAATTTATATTTCACTTCGTAAACAAATACATTGCGAAAAAAATCCCTTCTGCCCACGGGAAGATATCGTAAAAAGCCGCCCGCTCAGGCGGCCAATCAATTGCTGGAAATAAAAAATATCGCTTTGGAGCGCTAAATAAAAAATATATACCGATATTAAACAATACGATGCACTTGCAACTACATTGATTCGTTGTAAAAGTTTTTAAAAATTGCAAAGTTTTGAAAGGTAGATCAATCACCCATAGCTACGCACAAAACTTTGACATTTGTGTAAGGAGACAAATCTTGAGTGTTTGCAAGAATATAGGTAAAACTTTGAATGAATCCCCAGTCACCATGCATCGTCTACAATAACTACAGAACACTCACACATTAGTGCAAAAGGACTGATCTTGTTGCAAAGATATTCGCAAATCATTGAGATAACCATATATCACCATGCATTGTTTACAACAAGTTAAGTTACAGTACCTTTGACATTGGTGTCAGAGGACTTATCTTCAGTGTTTGTGAGGTTATAGGTAAAACATTGAGAGCGTCGTCAATCACCATGCATTGTTTACAGGAGCTCAACGACAGAAGAAACCTGTCACAAACAAAACACATTTAATAAAGTTTTCAAGTTTAATTTTCATTCATACATGTATAATCAGTGTGCGAATTAGTTAAGAAAAAACGATGTGCAATTTTTTTGACAAAAGTGTTTCTTTAGAGGCATAAGCAAATCGATATTACGTTATTTATTATATAGCGCTAATTGCTAAATTAATACTTTTAAAAGTGAACAAATTCATATGATTTACGACAGTGTTTTTCGTTAAAACTGCTGATTTTTGCGCATCGTTTGAAAAAGTGATGTGCAATTGTTTTCATTTTAGCTAAAACGATGTGCAAATTGCACATTGCACACCGTTAATTCGCACACTGTGTATAATATTTTTTAAATAAAGACGTAAAATCAAACATACCTTTCGTTAAAGCGACCAACAACATCTTGATGTGATTCTGTTCTATATCGAGCGTGAACATCCTTAAGAAAATTAGCAAGAACTTCATGTAGAAATTGGAATTGTGTAAAAAAACAAAGTTAAAATAGATAAATGTTTCAAGAAATCATTAGTTACAAACCATAGTCAAGGTGTAAAGTTGCCTTAGTGATGTCATAGTTCTTAACAAGACCACAATGATACCACCGCCCTCAACTGTTTCGATTGTCCGAGCAAGAAGATTTGGAGTTAGCGCCTCAAAATCCTTCAACATAAAGAGAAGGAAAGAATGATTAAATGATTGCTTTTCTCTAAAAGTCGTCGCCATTCAAAAGTCATCAGTAAATGAGCAGAAATATTTTATGATAACAAAACATTTTTGAACTACAAGCAGACAATTTCAAGTAATACAAAATAAAACAAATTCCGAAGAGGGACATCTCGTTTTCTTGATATTCAAGATAGTACAAGAGTTTGAAACAAAAGATGGTGTAATATTTCGTCTTTATTCCAAAGACATCATCAGACTTATAGTTTACAATGCAGGCTGCGAAACATTTATATATTTACAAGCGGAAATGACAGTTATGTAATAAGAGAACTATAAGACTAAACAATCAGGCAGTATACTTACATTAAAATAGAGATAATTTCTTGCAAGCTTTAAGACCACTATTAAGTTGTGGCATATTGCGTTTTGTAGTGGTCTTAAAGCTTGTGAGAAATTATCTCTATTTTAATGTAAGTACACTGCCTGATTGTTTAGTCTTATAGTTCTCTTATTACATAACTGTCATTTCCGCTTGTAAATATATAAACGTTTCGCAGCCTTCATTGTAAACTATAAGTCTGATGATGTCTTTGGAATAAAGACGAAATATTACACCATCTTTTGTTTCAAACTATTGTAATATCTTGAATATCAAGAAAACGAGATGTCCCTCTTCGGAATTTGTTTTATTTTGTATTTTTGAACGACTGACCTGTAATACACACATTCCATAAGTATTTCCAAGAATCTTGTGTGTTTCATTGTAATAGCAGTATCTTATGTTTGTTGATGATATGAACAGCTCAAATGGATCATCTTTGTTTAAGTCCAACGTTCCACTTTTAATTTTCTTTTGTAATTGCTTCATTCTTTTTTTCCTGTGACTGAAATGATTTTAATTTTATACATGTAATTGCTACATTCTCTTTTTCCTGTGACTGAAATTATTTTAATTTTATACATGTAATTGCTACATTCTCTTTTTCCTGTGACTGAAATGATTTTAATTTTATACATGTAATTGCTACATTCTCTTTTTCCTGTGACTGAAATTATTTTAATTTTATACATGTAATTGCTACATTCTCTTCTTCCTGTGACTGAAATGATTTTAATTTTATACATGTATATGCTACATTCTCTTCTTCCTGTGATTGAAATGATTTTAATTTTATACATGTAATTGCTACATTCTCTTCTTCCTGTGATTGAAATGATTTTAATTTTATACATGTAATTGCTACATTCTCTTTTTCCTGTGACTGAAATTATTTTAATTTTATACATGTAATTGCTACATTCTCTTCTTCCTGTGATTGAAATGATTTTAATTTTATACATGTATATGCTACATTCTCTTCTTCCTGTGATTGAAATGATTTTAATTTTATACATGTAATTGCTACATTCTCTTTTTCCTGTGACTGAAATTATTTTAATTTTATACATGTAATTGCTTCATTCTCTTCCAAGGAAATTCAAATTTCCAAGGAAAATGGAAATTTAAAAATGACACTACATTTTCTTGTTTCTATGGGCTTTGCAGTTAAGCTTTCCAACTTAAGAGTAATCAATCAATATGTAGCTGAAATTACTGATAAGATAAAGAAATTCACATTAAAGTAAGAATTTAGGATTCACCTGCTAAACCCAAGTTCCTTTTTATAACACCATAAAACATTTGGTCTTGCTTTTACAGTTGCTTTTGACAACATGTGATGAAGGATTACTACCTAAATTAGAAAAGGGAGTGTTTTGACTGCATTGATAATAAATTTAGTAAGGACATTCAAGATAACACAAATTGTTTTCAATGCAAGACTAAGAACTTTTATTAATGTAAATGTTTCTTTTCAAAATGTTTACTGTTTGCAAGCTCTTCACACTTTAGATCTTAATGAATATAATTTTTTGATGCTTTATTGCCTCTTGTGAAAAGTTACAGTCTTTTTGATTATGTCGTTGCGAGAATTAGATAAAAAAAAGTTAACATTATAAACCTAGTGATGTGTTTGTGCTTTGGTGAATGTTATTTTTGCTTGAAATGTGTAGCTTCTTTGCTTTCAAAATATTGTGTACCATTTTTGACTCGGAATAAACAACTGCAGTCACGAGTCGAATGACCAGGCCTTTATCATGGGTAAGCAGTTGAATAATGAAAGATCGACAGAAAAGTTTATTTGAAATGAGCTTGCCCAAGACAGCATCAAACAGAAATTCAAATTTCACCTCGATTATCTATCACTAATTGTGACACTCATGCAAGAACAACAAAGCTCAACACTTACATAGTAATACACAGTAAAATCATTGACAGATCCAGTGTACCTCAAAATAAATTATAACTCCTCAATTTTAAATTCAAACTACATACAGAAAAAAATATTGGTTTTAATTTCCAAAGAATATAATTTTGCCAATGAATTGTCTCTAAGGTGCTTGGAAACGTAAATATACGCCAAAATGTGCTGCAGTAATTTATTTTGACTTACTCTAAATCTGTCACTGTGTAAAATGTTCCATCAGGTACCGACCACGTGTTAATATTTTTGGTGAATGCATTACGTGTATGGATGAAGTAGATTGTTTACGTTTTCTGGCAGGCAGATTTAATCCAAGGGAGCTTGAGCAATGTTGCTAGCGTTGTCTAAAAGCACTCGACTAAACCTGCCTGCCGAAAAACGTAAACAATCCAACTCATCTAAAAATGCACATGGTTTTATAAACACCGTCATACCTGGTCTCTTCCCTTGTTTCCAACAATAAAAAACATGGAACGATGTCGCAAATGGACTCCATTTTCAATCAAAACTCGAATTCTATTGTCAATTTTCTTTAACACCATTTCACACAGTACTGAAGGACGCAAATAAACCGTCAAATAAACCCATTTTAAACTGTTAATAAGTTAATTTTGAAAATTAGTGCCAAACCGCTGACAATCTTTTAAAGATGAAGTACTTCATGTTGAGGTCGCATAGTTTTGAAAAATAGGTACACACGACACGGGAACTTATGGATGAGGTACACGCGTGATTATTATACTAATATTAATAATATACCCTAATAAAGTAAATGGTTTGGACCCGGCAGTATTGTAACATGTTTGTGGATGAAGATCGTCCTGGTTAGTAGAGTCCTGAGAAGGACTGTTGGTATTGATGTAGACTGACGTTTCGACAACCTTAGCGGTAGTCATCATCAGAGTAAAAATGACTACCGCTTGAGTCAAGATGACTACGCGTTAGAGTCATTGATGTGTTTTAAATTTTATGCAGATATTTCTCGATATAAATCGATTTAATGAAGACTGTCAAAAACAAGTTTCAGGTATAGGCGGCCCAATAAGTCACTTAAATTGTATAAACAAACGATAACTCTCCCCATTCCATCGAAACAGACCATGCTCAGTAAATTTGTATTAATTGATTATATATATATATATATATTGATAAGAAGAAGAAAATACACAAAAACTACAATTTCATCTCGACAAGCCTGTTTCGTGATTGCTCACTCTTCAGGGGATTTAATCTTCTTATCAATATTTACGCTCTGCTCTCGGGCAACATGTTTTGTACGGAAAATCATAAATCATAAACTTCCTATATATATATATATATATACATACAAAGTGAAGGAAATACACAAAAACTGCAATTTCATCCCGACAAGCCTGATTCGTGATTTCTCACTCTTCAGGGGATAATATTAAATGAATACAAAAGCATATGCTAGATTATATATACAAGAGGAAGTTAGGGTAAAAATTAAGATAGAATTACATAATATATTGAGTGTACGATTAAAAATTGGATAAAAGTGCCTTGTGTCTATGGCGACAAGAGGAGATAAGTTCGTTACGTTTGTTGAGTGATGATAGTTGTGGTTGGTAGGTGATGAAGAATTTTTCTTTCAGGCCTATATATACATACTAAATTATTCGTTGACGCTACCTTGGTCTACCTTTTTATAATCATTAAAGGATTTTTCATGGTAAATATACAACATTAAAACAAAAACCAAAATGCCAGATGATGATGAATATAAAACAAATGTCATCTGAGTTCCAAAGAGATGAAACAATTCTCCCATTAAAGTAGCTCCACCGTCATATCCAATGGTGAAAGCAGTTTCTTGTAAACCTTCAAACAACAACATTTTATAAATTGCAGCACATAAAACACTCAGACTTGTTTGGTTATGTTTCCATATTTTGATTGTTGCCAAACAACATAACGAAATTTCAAAGCTATGCAATCACACATCAAGCGTGAAATGATCCAGGAATATTTTGATTGGTTAAAGGACTTAGTGTCAGTTATGCAGCCCGAGTGAAAAACAAAACAAACTTTTATTAATTTCTTTTTCATTCAATTTTCATCCACATTCAAACGAGTTTTAAACTGTCCTTCCCTTACCCCGTAAATACATATAAACTCAGGTGAAAGCCTAACATCTTGGCAGAGGTTATAGTACAAACTTTATGCATGCGTCAAGTCTCACAAAAATGTTATGAAATTATTAAAATTATCAAAATAAACACAAACAAAGAGAATTTCCTGGACAAACCTATAATCATATTGGAGTTCTCTTTTGATGCAGCTTTTGAGAAATGCACGACAAATGCTGAGTGACAAAATCCATAAGCAGTCGCTTGTAACGTGTCGATAGCTATAACCAACCATGCTGTACGAGCAAATGCAAGAGCTAGATAGGAACACGCATAGAATAATAGCGAAATACATAATGTTTTCAATTCACCAATGGTTGTGATCAAATGTGTTGAAGAACATACTGATAAAACAAGAATAGGCCTTCGAACTAAAGCCGCCATTCCCAGTAGCAATGGAGTCGCAGACAGTCTATCCAAGTACCAAAACTCCCAGAACAATTGAAATGACGTGCACATCCCCAGAAAAAGCAACAAAGCAAACATGAAGCCATAATGTACGCTGAGAATATCATTTCGAACTCCTGACCATTTGAACGATCTCGCATCACTGTATTCATATTCAAACCAAGGTAGCGAAAACATCGATAATAAAAGACATATTCCACTGACTATAAACGATACAAAATATCCATTTTCAATGGTATCGCAAAATCGTACTTTAATCAACTTTGCCAATAATGAAGTACTAGCAATAAAGAAGGCTGCGCCAGCGTGATACCACATCAAATAATAACCGATCTTTGCTTTACTTTCACGAAGATAAGTCGCTATTGCGGAGTTCAACGAGCTCACATTCACAACAGATGAAAGTAAAGTCAATGTTCTAGAAACAGTTAGCAAAAGAAATAAAACGCTTATGATACTTGGTTGACTGCGCCGTAGGTAGGAGTATTTTATTTGATTGGCTTCACTTAATTTTGAAAAGTTTTGACGTCTCTTTAATGACAAACGATTTACATGGGACAGCAGAGATATTGACCTTTCAGATTGGTTTTGAGATGATATTGTTTGCGATTGAGTATTATTACCAACACGTCTCAAGTTTAAGGCACGATTTGACAATGAATCTGCAGTATATAGAAGTGAAGAACGTCCTGACGAATTCTGAATTGATTTATTCGTTATATCTGACGATATCACACATTTTGTTTTCAGCGATGGCACAATCAATGACAAAAGAGGTAAAAGACACACGACAAACATCATACAATTGTTAAATACAACCAATACCTTTCTTGCTTGATATTTCTCGCCGAAGTAAAGATAAAACGGGATTACAAGATAAACAAGTCCGAGCGATGTCGTGAATCCTATCTGCCCAGGATTGAAACCAAGTTGTTTCAAAAATAGATTAAAATACTCAGCATATAATGATTGAAATCCCAAATTGCAGAATGCAAACCATCCCAACATGAAGGATTTTAGTAAAAGCATCGTCACAGAATACAAACAACCAGTAATGCGGAACACAAGCACATCTAGGAGTAGCCATAGCGAGCAGTAGAGCGCAAAATAAATTAAAGCTGCTTAATTTGAAATTCAAATACTTTCAGAAAGGCACTATTGGTGATGAATTTCTAAAGAATATAATTTCACCAATGAACTAGTCTCCGAAGGGCTTAGAAATGAAAATATATTCCAAAATGTGCAGCAGTAATTTACTTTTACTAACCCTAAATCCGCCACTATTGCGGAAAGCTATCGAGCTTAAATTTACTAGTTGAGATCTATAAAGCGACAGTTCACTCCAGGAAATCCATACGCCAGAACTTATAGACTCGTTGCAGTGACGTCACATACAGTAGCGGATTCAGCGTCAGTCAAAATAAATTATAGCTCCTTAATTTTAAATTCAAACTATTTCTGCAAAACATCATTGGTTTTGAATTTTTGAAGAGTGCAATATCTCCAATGGATATGCTTCAAAGACTAAATGAAATGATCTCTTTTTAACGTTACCAAAAGTAATACAAGTGATGTCATGCGGTAGTGTAACAAGCAGGCAAGTTTGGTTGTGTTATAAAAATTTAAGAACATCAGCAAATTTAAATTTGTTGCTTTTGAAACCTAATGTCGTTACATTGATTGAAATATTTAGACTAGCCGACATTGGAAAATATTGGTAGGCAATGTTAAGATATGCTCTCATATTCTTCTTGTAATTAGCATATAATTAAGTCAAGTGTAACTAACTAACTGATTATTTTAAGAGATACTTATGTGCAATAATCACAATATTTTTTATAGTTCCTAATAGCTTTCCGTTGATTGTAAATTAACCATATTTAGTAAAAAACAAATATATCCATACGTAATATCTTGTATAAATAGAAGTAGTTTAACCATTGTACGATAGATCGTAGACCAGAGACATTGACGTTGAACATTAAATGTGATCATAACAGTTATCTGTAATATCTCTATTTCTTGGTGTAAGTCAATATATACTAAAGAAGGTAGATGGCTACATCACAAAACCTAACAGGCAAAGTAAAGATTTTAGGATGATAAAATCACACAGATGGAAGGCTACTCGAAAGATTTCTTTTGGGAGAAACAGGCATTATTAAAGTTTCTTCGGCTGTGCTCCAGTATTGGTTTGATTCTGGAGAAACTTCAAGGTTGCATGCGTGGCAAGCACGAGCAGGAAGTGCAATGTTTCCAAGAAATTTTGAGCAATTTCCAAGCAATATTTATCATAAAATAGCTTTTTAAAAACATCATTAGAAAGATAAATTGATCGATCTTTTTTAATAACATTTTGTCTATGTTTTCACCGTCAACTTTACGGTACAAATGGCGTTAGAGTCATTGATTTGTTTTAAATTTTATGCAGACATTTCTCGATAAAAAATCGATTTAATGAACACTGTCAAAAACAAGTTTCAGGTATTACTATAGGCGGCCCAATAAGTCACTTAAATTGTATAAACAAACGATAACTCTCCCATTCCGTCGAAACAGACCATGCTGCGCAAAATTTGTATTAATTGATTATATATATATATACTCGATTATTCGTCGACGCCACCTTGGTCTACCTCTTTATAATCATTAAAGGATTTTGTATGGTAAATATACAACATTAAAATAAAAACCAAAACGCCTGATGCTGATGAATATAAAACAAATGTCATCTGAGTTCCAAAGAGATGAAACAATTCACCCATTAAAGTAGCTCCACCGTCATATCCAATGGCCCAAGCAGTTTCTTGTAAACCTTCAAACAAAAACATTTTATAAGTTGCAGCACTTGAAAGCACTCAGACTTGTTTGGTTATATTTCCATATTTTGATAGTTGCCAAACAACACAACGAAATTTACAGCTATGCAATCTCACATAACGCGTGAAATGATCCAGGAATATTTTGATTGGTTAAAGGACTTCGTGTCAGTCATGCAGCCCGAGTGAAGAGCAAAACAAACTTTTATTAATTTCTTTCTCATTCAATATTCATCCTCATTCAAACGAGTTTTAAACTGTCTTTCCCTTAACGCGTAAATACATATAAACTCAGGTGAAAGCATAACATCTTGGCAGAGGTTATAGTACAAACTTTATGCATGCGTCAAGTCTCACAAAAATGTTATGAAATTATTAAAATTATCAAAATAAACACAAACAAAGAGAATTTCCTGGACAAACCTATAATCATATTGAAGTTCTCTTTTGATGCAGCTTTTGAGAAATGTACGACAAACGCTGAGTGACAAAATCCAAATGCTGTTGCTTGTATCGTGTCGATAGCTATAACCAGCCATGCGGTACGAACAAATGCAAGAGCTAGATAGGAGCACGCGTAGAATAATAGCGAAATACATAATGTTTTCAATTCACCAATGGTTGTGATCAAATGTTTTGAAGAACATACTGATAAAACAAGAATAGGCCTTCGAACTAAAGCCGCCGTTCCCAGTAGCAATGGAGTCGCAGACAGTCTATCCAAGTACCAAAACTCCCAGAACACTTGAAATGACGTGCACATGCCCAGAAAAAGCAACAAAGCAAACATGAAGCCATAATGTACGCTAAGAATATCATTTCGAACTCCTGACCATTTGAACGATCTCGCATCACTGTATTCATATTCAAACCAAGGTAGCGAAAACATCGATAATAAAAGACATATTCCACCGACTATAAACGATGCAAAATATCCATTTTCAATCGTATCGCAAAATCGTACTTTTGTCAACTTTGCCAACAATGAACTACTAGCAATAAAGAACGCCGCGCCAGCGTGATACCACATCAAGTAATAACCGATCTTTGCTTTACTTTCACGAAGATGGGTCATTAATGCGGAGTTCAACGAGCTCACATTCACAACAGATGAAAGTAAAGTCAATGTTCTAGAAATAGTTAGCAAAAGAAATAAAATGCTTATGATACTTGGTTGACTGCGCCGTAAGTGGGAGTATTTTATTTGGTTTGTTTCACTTGATTTTGACAAGTTTTGCCGTCGATTTAATGATAAACGATTTACATGGGACAACAGAGATATTGACCTTTCAGATTGGTTTTGAGAGGATATTGTTTGCATTTGAGTATTATTACCAACATGACTCAAGTTTAAGGCACGATTTGACAATGAATCTGCAGTATATAGAAGTGAAGAACGCCCTGACGAATTCTGAATTGATTTATTCGTTATATCCGACGATACCACACATTTTGTTTTCAGCGATGGCACAATCAATGACAAAAGAGGTAAAAGACACACGACAAACATCATACAATTGTTAAATACAACCAATGTCTTTCTCGCTCGATATTTCTCGCCGAAGTAGAGATAAAATGGGATTACCAGATAAATAAGTCCGAACATCGTCGTCAATCCTATCTGCCCAGGATTGAAACCAAGTTGTTTCAAAAATAGATTAAAATACTCAGCATATAATGATTGAAATCCCAAATTGCAGAATGCAAACCATCCCAACATGAAGGATTTTAGTAAAAGCATCGTCACAGAATACAAACAACCAGTAATGCGGAACACAAGCACATCTAGGAGTAGCCATAGCGAGCAGCAGAGCGCAAAATAAATTAAAGCTGCTTAATTTAAAATTCAAATACTTTCAGAAAGGCACTATTGGTGATGAATTTCTAAAGAATATAATTTCACCAATGAACTAGTCTCCGAAGGGCTTAGAAATGTAAATATATTCCAAAATGTGCAGCAGTAATTTATTTTTACTAACCCTAAATCCGCCACTAGTGCGGAAAGCTATCGAGCTTAAATTTACTAGTTGAGATCTATAAAGCGACAGTTCACTCCAGGAAATCCATACGCCAGAACTTATAGACTCGTGGCAGTGACGTCACATACAGTAGCGGATTCAGCGTCAGTCAAAATAAATTATAGCTCCTTAATTTTAAATTCAAAGTATTTCTGCAAAACACTATTGGTTTTGAAATCCTGAAGAGTGCAATATCTCCAATGGATATGCTTCAAAGACTAAATGAAATGATCTCTTTTTAACGTTACCAAAAGTAATACAAGTGATGTCATGCGGTAGTGTAACAAGCAGGCAAGTTTGGTTGTGTTATAAAAATTTAAGAACATCAGCAAATTTAAATTTGTTGCTTTTGAAATTTAATGTCGTTACATTGATTGAAATATTTAGACTAGCCGACTTTGGAAAATATTGGTAGGCAATGTTAAGATATGCTCTCATATTCTTCCTGTAATTAGGATATAATTAAGTCAAGTGTAACTAACTAACTGATTATTTTAAGAGATACTTATGTGCAATAATCACAATATTTTTTATAGTTCCTAATAGCTTTCCGTTGATTGTAAATTAACCATATTTAGTAAAAAACAAATATATCCATAAGTAATATCTTGTATAAATAGAAGTAGTTTAACCATTGTACGATAGATCGTAGACCAGAGACATTGACGTTGAACATTAAATGTGATCATAACAGTTATCTGTAATATCTCTATTTCTTGGTGTAAGTCAATATATACTAAAGAAGGTAGATGGCTACATCACAAAACCTAACAGGCAAAGTAAAGATTTTAGGATGATAAAATCACACAGATGGAAGGCTACTCGAAAGATTTCTTTTGGGAGAAACAGGCATTATTAAAGTTTCTTCGGCTGTGCTCCAGTATTGGTTTGATTCTGGAGAAACTTCAAGGTTGCATGCGTGGCAAGCACGAGCAGGAAGTGCAATGTTTCCAAGAAATTTTGAGCAATTTCCAAGCAATATTTATCATAAAATAGCTTTTTAAAAACATCATTAGAAAGATAAATTGATCGATATTTTTTAATAACATTTTGTCTATGTTTTCACCGTCAACTTTACGGTACAAATGGCGTTAGAGTCATTGATTTGTTTTAAATTTTATGCAGATATTTGTCGATAAAAAATCGATTTAATGAACACTGTCAAAAACAAGTTTCAGGTATTACTATAGGCGGCCCAATAAGTCACTTAAATTGTATAAACAAACGATAACTCTCCCCATTCCGTCGAAACAGACCATGCTGCGCAAAATTTGTATTAATTGATTATATATATATATACTCGATTATTCGTCGACGCCACCTTGGTCTACCTCTTTATAATCATTAAAGGATTTTGTATGGTAAATATACAACATTAAAATAAAAACCAAAACGCCTGATGCTGATGAATATAAAACAAATGTCATCTGAGTTCCAAAGAGATGAAACAATTCTCCCATTAAAGTAGCTCCACCGTCATGTCCAATGGCGAAAGTAGTTTCTTGTAAACCTTCAAACAAAAACATTTTATAAGTTGCAGCACATGAAAACACTCAGACTTGTTTAGTAAAATTTCCATATTTTGATTGTTGCCAAACAACACAACGAAATTTCAAAGCTATGCAATCTCACATCACGCGTGAAAAGATCCAAGAAATATTTTGATTGGTTCAAGGGTTTCAAACGAGTTTTAAATTGTTTATTCCTTACCGCGTAAACACATATAAACTCAGGTGAAAGCCTAACATCTTGGCAGAGGTTATAGTACAAACTTTATGCATGCGTCAAGTCGACTCACAAAAATGTTACGAAATTATCAAAATTATCAAAATAAACACAAACAAGGAGAATTTCCTGGACAAACCTATAATCATATTGGAGTTCTCTTTTGATGCAGCTTTTGAGAAATGTACGACAAACACTGAGCGACAAAATCCATAAGCAGTCGCTTGTAACGTGTCGATAGCTATAACCAACCATGCTGTACGAACAAAGGCAAGAGTTAGATAGGAACACGCATAGAATAATAGCGAAATACATAATGTTTTCAATTCACCAATGGTTGTGATCAAATGTTTTGAAGAGCATACTGATAAAACAAGAATAGGCCTTCGAACTAAAGCCGCTGTTCCCAGTAGCAATGGAGTCGCAGACAGTTTATCCAAGTACCAAAATTCCCAGAACAATTGAAATGACGTGCACATGCCCAGAAAAAGCAATAAAGCAAACATGAAGCCATAATGTACGCTGAGAATATCATTTCGAACTCCTGACCATTTGAACGATCTTGCATCACTGTATTCATATTCAAACCAAGATAGCGAAAACATCGATAATAAAAGACATATTCCACCGACTATAAACGATACAAAATATCCATTTTCAATGGTATCGCAAAATCGTACTTTAGTCAACTTTGCCAATAATGAAGTACTAGCAATAAAGAAAGCTGCACCAGCGTGGCTCCACATCAAATAATAACCGATCTTTGCTTTACTTTCACGAAGATAAGTCATTATTGCTGAGTTAAACGAGCTCATATTCACAACAGATGAAAGTAAAGTCAATGTTCTAGAAATAGTTAGCAAAAGAAATAAAGTGCTTATGATACTTGGTTGACTGCGCCGTAATTGGAAGTATTTTATTTGATTGACGTCACTTGATTTTGAAAAGTTTTGCCGTCGATTTAATGAAAAACGATTTGCATGGGACAACAGAAATATGGACCTTTCAGATTGGTTTTGAGATGATATTGTTTGCGATTGAGTACTATTACCAACACGTCTCAAGTGTAAGGCACGATTTGACAATGAATCTGCAGTATATAGAAGTGAAGAACGCCCTGACGAATTCTGAATTGATTTATTCGTTATATCCGACGATACCACACATTTTGTTTTCAGCGATGGCACAATCAATGACAAAAGAGGTAAAAGACACACGACAAACATCATACAATTGTTAAATACAACCAATACCTTTCTTGCTTGATATTTCTCGCCGAAGTAAAGATAAAACGGGATTACAAGATACACAAGTCCGAACGATGTCGTCAATCCTATCTGCCCCGGATTAAAACCAAGTTGTTTCAAAAATAGATTAAAATACTCAGCATATAATGCTTGAAATCCCAAATTGCAGAATGCAAACCATCCCAACATGAAGGATTTTAGTAAAAGCATCGTCACAGAATACAAACAACCAGTAGTGCGGAACACTAGCACATCTAGGAGTAGTCACAGCGAGCAGCAGGGAGCAAAATAAATTAAAGCTGCTTAATTTGAAATTCAAATACTTTCAGAAAGGCACTATTAAAGTAAATGGTTTGAACCTGGGAGTATCGTTATATGTTTGTAAATGATGATCGTCCAGGTTAATAAAGTCCTGAGAAGGACTGTTTTTGTTGTTGTTGACTGACGTTTTGACAACCTTAGCGGTAGTCATCTTCAGAGTCAAAATTTTGCTTGCAAAACGTATGTAGTCGTTAGCAAGTTGTTCGCTCTGTCGTCCAAATGATCGTAATAAAGTAAATGGTTTGAACCCGGGAGTATCGTTACATGTTTGTAAATGATGATCGTCCAGGTTAATAAAGTCCTGAGAAGGACTGTTTTTGTTGTTGTTGACTGACGTTTCGACAACCTTAGCGGTAGTCATCTTCAGAGTTGTCTCTGGACAATCATCATTTACAAACATATAAAAGCACTATTGGTGATGAATTTCTAAAAAAATACAATTTCACCAATGAACTTGTCTCCGAAGGTCGTAGAAATGTAAATATATTCCAAAATGTGCTGCAGTAATTTATTTTTACTAACCCTAGATCCGCCACTAGTGCGGAAAGCTATCGAGTTTAAATTTACTAGTTGAGATCTATAAAGCGATAGTTCACTCAAGGAAATCCATGCGCCAGAACTTATAGACTCGTGGCAGTGACGTCACATACAGTAGCGGATTCAGCGTCAGTCAAAATAAATTAAAGCTCCTTAATTTTAAATTCAAAGTATTTCTGCAAAACACTATTGGTTTTGAAATCCTGAAGAGTGCAATTTCTCCAATGGATATGCTTCAAAGACTAAATGAAATGATCTCTTTTTAACGTTACCAAAAGTAATACAAGTGATGTCATGCGGTAGTGTAACAAGCAGGCAAGTTTGGTTGTGTTATAAAAATTTAAGAACATCAGCAAATTTAAATTTGTTGCTTTTGAAACTTAATGTCGTTACATTGATTGAAATATTTAGACTAGCCGACATTGGAAAATATTGGTAGGCAAAGTAAAGATTTTAAGATGATAAAATCATACGGATGGAAGGCTACTCGAAAGATTTCTTTTGGGAGAAACAGACATTATTGAAGTTTCTTCAGCTTCGCTCCAGTATTGGTTTGATTTGGAGACAGGTTTCACAAACATATCTAGTAGGTACAGTATCTAACATAATAATACGTTGATATTAACATGTCACACAGTTTTTTTCTATGTAAGTTGTGTAAAAAAAATGATGTAGTAGTTAGTATGTCGAAAACACTTTTTTGAATACCCGAGAATGTTTACTTGCATAAATTGTCATGTCTTCCGATGGAAATGGCAAGATAAAACTTCCAAAATGTTATCTTCAGATTCATGAATAAAGCTCAAACCCTTGAAACAATACAAAGCTCCTGCGCTTGGTGGAAACCGAACTTTAGTTGAGGCGGGTTGGAAGCGATTTACATGTCACTTGCTCAAGAATTTCCGTTACAATAGCCGTGGGAAACTGGGATAGAGACTCCAAGTCATCGATTACGAACAGATAGAACTAAGACATATTTTTCTACATAAAAAGCGAAGCGCCATGGTTTTTTCCAGGCCAAGCTTCTTTAGCATATTTCTTCTTGGGGGCTTCTTGAGGGAAGGAAGGAGCTTAAGTGTGATCATGTACTGTTCTATTCACGTCAGAGAAAACCAATCAAACATATTAAAATAAATAAGGGATACAATACGAATTATGGCAAATGCAACTGTATAGAAATTATAACTAATAGTAATGATCCAGTCAAAACATTTCTCCCAACAATCTTGCTCACAAATGCATGTCATATAACTAATAAAATTGATGAACTACATGGAGTCGTCATGAATAATGGTCCTGAAGTTGTACTGATTACAGAATCCTGGCTTTCTCCAAATATCCCAGACACAGCAATATCGATTAATGATGAATACAAAATATTTCGCAAAGACAGACCCACCCTTGGCGGAGGAGTTCTTACTTATGTACATCAAAGTATACCTGTTAGTCGTAAGTTATTTGATGAAGACAATGATAAAGAGGTGCTATGGTTAGTGCTTAAACCTAAAAGAACGCCTCGCCCATTTAGTGCAATTATTATCGTCGTTATTTATTATCCACCTGGACAAAGTGCCGAAAAGAACATGATATGATTGAATATCTCATCAAAAATTTAGATCAGTTGCTATGTGAACGTCCATCCTCTGCAATTATAGTTGCTGGAGACTTCAATAAATTAAACTTGACTAATCTATGTAATTGCTTCAATTTAAAAAAATCTATCCTATACCCAACCAGAGGAAAAAACGTTTTGGATCAAGTCTTGACAAATATGCGAGATATGTATAAACCAACACAGCATCTACCACCATTGGGACGTTCTGATCACAATTGCCTTCTATTAGTGCCAAAACAGAAAGAAAAAGCACCAACAATTCCCAGAAAGGTAAGACTCTTATCACCTGGAAAAGTAAATGTCTTATGCAGAAAACTTATTCTTGAAGATTGGTCGGAGGTCTTTAATGTAGAAGATGTAAATGAAAAAGTAAATGCTTTTACCTCAATGATGCTTAGTATTATGGATGAAACTATTCCTGAAAAAACAGTACGAATGCATACTTCAGATAAACCTTGGATGACAAGCTTTATAAAATCAAAGATCAAAGCCAGACAACGTGCTTTCTCATGTAATAATCAAGCACGTTATGAAAAACTATGTTCTGATGTCTCAAAACTTATAAACAACGCCAAAATTTCATATTACAAACGAAAAGCAAAAGACTTTCGTACGACTAGCCCTCAAAAATGGTATAAATCAATCTTCTTAATGTTGGGAATTAATAACGGGAATAATGTAAAAAGAAATGTTTACGATGAAAATGTACTGGAACTAGCTGAAAAATTACAACAAGTCTTTACAAAACCTTGGTTAAACCAATTACCCAACTACGAAATTGAAGATAACTTGATCAACCAAACGCTTAAGGATATTAAACCTCCTTTACCATCTATTGGACAGGTCAAGAGCTGTCTACAGCACCTAAATCCTAGAAAAGCAACAGGTGATGACAAAATTCCGGCATGGATACTTAAACGTTTTTGCGAAGATCTTGCACCAGTCGTACACAATATAGTCACCACAAGTATAAAACAATGCAAGTACCCCAGCCAATATAAACATGCACTAATAACTCCAGTTGCTAAAGTTAATAATCCAAGCAATGTTGAAAATGACTTCAGACCTATATCTGTCCTTCCTCAAATGGCTAAAGTAATAGACAAACTTCAACTCCATTTGAATAAATCAGATTTCAAAATAAAGACTAACCAACATGCCTTTACTCATGGCCGATCTACTGTATCTGCTCTAATATCTATGACACAAAATTGGTATAATGCAACAGATAATTCTCAATTAGGTAGAAAGGGAGTTCACGTATTATTTATAGATTTTCGAAAGGCGTTTGACATGGTGAATCACAATATATTACTACAAAAATTAGCATCTATGGAAATTAATAAGTCTTTCTGGCAATGGATTCGAAGTTTTTTTGACAGGAAGAACGCAACAAGTCAACCTACAAGGAGCCATGTCATCCATCCAACCTTGCTCTTTGGGCGTGCCACAAGGCGCTGTCATATCACCAGTGCTCTTTAATGTATATATAAATGATTTAAAGGACAATATTCCTAAAGAAATAGATGCTAATACATGTAAATATGCGGATGATTGCACTCAGAACCAGATTGTTGAAAGAGGTGAATGCAGTTCCATGCAAAAAGTAATCGACGAATTACGGAAATGGGCTGATAATAACAGAATGGCTCTGAATCCGAAAAAAAACAAAGGATATGTGGATATGCTTTACGGACTCAATACAAGAACCACCCTCCCTATTTATTGGAGAAGAAGAAATAAAAAGAGTTACTAATTTCAAACTTCTTGGCGTAACATGTCAAAATGATCTTAAATGGAATGAACATGTACACCAAATTACATGCAAGGCAAATAAAAGACTATATCATCTTCGACTTTGTAGGAAGTCTCAATTACCTTCAGATGTTGGATTATTAACATATACATCAAAAATAAGACCAGTATTAGAGTATGCATCGGCAGTCTGGGCAGGATTTCCACATTTTTTACAGCAAGAAATTGAACGTGTACAAAGAAGAAGTTTAAAAATTTTACAACTAGATAAAAACTACTTGCCCTCCTTGAAAAGCAGACGTGAACTAGCAACTACCCAAGAGATCAAAAGGATTATAGAGGAACCTGATCATCCATGCCAATTTTTAGTACCTTATCCTAAAGAAAATTCGCACGAGTTGCGTAAAAGCAAAACTTATAGTATTTTATCTCGGACCAAACGTCATAAACAATCTTTTATTGCTAGATCTTGTAAATATATATATAATAAAGTTAACATGTAATTCTTAGTATACTATGATTAATATATAGAAAATCAATGTAAATTCATCGTACTTTTTAATCTGAAGATGAATAATAAAAACCTTTAATCACTAATCACATAATCACAGTATAATCCGGTCCCTCGACATCCGGTGCGGCGGTGACTCTACTTCCGCTTTGTACCGGATATAAAGCAATATCATGTTCGGAAACAGACGGTAAATCTGAGTACAATCCATCTTTATAAGCAAAGTTGTTCATTCGTTTGGTAATGGTCTCTGTCATGCTGCCTGTTTTCATAAGGTTACGAGGTTCCTATGACAAAATACAGGACAAATCAGAAATCATCAAATGATAAACCCCCATAAATTATGAAATTGGCAAAATGAAACATTAAAGTAAAAACAAATATTTTCTCTAATGGAAGTTTCGTGGAAAGATCTTGCAAAAATTAAAGTAGACACAAGCAAATTTTTTTCTCATCACTTACTAGGTAGATCGCCAAAAAGATCTCTACATTCGTCAGATGATCAGACAGTGCACAAAATCTGTGGGATGTTGTACAACAAAAGAACATCTTATGTTATGGTTTCTGGTGATATCTTCAGAGCATTTTTGAAGTATTGGGCGAAGAAAACGGAAAAACACAAACATAGAAATGCATCGTAGTAAACTAGGTTGTAGTTTATTCGTGTATCATTCTGATACTGTCCAAATTCCCACTAAATCAAGGACGATACGATGGTTGAAAGTATTTTGCTGTGTTGCCCAAGTGACACAACATATATCTCATAATGGAAATATAATTTTCATCTTTATAATAATTTTTATTTCTCTATGATCCTTCATATTTAAAATCGCTTGCTCAAATTTTGGACTGCTACATTTAACGAAGTTTCTATAAAGATGTAGAAACTCCGGGAAAGTTATGGAGAAACTACAATTTGCATGCGTGGCAAGCACGTGCACGAATTGCAATGTTTCCAAGCAATTTTGAGCAATTTCCAAGCAATATTTATCATAAAATAGCTTTTTAAAAACATCATTAAAAAGATAAATTAATCGATCTTTTTTAATAACATTTTGTCTATGTTTTCACCGTCAATTTTACGGTAACAAATGGCGTTAGAGTCATTGATTTGTTTTAAATTTTATGCAGATATTTGTCGATAAAAAATCGATTTAATGAACACTGTCAAAAAACAAGTTTCAGGTATTACCATAGGCGGCCCAATAAATCACTTAAATTGTATAAACAAACGATAACTCTCCCCATTCCATCGAAACAGACCATGTTGCGCAAAATTTGTATTACTTTATATATATATATATATATATATATATACTCAATTATTCGTCGACGCCACCTTGGTCTACCTCTTTATAATCATTAAAGGATTTTGTATGGTAAATATACAACATTAAAATAAAAACCAAAACGCCTGATGCTGATGAATATAAAACAAATGTCATCTGAGTTCCAAAGAGATGAAACAATATTCCCATTAAAGTAGCTCCACCGTCATATCCAATGGCCCAAGTAGTTTCTTGTAAACCTTCAAACAAAAACATTTTATAAGTTGCAGCACTTGAAAGCACTCAGACTTGTTTGGTTATATTTCCATATTTTGATTGTTGCCAAACAACACAACGAAATTTACAGCTATGCAATCTCACATAACGCGTGAAATGACCCAAGAAATATTTTGATTGGTTCAAGGACTTAGTGTCGGTTATGCAGCCCGAGTGAAAAGCAAAACAAACTTTTATTAATTTCTTTCTCATTCAATTTTCATCCACATTCAAACGAGTTTTAAACTGTCTTTCCCTTACCGCGTAAACACATATAAACTCAGGTGAAAGCATAACATCTTGGCAGAGGTTATAGTACAAACTTTATGCATGCGTCAAGTCTCACAAAAATGTTATGAAATTATCAAAATTATCAAAATAAATACAAACAAAGAGAATTTCCTGGACAAACCTATAATCATATTGGAGTTCTCTTTTGATGCAGCTTTTGAGAAATGTACGACAAACGCTGAGTGACAAAATCCATATGCAGTCGCTTGTATCGTGTCGATAGCTATAACCAACCATGCTTTACGAACAAATGCAAGAGCTAGATAGGAACACGCATAGAATAATAGCGAAATACATAATGTTTTCAATTCACCAATGGTTGTGATCAAATGTTTTGAAGAACATACTGATAAAACAAGAATAGGCCTTCGAACTAAAGCCGCCGTTCCCAGTAGCAATGGAGTCGCAGACAGTCTATCCAAGTACCAAAATTCCCAGAACAATTGAAATGACGTGCACATGCCCAGAAAAAGCAACAAAGCAAACATGAAGCCATAATGTACGCTGAGAATATCATTTCGAACTCCTGACCATTTGAACGATCTCGCATCACTGTATTCATATTCAAACCAAGGTAGCGAAAACATCGATAATAAAAGACATATACCACCGACTATAAACGATACAAAATATCCATTTTCTATCGTATCGCAAAATCGTACTTTAGTCAACTTTGCCAATAACGAAGTACTAGCAATAAAGAAGGCTGCGCCAGCGTGGCCCCACATCAAATAATAACCGATTTTTGCTTTACTTTCACGAAGATAAGTCACTATTGCGGAGTTCAACGAGCTTATATTCACAACAGATGAAAGTAAAGTCAATGTTCTAGAAATAGTTAGCAAAAGAAATAAAATGCTTATGATACTTGGTTGACTGCGCCGTAAGTGGGAGTATTTTATTTGGTTTGTTTCACTTGATTTTGACAAGTTTTGCCGTCGATTTAATGACAAACGATTTACATGGGACAACAGAGATATTGACCTTTCAGATTGGTTTTGAGATGATATTGTTTGCGATTGAGTATTATTACCAACACGTCTCAAGTTTAAGGCACGATTTGACAATGAATCTGCAGTATATAGAAGTGAAGAACGCCCTGACGAATTCTGAATTGATTTATTCGTTATATCCGACGATACCACACATTTTGTTTTCAGCGATGGCACAATCAATGACAAAAGAGGTAAAAGACACACGACAAACATCATACAATTGTTAAATACAACCAATACCTTTCTCGCTCGATATTTCTCGCCGAAGTAGAGATAAAACGGGATTGCCAGATAAATAAGTCCGAACATCGTCGTCAATCCTATCTGCCCCGGATTGAAGCCAAGTTGTTTCAAAAATAGATTAAAATACTCAGCATATAATGATTGAAATCCCAAATTGCAGAATGCAAACCATCCCAACATGAAGGATTTTAGTAAAAGCATCGTCACAGAATACAAACAATTAGTAGTGCGAAACACTAGCAGCCCAAGTAGTCACAGCGAGCAGCAGAGCGCAAAATATATTAAAGCTGCTTAATTTGAAATTCAAATACTTTCAGAAAGGCACTATTGGTGATGAATTTCTAAAGAATATAATTTCACCAATGAACTAGTCTCCGAAGGGCTTAGAAACGAAAATATATTCCAAAATGTGCTGCAGTAATTTATTTTTACTAACCCTAAATCCGCCACTAGTGCGGAAAGCTATCGAGCTTAAATTTACTAGTTGAGATCTATAAAGCGACAGTTCACTCCAGGAAATCCATACGCCAGAACTTATAGACTCGTTGCAGTGACGTCACGTACAGTAGCGGATTCAGCGTCAGTCAAAATAAATTATAGCTCCTTAATTTTAAATTCAAAGTATTTCTGCAAAACATTATTGGTTTTGAATTTCTAAAGAGTACAATTTTCCCAGTGGATATGCTTCAAAGACTAAATGAAATGATCTCTTTTTAACGTTACCAAAAGTAATACAAGTGATGTCATGCGGTAGTGTAACAAGCAGGCAAGTTTGGTTGTGTTATAAAAATTTAAGAACATAAGCAAATTTAAATTTGTTGCTTTTGAAACTTAATGTCGTTACATTGATTGAAATATTTAGACTAGCCGACATTGGAAAATATTGGTAGGCAAAGTAAAGATTTTAAGATGATAAAATCACACAGATGAAAGGCTACTCGAAAGATTTCTTTTGGGAGAAACAGACATTATTAAAGTTTCTTCGGCTCGCTCCAGTATTGGTTTGATTTGGAGACAGGCTTCACAAACTTATAAGTAGGTACAGTATCTTACATAATAATACGTTGATCTTAACATGTCACGCAGTTTTTTTCTATGTAAGTTATGTAAACAGAATGATGTAGTAGTTAGTATGTCGAAAACACTTTTTTGAATACCCGAGAATGTTTACTTGCATAAATTGTCATGTCTTCCAATGGAAATGGCAAGATAAAACTTCTAAAATGTTATCTTCAGATTCATGAATAAAGCTCAAACCCTTGAAACAATACAAAGCTCCTGCGCTTGGTGGAAACCGAACTTTAGCTGAGGCGGGTTGGGAGCGATTTATATGTCAATTGCTCAAAAATTTCCGTTACAATAGCCTTGGGAAACTGGGATAGAGACTCCAAGTCATCGATTACGAACAGGTAGAACTAAGACATATTTTTCTACATAAAAAGCGAAGCGCCATGTTTTTTTTCAGGCCAAGCTTCTTTGGCATATTTCTTCTTGGGGGCTTCTTGAGGGAAGGAAGGAGCTAAAGTGTGATCATGTACAGTTCTATCACGTCAGTATAATCCGGTCCCTCGACATCCGGTGCGGCGGTGACTCTACTTCCGCTTTGTACCGGATGTAAAGCATTATCATGTTCGGAAAAAGAAGGTAAATCTGAGTACAATCCATCTTTATAAGCAAAGTTGTTCATTCGTTTGGTAATCGTCTCCGTCATGCTGCCTCTTTTCATAAGGTTACGAGGTTCCTAAGACAAAATACAGGACAAATCAGAAAATCGTTGAATGATAAACCCCCATAAAACATGAAATTGGCAAAATGAAACATCAAAGTAAAAACGAATATTTTCTCTAATGGAAGATTCGTGAAAGATCTTGCAAAAAATTAAAGTAGACACAAGCAAATTTTGGTTTCATCAATTACTAGGTAGATCGCCAAAAAGATCTCTACATTGGTCAGATGATCAGACAGTGCACAAAATCTGTGGGATGTTGTACAACAAAAGAATATCTTATGTTATGGTTTCTGGTGATATCTTCAGAGCATTTTGAAGTATTGGGCGAAGAAAACGGAAAAACACAAACATAGAAATGCATCGTAGTAAACTACGTTGTAGTTTATTCGTGTATCATTCTGATACTGTCCAAATTTCCACTAAATCAAGGACGATACGATGGTTGAAAGTATTTTGCTGTGTTACCCAAGTGACACAACATATATCTCATAATGGAAATATAATTTTCATCTTTATAATAATTTTTATTTCTCTATGATCCTTCATATTTAAAATCGCTTGCTCAAATTTTGACTGTTACATTTAACGAAGTTTCTATAAAGATGTAGAAACTCGCGGGAAAGTTATGGAGAAACTACAATTAGCATGCGTGGCAAGCACGAGCACGAAGTGCAATGTTTACAAGAAATTTTGAGCAATTTCCAAGCAATATTTATCATAAAATAGCTTTTTAAAAACATCATTAAAAAGATAAATTAATCGATCTTTTTTAATAACATTTTGTTTATGTTTTCACCGTCAATTTTACGGTAACAAATGGCGTTAGAGTCATTGATTTGCTTTAAATTTTATGCAGATATTTCTCGTTAAAAAATCGATTTAATGAAGACTGTCTAAAACAAGTTTCAGGTATTACCATAGCGGCCCAATAAGTCACTTAAATTGTACAAACAAACGATTACTCTCCCCATTCCATCGAAACAGACCATGCTGCGCAAAATTTGTATTACTTGATTATATATATATATATATATACTCAATTATTCGTCGACGCCACCTTGGTCTACCTCTTTATAATCATTAAAGGATTTTGTATGGTAAATATACAACATGAAAATAAAAACCAAAACGCCTGATGCTGATGAATATAAAACAAATGTCATCTGAGTTCCAAATAGATGAAACAATATTCCCATTAAAGTAGCACCACCGTCATATCCAACGGCCAAAGTAGTTTCTTGTAAACCTTCAAACAAAAACATTTTATAAGTTGCAGCACTTGAAAGCACTCAGACTTGTTTGGTTATATTTCCATATTTTGATAGTTGCCAAACAACACAGATCGTGACTAAAACACCACACGAGTACATACGAGTACATACGAGTACATACGAATACATACGAGTAATATACGAGTACATACGAGTGACATACGAGTACATACGAGTAACATACAAGTACATACGAGTAACATACGAGTACATACGAGTGACATACGACTATTTTCTGGTCAACAAATGAGAAACAACACAATTTCTTCAATACATTGATATTTGCGTTTATTTTTCCTTGTATTTGTGTGGACTTTGGGGCAACCATTTGATGGATTTAAATGCTGAAAAGGTATTTTAATTTCATACTACATTCATTTGTATGTTTTAGTTGAATTTGTTATAGATATTTTGTCGATGCGATTTGCCAGTATTTGAGCGCTTTTTGACACACTTTCACCTAGGAAATACATATTTATGAAAGCGATTATACATTCATTTTGACTCTGAAGATTATCAAGCATTATTTATACGTTGTTTATTTAATCGCTTCATAAATATGTATTTCCTAGGTGAAAGTGTGTCAAAAAGCGCTCAAATACTGGCAAATCGCATCGACAAAATATCTATAACAAATTCAACTAAAACATACAAATGAATGTAGTATGAAAGTAAAATACCTTTTCAGCATTTAAATCCATCAAATGGTTGCCCCAAAGTCCACACAAATACAAGGAAAAGTAAACGCAAATATCAATGTATTGAAGAAATTGTGTTGTTTCTCATTTGTTGACCAGAAAATAGTCGTATGTCACTCGTATGTACTCGTATGTTACTCGTATGTACTTGTATGTTACTCGTGTGTACTCGTATGTTACTCGTATGTACTCGTATGTTACTCGTATGTACTCGTATGTACTCGTATGTACTCGTGTGGTGTTTTAGTCACGATCAACAACACAACGAAATTTAAAGCTATGCAATCTCACATCACGCGTAAAATGATCCAGGAAATATTTTGATTGGTTAAAGGACTTCGTTTCAGTCATGCAGCCCGAGTGAAAGCAAAACAAACTTTTATTAATATCTCTCTCATTCAATTTTCATCCACATTCAAACGAGTTTTAAACTGTCCTTCCCTTACCGCGTAAACATATAAACTCAGGTGAAAGCCAAACATTTTGGCAGAGGTTATAGTACAAACTTTATGCATGCGTCAAGTCTCACAAAAATGTTATGAAATTATCAAAATTATCAAATTAAACACAAAGAGAATTTCCTGGACAAACCTATAATCATATTGAAGTTCTCTTTTGATGCAGCTTTTGAGAAATGTACGACAAACGCTGAGTGACAAAATCCATATGCTGTCGCTTGTATCGTGTCGATAGCTATAACCAACCATGCTGTACGAACAAATGCAAGAGCTAGATAGGAACACGCATAGAATAATAGCGAAATACATAATGTTTTCAATTCACCAATGGTTGTGATCAAATGTTTTGAAGAACATACTGATAAAACAAGAATAGGCCTTCGAACTAAAGCCGCCGTTCCCAGTAGCAATGGAGTCGCAGACAGTCTATCCAAGTACCAAAATTCCCAGAACAATTGAAATGACGTGCACATGCCCAGAAAAAGCAATAAAGCAAACATGAAGACATAATGTGCGCTGAGAATATCATTTCGAACTCCTGACCATTTGAACGATCTCGCATCACTGTATTCATATTCAAACCAAGGTAGCGAAAACATCGATAATAAAAGACATATTCCACCGACTATAAACGATACAAAATATCCATTTTCAATGGTATCGCAAAATCGTACTTTTGTCAACTTCGCCAATAACGAAGTACTAGCAATAAAGAAGGCTGCGCCAGCGTGGCCCCACATCAAATAATAACCGATCTTTGCTTTACTTTCACGAAGATAGGTCATTAATGCTGAGTTCAACGAGCTTATATTCACAACAGATGAAAGTAAAGTCAATGTTCTAGAAATAGTTAGCAAAAGAAATAAAATGCTTATGATACTTGGTTGACTGCGTCGTAGGTAGGAGTATTTTATTTGGTTGGTTTCACTTGATTTTGACAAGTTTTGCCGTCGATTTAATGACAAACGATTTACATGGGACAACAGAGATATTGACCTTTCAGATTGGTTTTGAGATGATATTGTTTGCGATTTAGTATTATTACCAACACGTCTCAAGTGTAAGGCACGATTTGACAATGAATCTGCAGTATATAGAAGTGAAGAACGCCCTGACGAATTCTGAATTGATTTATTCGTTATATCCGACGATATCACACATTTTGTTTTCAGCGATGGCACAATCAATGACAAAAGAGGTAAAAGACACACGACAAACATCATACAATTGTTAAATACAACCAATACCTTTCTCGCTCGATATTTCTCGCCGAAGTAAAGATAAAACGGGATTACCAGATAAATAAGTCCGAACGATGTCGTCAATCCTATCTGCCCAGGATTGAAACCAAGTTGTTTCAAAAATAGATTAAAATACTCAGCATATAATGATTGAAATCCCAAATTGCAGAATGCAAACCATCCCAACATGAAGGATTTTAGTAAAAGCATCGTCACAGAATACAAACAACCAGTAGTGCGGAACAGTAGCAGATATAGAGGTATTCACAGCCACTGGTGCGGAAAGCTATCGAGCTTAAATTTACTAGTTGAGATCTATAAAGCGACAGTTCACTCCAGTCAATCCATACGCCAGAACTTATAGACTCGTGGCAGTGACGTCACATACAGTAGCGGATTCAGCGTGAGTCAAAATTAAAGCTCCTTAATTTTAAATTCAAAGTAATTTCAGAAAAACACCATTGGTTTTAAAATTCGAACAAGTACAATTTCTCCAATGGATGTGCTTTAAAGACTAAATGAAATGATCTGTTTTTAACGTTACCAAAAGTAATACAAATGATGTCATGCGGTAGTGTAACACAGTGGCGTGGTGGCAGGGGGGGCCAGGGGGGCCAGGGCCCCTAGCTGTTGATTTTGGGGGCGCTGAATTGAATACGAGTCATCAAGTTTTAAAAATTGGCTATAAAAAATTAAAAACGCATTTGAAACAGAACAGTTATTTTCGCAGTTATATATTCAGTGAATGAAGTTAACTTTAGGGAATTAGGAAGAAAGGAAGGAAACCTTGTAAGGGGTCGATTGAAGAATAAGATATTGACGAGCATTCATAATTAGATGTTTCGTTTGTGGCCACAACGTGCATGATTTGTCACATTTGGATATTCATATATTCAGTTTGCCCTTGATTTCTATTGAATTTAACATCGCCAACAAAAGAAATCAACAGCAAGGCAGAGCTGAATATATGAATATTTACACCACCACCCAATTAGCATTCTAGTTTCGCCTATGCATGCACGGCCAAATTGTCCTCTTAAGGGACGCAACAAGGCCTAAAATGTAATTTTTGCCTATCTTAATCAATGTTTTTGCTTCTCTCACAGACTGTAATCGTTACTGGCATTGTATCTTATTATTAATCTAAGCGTAATAATATTTTTAAAAATGACAGTAGTGCAGTCATCGGTAAATTGCTATCATAATGCATGGTCTAACATGAAGTAGCCCTTAATGATACCGCAGCATGTACTGCATTGTTTGTATTGTGTTATTTACATTTTCATCGTTACGATGAATTTGTCATTTTCAGTAGTAAAGCAAGTTATTATACGGTAAAACTTTTTTAAATCACTTAAAGCTTCTTCGTAAATGTTCAAGATTCATTTATCCGCAGTTATCGAATGTGCATAACAGCATATATTTAATTGAAATTAAGATATTTTTTAAACAACAACATTTGAAGACCAATTAAATTAATGTCTCAAAATGCAAAACTCTCATTTTGAGCAGATGTAATACAGATGTAATTCACACAACAAACATTTCATTTGATAATTCCATTTGTGTTGGCAAGTGTATTTTAATATTATTTAATGTACATCATGGATCATGGTGCAATGTTAAAGACTAACTGCAATGTCTAATTTTTTCAACACCACGAAGAGAAAAAAGTCGGGTGCTGAATATCGAAGATTAAAGAAAGCTAGACAAGAAGAATTTTCAAAACTTGGGGAGTTTTGCTTGATTACTTTAAACCTATACAAAATGACCCACCATGCATTTTGTCACAAACAACAGAGGAGTTAGAACTCAGGGAAACGCCGAACATCAGTGAAGACCTTAAACAAGTGCATGCGCAAGAAACATCTGAGTCGACAGATGTAAACGATCAAGATGAGCATACTTTCAAATCAATCAAAAGCAATGATCCTGTTGGTGAATGCGCTGATATTGACAGCTTTGTCAATTCAAATGAACGTAAGGAAGGCGAAGGCATCTCAGAATCTGCTGAAAATGAATTGAATTGAAATATTTCTATTGATACGAAAGAAAACACGTTTGACCCTGGGACAGTTGTTGATCTTTATCTCAGCATTAGCGAAAAAAGGCGTTTACTTAAAATGAATCCATGCCAACCATCCCAGTTTGTTTTGAAACAAAGGAGGATAGTACAAGGAGATTGCACTTGCTATTGCTCCCAACAGGTTTTTTTCCACAATGATGGACAAGACGAAAATGGATTTCCTATTCACTATGTGAAGACAGCTTGTTTTGCATACCATTCATTCTGTTTACAGATGTAACGTCTAGAGGAAAAAATATTCGGTCAAATCAAGGAAAAGCTTTTGCAAACATTGGTTTCTCCAAATGGAAAAAGCAGTATATTAGAATTCTGGAGCATGAAAAATGCAATTCTCATCTAAACGCAAAAGTTGCAGAAGCTCTTTTCCTTCAAGAAAACTCAATATCGGATCAGTTTCATCACCAGGGGAAAATCGAGTCTGAAAGACGTAAAAAGGAAGTTGTTTTAAACAAAACAGTTTTGAAACGTGTGATAGATGTTATTATGTTTCTTGAAAGACAAGGGCTTTCCTTTAGGGGTCACTGTGAATCACTGACAAATTTCTATGTTAATACAGGAAACTTTTTGAAACGCTTAAATTATTGTCAGAGTACGATCAACCAATCAATGAGCATCTTGAGAAAGTTCGTGATTACCAAGTGAAGCAATCGACAAAGGATGGTGGTAAAACTGATGGAAAAGGAATCAAAGGACGTGGCTCATGGTTAACGTTTTGGAGCAACGATATTCAAAATAAGTTAATCAATATCATTGGTGAAGAAATATCTTCTGTAATTGTACAAAAAATACGCAACTGCAAAGCATGGGCATTGATTGCTGATACAACACCCGATATAACTCATACAGAGCAATTGAGTATATGCGTAAGGCTTGTTAATGAAACTGGCGAGTGTTCTGAACACGTTTTGTCATGCCAAAAGCAATTGGAACAACTGCACATGACCTATACACTGCTATTACAACAATATTACAATTGCATGGAGTTTCATTTGAAAAACTTGTTGCCCAAACGTATGAGGGGAGCATCCACTTTGAGCGGATGTTATAATGGTTTGCAGGCAATTATAAAAGAGAAAATCGGAAACCACATCACCTTTCTTCACTGCTATGCGCATACGCTAAATCTCGTCTTATCCAATTCAGCTTGTGTTGCTATTGATGTCATTACTCTTTTTGACTCTCTCGAAAAACTGCACGTTCTCTTTAATAATTTTCATAAAGTACACGAATTGTTTCAATTGGTTCAAAAGAATGAAAACTTCAAAATTTTTTCGATAATACAGTTCGATGGAATGCAAGAGAATTTTGTCCAAACGTATTTCTTTTGAGGTTCGAGTGCATCATGCGAGTGCTCCAAAAAGTAGCTGAGGAAAGATCGTTCACTGAAAGTCAGCGAGCAACAGCAAATGGATTGCAAGCAGCTTTTCAGACAAAGCAATTTGTTGCGACTGCCTGTCTTTCCAAGAAATTTTGGAATTACTGGACCTTTAAGTCGATATCTACAGAGCGTAAATGCTGACTTTGGAAAAGCAATGGATATGGTTGATAGCTCAATTTCTAGAATTCAAATCATACGTGACAAACCAGAAAAATCATTGAAATGTCCGATTCTTTGCGTTAGATGTCGAATGGAGGTCTACACGACCTCGTCGTCGACGACCAATGGACGGAGAACAAGCCAGAGATGATTTGGCAGATTCACCAAAAGCACAATGGAGGCAAGACACATTTTATAAAGTGCTAGATTCCATTCAATCTTCAATGAAGAATCATTTTGAAAAGAATCGACCACTAATGAAATCATTTGCTTTATTCGCACCCAATCAATTTGACGAGCTCTCGAGCAAGTACAAGACATCTCACGATCTTCAATCTGCAGTGAAAGCCTTTTGTGATGTGTATAAGATAGATTCCCAAAGATGCGCTACTGAACTTTTAAGCTTTGCAGAAACATTTAAAAAATTTCACTGTTCTCAGTTTATAACTCAAAGTGACCATGATCATAATGAGCAGAACTTTGAAACTATTGATGATGGTGATGGTGATGATGATGACGAAAATCATTCTGATACTGACATAAGTAAGCATTCGAATAATGCGTCAATTACCGAGAATGTCCTCCGTCATTCTTAGATGCCTTGAAGTTGCTTTGTTTTCCAAAGTACCATTTAGTCGACGCATACCCAACATTATGCAAAGTTTACTCAATTGCAGTGGCCATACCCATTAGCTCAGCAACTGCTGAACGTTCTTTTTCTTCGCTGAAGAGAGTAAAAACGACGATTCGATCTACGATGGTACAGGAACGCCTGGAATCATTGCTTTTAATGGAAGTTGAAAGGGAAACTCTCCTTTCTATCGACAAAGATAGAATCATAACTTTACTTGGGAAAACCTCCCCAACGCTTGCAAAGGCATTAATCTAAATATATTTTTCTATGAAAAACAAATAACGTAACAGACATATAATTGCTTGATAATACTTGGTTTTTAAGTTACTTTCTTTTTTATGAAGATTCATGTTTGTGTTTTATAAAATAAAAATAACTGAAATACTTGAAAATAGCTATAAGAAAAGGTGAAAGGGCGCAAAATTTGTGTTGGCCACCGCAGTAAAAACTATGCCACCACCCCACTGGTGTAACAAGCAGGCAAGTTTGGTTGTGTTATAAAAATTTAAGAACATAAGCAAATTTAAATTTGTTGCTTTTGAAACTTAATGTCGTTACATTGATTGAAATATTTAGACTAGCCGACATTGGAAAATATTGGTAGGCAAAATAAAGATTTTAAGATGATAAAATCACACAGATGGAAGGCTATTCGAAAGATTTCTTTTGGGAGAAACAGGCATTATTAAAGTTTCTTCTTCTGCGCTCCAGTATTGGTTTGATTGAGACAGGCTTCACAAACATATCTAGTAGCTACAGTATCTTACATAATAATACGTTGATCTTAACATGTCAAGCAGTTTTTTTCTATGTAAGTTATGTAAACAGAATGATGTAGTAGTTAGTACGTCGAAAACACTTTTTTTGAATACCCGAGAATGTTTACTTGCATAAATTGTCATATCTTCCAAAGGAAATGGCAAGATAAAACTTGTAAAATGTTATCCTCAGATTCATGAATAAAGCTCAAACCCTTGAAACAATACAAAGCTCTTGCGCTTGGTGGAAACCGATCTTTAGCTGAGGCGAGTTGGGAGCGATTTACATGTCAATTGTTCAAAAATTTCCGTTACAATAACCGTGGGAAACTGGGATAGAGACTCCAAGTCATCGATTACGAACAGGTAGAACGAAGACATATTTTTCTACATAAAAAGCGAAGCGCCATGTTTCTTTCCAGGCCAAGCTTCTTTGGCATATTTCTTCTTGGGGGCTTCTTGAGGGAAAGAAGGAGCTAAAGTGTGATCATGTACAGTTCTATCCACGTCAGTATAATCAGGTCCCTCGACATCCGGTGCGGCGGTGACTCTACTTCCGCTTTGTATCGGATGTAAAGCATTATCATGTTCGGAAACAGACGGTAAGTCTGAGTACAATCCATCTTTATAAGCAAAGTTGTTCATTCGTTTAGTAATCGTCTCTGTCATGCTGCCTGTTTTCATAAGGTTACGAGGTTCCTAGGACAAAATACAGGAGAAATCAGAAAATCGTCCAATTATAAGCCCCCATAAAACATGAAATTGGCAAAATGAAACATCAAAGTAAAAACGAATATTTTCTCTAATGGAAGTTTCGTGGAAAGATCTTTCAAAAAATTAAAGTAAACACAAGCAAATTTTGGTTTCATCAATTACTAGGTAGAGAATAAGCAGAATTTGCTAAAAGGCAAATCGTAATGTAATCGGCTGCAAATTATTTGCACAAATGTACTTATTGATCGAAGTGATTATATCTTTCCAAAACAGATTACTGTGGAAAAGGAGAAAAGTTTAAATCAATATTAACAAGCAGTGAAGATTTAACGCATTTCTTTTTGTAAGTATATTAACACTGGAAAAAAAAAGTAAAAATTATTATTAAATTATGGCGATACGTTTGAGCTTTACGTTAAGAAAGTCAGCACTCCTGTCTATCAAAACTGATCACGTTGAAAACTGGATTACCAAAGCAGGATGCTTGAAAAATGCTGTAGGAGTCTAAAAATTTTGTATAGTAGTAGAAACGCTTTCTTCCTCTTTTCTTATCATATAAAACAATATGGAGCAAAAACAGAAAAGAAAACCAATAACAAACAAAACAAAAAACTAACAACACGTCTTAAATGAAGTATCTACCTTGATTTGAACAATAGTTGTTTGAACCATATTACGAAATTTCCCAACTGAAGGGTCGACATCCTCTGTTGAAGAAAATAAAGATATTTTCAGGATGAAATTATAGTAAATGAATTTTTCTATACGTAGAACGCCATTTATATCATCAAATCTGTTGAATACGTCCGTGTTCAAACACTGTAAAAATATTGTTTAAAGCGGTTAAATGCATCTAAGGTAACCAATTTTTATGGTCAGTATAACCAATCAGTTTTTACAGTGAAATCATGTAAAACTATCTAAATAACCCAATTGCTATGACCTAACATAGAATCTTTGGATAACAACTCCATTGCATATCCTGAACATACTTAACGAACATGCACAGAAAGGCGCTCATTAAAACGGGCTAAAGTACGATGATACAAATGATAATGTACGGGCGAATGCTTGTGCTATACTACTTTCAATTAAGTGATACACGGAATGATTTTCGATAATGTACGGGCGAATGCTTGTGCTATACTACTTTCAATTAAGTGATACACGGAATGATTTTCGATAATGTACGGGCGAATGCTTGTGCTATACTACTTTCAATTAAGTGATACACGGAATGATTTTCGATAATGTACGGGCGAATGCTTGTGCTATACTACTTTCAATTAAGTGATACACGGAATGATTTTCGATAATGTACAGGCGAATGCTTGTGCTATACTACTTTCAATTAAGTGATACACGGAATGATTTTCGATAGTGTACAGGCGAATGCTTGCGCTATACTACTTTCAATTAAGTGATACACGGAATGATTTTCGATAGTGTACAGGCGAATGCTTGCGCTATACTACACGTACTGTCAATTGAGTGATAAAATGGAGGTTTTCGTATTGAAGATGATATACATATAATTGTAACCTGGATTAATGATATCATAGCCATCTTTAAACGAAATACCATGCGATACCCGTCGTCGTTTCAGTTTAGGTAAGGTTGATGTTGATTCTTCGATTGCTATAGATGAAAGTCTTTGTTGTGAGCAGTATTAAAATCTGTCAAATCCTAGAAACAAAGAAAGTAAGAAAAAACTTAGTTTGGTAAATAGCTACACTCCGCGGTTTGAGACAAAAAACTACTTGATGTTTTAAGGAAGTTGAAGCTTGCATACGTTATCAATGAAAGAAGTACTTCAACACCAATAGAAGGTGTCAATAAACTAGCACTCGAGCTGGTTTTCAATGCTTTAATGTAACAGCAAAATGTAAATTCTACAAAATGTAATTCTAATGATCGGATGATCATTACACAGGGGGACAGTTCTAGAAAATGTAATTCTAATGATCAGATGATCACTATACAGGGGGACAGTTCTACGAAATGTAATTCTAATGATCGGATGATCATTATACAGGGGGAACAGTTAGGAAAATATTCCTAAAGTCGTCAGCACGCAAGATTTGCAAAAATTTTTAGTACTAATAGTCAGTTGGACTTTCATCATCTGACAGTAAGAGTGAGTCGCAAATTGTAACATTTTTATAAAATAAAAATTGTGTTACCGTACCGAGAAGCATTTTTGAAATAGCTTGTGCACAATAATGTCACAGCTAAGTGCCATCAGAACACATAAGATTAAAAATAGTAGCGAGAGACTTGCCGAGCGGAAATCGGATTCGTGTAATAAAAATTAATGCCCAACATAAAGTTCTGACTAGAGACATAGAAATAGACCAAAAAAAACAAATTGTAAAATTAAATTTATTGTAACGTTTCGTCTTTACTCAAGACATCTTCAGACAAATAATAAATATAATGTTAAGACAAGATATTATATTTACAAAAAGGTGTTAAATTACTACTAAAGGAGGCGGTGTCAAATCCCCCCTTACAGGCAACCAAGTTTCCCACCATGCGTTATCAAGCATTCTTGCTCACATTAACGCAACTGGACACACCCCCAACTTAGACGACTTTAAAATAATCTCCTCTTCTAACGATTCTTATGAACTCTCCATTCATGAAAGCCTTCTAATCAATAAATACAAGCCTTCACTTAAAGTGCAAGGAAACTCCATTCCACTTAACCTCTTTTAATTTCTCTTTATTTTACTTACTAACTTCCTTATAATATAATCCATTTGACACCGCCTCCTTTAGTAGTAATTTAACACCTTTTTGTAAATATAATATCTTGTCTTAAAATCCTATTTATTATTTGTCTGAAGATGTTTTGAGTAAAGACAAAACGTTACAATAAATTTAATTTTACAATTTGTTTTTTTGGTCTATTTCTATGGATCTAATCAGAACTTTATGTTGGTCATTAATTTTATTACATAGGATTAAATTATGGCACATCTTGCTCATAGTAGCAAAGGTTTGACAAATTCGGCGAATGCGTACGCATACGTTTAACTTTATAAATCGTTTATTGGTTAATAAAACTAAAATGTAACCCGACGGTTAAATTGCGTGTGAATTTACAAATATAAAATATTAAATGAAAAATTACTCTAAAAGATATGTACATTAAGTGAAAACATGTTTGTAAAAAATATTAAAATTACTATATTAAGATTATTTGTGGAAAGAAAGAGTTTTAAATTGTCAATTACGACGGCAAACAATGGTTATATTTCTTATATCGTACATTGTATTCAGTCACATTTTTCACTGGTAGATATTCTTGAAAATGAATGTTACTGGCATTAAAGTGGAAAAACTTCAATGAAAATGAGTGTTACTGAGATTATAGTGGAAAAACTTCATTGAAAGTGAGTGTTACTGAGATTAAAGTGGAAAAACTTCAATGAAAATGAGTGTTACTGAGATTAAAGTGGAAAAACTTCAATGAAAACGAGTGTTACTGAGATTAAAGTGGAAAAACTTCAATGAAAATGAGTGTTACTGGGATTAAAGTGGAAAAACTTCATTGAAAATGAGTGTTACTGAGATTAAAGTGGAAAAACTTCATTGAAAGTGAGTATTACTGAGATTAAAGTGGAAAAACTTCAATGAAAATGAATGTTACTGAGATTAAAGTGGAAAAACTTCAATGAAAGTTTCTCGCGGCGTTCCATAAGTGTATCAATGTTCAAATTCTCTAGGGTTTCGTCATAAGTATAGAGTAAGGCAAAATAATCTTCAATGTAAGCTTTTGGAAACTTTCAATCTCGTCGCTAATATAAGTGGGAATATTATGATGCCAGAAATTAAAATGGCAGGTTATATTATACATTTTGTTTTTAAATTCTTTTTCTTTATAATTCTCAACAATTACGCTTGAATGTGAGCTATTCTATGTAAATTAATGCAAACGTCAATAATTAATAAATGCATGTTTGTAGATGTAGATCGTTCATGTTGGTATAGTCCTGAGAAGGACTGTTTTTGTTGTTGTTGACTGTCGTTTCGACAACCTTAGCGGTTTTCAACCAACCAGGACGATCTACATCTACAAACATGTAACGATACTCCCGGGTTCAAACCATTTACTTAATTAATAAATGCCTTAAAAAAAGAAAAAACGCAGAATAATCTGCAATTTGGATGCCAGGAGTTCGCGTACATTTAGTACGAATTTCCCAGAACTTTGATAGTGTAAACAACATGTGTCATATTCAACCTATGTGTTCCATTTGCTTTTTGGTTACGTCATTTTCAAGAGCAAGCTATTTCAAAAGTGCTTATCGTAAACACAATTCTCAAAAATTTTCATATTATCGAATATTTTATAATCAGATGAACCATTGGAAGTCCAACTACTTATTCCACAAAAGGATCTGCAAATCTTGCGCACTTTAGCGACGTTTTTCAAGTTGTTGAGTTTTTTATACAACTGTATCGAACACAACTATAATCATATTAAACATAAAATATAGCATAATAATAAATTGAAAAATTAGACAAGATGAAAATCCAATGCTGGTGGATTTTTCTAAAGACAGTAACGTTGCGTTACAGGCAACAAACCCCACGACTCCAGGTATACCTTAAAGTTGTAAGATGCATAAAATTTGACTCACCTTGAGATCTGTATCAGATTCAGGTAACCCTAAAAATCCCCCTGAGGTCCCTTCGTTTTCATCATTATCCTCATTGTTCCCAGTCTGTTCACCATTATTTTGAAGCGAGTTTTGTAAAGCGCTGGGTAATGTAGGTTTCTCGCGTAAAGTGTATGTTCGTGTAGATGCACCAAAATGAATAACACTTTCCACAGGAAGCTGTGTTGGTTTCTCACCCTCCAAACGAATGTTTCCAATGAAGGTTCCATGAGCTGAAAACATGATTAAGATCATGTTGATATGATATTGCTACATGTTTGTAGATGTAGATCGTCCAGGTTGGTATAGTCCTGAGAAGGACTGTTTTTGTTGTTGTTGACTGACGTTTCGACAACCTTAGCGGTAGTCATCTTCAGAGTCAAATGAGGAGTAACCGTCAGGTTAGCCGTATTTGTTATCTGGTTCTTACGTCATCGTATTGTGTGTACAGGAAATGTGTGTTGTCGTTGTGAATTAGTGTGAAGTGAAATAATTTTAGTTGTGATGTGCGATTTAGGTGTGATGTTTTTAGTTGTAATGTGTTTTTAGTTAAAACAGTCCTTCTCAGGACTGTACCAACCTGGACGATCTACATTTACAAATATGTAACGATACTCCCGAGTTCAAACCATTTACTTTATGATATTGCTACGAGACTTAGCAACCGTTGTCTGTTCAGTTTAATATAATAACCAGAAGACTTTGAGCAATTTCATTGGTCGAGAGGTATGATCTATAAGAGGACATACCCACGGAATTGACGTCACAGAAATTTTTTTGTTTTTAAATGACAAACGAACGTAGAATTTATTTGAATATTTACTTGAACATATCCCTGAATGGGCAAATAAAGAAATAAAGCATGCCCAGTTGAAGCAGTGGACGTATTTGAGCAAAAAGAAAAGAAAAAACCCGGTTTTCAAACATTGATTTGTACTTCGTCTTCGATAACAACATTTCAACAAAATCGATCAGCCATTGCTTGATTACTTTGTCAGCCAATCACATTTTATCACGTGATTAAGCTAGCCAATAGCATTCCTTCAATCCTATAGATTACGCAAGTGTGATAGACAACGGTTAAATGTTATCTATTTAACAAATAATTCAAATAATTTGGTCATTTGTTTGTCATTTAAAAACAAGAAATTTTCTATAAAGTCAACTCCATACGTCTATGCGATTATGGCTGTCGACCAATGAAATTGCTTAAATTTTTAAAATTAATATACAAAATCATGCAATTTTATTCATATTGCAAATTCTCGTTGATTGATTTAATTGGTCGAGCTCAGGTCGGTTTGCACAGGCGAATGCAAACACAGCTATAGATCAATCAGTGCACATGTTTTATTGTTTGTATTTTATAATTTCCTTCAACAATGCCAGAAAAACACATTTGTATGCTTGTCTTTTAAATACATCATAACAGAGGGCCTCAATTCCTTTATACGTACATAACTCAACGTGTGTGGGGTATAAAAACCTACAGCTGATGGTCCCTATAGTTTGGAGTTCAACACAACTTACTGCTCTTGAGATCAATTAAGAAAGGTCTCTTGAGATGTTTGTGAAAAACTAAAGCTGAATGAACACGAGAACATGATGTATGGTCCAATGGAAAATCACACAGATCTTGTTTCGACCAAATAGATAGTAAGGCTTCTGATCAATAATCAATTTCTAAAACAGCAAAAACAATCATCAATAATTGATTATACATACACAACAGGAAAGTATTTTTGTGCAACAGACTTCGACTCAATAAAGTGGATATTACACAATTTTATAAAATATTTTAAGAAATGAAAATTTATTCAATAACTAAAAAAACTTTCAAATTCTCATGCATAATAATCTCATAGTCTCGTACAAACAAATTCTCAACTTTTAGACTAGATTAATCAAATTAGTTAAGTTTTGAACTCATGCATGCCCTTTTCCGACATTTTAACCATTTCAATGTAGAAAATCCTACCTACAACTCTTTTATGCAACGTATACCGTGAAAATATCAAACTCAATACCATAATATTACAAAGTGGCATTCACAATAACATGTGCATTTTATTTACCTCGACAACAGCGCCATTTTTTGTCACATCCAAATGCAATCCTGCTGAAGGTTTACCTGCCCTGAAATCAACGACCTTTTTAAATAAAATGAAAAGCCTGTAATAACAGAAAACAACAGAAAGAGTACCATTTTGGTGGAGTATATGCGGCTTGTGTTGGCACAATTTTGGCCTTCTTATCGGCCATGATGTCTCACACGAAAGACGTGGACGTCCACGCGGGTTGTCCACGGCTCCACGCGTGACATGCCTTCATAGTTTGACAGTTTTCAAAATAATGAAATAATTTGATAATTTCCTATTTTTCAAAACTCAAAAAAATGACTTAGGCAAAAAAGCTATGGGGCGACTTGAAGTTTTAATATTAATCGATTACAAATTGAAGTATATTGTAAAGTAATAAAATATTGCGGCTACAAGAAAGTCGAAGTTTTGTATGATAGAAACGGGCTTTTGTTAATCGATTGGTCAAAAGCCAGGCTTATCTTTGTAGACTAAAAAAAACAACAACGTGATTGAGTTCAATCCAATAACATGATACCGTTTTCATTGTTTTAAATTTCACCAGGCAATATCAATAAATGCTTATTACTCTTTTGTTGATTATTTGAGGAACGGATCTCTTAAATTTAAATAAATGGAGATTGCTCCCCCTGGTTATGGGTCTGATGTTTTAATGGTTAAGACTAAAATACACACTTGCAAGTAAAAGTTATTTTGGAAAGTTAGAAATTGATTTACTACTTTAGACCAAATGCACAATTTGCAAAATTTCCCCAAAATTTTGCAAAAAGTTACCAAATGTTCGGTTTTATTGCCATTGGCTACTAAGAGGAGAATAATGCAGTTTAAAATAGGGAGAAAGAAGCAGCAATTTTGTAATTTGTTATATTGTCAATCGTCAATGACATATGATGTGACTTAAACTTTAATCTGCTATTCAAAGCGTTTAATTTTATGAAACTCCAAGAAACTTTTAAGAAACTTCAGAAAATTCAAGAAAGTCTTTAAAGACACCAATGAAAATCATTTTCTTATGGTAAAGAGATCTAAAGTGATCTAACCTACAAAATGAAAAGCGTACAACTTGAGCAGAGTACTTAAAATGTTTCATACGTATAAAAAATTACTTAAAGTTAATAATTAATCACTACGCACTGCAAGCTTTCTCAACTAAGAAACTACGTTTAAATTTTCTTACATTGAGTGTTGACATGGCAATAAAAGTTTGTGTTTGGGTACGTGCAGTGGAAGATTACTAATTACGGGCCTGTATGCCAAGATAAATTTGTGGGCTCTATTCCTCCCACTGACTTCAGGTTTTTTTTCTTTTGCATTTCCTTGTGTATTTGAACAGTAGATAGTACGAAAGCCATTTTTCTCTGCATTCAATTGATTGTTAGGTTTTTAACAGTATAAATGATCTAACCTAAACACATTTAGCAAGCCCAGAATAGCAAAACGTCCAAGTCCCAATTATGTCTAGATACAACGGACCTCTCGAAAGCCTGGGCCTGTAGGCTTAAGCCTATTTAGCCTATTGGATAATCCGCCTCTGGGTAAGTGTGTGTGGGGGAGAAGGCGTATAGTAGAAAACATTGCTTTTTAAATTGATAGAGATGTTGTGCTTTCTGAAAAAAGATGTATTACATATGTAGAGGTGCATTGAATAGCCATTAGTCTAACTACATTGCAATTTCTGATTTCTTCAAAGATTGTAGCCTACTTTCTTCATAGGAGAACAAGCTCGAGTATAAAATGTTCATCTCTCCTCTCACTTCCCTTGCATAGTTGATAGTTGTCGTTGGCATGTTACACAATATTTAAAAATTTAAATATTAGGCTGTTACAACTGGTGCTAAAAATACCAGCCGTTTATATTGTTTGGACGAGTCATGTCCAACCATTCATTGTAAAAAATCGGTTTCGTGAGCATGTTGTCAAATTGATTTCACAACATGAAACTCTTTGAAGCAAACTCTATTTTTTCATTTTGGTTAATAATTTACACCTCTGTGCTCTTTTTTAAACTAAAAGTTGAATGCTCCCAGGGAATTTATCGAAAAATACACCAAGGTAAGTTGATTTAAAAAAGTCCAAAGTATTTTGTGAGAATATACGTCAAAGAAACAGAATATAATCTTATTTGCAGGCTTAACTCAGCGACGGATTACTAATTACGGGGCCTGTGGGCTAAGACGAGGTTGTGGGCATTTAAGTGATATCTATTTCTCCTAATTAGTCCAGTCTCTTGAGGACGTTTGCATTCTTATGCTCTTTTGCTTTTGTTTTTCCCGGTTTCTGTTTGTAAATCATACTGTAAACAATAAAGAATAAATTCAAAGTTCAAACGGGGTGATCTCACTACTTTATGAGTTCTATGCATCGTGCATTAAAACAGTAGATCGTAAAGTTTAGAACAGCATATGTGATCGAACTATAAAACATTTAGCTAGTACGGAATGACAAAGAGTAAAAACTATGTCTAAATACAAGTTACAACGGGCCTCTCAGAAAGGCGGGCCTGTAGGCTTCACCATACTTAGCCTACAGTGGCTTAACTACAGATCAAACATTTATAAGCTAACATCTGCCTCTAATAAGCTTAAAAACATCTACAAACTGTTCCATATGACTGTAGATTGTAGAACATAAAAAAAAAAAATTAATATTCGTAAATGCAACATTACCTAAAAAATTTGTAGAGTGAATGCTAAAGAAGCACTTTTACTTTATATAACCATCATTAAAACAAAACTCGAAGCAAGTTCTCACATTTTGAGTGAGATATTTAGGTTTTCAAACTTTCATTGCGGTGGTTCTCGTCACAAATTTTCACATTTAATGCAGAGAAAAACTGCAAACTGTTCAAATTTCAATGCCTGATATCTTTGCTAAGCCTAGGGGCGCGATATTGCACAAATTTCGCTGTTAGAAATTATGTTTAATACCCAGGACCAGAATTCAGAAAGCTTTTGTGCTTCTATGAAAGATATGTAATACACAGCTGAGGCTATTTTACGTACCAGTAGGGACAGCATTGGAATTGTCACAATATGTCAATTTTTTTATACATCACGTATGTATGCAAACATCTAATTTTTTGAAATCCATTTTATGTTGTTTCATATATTGCTGTATATTGATTTAAAATGTGAGGATAAAATTCAAAAAATGCAAAGTTATTTTTTAATTATGACAATACTAAGATTTTCAAATTGAATGCATTTACATTTATGACGTCATGGGTTGCAATACAATGGCATTAATAGTATAGCAAAATTAGTAAATTTCAAAAACTAATTTATGTACTTAAACTTTGAGCAAGTCACAACTGGCACAAAAGTCATTCATAAGAGCCATATATTTTTTTCTGGCTTGAAATCCAGAAGCATTTTGTGCTTGTATAGTTGCCATGGTGGCTGAGAAGTTTTCCTCTTAAAGGCTTTTTAATTAACTTACACCAGCATGTGAAAGCACCAGATCTTTCGCGAGCACGCTAGCTTGTCAGAATTTAAACATCTGCTTCAAAGTTGACATAAGGTATTTGAAAACTTTAACTTTAATAAAACGTCACACTTTTTATAAAAGGTTTTTAATAAGACGTGTATTTTGCATGCGACCAGCTAGCAGTATAGAAACGATCTTTGGATAGTACAGCTTAAATTTGATGCAAGATAAAACCTTCAGTTAGCGGTAGTTTGAACTTACCCAAAGTTTGTTCTTTTGAATAAAAGCATATATTTTACCTGTACGACGTTAAGAAATAAAGCATCAAAATGTGCTGTAAAAAATACTATTGAATTGATGCAAAACCATCCACCGATAAATCTAGGGGTATCTCTACCTTCTGAAGACATCTTGTCCAGTCACACAGTTGAGGCTTATACAGGAGAGTTACAATGCTCAATGTGGTGTTCAAGGACGACAGGCTGTGCTGGTTTTTATTTTGTTGCCGATGGTTCTGAATACTTTCACAATTGCCAACTGACTAAGGAAAGCGAGAAAAGCGACGAAGACAAAGCTAATAGAGGAATTTGGACTCTTTTTTCTAAAATAAAAATGAAGGTGAGGATGTGAAACGAATGATTACATGAAGAAATTTCTCTGCACTTTTTTACAATTGTGTACTGCAAAATCCTTTGAGGTCCCTAACTTAGTGCTCAAACATTAGCGCAATGTCCCGAATTTCTGGCCATGTGTTTTTATAAGTGTTTGCATGCGGTTGATGTAAAAGATTGTATTAAATATTCTTGTTGATTTAAAGAGCGTAAGTGACCTTTACCCAGCAAAGGATTGTCATGAGCTTTACAAGAAAGGTGAAAGAACAAGTGGCGTTTACAATATTGATCCAGATAGCCAGGGCAATTTCAGTGTTTTCTGTGAAATGACAAGATCTGATGGTGGTTGGACTGTGTTTCAACGTCGTCAAGATGGAAGTGTAGACTTTTATCGAGATTGGAAGGATTATAAGAATGGTTTTGGTGATCTGAAAGGCGAATTCTGGCTTGGATTAGATAAAATACACCGACTGACAACAGCAATGCAAACTAAACTTCGTATATTTATCAAGGGTTTGCCAACACTTTTAGCTCCTCATCCTGAACACACTGTTGAGTACGACAACTTCGTCGTCAAGAATGAAATCATGAAGTATGAATTGAGTATTGGACGATTCTCAGGTAATGTAAAAGTAAACAAGACGTATAATTAGCCAGATGATCGTTTGTACGTGAAGCATAACGGAGCCAGTAAATGCAATACTGTATTATTGTAGTGTTTTACGAACGCAATACTAAATTTTTGTGTGGTTATACATCTATGTATTCATGAAGTTATAGATCTAGTTTACGATAAACAAAGACCAAATGATCCTAGCATTTAATCCCTCAAAATAGTGGCTATTAATTTTTCATTTTTGCAAAAATATTTCTATGATAATTAAGAATCGAATTTTGAAATAAGTTCGTGTCACCGCCCCCTCCCTTCTTTCCGTTTCACAAAGGTGACAATGAAGTTTCTTACTCTAAAGACACAGATAAAAGAAAAAATATTTCTCCCGTACGCCTTTTCAGTTTCACGAAAGTGAAAATTTATTCTCTTTCCGCATGCAGTGCCCAAATACTGTTCCTTTATGCATAAATAAATCGAAGACTCATGTTTTCATAGTTTCATGAAATGTATTCGTATTTCGTAAAGCTTTGCATAAACACATGAGCAGTTGCATGTAGTTGTACAAACTTATTCATGTTGTACTTTCAATACGGCACTCTACACCTCATCGTTCCCTTCCCGCCATGAAATAACTTTTGCGTAAATATTTTTGCAATTTAGGTTCAACCCAGGATTCACTTAGTCATCATAATGGCATGGCGTTTTCGACAAAAGATTCAGACAACGACGCAACTTTTCTTTTTAACTGCGCAGTAAAGAGCAGAGGTGCTTGGTGGTATAGAGGCTGTTATCAGTCAAACCTGAATGGCTACTATAAACAAAATCCACTCGGCGTCGCCCTTCTCGATAACTGGGACGGTATGGCTTGGTTTGTTTTACTCGGAAACTCTTATTCCATAACATATACTGAGATGAAATTAAAACCGTACAACTGAATCGTGTGCATGGGATTTTAAAAATCGTATTTCATGATAAAGAAACGTTATGAAGACATAAGATTTTGCTGTTTAGCTTGGGAAATCATTTACTTAGGAAGGAGTAATTAGGAAGATAATCATTACTATAAAATGTATATATGTATTTGTAAAAGATATGTAGTCGTATAAATTGGTCTTTATTGCCAATAATAGTCGCTCTAAAAAGAAAGTCGTAGATTGTAAACCACGTTTAAGAAGTATTAAACCATTTTAAAACAATGTAGACCAAGTATTAAACCATTTTAAAACAATGTAGACCAAGTATTAAACCATTTTAAAACAATGTAGACCAAGTATTAAACCATTTTAAAACAATGTAGACCAAGTATTAAACCATTTTAAAACAATGTAGACCAAGTATTAAATCATTTTGAAGACCCGTTCACACGATCCGATTTTTCGGATTCGATGTTGTCGGATCCTACAAAACGGATCTTTTGAACACATATAAAGTGAGCCTCCAACAGTCGGATCCGTCATTCTGAGGGGCTGATTACACGAGCCCGGGTAGCCGGGATTCAGTCAAGCGTTAAATGATTTTGACGAATGGAAACGATTCAACAACTAATTTGGCCTAATTTGAAAATTACAACAGCAATGACTTGTGGCGCTAAACAAACAGTTGTAATTTTCAACCTTGAAGTTTTGGCCTCTTTCAATCCCTCGAAATCACTTCACCCTCACTGAATGCCAGCTAGCCGGGATCATGTAAACAGCCCCTAAAAAATCAGGTGGAAACAGAACTTGCTCTATTTTCATACGACAAGATCAAAGGAAGCGGACTAGTCAAATTACATAGATTTGAAAAAGACTTGGAAACGAGAACAAAAATACGCAAAATATATCGATAAATGTACTGGATAACACAAATGGCTGCTTTTAAGACTATAAATATCTAAATGAATATATATATTAACAAAATGATCTGACCGTCTGAACAAGCAACCAAAAGTTGGAACCAAAACAATCGGATCCGATAAATCGAATCGTGTGATTATCCCGAACGTTTATTTTATTACATCAACCAAATCACTTTGGATTTATACAATCTGTTCGATTTATAAATTTGGATTTATACAATACATAGACAAACTTTTTGCTAGTTTTCTTTTTTTGCTTTGTACATTTTAAAGAAAGTGCAACGATAGATTAACAGTCGAAGAATTGACCTTAATATACCAAAGAGGTTCACACAGAGCAGAATGTATTTTTATGTTTAATATTGGCTGAAATTCTCGAAAATATTGTTTCCATAAAAGTACCATGTTTTAGTTTTAATCGTCGTTCTCCTTACAATCTTCTATGTACGTATGTCCTTGTTAATTTTTCGTTTGCTTCGAGAATGTCTTCCTCAAGTCAATCGAGCGACTTTATCACAAGCACAAACAGGCAAAAAGCAACAAGTTTTAAAATCCGAAAGAAGAAAATCAAGCAAAACCATGTAGCAATGAAATTTGAGCGAGATCCTAGAAAACAAGCGCATTTATTTCATAGACTAAAAACCACAAACATTAGTCATACACGATAATGAAACAAGCGTAAAGTGAACATTTACCATGTATAATGACTGATAGAGGGGAAATTTGACACCAATTCGCGGAAGCACTGGATGGGAAGGTATGATCATTGAACTAAAATACACGGAACGCATATAATTGAAGCCATATCTTACGCCAGACACGCGAGATTTTACCCCAGACACGCGTGTGTAATGTTTCGAGATTCACTCGCGGAGTAATAATTGAATGACTACACACGCGTGTCTGGGGTAAAATCTCGCGTGTGTGGAGTAAAATCACGGCTTCAAAAAATTATTAGGGTTTTGTATAACAGGTAGCGTTCCATGCATTTTAGTTCAATGGTTATGATAGGTCACCACTGACATGAGTTACGGGCAAGGTTGCATGTAAAAACGTACCAATGAATAGTTACGTAAATTAATATTAATTCTACAACTTCCTAAAGCAAGTGTAAAATGAAGAAATTATCATTCATTATCTTCATTCATTGCCAGATCGACACACCAAACACCGTGAAAACCATTACATCATCACAGCATATTACCAACACTGATCTCTGTTATAGTGGATGAAACAATGCTGTCGTTTAACCGATCGTGTTTGTCAATACTGTCATGTGACGTGTCAGTCTCATCTTCGTGGAAATTTGCAGACAGAACTAAAGAGAATAATGGACAAATAGTAATTTATGTAACGAACAACAGTCCTAAAAATTATAGTAAGTTAAATGAGGCTTTTAAAACTGTAGTACGTACAGTGAGCTTGAAGTATGATATGTGACGAAACAAGGAGGTTGACTACATTATAGATTACAACATACTGTAGTACGTACAGTGAGCTTGGAGTATGATATGCGACGAAACAAGGAGGTTGACTACATTATAGATTACAACATACTGTAGTACGTACAGTGAGCTTGGAGTATGATATGCAACGAAACAAGGAGGTTGACTACATTATAGATTACAACATACTGTAGTACGTACAGTGAGCTTGGAGTATGATATGTGACGAAACAAGGAGGTTCACTACAATATAGATTACAACAAACTGTAGTACGTACAGTGAGCTTGGAGTATGATATGTGACGAAACAAGGAGGTTCACTACAATATAGATTACAACAAACTGTAGTACGTACAGTGAGCTTGGAGTATGATATGTGACGAAACAAGGAGGTTCACTACATTATAGATTACAACAAACTGTAGTACGTACAGTGAGCTTGGAGTATGATATGTGACGAAACAAGGAGGTTCACTACATTATAGATTACAACATACTGTAGTACGTACAGTGAGCTTGGAGTATGATATGTGACGAAACAAGGAGGTTGACTACAATATAGATTACAACATACTGTAGTACGTACAGTGAGCTTGGAGTATGATATGTGACGAAACAAGGAGGTTCACTACATTATAGATTACAACATACTGTAGTACGTACAGTGAGCTTGGAGTATGATATGTGACGAAACAAGGAGGTTGACTACATTATAGATTACAACATACTGTAGTACGTACAGTGAGCTTGGAGTATGATATGTGACGAAACAAGGAGGTTGACTACATTATAGATTACAACATACTGTAGTACGTACAGTGAGCTTGGAGTATGATATGTGACGAAACAAGGAGGTTGACTACATTATAGATTACAACATACTGTAGTACGTACAGTGAGCTTGGAGTATGATATGTGACGAAACAAGGAGGTTGACTACATTATAGATTACAACAAACTGTAGTACGTACAGTGAGCTTGGAGTATGATATGTGACGAAACAAGGAGGTTCACTACATTATAGATTACAACAAACTGTAGTACGTACAGTGAGCTTGGAGTATGATATGTGACGAAACAAGGAGGTTCACTACATTATAGATTACAACATACTGTAGTACGTACAGTGAGCTTGGAGTATGATATGTGACGAAACAAGGAGGTTCACTACATTATAGATTACAACAAACTGTAGTACGTACAGTGAGCTTGGAGTATGATATGTGACGAAACAAGGAGGTTGACTACATTATAGATTACAACATACTGTAGTACGTACAGTGAGCTTGGAGTATGATATGTGACGAAACAAGGAGGTTCACTACATTATAGATTACAACATACTGTAGTACGTACAGTGAGCTTGGAGTATGATATGTGACGAAACAAGGAGGTTGACTACAATATAGATTACAACATACTGTAGTACGTACAGTGAGCTTGGAGTATGATATGTGACGAAACAAGGAGGTTCACTACATTATAGATTACAACAAACTGTAGTACGTACAGTGAGCTTGGAGTATGATATGTGACGAAACAAGGAGGTTGACTACATTATAGATTACAACAAACTGTAGTACGTACAGTGAGCTTGGAGTATGATATGCGACGAAACAAGGAGGTTCACTACATTATAGATTACAACAAACTGTAGTACGTACAGTGAGCTTGGAGTATGATATGTGACGAAACAAGGAGGTTCACTACATTATAGATTACAACATACTGTAGTACGTACAGTGAGCTTGGAGTATGATATGTGACGAAACAAGGAGGTTCACTACATTATAGATTACAACAAACTGTAGTACGTACAGTGAGCTTGGAGTATGATATGCGACGAAACAAGGAGGTTCACTACATTATAGATTACAACAAACTGTAGTACGTACAGTGAGCTTGGAGTATGATATGTGACGAAACAAGGAGGTTCACTACATTATAGATTACAACATACTGTAGTACGTACAGTGAGCTTGGAGTATGATATGCAACGAAACAAGGAGGTTGACTACATTATAGATTACAACATACTGTAGTACGTACAGTGAGCTTGGAGTATGATATGTGACGAAACAAGGAGGTTGACTACATTATAGATTACAACATACTGTAGTACGTACAGTGAACTTGGAGTATGATATGTGACGAAACAAGGAGGTTCACTACATTATAGATTACAACATACTGTAGTACGTACAGTGAGCTTGGAGTATGATATGTGACGAAACAAGGAGGTTCACTACATTATAGATTACAACATACTGTAGTACGTACAGTGAGCTTGGAGTATGATATGTGACGAAACAAGGAGGTTCACTACATTATAGATTACAACAAACTGTAGTACGTACAGTGAGCTTGGAGTATGATATGTGACGAAACAATGAGGTTGACTACATTATAGATTACAACATACCTTGTTCTCTTATACTTTCGGGAATTTCATTCTGTTTAACGCTCTTGACGATCTTTATAGCTGAGTCTACGGTATCGATGGTCTGCGTTATCTCCTGATACGCTTGTTTACTGTCAGATGCATCAAAATTAGCATCAATATCAGTTGATGACGACACTTCCGTTTGAGTGTCGTCACCTTCTGTTCCAATTGTGGCATATACATAAGCCACGTTGTCAGTTGAAATAAATCTTGATACGGAGCTATAACCGGATGTGACAAGAGATACAGATTGTGATGTCATATCATTTTCGTTCCCAGGCTCCTGCATTATATTACTCGGAGGGGTCTCTGTAATCACCACGGGAACGCCCTGTATAGGTAAAACGTTTTAGATACTTAGGTAAAACGTTTTAGATACTTAGGTAAAACGTTTTAGATACTTAGGAAAAACGTTTTAGATACTTAGGTAAAACGTTTTAGATACTTAGGTAAAACGTTTTAGATACTTAGGTAAAACGTTTTAGATACTTAGGTAAAAACTTTCACTGACTTACGAAAAATGACAAAACATGCAATGAAGATTCTATTGTTTTTCAGAACTTACGGGTACTCTAAAATTCTTCTTTAATCACAATGGCAAATTGCTATTTTCATGACAATGTTTAGATTTGTCACTTCGACAAAGCCTCTGTTTTATTATAGATAAAAATATTGTGATGTATAATACAAATATAGTAGGAAAGAAGTACAACAAAGGCAATGTATGACGTTTTCTGGTGGAATGATAGAAAACTTTCAAAATTGTTTCACATTTCATGGTACCAGTGACGTAACCAGCTCGCAAATTTTAGTCCTACAGACAGTTTTAGTCCTGCAGACAGTTTTAGTCCTGTAGCAAGCCCGCAAGTTTCAGTCCTGCAGACAGTTTTAGTCTTGAAGCAATCCCACAAGTTTCAGTCCTACAGACAGTTTTAGTCCTGCAGACAGCTTTAGTCCTGTAGCAAGCCCGCAAGTTTTAGTCCTGCAGACAGTTTTTGTCCTGTAGCAATCCCGCAAAGTTTTAGTCCTGCAGACAGTTTTAGTCGTGTAGCAAGCCCGCAAGTTTCAGTCCTGCAGACAGTTTTGTCTTGAAGCAAGCCCACAAGTTTCAGCCCTGCAGACAGTTTTACGTAGTCATGTAGATAGCCCGTAGGTTTTAGTCCAAGCCAGCGCTCTAGTTTTGGTCCTGCTATGTATGCAAATTTCAGATGATAATAATTATTAATTTCTTTGGAAATCTATTCTTTTCATTCAAAGTGAACACAGAAAAATTAACATAGAAGGACTAAATATGCGGGATGGCTACATCAGCGTGAGTAGCATATAAATATCAGTTGTGCTAATGCTCTAGTAAAAACCAAAAATATGTAGTAAGAAATAATAAGAAACAATTTTATAACTCTACAAACCTGCATTTTTTACAAGAATCTATAAAAAACAATTACGTCATTTTACAAACCTGAAGTTGGCTATCAGTTGTTATGGTAACAGGTATGGTGATGTGACCAGTTGTTACATCAGACATATCACTCAGTGACGAATTTATAGCTTGCATTGCCGCTACTGCTGACGTATCGTCTGATGACATCACCATGGAATATGTACGTCCATTATCAGTGCTCGTGAACTCAAGACGAGGTCGTTTTAAATCAGGATCATCAGAACTCGATACATAAGTTTCGTGACCTGAAATAGAAGAGCAAAACTGAAATCAAGCAATTTAAAAACATGGCCAGAAAGTAATAACGGTATTATAGTAGTTAGTGCCCAGTGACCCCTTAAAAATAAAAAACATGGCCAGAAAGTACGTGATAACGGTATAACGGTATTATAGTAGTGAGTCCCGCCGTCTCAAAATATAACGGTACTAAGGGAAGTGAGTGGACAGTAAGTCCCCCCCCCCTCTTACAAAAAACAACCTCCAGCATTCATCTATAGTTAATGATGAATATACGTGCGTTGAATATAATTCTACCGACAGCAATGCGAACGGCAACGTTGATGTAAATACGTGTACGCATGCGCCGATTAAAATAGTGCCGTTCTGGCTAAGCGTGCTCGACGCCATTCTCTTTAATTTGCGTTGTGCGAGAACGGCATTAATAAATTGCACAAACAATCGAAGTCTTCTGAAAGAACAACATCAAGGTAAACTGTTTTGATTTTAGACTAGTTATTTATTACTATTTTGCAAGTATTGAGGCTTTAAAATATCATGTTAAGTCAAAGCTTCACTTGCTTTTGTATTTCTGTTTATATTTTTATTATGTCTTTGAAGGATGAATTATTTAACTGCAATATACTTCGAGGTTACATTGTTTTGCTAAGAAATCGTATTTTTCTGTTCAATTAGTGTTCCTATGAAATGGACTGAGCTGCATGATCAGATATTTGTACGAGAAATTTTGTTGATTCAACCATGGAGCAGTAAGAAAGCATCTCCTGAAAGAGGAGAAGCATGGATGAAGATAGCTACTTCATTGAATTCTTTAGAAACACCAACGTTTCGTGTAACTCAAAGGTCTGTACGTGATCGATATGCTGTGCTTTAAAAGAAACATAAGAAGATTCATGATGAAAATCTTGCAAGTGGAAATCATGCCAGGAGAATGAAGTAGATCTTGGCATGGATGAAATTATCACATTGTTTCATGAAGCTGATATGGAGCATGAAAGAGCATTAAAGGAAAAGAAAAGAAAAGATGAAGCCAGTCAGGCAGCTGAAATGAGACAGCAATCCCTTGAATCGTTTGGTGAAACTCCCAAGAGATCCGAGTTAACTGATTCTGAGGTAAAACTGCCAAAAGAAAACGCAGTAGTAGTTCTGACATGGTTTTGTATTTAAGAGAAAAAAGTGAGAGAGAGGCTGAGTTGAAGAAGAAGGAATTGGAAATAATGCAGCAGCAAACTGCCAAAGATTGTGAATTAAAAGAAAATGACATGAAACTTAGAAAAGAAGCAATGGAAGTAGCCCAAAATCAAAATAATTCTGTGCTGAATCAGCTTATCGAATTGCAAAGGACTCAACAACAGCAATTCATGCAGTTGATGAGGCACCAGCAGGAGCAAAGTTCATGCATGATGGCCCTTTTGAATAAGTTAACTTCTTGAAAATGAACAATGACATAGACTATTACCAGAGAACAGCCTCCTCTTTTTGTTTATGCTGTGATGATAACAGATCAAAGTAAACTTGTTTACAAATCCCAATTGTTTCAGTTTTTTAAAGTAAATATGTAAAAAAGTATATGCAGTTTCATGCTGTCTTTCATATTTTACAACTATTGTGCAAATGTTTAAATTTTTGCATTTAAATCTATTTATTAATGTTCTGTTTTGAAAAAATTTCTTATGAACAATGGCCTTTTTTTAATCATTTACATGAAGTAATTGTGTATAGTGGGTGGGTCAATGCCAAAGTATTTTGCTGTTGTTGTGCCATACAGGCATGCCTTTGCATTTTCTATAAGAGCACCCAACTGCACTCAAACGTACTTTCAAATTTTTTTTAAAGTCCAAAAATTTGAAGTAATTTACAATGCCACCAAACAACCATTCAACAGCTATTCTCACTTGACTCATAGATTTGTTCCATTGTTTTTGTTGTTCTGTAACTACAGCTCCTCGGAAAGGGCCCTGTAATTGTGGTCTGAGAGGGTATGCAGGATCAACATATATGCATAAAATATCCCTTGCATGTTTAATAAACATTGCTGTAACATGTTGAGAATACCAGATTGGGAAAGCATTGCACTATCATGCCTTTTTCCTTCGACTGGACCATAAAGAATACATATATGTTAATCCTAGGATTAACATATATATATTCTCTGATGATGGCTTTCGAATAAAGTCGAAACACGGTGCCATCCAGTAAACTGCTATAGTGGCGAGAATCTCTCGTCCATACGCAGTTGAAAAGAGATTTGACTCGTCTCCAATCCCTGTGGGCTTGGTAGCTCAACAGGTAGAGCGGCGGACTAGTATCCCGAAGGTGCGAGTTCAAATCTCGTCCAAGTCACATGTTTTTTATGTGCATTTTAAAACTGTGTTAGGATTAATATATATGTATTCTCTGATGATGGCTTTGGAATAAAATGGACCATAAAGATTAGCTAGCATGCATGATGGTGTTGCAATGGATTGAAACTTAATGGCATGAACTTTCTTGCGTTCATTTTAAAGTGTACGTTGCTATCGACCTGGTCGTGCAACAGGACGAGCAGTCCCGTCGATGAACTCCCAGCAATTGTTAAGAGCTGTACCCTTTTAATGTATAACTGTGGCAAACTCCTCTAAATTTTCTGGTTGCAACCATGCCTGGTTAAGATCAGTGAGCAAATGATGCCATCATTCATGAATTACGTTCAGAACTTGATTCGATATCATGCACAACTGAGGTTAAGGTCTTGCAAATCTATGAATCTTATCAACATATGTGCACGGATAAGCAAACCTCTTTAAAAAAATACATATAGCCCCTCAATGTTGTCTACTTTTAGTCCATTATAGCATTTTATTTCCCCAGGCAATTCCAATATTTCAGCAAGGTTGTAAATATCATTTCGGAAGAAGCGAAATTCTGCTACACATTCATCAACTGTCATTCGATCTAAATCGAAGTCTTCATGACGCCAAAACGGTATCCTAGGGCTTTTGGGCTTAGGGCCTGTTTATATGGAGCCGAGTTACCCGGCTGAGCGAGTTACTCGCGAGTTACTCGTCGCATAAAATGTATGTATTTCCCGGTGAATCGTTTGTATGACACATCCGAGTAACTCGCCTTGCCGGGTAACTCGGTTTGTGTAAGCGTGTTACCCGGCTAGGCGGGATGAATTTTTCCATCTAAACGCATTTGCCGGGTAACTCGGCGAGGCGAGAAACTTGGCTATGTTGGTACGCATGCGTACTAAGCCTTGTACTTGCACCATTATTATTCAAAAACATACACATATCATAATTTTCAATTTTATATTCACCCATTCCATTTTTGCTGCGAAACTGTGAGGCTTTTTAAAATCTCGCGCCTTTACTCGAAGTTAGCATTGCGAAACTTCATTTAAGACAAATGAACGGAAGTACTAGCCGAGTTACCCGATGCCATATAAACAGATCACTTTTTCAAACCCGGTTGAGCGAGTAACTCGCTCAGCCGGGTAACGCGGCTCCATATAAAGAGGCCCTTAGTTACATCGTATAGCAGAGCAAATTCTTCATCATCTATTGCGTTCAAAGCATGAGCGAAAACAGTAATTTCCCTAAGACTCGGCATATTAAAATTTAATGAATCTTTATTTACACACAAAAGTCTTAGCACATGCAACCGTAAGGTTAAATTTAAGCGGGAAACGGCAAAGTCAACCGCGCGACCGTTCCAGTCCCCTAGAGTTGCCGTTGCCTTTGCAGGCGCTTAATCGTAAGGTCTCTGGCTTACGTAGCTAGCCTAAATGCAGTAAATAAGTATAGCTATAATGTTGATGTTAATGTTAGCGTCAGTGTAGATGTGGTAAGTAAAAGAGTATGTTTTGACATGCGCAATGCTTTAAATAAACATAAGTAGACTCTCACCGTCTGCCATTGTGACACCAGATAAATCACCATGTGTTGTTCTCTTATGTAAAGCCAATGTAGACGCCTGTCTGTACGTTTTATCACATATATTACACGTGTATGGTTTATTATGAGTATGAACCACGTGATGTTTATACAGACTGGAGTACTCCGTGAAGCTTTTTTTACAACCATCAACTTGACAAACGTACGGTCTTTCACCTAAACCATCGTAAATATCGTTTACAATACAGCTATCATCGTGCCTCTATAAATCTCGTGGATCACCACATTGACCTCGAAGTTAATTAAATTTTCGTGTATAAATAATTGCGCATAAGCGATGATTTATTCGATATCCTAGTCAATGTTGTTATCAGAATAAATTCTAATCTGAGAAAACGATGTTATAACAAGAACTTGATCAATTCCATGTTGAACTTAAAAAAGGCAAACATTTATAGCTTCCAACTTATGACTCGATAAAACTTGCTTCGTCGACCATAGTCGCAATGTAAGCAACAAAAGTATATGTAAATAAGCAAGTGACGCACAAGTTCACCGTCGACGATAGAAATAATTTGTGGTTTTTCTTTTGAAAGAACACATTGTCAAATAATTCCATCAATTCAGAAATTTTACGGTATGATTTTGACAACGTTTTTTCATTCCGAGATAGACTTTTTTCATCCTCTCACCTGATACATTAAAATAACATTGCAGTAATTTTGGATCCTGCTACATTTTGCCCCCCCTCCGTCTCTCAAATTAAAACAGGTTGGCTAGAGCCAGATGGAAGAAACCTTTAATAGAACGTACCTGTATGTATTCTTGTGTGATTCTTATAGTTTGTAGCACTTGCAAACGACTTCTTACATCCTTCATATTCACAAACATAAGGTCTCTCTCCAGTATGTGTTCGCATGTGAACCTTTCGTATGTTGGATGTCGTGAAAGAACGATTACAAGATTCGTAAAGACATTTGAAAGGTCTTTCACCTGAAGAGAGAACTCCGGGTTAGATAAAGATGAAAAATTCCTACCATTCATGCTAATGTACTACACACAATCATAAATACGAGAAAACGTAGCTTCTTTACTGTTGTTTTATATTGTTTAAACAAATGCATTCTCTTCCCTACGAAAACATCGGAGATTGCTCAGTCTTACCTGTGTGTGTTCTAATGTGTTTCTGTAAATCTCCAGACGTTTTAAATGCTTTATTGCACTGAGGTTCAGGACAACTGTATGGCTTTTCGCCAGTATGTGTTCTTGTATGACTTTTTAAGCCATATCCTGTGGCAAACGCTTTGTTACAATGAGGGTAGGTACACTTATAAGGTTTTTCTCCACTATGAGATCTCTCATGAACCTGGATGGGGAAAAAAGGAAATCTTTGAACAATATGTCTTATCACATTCTGTGAACATCGTCACACAAATAATGTTTAGTCACACTCTGAAAGAGTGTAGCTGCACTGTTGAAAAGCTATAACTGTACTGTAGAACAGTGTAATTTCGCCGTTAAATGCGGTTTATTGACTGGCTGAAAAGCAGTTAAAGCCGATCAAACTTCTTTTCAATTGAAAAACAAACATGGCGATCTTTTAAAATTCAAGAATAACAAATAGAAGTAAAAACACGCGCACTTCGTGTTTGCCACGCAACTTCTCGTTTCACCCAACTTTCTCTCGTGTTTCTATAGAAACTCGGAAAATGCTTTCTGTTTCTTAATATTGTATAGCTTCTCGTGCAATTACGGCGAAACATGCACTCGTAAGTTTTTTATATGCTGCAAACATGCAAATATTATTACCTTGAGGTGATGAGCTGTAGTATAAACTTTTCCACATCCATTATGTTGACATTGGAACGGCTTCATTCCCGAATGTGTTTTGATGTGTTTATTGAGATCACTTTGAGTGATAAAAGCTTTATCACATCCTTGTGAGTCACATTCAAACATATCTCCTGTGTGACTGCGAATGTGAGCCTTGAGACGGTACGGAGTCGAGAATTGTTTTGAACAACCAACAACTGCGCAAGGAAACGACTTTTTTATCAACGAGCCGCTGTCCTGAAAGTATAACAAATATTCTACATACACTATGCTGCGATCAGATTGATTGAGTAAATTAGCAGAATTCTTTTCAAATGCAACACAAACACGCAAACATAAACATTGAAAATTTCTGGGAATGTAACGAGGAATTTGCAGAAAACTCATATAGCATAATAATGTCATATGAATAGAGTAAAGCCATACATATGTTTTGTTGGAGTTTAACACTATTTCTGAGCAAAAAATGTTTTACACAATGCTGATGTGAAACACGTTTAAAGACCTGTTCACACGATCCGATTTTTTCGGATCCTAAAAACAGATCGTGTGAACACATCCGTCAGCCTGAAAAGTCCAGGAAAAGACCAGGACGGTCAAGGACCAAATTAATAAAAAATCAGAGACTATCGTGACAACTCACGCAAAAAACACGCTTCTTTCAAAAAACTACTTAACACGTATCCGCAACATTACATAAGTTATAAGCCCAATCTTATGGCTTTATCATATGGGGGTTAAAAATCCAATCTTATTACAGCTTTTGCGATCGTCATTTCATGAAACTTTTTACATGATAAACAATAACCCGTATTTAGGCTGTATTGCCAACACAAAAGAACAAATAATTCTGATTTTCAAGGACTTTCAAGAACCGCAAGCACTTTTTCAGGTTTTCCACGTCTGGATTATCAATTGTTTTCAGGGACTTTGCAGGTTTTTAAGCACCTGTACGAACCCTGTTACTTATTGAATGGAGAGTTCGAAGGCAGATTTCCTCCTCGAACGAAGCCAACGACCTCTCCATTGATAACTGTCCGGAAATGTCTTGCGCGCAGTAGAGTGAATATACAGTAGGGCCGCTCCATTGAATTTTTTTCGCACCACGCCTATCTTTTTACGCATGTGATTACCCTAGAGGCAGCCTGTCAGTTGCTTTTTCTGACAAATAGAAATGATGTAACAGGCAACGGCAGCCAGTAATCTAATTAAATACACCACTGCCAGTCGCACAAGAAGTGGATCTACTGTATATTCCCTATACTGTGGTCCTTAGTAAAGACGAAACGTCTATACTAGGTGGTTTATTTTATAGCACGTCTCTCGCTACTCTGTTATGCAACAAAATGGCTTACGTGATGATGCTCATGAGAGGGATCTTCAAGGACATATAAGGTGGCGTGATGATCGTGATTAGTCACGTGTTGAGTATCCATGTTTGAAGTAAACTGAGACAAAGCTGCAATTTGTTGATCCGTAGGTGACGTGTGTGATATTGTTGCCATAGCAATACCATCATATGAAGCAGACTCTGTTGCTATGACAACATTGCCTCCGTTTGCATGGTGTACAAAAGTAGCTGTTTAAAAAAAAGATGGACGATTGGAGAAAGAAGGAATGGATTGGCGACAGTTGTTTTTTTTTTGGGGGGGGGAGGGGGGAGGAGATGGTTACTCAAGATTGGATTAGATCATTACGCAAATTTCGTTGCTACTTGTTGTCATGCCGTGTCAGACTTATAGTGCTAAATTCTGTTCCCCTTTTATTATGATTTGGAGATTTTTGATAGTGTGCTGGATTAAACGCAAATCACAACAGATTTTACTTAATTAAATTGTTTGGTATGCTAGCATTTGGTAGGGAAATTGGCCGCTCTACTGCAACCCATTTAACCAAGGCTAGACGCGATGCACATTCCTCCGCACCCCTCTCTTAAATTCATCTAGGGGGAAATTGGCCACCCTTTTCTGCAACCAATCAGGCAAAGCTAGGAGTGGTGCCCATTCCTCCGCCCCCCCTCTCCTAAATACATCCCCGTGAGAGGGGATGACAGTCAGTCTATTTAAAATCAAAAACAATGTTCCTATACATGTTTGGTGTTAGAATTGTAGTTTTACTTAATGACGATTGGGATAAAGCTATTAATTATTTATTAATTAATTATTTTATTTGTTTCACACAAAATCTTATTTGCTTCAGCAAAGCATATCTCCTAACCAATGAAACTACGCTAGTTCTGTCGTTTAAATTGTTATTATATTTCCTGACGCTAAAGAACAAAATACAAATCATAGTACCTTCACCAGAACCAGAGGGAGGCAAACTAACACTTCCAGGTAAGAGTTCAGCCAAAGCCACACCACTCTGATCTAAATACACCGTGCCTGGATCTGAAGTGACAACAGCTACGGTCGAAGATACGAGGTCGTTAGCCGTAAGGTTGTCATGGTGATCAGAATTTGAGTAATCATTGGACACATGGTTGCTATCAAGAGCTGAAACACAAATTACAATATTTTTCCTAGCAATCTATAAAATTTCATACAAAATAGGGAAAGAAGGATACAAAGAGAGACATAACAAATTTTTATCTTTAAATGGAGTCACATGACTTACGGTTTTCAGACGTGTCGTCATCCAACATGACGTCGGCTCCGGAAGTGTTTAGCGAGGATGGCTCAGCAGCCGTCTATATGATGCAAAAAATTCAATGAACGTTCTCTTGAATAATGTAAAGATTACAAACATTAGAATAAATAAAAATAAGTCAATATACAAATATTTTCTATGAAAAAAGATCTTTTGGCTACGTTCTTCAAGCAGCTGGCATTCAATGCAGTTGAAATGTAGAAAGCTTCAAGCACTACTTAAGCTTTTTGAACCTCTACAAACAATTACATGGGACAGCAATGGGCTCGCCCGTTTCTGTTGTAGTTGCTGAAATTGTAATGCAATCTATAGAGGAACGGGCACTCACGACTTACAAACATGCATTACCTTTTTGGTTTCGCTTCGTAGATGACACAATCACAGCACTACATGCAGACGACATTGATGACTTTCACACTCACATCAACAAACAGAACAGCCACATACAATTTACCAAAGATGTCGAAGAAAACGGAACTCTTCCTTTTCTCGACTGTTTGGTAAAACACGACAATCAAAAACTACGAAAACAGTTTATCGCAAGCCAACACATACTGACCGACTACTAGACCAATCATCTTACAACCCTACATCACACAAAGCCACCAAAATCAGAACATTAACAAGACGTGCACAAATCATATGTGATTCACCGGACGCTCTACAAAACGAAAACAACAATCTCATACGTGTTTTTGAAAAAAACAACAACAACTCTGACTTTATCAAACGCAACACTTACAAACTCAACGAACCCAACGAAACGAACAACTCAGTGACAACAGCAACGATACCTTACATCTAAGGTACGTCTGAGACTATCTCGCGTATCTTACGACCATACAACATACGTGTCGCACATAAACCAATCACAACGTTACGACAAGTACTAACGAACATAAAGGACAAAGAACAAGCCAACGAACGACAAGGTGCAGTTCACAAAATAAACTGCTCCGATTGCCACGCCTCCTATATCGGGGAAACTGGCAGGAACTTAAACATAAGACTTACTGAACACAAACGAGCTACTAAGAAACAAGACAAAACTAATCACATTGCCAAACATCACCGAATCACAAAGCACAACATTGACTGGGACTCGGCAAAATGCATTACATACAGTACTGACTATAGACAACGGCTTACATTAGAAAGTTGGTATACCAACTTGGAACAAACCCCCCTGAACAGATCACAGCAATTACCGGCACCTTACAAACGACTTATTCACAATACAAACAAACGATCAACTAAAAACATTACACTTCACACTAATTCACAATGACAATACACAATTGACACCCACACATTACAACTAAAAACATCACACCTAAATCACACATCACAACTAAAAATAAAATATTCACTTCACACTAATTCACAATGACAATACACATTTCCTGTACACACAATACAATGAGGTAAGAACCAGATAACAAATACGGCTAACCTGACGTTTACTCCTCATTTGACTCTAAAGATGACTACCGCTAAGGTTGTCGAAACGTCAGTCAACAACAACAAAAACAGTCCTTCTCAGGACTATACCAACCTGGACGATCGACATTTACAAACATGTAACGATACTCCCGGGTTCAAACCATTTACTTTATTACTTCTGGTGTATTCGTTACTTACATCTAGGTTCCCTGTGTCTGTTAGTACCGTGACTCCATTATTATGACCAGAATGAAAATCGTTACTATCAGAAGATGACGAGAACACTTGCTGTGGAGCCAAAAATAACCCAATTACTTCCTGACCTAGATAACGCAAATTTTGAAAAAGAATAACGTTAGAATGTCCACACAACCCCCCCGATAAAAAATAGGGGGGTGAGTTTTACGTTCTGGTACCAACTTAAAACTTTTATCGTGTCGCAATTTTTGCCATATCACTTTATTTCATCAACTGTGGGCAACTCCACGTGACTGACGTTACATTTGAAGGATTTGTTGACGCGAAAACCTTTATTAATTCTTTGCTATAATATTTCACCTTTCCATTTTTTTTATGAAAGTTTACTTACTATACCCTGTATCTGTTGTCTATATCAAACTGAACTAAATTTAAGTTTTTCTACTGTCTTCGACATCGAAGTGGCTGTGACTGATGTTACAGAAAATGGACAAGACCTTTTAAATATAGTTTATCAAATTCATAACATCTATTAATATAATAAATTTTTACACAGAAACTCACTTTCTAAGGCAAGGAGGGGTGCAGCAACGAAAACAATTTGACTGATGTTATGTGACTGACATTACAAAACTGTCATAGTTAAAGTCAGTTTTTGTCAGGGTAAAACACCAGATCTCCCATAATCTTCAAGCTGTTTCAAAACTGTGTGTTTACTGTGTGTTTCGGACTTACCACTTGATTTAACAATATCATGTTCGGAGCTTTCAACAGTAGAGTCTAACTCTGCATCATTATCCATTTTGATATCTGAAAATAAAATTCAAAATATAACAACTACGAACAATTGATATTTCACCATTTTGCAAATTATTTATTTAGAACAACATTATTCAAAACATGTTACCATTTAATACAAAGTTATAGTAGCTACCACAAAGAAATAAGACAGTGAATTCTACTGGTCATGTACAACTTCAACAGAAACAGCTCACCTTCTAAAACTCACTACAACCTCGGCAACTAGAATATGAATAAATGTTTAAGAATAAATGATATTAAACTAATCTTAGCCCCTCTCAACTAAACTGTCAATATTTTTCTCTTTCTAGACTAGAATACTCCAATGTCTATGTTCCAAAGTTAAAGCAATATAAAGAATGAGATAGCCATGTATACCCCCTTTTCACAGGACAAAATAACATACTATACAGAATATTTGGAATAAACAAAAAAATAAACCAGGGATAAAATGGTTATAACACTGCACATACATGTTTTATGAATGCTATTCTGTTATTTCAAAAGTGGGTGTTGTGGCTTGGAATAAAACTGATTTGCTGTATTATTTTGACAAACAATTAATAGAAATGATATGCATTCTATTTCTGAAAATTGCCACAAATTGAGTCATATTTCAAATCCTAATAATAACTAGGTTTATGTTTTAGTCGGTAAGCACGCCAACATTCTCCAGACAATAACAGGACTGAAATATAACATTGAAAGTCAAATTTAAATCAAACTAAAATAACATGGCTAAAAATTAAACAGAAAATGAAATTATAGCAATTTATCAAATCACAAAGCATGTTGTGCGGTATAACACATCAGTAAAATAGTTATGACATCAGAATAAGCACTTATAAAACATATCTCTTAAAGATTTGTGAGCATTTTATGCATTTTTGCTCAGGTGGCGAAGTTAAAGGCAACTCAATATTCAATTTTACGGAGTTTGAATTTCAGAAAGAGTACTGGTAATGACTGAAATAATAGTGTAAGGTATAATTCTGTGACTGTGCCTAAGAGTATAACACTTCCTACATTAATGATGCATAATGAGTATTGCATAGTGTGCTATCAACAAATACTTCAGCTGTCACTTTGCCACTAACCCATTTCTTAGAACTTACAAAATAAACACATAAATGTATACAAGAAGTTATGTATGTAAGAACATAGTTAATACATGGAAGGATGTTTATGTTCATAAAAACCCTGCAAACTTTACAAACGAGTTCAAAAATGCAAGTGTGTGGCCATAAATGAAACCTGACATATTTTCCTAACTTACACAATATAAGGGAATCAAAATGTAGCTATATCTATTAAGTATTTACAATTTCACATCACTAATGGATCATTAGTAATGCACTAAGGGAAAATTTGTAGATACAAATACAATCTAATATAATAGAAAATAAATTTATGGATGCTTATGGACTGGGAATTCATTGCTTTACTATCTAAAGAGACAGTTGGCGTACATTAAAGCTTAAGTCTTATATCAATATTTTCAAGACCAAAACTCTAACAGCAACATTCAAAGCAAATCCACAAGCCAAGCGAACACGAAGATCGGAACTGCTTATTTTACGGACATCAAAACAATTTTAGTATTTTGAACATGTAATTCATGAACTCTATTGTCAGTATTACAGCTCACGAAGGAACATTACCACCCCACACTTTCACTCTGAATACGAAAAACAGTAATTGTAAATGGCGCTTCAAACTTATAACGCAATTGTAGGAGTGGAATTATCTTTCTTGTCGCACAGAGACACACAAAGCAAGCAACACGAGAAGAAAAAGAGTAATCCTTCCCTTGAGTCATCGTGTTGACCGATATTCACTGCTTACCTTGAATATATTTCGCAAGGCACGCTGGTTGTTTAGTGATGAACCACGGGAAGAAGGACATACGACGCCATCAGACAACATCAAGTGACAACGTCACGAGATTCTATAATTTATTCAAAGCTGCCATCTAGTTCTTGTCTATGATTGGTCCATTTTCTTATCTAACAAATAGGTCATCAAAGGTCATGTATAAAGTCGACAACTTGCGTGTCAACGGATCCATAATCATGAATCCTAGCGGGAATAGGGTTCGAAATCAACAAAATGCAATAGCGAATCATGGTCAATATGTCAATGACAAGATGATTCCGTTTGGGTCTATGCTTTGCGTATGATTCACAGGACTGACAGGGCTGTAATTTTATTAATTTGTAAATATGTTTTGCAAGTGAAACATAAAATTTAAGCACAAACTATTGCTAGGTGGTTTTAGTCATATTTATTATTATGAAAGCATAAAATTGCAAAACATTGCCCAATCATAATATCTACAAATGATGTCAATATAGGCAAATTTATTTTGCCTAGGCAAATCCTATCAACCAATCAAATGTCTACAACACCGTCTCGACTTAGGCAAAATGGCTGCTTTGCCTAACGACACAGAGCTTTGTAGACAATCATACACATCTGGGCTACGAAACGTGTGAAGATTTCGTCATTTATTTGGAATATGATTGGAAATAAAAGTTAGATAATTGGACTGCGATTCTTCCAAAGCAAAAGTCGAACTATATTTATTTCACATATTTACCACAGGCACTTGCCTATTTTGCCTACCCCTAGATCCGCCCCTGTTATTAGTAGCAAAGCCAGCCAACTCGCAAGTTTTATGTAATGTAAATTTCAGACCATTAACATTATTCATTTCTCTAGAAATCTACTTTTTGTACAGTGAGTGAACACACAAAAAATTGAGTAGCAGGACCAACTTTGCCAGCAAGCTACGCGCTGATATTTTAGCATCTGAGACTCCAAAACTGGAAATCTTCAAAATGAGATCGGTGTAATTAATGCACAAAAACGAGTCACATAAAGAGCAATCCAGTAAAACATAAAACAGTCAGTTGGACGTTATATTTGACACACAGCAGACAGCTGATACTTTATCAGCTGCTAACGAAGGACGAAGTTTGCTGCGTTTTATCAGTCTTCTTTCGAGATAAATGATTAACTTAAAAAATACCTCCTTGATTATATTCGTATCACTATCGTATAATCATCTACCTTTATCGAGTTGCAAAACTCGGTTTGCTAAAATTACAAAAAGTCATTTTTTTGAGTGTTGTTGCTATCACACACAATTTGAGAATAGACAGATAGAGAATGCTCAATTTGCAAATGCAAATTACCAAAAAAAAGACCGGAAATTCAATAAAAACAACAATGATCGTCTGAATAACCATGACTGTATCTATATGTCAAGGTAGTAAGAACAATTAATCCTGAAAATTATTTCTGTTAGATTATTTATTCGTAAGTTTATTTATTATTTATCGCATGCTGGAGAGCTGAGAAATTATTTTGATATATCATCTTTTATGCATAAATTATATAAATATTGACTTAAGGAAGTTTTCTTGTGAGATAACAATTTTATGATGTTGACCAAGAACAAGTCTGATTTTTTTCTCCCCCCCCCCTCCCTCCTCCCAATGTACCTCACACACCACACTTGCACCCCTCACTCAATTGATCATCCCTTATCACTTATGAAAGTACAAGATAACAAGATACAACGTATGAAGAGTTTTTTTGGTACATTTTATTCTTAAAGCCTGTGAATATTGCAGAACAATGCAGTAATTTAAATTAGTACTTGCATAATAAAGACTACATATATATGCAATATTGTCATTTGAAAATTTTGCTAAATATTTCATTATATTTATATCATCTTCTAGTTATAAATCTCCCCGCTTTGTTTGCAATATCTATTTGAATTCTAAACATTAGGCTTTTTTAATTTCAAATGCTATCTTATTCTGTTACACTTTAATAGACTTTCTTATCGTAAAATTCATCATTCAACGTGCGAATCAGGGAATTGATAATTTATCAATTTAAAGACTTTGAGGCTTTGACAAATGATATCACTTCAAAGTCGAATTTTCATTAAGGCATATATCAGACAAACTTCTTCATTGGACGGCGTCTTGTGCGTCGTCTGAAGTCTGAAGCACTACAAAAACAATAATAAATATGCGTTAATTTTGGCCACTTCAAATGCGTTGTCAAATGACTTTTCATCTTTGTCATTTCTGTAACATAATACCTTTCCTTCGTAGTTTGTATGTATACAAATATAAATGAAGTATTTGCATGAATACAATTGAAGAGTGGTTGAACTGAAAACCGCGATAAGAGTTTTATTGTCTTCGACAGATGCTTAAAAAGGGCAATAGACAGCTAGAGTATTTCATGCGATATATTAAAGATTCAAAATTGTTGTTTGCGAAACGAACATAAACAAATCGCGATGTCTAAAGAACATATGTTTCATGTAATCTACGTGTTTATCATTTGCTCTTTGTTTCATCAACTGATGATGCAAACATCCAAAGCACAAAATAATGACAAGATATCTCGTTTGCGGAGCTTCATAAACCAAAAGGTAAGAGCTTTTCTTTTAGATTATCAAACTTCTACTGAGTGAGTTTCTTGATGGTTAATCGGCATGTTGAATACATTTTAACATCCACTGTTGTGCAAACTATTTTTCATCAATATAATATATGCTTTTTAACACGAGGCTTTAAAGTTTACCAGTTCGGTTTGAAGAACTGATTTATTGATTACATCGCCTCCCATCTTTAATCTTCTTGCTTTACTGTGAATATTTAAGATAAACTGGGATTAGATGCCTGTTATTAAAGGTTTCTAAATAATAAGAACCTGCTTTGAATGCTTATGATATTTTCCGGATGAAAAATGCAACTCTAGTCTAACAGGGATTCAGATAACAACTGGCAACAGTTGATTTTCACTACGTTCATACCATATAGTTGGGGAAATGTATGATGGCGGAACTTACTTTCAAAATGTTTACATTGCTTTGGTCTATGTCGCATTTCATTGGAAATGCCCTGAAACTTCACCAACAGCGCAAATCGCTATATAAATTTTTTTACTATGGCAAAACTCTTAACTTCTCCGTCAAAATTATTTGATGAATGAATGAAGCACGTTATGGGCTTCCATTTGCACACCAACAATGTACTAGAAATAAGGAAGTGACGACATCTTAAACATTGAACAGCATTTTAATTGATTAAATTCAAATCGTAATTTTTTTGCTCTCGCATTACGAGTTTAATTCATGTGTCGTCTAAAATCAAACCTATATGAACATTACGATAACAATAAAATCAAGTCTAGAAAAATTGACAAAGGAATCAGGAATCGAGCTGCATAATTGAGCTCAGAAACAAGCTTGCTGAATGACTCAGGAGGTGGGTCGCGAGCAGTTCGCTATTCGCGAAACTTATTTTGGCCGGAAGAGCAAAAATAGAGTCCAGTCCTACCCCTCGCCCTATAGCAAAATTCCATGCTCGATTCAGCATGGAATTTTGCTATAGCGATAACTGCATCGTTATGATTTGGCGACACGGCACTAAAACGTACAGTAATACATCACGCGCGTTAATCTTGAAAAGAAACTTCAAGGCTTTAGCTGGCTTTAGTCTAGGCTAAAAACAAATACACATTGACAGGTCGTAAAGATTAGATGCACAAGACGAACGAAAGAAAATCATAAATTTACGTACAGACAGACCTGACTGACGAAATGCATGACGTTTAAATATCTTGAGAAAACATACACTTTAAAGTGTTGTCCGCATTTTACACTACATCCTTTAGTTTCACGAAAGTATTGTCATGTTCCTTGTTTGATTCATTTAGTTAAATAGTTCGCTAGGGAATTTTCTTTTCCAAGTTGTTCTAGTTGTTCTGGTATATAACAAAGTATGACATGTTTATTTTCAGGTGCATTTGCAAGTAAAACTGAAAAATTAAAAGGAATAGACTTTAAAAAAAATAAATGATAGCCTCCCCATACGTTATATAAATTCAAATTGTGTCCCAAAGTATACGAAAAGAAGGAAAAAATGTTCTTGGGCATCTTGTAGCTACTAGAAAGCGTTTTTTGCTGTTTTTATAGTATACGACAAAGACGAATACTTTACACAGTAAAAAACGCTTGTCTCGTTCGACAGACTTTTCCATGGATTGTAAGTATAAGGATATTAAAATTTTAATGTGTTTTTTTTGTGATTATTCCACAAGGGCAGCGAAAGACTAATTTCAATATGCTTAAAATTTCACCTCAATTTTTTTATGTTTATGATTCTGATTGATTAATCTTTGCATCAAACTCCCCGTGTGAGACAAAATCATGATTTAACAGAGGCGACGTCCCTTATGTATGGCGGCTCGCCGGAAGAGCGCTTGTCTGCAAATGAAAAACAGCTACAAAGAAGGAGTGAACCATCTATTCAATGCTAACCATTTCGATGATGCTAACACAATGGAATATATGCTACCCTTGATTATTTTAATGAAAGACTTATCTTTTTTCAAAATAAAGAGTAGCTAAAAAATCGTAAGTGAGGTGGAAAAACCTAAAACGAACATTTTAAGAATTTACAAACCATTTCAGATTGCTATAAACACAAAGTATCAGGAAAAGGATTTAAAATCGAGAAACATGGTCTCAATGTGACGTTGAATTGTACTAAAGATGGTGATTGGTGGTCAGCAGTTATCAAATGGAAAAAACCAAAATCTCAGGGTATGGGTTAGCATGGGGAAATAGTACATGAAGATGAAAATTAAAATAGATGCATTGACTATTGGCATCTTAATGATAGCGCACATAAAGCAATCGTATTAACTTTTTAATCACAATATTTAAAAAATTGTTCTGCACAAATAAAACTTTAAAGTGCACATGAATTGCAGAAACATTATAAATGATTGTAGTTATTTTTAGCTGGAATGGATGATTGCGTTGGTTACGTAGTAAGATGGCAAAATTATGAAGAAGACGACTTATGTGCAATTATTGATAATGAGGTACACTGAATGATTGGTAATGTATGTGCATGATGGCAACAGATAATAAGTTGTACTAAATAATTGATAAGATAACTGTATATAACTGAAAAAATTAAAATTTCTCGTAATAAAATGAAAACAAAATAAGTAACAAAGATTTTTTGATTTTGGGAGTTACCATTTGCTTTGTATGACAATTTTCAAATGAGTTTTCATTGCAGAAGAAATTTTCATTTCATGATGTTAAAATATCAAGTCTCCTCAACTGATTTCCTGATAAATATAGCATAAAGAGATTACACTGAACAAATGAAAACTTCATTCACCGTACTATGACATTATTTGACCATTGATATAACTTTTGTATTTTAGAACATAACAACTTATACAATAGACTCAACAAAAGAGTGGGGACAAAATGAAGAAGGAGACGACAGTTTATATTTTATAGTAAGATCATCATTATTTTTATCTGTGAAAGTAACGTATTTCAGAGTTTATCAACTGATCAAATGATCTCTTGTGAGTCTCGTTATTAAATGCCTTCATGGAGAAACGGCCAAAATCTTACGAAGCATTTTTTGTTAATCATGAAATTAGCCGATAAGAGTTCGCCAATGCCAAATACCTCCGTGTTGTCTGACTAGTGACAATTCTAAGCAAATAAAGGATAAAAGCTAAAAAATATCTTTATGGTTTACGTTTATGATTGATCTTGATAATTTGTTTCAATGTTGCTCACCTTGAAACATTTTTCTTTAGCTGAAGTATTGATGTGTTTTTACTTTGAATATTGAATTGAAATATTGATGCAAAATATTTAATTTGCATTAAATTATTTAAATCTTACTTCCGTGACTAATTTCTGTTGCTTAAACTTTGCTAAAGAAGAGCTGTGAAAGTATAGTATTTATAATAAATATTCAATATTAAAGTATAGATGATGTGCAGCCATTTTCCTGGGAGTGAGAGAACAATGGAAATTTCGCCATGTTGAATGAGATTTGCCTTGCCCACCAAGGATACGTTAAATACTTTCCTAATGATGTATTTGCTAGTCCTACGTAAAAAAGTTCTGGAAGATTTGAATAGCTTCTTTCCCAAAAGTTAGCATGATCTGAATTTTTGTCTAATGTCATCAAAAGATGGTTACATCCTATTTACATTTCATTATATCTTGGGTTTACGTTAGAATTTGTAAAAGAACTCTATCAGTCATTGTTTGAAAAAAATTGAATGTTTTTGTTCTCATTAGGTGTTTGCACTTCCCCTTGCAAATGTAACGAGTGTATATGAAAATCGTGTTTTAAATGTAAAAAAGTCATGTCTTGGTAAGTTCGAGATTGCTTTTTTGGCAAAAACATAAATGGTGTGCACAAAAAAAATTTATTTCAAATGTTTTCGTTTCACTAATTTTTTTTCAACACTATCTTTTTTTAAGTCCTTTCTCTACTTGGCCTTTATATATTTACTAATAGATTCTAATCAAGATTAAAATCTGGTGAACAAAAGTTCCATTTTTCGTTTATCAACTGTTAATTACTGATGTTGGTTATTTATTTTGCGAATATTAAATCATCCGGTTGTTCATAGTTTGTATTTTAGAAGTTTATGGGTTTCAAATGAAGTGTAGACCCTATTTCATTATCGATGAGTTAATCTTCGTCACCAAATAATGCAGATCTGTCTGATGATAATATTGCTCGCGTTCTATCTTTTATAATATATGATAATCAATCTAATAATTAGAAAATATTTTGGTATTTAATAATTTTGCTATCATTTTTTGTAGAAAAAAAGTTCACAACTACACACGATACAACTTACGAGCAATCGACTATTATTTCTGAAGATTTAAGCAGAACAGGTAACATTTGTTTTCACAGCAAAGTTGCTTGGCAACATTGCCGGTTTGTTATGTGAAGAAAAATTAGTATGAGAACAACACTGCTTATTGACAAACTATGAACAGCAAGACAGCAAGTTGCTATTTTTCACGACTATAACTTTTGAAAGATTTTATAAAAAAGGTTTTTATTTGCCATGAAATCAATGGATGTTCGCTTGTTGATAAATGAACCAAAGTTAAATTGGAGTTAATGGAGAAATGAATGAAACAAATGTATGAAATATTTTAAGGTTCATGCAAATCACTAGTAAAAAAGCAGTGTTTTTTGTTAAACTTTTAACTATCCTGAGATCACTTGTTGATAAAGTGAATGGTTTAAACTGTTAAATGTTTGTATATATGAGAATCGTAAATCAGTCAATAAGTGTAACAGTCAATAACTGCCAATAAGTGTCAGCTACTGTAACCGACAGGCCGTTATTTTATAAATATCCACAGACCTGGGATTAAAATGGTATTATACAGGTCTTTTTCTTTCAGGCATGACCACAGATAAGCCAAAGATGAGCAGTGAAGCAACACTTTCAACGAACGTAGACAATAATAAGCAGTTAATATATCGTAAGCTGCTTTTTATTCCTTAATAATGAGATTGTAGGTAGAAAGGATAAGCTCGTTTACGGTCAAAATTCAGAATGTTGTAAAAACACATTTGGACTAACAAAACGTATTCGCTGTTAGCAGCAAGACTAGGATGTTTTCTGTGTTAATTTGTTAAAGATTGACTTTGATTAATGCAAATTAACAACAAGCAGAAAAATTAGTTTTTAAATTTTATAAAACATGTGAAAAACATCTTGCATGGCATTGTTAACTGCAATAGCACATTCCTAATGATTAAGGTCATTTGACAAGGACTTCAAGCCAATTCTGTTTCAAAAAAATCAGTCTGACTCAACTTAATATAAGAATAAACACACCCTTCCCAAATTAACGTTCCAGCGATCGCCCTGCAGCTCGTAAGTACGCAATGCGTTTCAACTTTTCTTATTTTAGGAGAATCTCAAAACATTGAGAGCTTGATACCGCATATTATACGAAATAAAATCACAAAATTAGCTTTAACTTTTTCTATAGCCCAAATCTATGCAAAAATTGTTGAATAAATTATGCAAATTGTCTAACTGTAAATATATTTACTTCAGGTTCCAAAAAACCAGTGGTGAATAAAGTAATCTTCTCTATCGTGATGACATTTGTTTCGCTTCTCATTCTTGTCATCGCCGTTGTTTTGTACCACAAGAAGAAACCATTTTCTTGTCTTTAGCAGGAGGTAAATTGTTCAGGCTTAAAAAATTTTAAACCAAAAAGTAAGATCAAAAAGTTCAAGTTTTCAGAATGTAACATACCTGTGGAAGATTTGAAAAGATACTTTGGATACTCGCACGATACCAAAAAAATTCTTTCAATTATTAATTTATGTTTCCATCTTTTTAATTTTGATGTGTCATGTGTGTCGTATTTGGGTTTTAGATTATAATATCCTATAGCAGCTCTTTTTTTGTAAAACAAATTAACCATCTTAGTATAGTATAATACAAAAGGCTATTTCGTTCGTCAAAGTTATTTATTGTGCAGTCAAATATTTATCATTTCACCACAAGTTCTCTTATTTAAGCATTTATTTTGTAGATGGCTCAAATTTCCTTTCGTACCATCCGGAAGATGAAGAAGAAGCAATCACTATTGCAAAATGGCTAGAAAAGCATGATATTGGTGTTGTGATTGACAAATTTTGTTACATCAAGTACAATCACACTCTATGGAGCGATCAACAGCTAGCCAAGGCTGAGAAGACAATTATGATTGTCACTCCAAAATATTTAAAGATATGCATGCTTCATCAAAAAGAAGACACAAAAGATGAATACATGTCCAACAGCAACCGACAAGTCTGCAGTGAAATCCGTCTAATACGAGATATAGTTATTTCGGAGCGCTTTAAGTCAAAAAAAATTATTGGAATTTTAATAGATGTCAAGTCAGAAGATTTGCCTCATTGGATGTCGAATTTATCGCTTTATAATTATCAGAAAAGAAATGGTGTGGATGTGAACATCTTACAGTTCTTGAAATCTCATGGCAAATAAGCAAATGAAATTGAAGTTTTGAAATGAAAAGAATAAAATTTGTGATCATGAATTTTGATTTCTCTGAAGTTATGATCGTTATATAGCTTTATCGCTAACAATTACAAACAAATTTACTTTATGACTAAAACATTTTACTTCATGATCATGGCAGTTGCCACCATCGTTTTCACTTGCTACATTGAATGTAAATATGTGATTATACTTGATTAAGCTTTTTACAGAAGTAAATAACGTAAATAGTCAATTGCAAAGCTATCTTGACATTAAATCAAACAATGTATATATATTTGCTAATTTTTTGAGATACTTTGCTTACTTTATGTTTCATGTATGGTATAACAGTTTTTCATGTGTTTTTTTATTGGTATTGTAACTATATAAAACATGTTATAAAACATAATGCATAACTATATAAAGCGTTAAATATATAAAACATTTTTCATTGGTATTGTAACTATATAAAACAGTGTGTTGCCATGATTTTTCTCAATGCAATTAGCTGTAATCTCGAATATTTATGATTATATAACACATTTATACTGTTATTGAATGTAATTCTTACATGACGTCTGCTTCACATTTTGCCATGATTTTTTCCCAGTAAAAATAATAGCGATCACGATTTGTATAGTTTTATAAGAAACCCCTTGTTTAACTACTTCATTATGAAACAACAAGGCAAAGTCATTAGTCATATATAAGTCAACAATGTGCTTCAAGCAGCTATGATACCTGGAAGAAAGGCATTAAAGTCCCAAACTGCTACACACAGACTGTCATCATTGCCATGTAATCAGGAAACTTCCTTGATTATTTACAGTAATTTCTACACCGGCAGTAAAGTAATGATAAAAACAAAGACTTTGTGGCGGTAACAAATCTAAATATTGCCTTGAGAAGTTAAACTGAAACCCAAGAGTTCTAAAAACTAATAGAAATTAATTGAGTTTGATAATAGAATTGCGTTTCTATTAGTTTCTATTACAACTCTTGGGAACTGAACTCAAAATTTTTCGGCCATTAACAATGATCGATGTTCTTCAATGCAAAATAAGGATGATGAAACGCACGAGCAACTTCAACGTGCACATGAATGTTTCACGACTAAATTTGTGAGTGAAGTATTTGGTCAAATGTAGGAAAATCATCATGTTAAGTAGTGCATGTACATGCCTTACAAAAGTTGTGAAAATTGATCGAGACTCATTTTGCATAAAGACGTCAAAGGAAAGTGTAAATATCTACAAATCACAACGCAAACTCACTATAGTCATTCTTGCAATTTCGAATACTATGTATGCAGAGATGCAATTTGCTCCTATTTCAAAGTTCTAGAGCTGTAAAATGACATGTTAACTTTCTCCTTTGTATTCTTGAATACTTTTAAGGCACGTTACTGGTCCCTGCAGAAAAAATCTTTGAAACAAGTACATCTAAATGCCCTCAGTCTTCAGTTTTCAACTTAGGATAAGCTTTGGTAGCATTCTCGTTTTTATGGGTGGTTTACAAACAGTAATAAATCGTAGTTATGTCATAAAAAAAGAATGCTTTCGAAACATATCAACAATTGAAGTTAGAGTACAACCTTGTGACTTTTTTTTGTCTATGCAATATATCATTGGGAGGTTGAAAATAAAACGTATCGGCGTCATACAATTATATTGAAGGTCATCAAAATTTTAAACATTCCTAAGTTAAAAACATTATTACCACGACAACTTAAGTCACACTTTTGTTTTATTCCTATAATTTATAAATTATTTTTATTACAACAAAAAACGTGTGGAAATAATTTTAAGCTTTTTCCAATTTCAAATGTTTCTTGAGAATCTGTTTACATATAATAGATTAATGCAATGAATGAGAAATAACAGAAATCAGAAAATTAACAAATGTTCTGAATTTAGCGATGTCTTAATATGGTACAGATATCATAACTTCTTTCCAGTGCTGTAGAACTAAATTTATCAGGGGGCTCTCTTGACGTTTTTGTCAATAGTGCCCTTTCAAAATTACCCATTTCAAAGGTAGAAGGGGGCTCCTCCCCCAAGCGCCCCCTCACGTCTACAGCACTGCTTCTTTCATGTCAAAAATATTGTAAGTATCCACAACAAATAGAAGAAAGGCGGGAACATTTGTTATGAAAGAGCTATAACACGTTGAAACGATATAATTAAAATAACATAAACAACATTGTCACTTAAAATGCCAGTGATAGCTCATGAATCTTAGAGGCAGCGATAGAAAAATAGAAGGAAACGTAATTAAAAAAGCTCTCCATTGAAATTCATTATGTTTAATTTCATGATTATTTTATATACACAAAGACTTTTCGTTTTGTGTGATGTAATAATAAAGCCAACCTGTGTTTTGTTCCTACAATGCAAATAATTCTGTGCTCAATTAAATGGAAATAATTTCTAAAGAAATGAATAACAGTTTTTATGAAAAATTTACATTGTATGTAGGAGTAAAAGATCGGGACTGATGTGAACTACATTAAACATTTAATATAACATTTTGTAACAAAATAATAAATTGTAACAATTCTATAAACCTTCATTCATATAAAAATGGCAAAATTGTGAACATTTTCAATTTTTCGTGTTTAAATAGAAATTACTCGAAAGAAAACACTTCTGATAATTAACATTTTTTATTTAATTTCATACAAAGCAATCAGCCAGTACAATATTAAAAACAAGAAGTGCTCAGGAAACATTTCCTACGCAGCACTTCTAGTCGTTCACTGTCAAAGAATGTCGACATTTCCATGTTAATTTTTCCCTCTCAAGTGGGACTGCGTGGGATGATAAGCGAAGCTATATATAAAAGGTATTGCTTTTCAAGTTGTAGGTATTAATGTGAGTTGTAACAGCTTCTATTCCGCTAGTTCTGCGTTATTGAAATCAAACTGTAATTTTCTTATTTCATTTATAAGCTACGAAGGATAAACAAGTACAGCAAAGAGAGGTAAGCATCCAAACAAAATACACATACACCATAATTAACAACTTATGAGTGCCATGTATTCATATTTATGCGTGTATGTACGTTATATTTTACAGATATATAAATCTTCAAAATGAAATCCCTTGTTCTAGTTGTTCTCGTGGTACTAATAGTCATTCCATGTGCGCATTCCCTCAGTTGTCTAAAATGTGACCCTAAATTAGTGAGATGTCGAACCATTCCGGAGCTAAAATGTAAAGGTGGCCTTACAGCAAATGTTTGTGGGTGTTGTGCTGTATGTGCAAAGATAAAAGGCGAGAAATGTGGTGGTCCATTTGACATAAATGGAAAATGTGACTGTGGGCTTATCTGTCGAAAAAATCGTCGTGAGGTTGCACAAATAGGAAAATTCAACGCTTCTGGGAGATGTGTGCGAAGGTTCTTTCTTAAACTTTATTTTTTGTTTATTGAAATTTTTGTGGCGTTTTTTCTACTGTATTGTGTTGTTCATTCGCGTTTCCGCAGTGTTCGTCTTTCAAATAATTTTTTCTTGTCTAGCGATTTATAAGTATTGTTTTATACATTCAAATTGTCTTAGCATTAATAAGTTTTATATGTCTGTGTATAGTTTATCGTAGTATATCTAAAACGCTCCATACAGTTCACCTGAACTTTGGGTGTTTCACTTACAACATTATTTTGATCAAGCTCACTAAAACTTTAGAAATATTATGAACTATGCGGAATATATTCAAGAATGCCAGTAAATTCACTTGAATAGGATAATTGTTTGCGTTATTATGGCAACCATGTCTCATATTTTTTTACACTGTCTAGATGAACCATGCGGAAATATTCGAGAATTCCAGTAAAGTACATAGATGCTTGAATAGGATAACTGTTCCGTTGTTATGGCAACCATGTCTCATTTTCTTTTACACTGTCTAGCTTTAAAAGAATTGAACGTTTTTTGCGTGACGATTATTATTCATCATGTTTAACATTGAAGGAATTTTATAAATAATTTTTTGTGATGTTTGACAATTTTGCTTACATGAAAACTTATTTTTAGATTTTGTTCTATTTTGTGTATGTTTTAATTTTTGTTGTAAGGAACATCCACATGAACTTTTACAACAAAATTTACGGGAGGAAAAACGAGAAACTTTTCACTAAAGTCAGCGTAGCTAGGTGTTTCTGTAAAAAATCCACTCGACATGAGCACAACATGCGCGTCACTAGTCCCCTGGTTAATAACTCCCTTGTTAAGTGGTAGCTTTATGTAATAGTGTTTCAACATGTAGTGAGCTTCATAGGTAAACTATTGTGTGGCTTATAAAGTCTATGTTGTATGCACTGATCATCAATATTGACCTTAAAAGCATTTCTTTTTTATTTTAGAAGAAGAAAATTTTCCTATTAAAGCGCATGCATACTTCAAGCAGTTTTGCTGTAAATTTGTGATTGGATAAAATAGATGTGATATGGTTTAACAAAATGGTTTGTAGTTGTTCCATGCTGATGATAGTTATATAAAACACTTTTATAGGATGTAGAAGTTTCTCTATATATATAGTTTCGACTGCAATCTATTTTTAAGAACAATGAAATAGCTATCGATGAATGAATAATAAAGAAAAGTTAAGAGTGCATAAACACTGTGGTGCTTAAAGAATCATTGTCAACCACAATGCAACGCGCGCTCAAATGATCTTTGTTGCCATTTTCTTGGTTGAATAAATCTTACCCAAAAGCTTTGTAGCATCAAAGCGAAATTTAGCTACAGAACCATAACGGCTAAAAAATATAATCACAAGTGTGTCTGCAGATGACTACTGCAAAGCTTGTCGAAACGTCAGTCAACATCAACATCAATAGTCCTTTACTAACCTGAACGTTCTACATCAACAAACATGTAATCTCATTTTCCGAGTGCTTTTCCTACGAATTGAATTCGTAGTTACATGGCTTTTTGTTTCGTTTTCTGGGGGTTTGATTTTGCTACACGAATTTTTTTACATTCACTTTTTTACATTCACTTTTACATTCACATAAAATTACGCGTATCGGATCATTAGGGGAAAGTAATGGACGGGCAAAAATATTTTTGAACCAATCGAAGTGCAGCATTTTGCTGAAAATGACGCTCCTTAAAGGCTCGTTCACACGATTCGATTTGTCGGATCCGATTGTTTCGGTTTCAACTTTTGGTTTCTTACTTCGGACGGTCCGATAATTTTGTTGATGCATTTATTTGTTTAGTCTTGTGAACAGCCATTTGTAGAATGCAGTACATTTATCGATATATTTATCGTATTTTTGTTCTTGTTTTCAAGTTTTTTTCAAATCTATGTAATTTGGCTAGTCCGCTTCCTTTGATCTTGTCGTATGAAAATAGAGCAAGTTCTACTTCCATCTGATTTTTTAGATTGACGAATCTGAGTATCGGAGGCTCAATTTATATGTGATCACACGATCCATTTTTTTTCGGATCCTAAAATTGGATTGTGTGAACGGGCCTTAATATAGCTACCATACTCCCAAACTATAATTTTTGCAATATAATATAAATTCTATGACTTACAAAGATGCTCACTTTTCTACTATAAATGTAATATGTTTCAAATACGTACTTGTTAATTCAAAAATCTTTTCATAAATGTTGCAAAATAATGCCATTTTTTAAGGATAATCTATTCATACGGAAGCAATTTTTGCAAGTTTAAAGGATTTCTTCCATATCTTTTTGAGAAACTCGTCAACTTCAGTTTCAGTATCCAAATTTGCAGGGAGTTCTGGGCGAATAACAAGTTCTTGTCGTTCAAAAACTTTTTTAAAAGTTGATTTTCTTAATCTGGAATATTCTTTCACTTTACTAATGCACACTTGCGTTCGATGACCAAGTTTCTGATAGATGCATTTCTCTTTTCGTCTCACTAGTTGTAAACGCTTTCCAAGGTCTGCACTTGTGATAAAAGGATATGGAAGGCCACTGGTGTTCATACTTAGCACCTTCAAAATAAATGTTATACGCATTTTTTTCTGCTTGACGCATTCTTGTTTAATTTTTTTTCATTGCTGACAAAGTGTTTACTTTTTACCTATTCTCACACGCCATGATCAATTCATGAAAAGTGGGTTAATGTAGTTACACGAATTTTTGCATCAGATAGTTTTCAAAAAATAAATTTTTCGAAACATAAACTACAAAAAATTAAATCCCATAATCACTTTACAAAAGTACTGAGGGGGGGAGGGTGTGTGTGTGTTCTATCACAGTTATTAGCATTTATGAGTATGCTGCATTGGACTACATATACAACTAGAAGAGTAACTTAAGGTAAACATCCCTCTGTTTACATGAAGGTAAATTTCACCCATAGACACGTTTCAATAAACAAGTATAAACTGCAAGTCTTAATGTGTGAAAACAATTTTGAAAAATATTAATGTACACTGAATAAATTATAATAATTAATGTCAATGATAATGGAAAGGTAATGTGGCAAAGACAATTTTTAAACAGAAAAGACAAGGCCTTCTTTAAGTATGGCCTTTTCTCCACGATATAAACTTGAATCTAAGAAAAATTCCAAAGATTCACTTTCTTGTTTTTAAATTTCATGTTAACAACCTTCCTAGAAATAAGCTGATTAATATCATACCTTTAAAACACTTGTTTCATCATTTGTTTCAATATCACCAGGCGGAAATTCGCGGGAGGTACCTAATATAAATCTGACGTCACATTCCACTCCATCACCGCTTCCTGTGGAAGGTCCAACTGTACTATGATGTTCGACCCATGGACGTTTAATATCAGCAAGAAACCATCTCAATCTTGGTAGCTGTAATTTGGTTGGTTGAAAAAGCTCATCATAACAAGCATAATACTCACTACTTCCAACTTTCACAGTCGCTGTATACGATATCGTGGGCTCATCATTTTGTTTTATGTATCCCTTACGTCTCAGGTAAGCCTCCACTTTTTGTGAACCTTGTTCACTGATTACTGTGAAAAGTGAATGATTTGGCGTTTTGTCGATTTCAGGTTTTGCATCAATTTTTTGTTTACGTTTTGATTTTGGTTTTTTACGACCACTATTGGCACCAGGCCTGCGCGGCCTATTTCGACCGGACTTCGGCATTAATTTCCTTGGATTACGTCCTTTAACGGCTGAATACTGAAAATCTGTGATGGTCATTGGCTCGCTGTCTTCATTCAATGCATTTGGAATGTCGAAAGCGTATATTCGACCAAAATGAACAACGAACTCTAAATCACCATGAAGGGGTTTGTCGTGATCACGTGTTACTACCTAAATGATAGTATTATGTTAAACATTGCAATATTAGTGAACAAGTATTGATTACTTAAAGGATAGTTTTTGGTTGCACTTATCTGGTGAGCTTGGGGACTAAGTATATTATTACCTAAATGTTATATTGAACTTATTTTGTCGCAGTATAGGGAACAAACACTATGAGCAATTCTTTTCTTAATGTTTATTCTTTTCGGTAAATACTCCGTATTTAAAGTCAGCGACTGTAATGTACGAGCCCAAAAAGCTAGCTCGTGACTTTTTTTTATCTATGATTGATTTAAAGCCTTATACTTGCATAATAATCAAAATAAAAGCAGTTTTATCGAACTTGATGTCTTAAAATCTTAGAATTATAGTCCTGTGCCGGTTGCACGAAGCTAGGATAGCTTTATCCATTGGATGATAGCAAAAATTTTCAAACTTGTAAATATGATTTTTATAATTTTCTCACGAATAAGAAATTTCCTACTCTTCGATACAATATTTTATTTCAGTGATTGCTGGGTTCATATCTTGTATTTTTTGCTTTCTAAAAGATTTTATTAAATTTTAACAGAAATTGCTATCCAGTGGATAACAATGAGATATATAATGATGATATATATATGTATATATATTTATATATATATCGCGAACACGGTGAACGTCTCCATATGAGACTCTCTACACAATCCGACAGTGCTAAAACTACGCACTCGCAGTGAGTATGTATATAAATTTGTAATACACTTTGTATTTACGCTCACTGCGCGTGCGTAGTTTGAGCACTGTGGTGACTCTACAATACAATCCATACAATGTGTAACCGTACGTCCTGTGTCCCAAGTGCAGGAGTCACCATTTTACAATGGTGATAGCCTGGAGGGCACATTTTATATACACTTTGTATTTATATATATAAATACAATGAATGAACAATATAAACAATGAGATGTAATTATAATACTCTAACTACAAGCTCGATATGAAAGTAATCCTTAAGCAATTTTTATGAATACATTGGGAACTTCTACCTTTAGTTGATCAAGAAATTTAGTGCGAACACTTTTGAAGACGTGGCTTTCTTGAAAATCACAAAGACTATATGTCTGAGATCCATTTTCAAGCAACGGAATATGACGTATTCTCTGATCATGTGTTTGATGATGATAACCGTTGTAAGGCATAAGTATCACGTGATCATCGTTGTTGTGACAACCATCAAAGGTAATCATCGACGATCCACGAATAAAACACTTTGACATTGTCGAAACTTTATTGGATTGACATTTACTTTCATGTGAGTTTAAAACTCGCTCCAGGAAACGAATACTCCCGATGTTACCACGAGCTTCAACGATCAAGTTCTGACTAGATCCAGGGAGCTGACGTCGGATTCTTACAAAGGCACCGCTCTTTCTAAAAAAAATTTAAATGTATATATTTAGAAACAACTTGAATAATATCAAGTCGAAATGATGTATAGTAAATCGAAATGAAATCCGTATAACTAGGCAGGGACCTTCTGCTAAGATTTGAAGCTAGAAGCTCAATCATTTTAAGTAGGTGAAGTTTGGCTTCTTGGAAACACATGTATTTTTAACTAATCTCTCAGTTATATATTCAATGTAAGAGAAAATGTTAAAACATAATCTTAAAACGATTTTCATTTGTATGTTAAAGCATGAAATTTTCTCCAATGAGTTAGACATTAACGGATCCAGAGTTAAACAAAATAAATAATAACCGCTAAAAAGCCGTTACTTTTTCTTTATTTTGAAAAAAGATTAACCCACCAATAAAGTCCCAGCTTTCAACAAGCATAGCATTCTAGTAGCTATATTGCTTTTTTCGTCATCAAATTTTTAACAAACAAACATATTTAATGTGTTGTAAATTTTTTGCTTTCTTTTCTTCGTAACATTATAAAAAGAAAGAACGTTTCTGTGATTTTCTCGAAAGCATCTACGAAAATAATCAATAAAATTTTCACAAGGAGAAAACATCATTTATCCTCGAAGAACTAACTTTGATAATTCGCGAGCACGTGATCTCTCCTGCTGCTGGCTGATGATTTCAAGAGACTGTAGACTAGACAACGTAAAACTCTTTGTACTCTGGCTGAACTAATATCCAAGAGTACTTCACTGCTGCCATGAATAGCAAGTATATGGTATGCCTTCTGCATTTGTTCGCAAGGATATTGATGTCGTCCGTACTCAAGAGATCAGTGTATGACTGCGCACCAAGCAGTTCTTGAAATGTTTCATGTATTTTACTATGAAGTATTTGCTGACGATTTTTAAAAAATTCCAGCAATATTTCACCAATGAATGGACTTTCTGAGTCGCTAACGTTCTTCAAGCTCTCAATAATGGCGTCAAACATTTCAGCTGGTACATTTTGACAATCCTGCACACCAAAGATGCTTGGGATCAGATTTGATATTTCTTTTATGAAATTGTTCTCAATGCAAAACGAGAGAATCATAAACACAAAAACATTTGTATTGATTTAAACACCGTCTAGTTTCTGCAATAGACCGCTGACATATGCCCACATGATAACAAAGCGAATAAGTGGCAGCAGCCAGGGATATCTTTTATAATAAGAGACCAAAACGTAGGTTTTCATAAATCCATTAATGTTAGCGGAAACATCACATGAAATGCTCAATCTATTTTTAAAAGATCGCGGACTTCTAATTTTTCCTATTCGAATTACTGGAACTTTGGCGTCTTCAATAAGTCTTGCACCACCAAAGCAGCGACGAAGAATCGGCTGAATTTGCTGTAATTTATCGATTTGGACAACTTGTGCTCGACTTTGCAAATGAACAACGCAAACGTCTAGATCAGAATCTGGACGAAACAGAAAGTTAGCAGACGAACCAAACATTACCAGATTATAATGCGGACAATTCCTTGAAATAGCATCTGCAATATCTTGTAATAAATCCAGACGATATTGGTACTGGTCTAGCATATAACTGGAATCAATAATGAAAGACGTAAGAATACTTTGAGATAAATCACGAGCAACAGAGTTCGTGACGTCATTAGGTAGGACATTAGTTGTCGAACTTGATAGAACAGCTACAAGTACGTCATCAACGACCCAAGGGAAACTGAGGAACCGAGTCTAAATAAAAAAAAGTAAACAATAAGCATTGTATGAAGTGTCGAAATTTGTCTTCCATGATGAGTCACTTTCTAAAGTAAATGGTTTGAACCCGAGAGTATCATTACATGTTGGTAAATGTAGATCGTCCAGGTTGGTATAGTCCTGAGAAGGACTGTTTTTGTTGTTGTTGACTGACGTTTCGACAACCTTAGCGTAGTCATCTTCAGAGTCAAATGAGGAGTAAACGTCAGGTTAGCTGTATTTGTTAGCTGTATAAGAACCGGATAACAAATACGGCTAACCTGACGTTTACTCCTCATTTGACTCTGAATATGACTACCACTGGGGTTGTCGAAACGTCAGTTAACAACAACAAAAACAGTCCTTCTCAGGACTATACCAACCTAGACGATCTACATTTACAAACATGTCACTTTCTGTTATAAAAGGAAAACAAACACAAGACCATTTATCACTGCTGGCTTTATATTGAGAAGATATTGATTGGTTGCATAGTAAAAGTTTTGCTTTAAAATGGACTTAGCTAACGCATAAGTTGCTTCTACATGACATGACATTGAACCAGTGTCTTAAGGTAGGCCCTAGTATAATTCCGAATTTCGGTACAATTCATAGTTTATATAGTGTCAATATTCTGTACGATGCCATTATTTATCTTTTATAAGATAAAACAAACAGTAAAGTAAACTCTTGAAACTAGAATGATGCTGCTTATGCCTCAATTTTCAATAGTAAATGTGTTGCATCTTTGCATGAATTAAGCAAAAAAATTTTGAATATAAGAAGTGCTGGCACTTGCAAATATGGAAAATCTGTTTATCTTTGGAAGCTTGATCATGCATCTGCACTTATAATCGTTGTGGGTCAGTAATATATTGAAAGAACTGTTGATTGAGTTAATTAAAGCTGAGCTGCCTTTTCATCAACATATTTTGTAGCTGTTACGTCAGTTAAATTTTGAAAGTTTCAAAACAGCTGCTTTGTGGGTGATTATATATTTTTTAAAAAAATGTATAGGTGTTGGATTTTATATACCACCCTTAGTGACGGAGACAGTCTAAGCTTTACATTTCAAATGCAAATTTTTCAGCAAAATTATCATTCATCTTTTTTTAGAAAATTTTATACATTCATTCTTTTTCCGGTGAATAAACGTCTAAATATTTTCATTGTAAGAAGAGTAAAAAAACTGTACCAAAATATTTTTAGAGCCAGAAGTCGTTCTTGCATCAGCAGGTTTATAAACGTAGTGATACCAAGCAGAAGCCTTCTGCTTCATCTTGTCTGTCACCTAAAAATTAAATCATTTCTAAATTCCATTAAAAAATTATAGCATGCACACATTTGATTTTATAAAATACTAATAATTTAAATATGGTCTCCCTGCGCTGAAATAGCGTTTATACGGACCTAGCTAATGAAAGTCTACGTTTTTAATATAGAACTAAAGATTGTATTAAATATAAGAAAAAATCAACAGCTACAAGAAACTTTCTTGATTAAATTTAGATATTAAGTAAACCAACCTGACTTGAAGATAATGGCTCGCTTCCATCTAATTGAAATTCAGAAAAAAACAAAGTACGGAACTCTATTCGCAGTTGATGAATCAATTTTCGTACAACCACGGCAATTTGCGATCTCTCACGGCCAAATTCACCTTTAAGTTTGTAAAAATAACCGCTCAACATTTCTCCTTCCGATTTGATTCCATACAACGTCATCATATTCTGTAATTGCAATGCATATTCTGTATATGTGATGACGGCTGATTCGGAATACTGCTGGTAGCCAGGAAAGATTAGCCTGCAATCAATTTGTACTTGTTTTTCTTGTGCACTGCCGTTCATGATCTCTTCAAAATCTCGAACTTCGTGGAAAAGCCTCCCTAGTACCTTATGTGATATATGAACGGGTTTTTCAGCAACCATCATGAAGTCTGGGTAAGATGGTGGATGTCTGGGAGGACTGGATGCCGGCCATACTCCTGTTTTTGGCGCATCTACTGCTAAAGAGTGTAGCTCAGCAAGTTTGAGACATTTGGAGACTCAACACCTTCTTCTTCATAGTCTGCATAAGCTTTATGTTTATTATCAATAATTCCTTCAAAAACAAGTAAAGAAGTTCTTGAGTTGAAAATAATTCTAATTCACAATCAGTGAGTGATTGCTCAATAAAGTTAATAAAATTCTATGCGTTGTGTAATATAAGTAGTTTATGTTTAACATTTGCTTGAAATACATGAAGTCCTTATAGGAATATGTTCACTGGTTTTATGCGACGTTTCAAGTAATACACTTGGATGTATTTTCATCATAAACCAGATAATGAATTGAAAAAAATCTTCCTAAATTGGCATTTTTAATGCCATCTGGAATTATCAACGAATAAACATGAAATTTATTTCGTTAAAATATGCTGAACTGCCTTACCGAGTGCATCATGCTCAATATATTCTGCATAAAAATCAGCCATATCTTGCACAGTGATTGGACCATATTTTTCTTTCTTTGGTAAAGCTGGGTATTTCATAGGTTTGTGGAGGTCACGTCTTCGTTGAAAATCCTTATTCCAGGTTACAAAATAGAGATCTCCGTCGAGGTCTCCCCCTGAGGTATGAAATATAGTTTCAGCTATTTATAAAATTGATAACTTTTTTCATGTAAATAAACTAAATAAGATATGGCATAAAATGCATTTATGCGTATGGTGAATGTGATAATTTCAACAACAATGAATAAATTTACACAACACTTTTAATTTCATGTATTTTAATTCGGCGTAAATACACACAAGGGAACGAGGCTTCGAGCACGACATTTTGGTGGTAAAATAATTCAAATTAATTCTAAGATTAATTTTACAGAACGTACGGTATATAAAAACAGTTTCTTTGAAAAATAATGCACAAAAAATCAATGAAAGGCACCCAATTTTGATATACCTAAGGAGAAGTTTTTAATTAAAAATCAATGCAACCAAGGGGTAAACGCGTGTTAATGAAGCATTGTCGATGAAATTTACCTTTCTACGTAAAATTCACTTAAGAAACAACCTTAACTTTTCATGAAGCACAGGGATTGAAAAAGTTACAAAAAGATAAATGTTGAATTTTTTGGTGTAACTAACTAAATTGTTGAATGCAAAATCAACTAAAATTTTCTACCGATTGCATTACAGCGAAAAAGTAGGGTATAGCTCTTTGCAAGTGATTTTAAAGTATGTTTTAAAAAATAATGAAGAATTTAACAATTTGCCAATACTATGCAGTGTTGTTATTTTAAAGTAAGATATTTTGATAATTATTAATGAAAATCTACTATTGAACAATATAAAACATATATCTTTAAAAAGAAAATAAGATATATATTTTCCAATATACTTTTAACGTGATATGATTGATGTACAGACTCATTACAACTAATATCATTTTTGTATAAATAATGCTTCCATATCATACCTGCCATTTCATTGGGATGAGGACGACTTCCAGTTTGTGGAAACACAATACAATCGACTATGTGATGTAACTCAAAAATATCCACCGCCTCCAGTTGACGTACATCTCCCGGATGTAAACAGGGGTTACGTGTTACCATGACAGAACCATTAACTGTCCAGGACTGTTGATTGATTGGTAAATTCTCCTCATCTCCTTCTGACGTCATATGAGAACATTGAAGAAACACCTGCCCATCTTCAAGTAAACCAGTTTCATCCATAACGCCCATCATAAGTCTTCCGTCGTTTACAGGAACAAGAATTCGACTTTTCTTCATTAAACGATAAATGCGCTCCCTGTACAATGCACACATCAAAGACTTCATATAAGGTTCACATGTTAAAGACACGCCATGGTTGCTTAGACTCTTGTAATCGACTCCAGTTCGAATGATACTAGACATGCGCTGTAAAGCTTCAGACTCATTTAGCATCATTGCTGAAAACATAAGTTCTTATATTAGAGTGTACCATCAAGTGTCTCGACAGATAAAGATACTCGAAAGTAAGGCATCAGATAGAATAGGACGAATTAGGTTATGGGAAGATGCTGCAATGAAAATTTGGTCATTAATTTTTCAAACAAGATCTAAGTAACAAAGTTAATCAGAATCGTGGTCAGAGATTTGCAAGGCAGAAAGCAGATTTTTATTATGAACATAACAGTCCAACATAAGACTTTAAATAAATCCAGTAACATAATGAATTAAAATCAAAAATAAAAGGCTTTTTTTAATAATGAAGTTTCGTCTTTAACTTAAAAAATATCTTCAAATAAAATGATAAATATTTACATAAGGCTTTAAATACAAGCATTTGTTTACAGGGTGTTAGATTAGATAAGAGGAAAGCAGGAAGTTTGGATGAAAGGACAGAATGATATGTGTAACATTAATGAAAGGGCAACATATTAGAGAAGGTAATGGGAAATTGATCTGCCTTGGGTGTTAAGAGAGGGCTTTAGCTTATATATGAGAAAACATACAGTTTGAGCGAGTTATTTTTACGTCAAGAAATGGAAGTGAGGCTTTTTTTCAAGTTCAGATGCGAAGGAAATGTTAGGATGTTGGTGGTTGAGAAATAGGTAAGAAAAAGAGGTACGTGGTCCAACAATCGGAAGAGTAGAAAGCAATTATCGACGCAACGTTGCTAAAGGAGGGGTTTGAAAATTGAAAGTGGAGGAAAAGTTGTAAAGCCATGAATTCTCGTTGAAGGATATATAGATATTAGCGAATAGTGGGCCTGGGGCTGCCCATAGCCACACCATCAATCTGTTGATAAAGTTGACCGTCAAAAGTTTCGGTGAAATGACAGTTTTTGACAGAGACAGAAAATCTTCAATGAATTGTGAACAGTCAAGGCCTTAAAAGGACAAGTTATTATAACGATTATATACATTGTTTTATCAACTGGAATGTTGATGAACAATGAATTGACATCAAAGCTCCCCATCACAACATCATTAGCGTTAATCTCACTATTCAAAAATTCTTGGACAAAAGAGAAAGAATCCTTGATTACGAAAGAACTGGTGGAGACTGGTGTAAGAAATGTAATTTAACACCCTGTAAATAAATGGTTTTATTCAAAGCCTCATGTAAATATTTATCATTTTATCTGAAGACATCTTAAGTTAAAGACGAAACGTCAATATTAAAAAAATCCTTTTGTTCTTATTTCTTATTTGTTGTCGTAATGGCTTTATTAAAAGTCTTATGTTGGACTGTCATGTTTATGATCCAAATTAAATGTCAAATCACGCAACAAAAGGAAAAGACTATCAAAACTACATAGGATATTTACCAGCTAAGTTATCCAGCATTTTTTCTTGTAGGTGGATAAATACTTCGTCCTGAACACCAAGATTAGACAGTAACATGATTATTTGTTGATTAAGATAAGCAGCTTGAGGGCGAGATGTCTGTAGTAGTTCCACTCTTTTGTGATCCGACTCAAACTTCTTCATGCTGGGACGAATACAAATTTGTTTACCACGAAGTGTTGGGTCTACACAAAGGACACCTTTACAACCAGCAAAACGTATTTGTAGAGCTGAGATATTGCTTGATTTCCCCACCTTTATACAAACCTAGAGATTTCAAAACAACAGCTTTTAGCTTTTAACAATAAGGTCATTTTTATGTACATACATTGGTGTCGACAAGTTGGTAACCCTTCAAAATAACGTTTTCAAGATATTATATTCATTACTGCCTACAAAGAACATTGTCAACTATAATATTTAAAGTAAATTTTGGATTTTTTTTCTCATCAAATGTAAACCTTTCCAGTGATAAAATTCTATGTGTCAACAAACATTATATTTAAGTACAAACATAAATCTAATTCATAGATTGGCATCAGCTACTCGCGAGATTATCAAAGTGAATCAAGTGAACACAAATTCGTGACAGTATTTCATATGAAATTATTTCTTGCATTATCATGTCATATTAAGCATATTGTTTGTAGATATAGCTACATTACACTGAACAAAACGTACGGTAAGAAAAATTTAAAAGGAAGGCTTAAACAACTATAGCTTTTGGTAACATTATCTCTTTCATTTTATGATAATCAATGGAAATGTGAAGGATACCTCTTTGATAAGTTGAGTGGATATAGTCCCTACACCATCTGAAAAACAATATACGTCATATGGATCTTTAACATCTGGAATTTCCTGGCATCTTGAATCTTCAGAAAGTAAAACACCAACTGTGTCAATCGACGTTGAAAAACATTGACCCAAACGAGACATGTATGACGCAATACATCTTGTAAAAGAAAGAAGACGATTGAAAATTTTAAAGAATATGGCAACACGCAAATGGAAACATGTCCTTAAATTTTCATCAATCCCACAAAACAAAAAGCATGTTTCAATAAAGTGTGAGTGGAAAACTGATGGCATAATCTATAAAGCCATGTTTATTGCATTTTTTCCTGTGAATGCTTGTTATTCTATGAATTTTTAGTGGGCTGCTGGAAAGGAAATAAACTAAAGAAGCGAAGTAAATGTATTTAGAATGCAATAAAAAATAATTTAGAGTTAAAAATAGTATCTAATTATGCAAAACAATTTAGCTTAAAGACTTAAGCTACCATGTAGCTACGATAATTCATAGAATGGATGAAACCTTGAAAATCTTCCCACTGTTGTTCTTGAATCATGAACATATAGCTTAAGCAGGTTGTATATATTAAAACTATTGCAAAAACAACAAAATTCTAGTTTAAATTATTAAACAAACAAACAAATCGAATCGTATTAAACAAGGATACTCAAATAATTTCTGGAAGAGAACTTTTGAAGAGATGTCTGACTCAGTAAAAGAAAAGAATTCTGGTCGTTGCAACTATTTTATGTCACTAGTTATTGATCAAATTTCGTGATGATTTAACTCACCTTATCCCACTTAAATCACCCATCCATAAACGAATACGTGTTGTTTCTTCTCCGTTAGCTGCTTCAAAAAACCAGCATCCATGGCTACGCATTTGACTGTTGGAGCAGCCAAGAAAGTGATACACACGATTAGCAACAGGCAGTCCTTGCAACATATAATTTTTGATATCCTGCAATATCACTTCCAATGATGCATTTTGTCCTCGTAATTTCGAATAATCTTCTTCTCGTATGCTAACTGACATGAACATTTGTGGTTCATAATTGCGCAAAACTCGATTTGTCTCCATTACCTCTGGTGGAAATGGAATTACTCTAGTTGGAGTAAGCACCAGTCTTTTTACTAAAGCACAATGAGAAGGAACGGAGGCTGGCGTAACATGAGCACGAGTTAAACTTCGCATTCTTGAAACCAATATTGAAAGCTCTTCCTCTGGTTGCATAAAGTAGTTATGTGCTGCCGTTGACGACAGGTGATACAATGAGTTAATGCAATGCACTTGACTGATCTGTGTAAGAAGATCATAAAAGCGCGATGTTAAACGACATCGTACATTCAAATTGAGACCAATGAAGCATTGATGAGCATACTGAACTTCTTGTGAAAACACAGCAATACGGTAGCACTCATTTATATGATTCTTGATGGCAACTGGGGCGTAAAATATTCTCTTTCCATATCCTTTTAGAGCTTCTAAAGCATCATATAAATCTGAATTGTATGGGACACGAAACCGTAAACTAAGAAATTTGCCAAATTTCTTCCCTTCTTCGATTTGAACTCTACGAGACCACTTTTTTACCCAGACTAATTCTTCAACTGCGCTGGTTTGTTCAGCAGAAAAAGATGATTGTTCTTCATTAGATTCAGATTCACTGTCACTAGACGAGTCATCTGATAAAATTTCATCATTTTCATGAATTGGGCTGAAGTTTTGTGTTTGCAAGTCTGGTTCATAAAGTGGAAGTGGTTCTTCTTCTGGAAAAGAAGTAAAACATATGAATTCATCATCTTAAAATGTAAACTACAACAAATTATCGTAAGCTATACACTTTTAACCAAGATTACACAGCTTAAATTTATGCAGAATACTGAAAAAATCACAGTCAGTGTTTGTCTAAATGAGATTACAAATGGCTCTTCATCGCGAGAGCATTGCATGACCAGAAACTGAAAGCATTAACGATGAATTGATAATGCGAAAGTACTATTAATTTCAAGCTGGCAAATAAAATAGTTAAGTGGTTACTGTTTTATAAGATAAATGTTCAATCATTCAGCAATAAAAATCTTTTCATTGATTACTTATAGCAAGTTTAGCGCGTCAAATATTTTTGTGTCGTACAATATCAAACTCGCTTAAAAAAGAATCTTTAAGTAACTAATTTTACAAGTGAGCTTTTGTGAAAGATTTTCTTTTTAAACAAATTACCACTGTCTTTTAGCTAAATTACTTTGATTAAGGAAGACAGTGTGAGTCGGCATGGTACAGGGCCCATAGTACAGAGTCGGTAAAATGTTTATTTGTAGACTTACAAATTTTCAGGCATGTTTGATGATAATCTGTTAAAAGCAAAAGTAAAGATTTTTAAAATATCAACTTTCTATTATTCGGCAATCTACATTTGCAAACAAGTTTATCCATTTCAATCTTAAGAGAATGTATCCTTTGTTGCTCATATTAACGAAGTTTTTAACACATTAATGGACATCCATGCACGAAGGCAAATTTTAGGCCGCTGTTCATGAAATTCGCTTTTCTTTGTGACTGTTCAAAATAAGCAAATAGTTACATGATTGCTTGAAACAAGAATTTTTGTTTTGAAACACGCATCCGTATTTCCCATAAGGTTTTGCTAAAGATCTCAATTTCTCTTTATATTTACTGGAGACAGTCTCTCCCAGTTCTCTCACTTGAGACCATACTCGTTACCTACCAAGTGAGACATTAGCAAATGCACTCCAATCATCATTCTCATTAAAATCTTCCTTGTAAAGAGTTTCTTCATTGTTATCTTCGTCGTCTAGTTCAACTATTCCTTCATCTTCCGACTCTGAATAACCACGCAGATAATACTCGGTAAACGAGCAGTCATCAGCCTCCTCATCAAACCAGGAAACATACTTAGTTGCTGCTGACAACATTGGTACGTTTCGAAGGCTAAAGAATAAATCAATGGATTCTTTTTTCTCATTTGGAACACTTAAAACAACAAATTCGTGCATTTGGTCGTAACGAAACTCAATTTTATAAAGAATTCCATCATTTCTTTTAAAGACAATTGTGATCATCTTCAGATCGTGAAGAAATAAGATCTCAGCGCCACCATTACACTGATATTGCCACTCCTCGGAAAAAACTGTTCGATTTTCAAAATCTCCACCAGCAAAGAGTTGTATTGGTATGATATGAAAAACCATATTTCTGTCCAGCGGTTTTGTATCGCTTTCTAACCACATACTTGGTCCAACTTCACACCATGTTCGAACAATGTCGTCAAATAGCTGATCAGAGTTTCGATGCGTTTTATCTCCTTGCTGAGGTCTGACGTCCATTTTAATGGCCAACTGGTCATGTAGGCCATACGGGGAAAGGGATTTGCTTTTGGGTTCACTTATCGAAATATCAAAATGACTGCGTAGAGGTTGTATGCAGCTTTTGACTAAAAAATGGATAACCTTAATAAGTATTACATATTTGTAAATGTAGATCGTCCATGTTGGTATAGTCCTGAGAAGGACTGTTTTTGTTCTTGTTGACTGACGTTTCAACAACCTTAGCGGTAGTCATCTTCAGAGTCACATGAGGAGTAAACATCAGGTTAGCCGTATTTGTTATCTGATTCTTACGTCATTGTATTGTGTGTACAGGAAAATGTGTGGGTGTCAATTGTGTATTGTCATTGTGAACTAGTGTGAAGTGTAATGTTTTTAGCTGATCTTTTGTTCGTATTGTGAATAAGTCGTTTGTAAGGTGCCGGTAATTGCTTTGATCTGTTCAGGGTTTTTTTTCCAAGTTGGTATACCAACTTTCTAATGTAAGCCATTGTCTATAGTTAGTACTGTACGTAATGCAATCTCATTTGACTCTGAAAATGACTACCGCTAAGGCTGTCGAAACGTCAGTCAACAACAACAAAAACAGTCCTTCTCAGGACTATACCAACCTGGACGATCTACATTTATAAACATGTAACGATACTCGCGGGTTCAAACCATTTACTTTATTTTAATGAGTATCATTGATAATAAATCAATTTGTTTCTTACTCTATAAAGCAGCAGAACCTGACTACACTAAAAAATTCGAACGACACAATAAGTTCAAAGACCACGAGTAAAATGCATGATGCATGTAAATGCTAGTTGAATTTTAAGTTAAACTCAAGTTGAATTTTTTCAATGAAACATGATATGTGATACCTTAAGCTTAAAGGCTGAAACACACTGGGCAGTCGCTTCAGTCGCGCGTCCAAAGCGAATTGATGCGCACGCGTCAGTCGCTTGAACGCTAGAAACACACATGCAGCGACCATCGCGACTTTTACCGTGGCGTCTATTGAACATGGCGGTGATTTTAGTTTGTTACAGACACAGATATCACTTAAACTTTTATTTTGGCCTTTATTATAGCTACTAATATATGAATATTTACTCAGTACAAACTACACAAGCCAGTTAAAACACGCCAATATGATCATAGTCCATTACGCGTATATTGTGGATAATCTTATTCTGTGCACTTAGGTTGTGCATTAGGGTTCCAGTTTGTAGCTCCTATTGTCCCTATTTGATAAGTCATATAAAACTGAAAGATTCCAGTGTGAATTCACTATATATTGCCTTCGTTTTTTCAACTGCATTTATAAAATGTATCTATTGGCCAATCAACTTCAAAATGTTGAACTTTCAAAGCGACTAGGTGACGCAACTACGCTACTAGCTTAGTAACCACGCAAAGCGGTAGTTTTAGACGCGCGACTAAAGGGACTGCCTAGTGTGTTTCAGCCTTAAGATTGTGCTCCATGGTTTGTATTTGACACAGAAATAATAATTAATAATTTAACAAAACATAAAAAGAATGTAATTTTGACTCACCTGTTCGTTTTCTATCATTCTTGCTGTAGTATACAGTCACTGATACTGCAAGGTTCTTTCTTTTATTAACTTTACTTGCACGTCTTTTTTGTCGAGAACGCTTCTTTGGCGATGATAGACAAGTATTTCGATCCAATTTTTGTGTTTCACAACCTCTTGTATTTTCCATTGAGAAGCGGGCTTTCTCTTTAATAATGTCCTCCATATTGCGTTCTTTTATTTCAAGTTCTTTGAGCGAGCTCATCTAAATTGAATAACCTCAAAAAATTTAATTTAATCATAACAGTGTAATGTCATGAAATTGTAGCTAAATATAGCGACGTAATATAAGCTTTTGTTCAACGTGATAAAGATTTTGAAATATTTATACCTCAGCATCATCATTACACATGATTATAAAACGACTTCCGGAACATCTCGCTGCTCGACCACGGCTTTGTATTAAGGCGCGCATGCTCACGATGCTGTCGAATCGGATAACAAGATTGCATGCTGGTATATCAAGACCTTCTTCCAGGACACTTGTTGAGATTAGTAATTTGCATTTTCCATTGCGAAATTTTGTTAAAACAGGTTTTGCTCGTTTGTCCATTCCATGGCCTGCGTTCCCTTGCCACGACCGACAAATCTAAGATAAGGTTTTTTGGATGACATGAAAGTATAGTGTTAGCTGTAATTCGTTTATCAACGAATATAATAATATACGGAAAAAAGACGAAAACAAACCGTCAAAATTATTTATGTCAAAGTACGGAAAACTTTAAGACTTCTGTACAATTTAGTTTGAAACTTTCACATTTTTAATAATATAAACAATTACTGAATTCGGCTTTGGTGTGAGGTTTCCCTTAGGCAAATAACATTGACATCGGTATGAGCAAATTTTGATATTATGTGCTCAACATCATCCAATGATTGCTAATGCGTGTGATGCACAACAAAACAAGATAATTATTTACCTTTCAGGTTTTAGATACTCCCAAATAAGAGGATCTGTTGAAATGGCTTCACATAACTTTGTGCAAGTCTTGCGCATAGTTACGAAGACAATACCCCTGCAGTTTTCATTTCCTCTTCGAACTTTTTCAGCAAATTGTCGGAGTTCACGTCGTAGCTCATCAAAACGATTGGAATGGTGATCGTTACTGCAATCAAAAGCAACTTTAAGACTTCTAACATTCCTTATCAACCGTTCATAGAAGGAAAGGCCTGTCAACACTCTTTGACGTTGTTTGTCCATTGGATTTCCAGCTTCCTCTATTGATTTGAATACAGTAAACAAATTTTCACAGGCTTTTTTACATCCTATTATAGTGTTCACCTCTAGCACACTTAAAATACTGAATACATGCTCTGCTAGTGCCAATTCCTGAATTTTATCTTGTTTGTTTTGAAGTTTCTCCGTTTCCCGTCGTAATATTCCTTTGTAATTGCTGGACTGAACTTTGTGATCTCTTAAATCTGACAGTTCGGGCACAAATCGTTCCAAATATGGAAGCAGTGATTGCAAGTAAGTTTCTACGTTGTTTTCCAGTAACCTAAAAAATAATTAGAGATGACTAAACGTATTGTAAAGATCATGTGTCTTACCACAGTATAAATAGTTTATGCCAAAGGACTTGCTGTTTAAGATTTAGAGTTAGAAAGAGTTGCGTTAAATACAATTGGTGGAACTGAAAATGCTGTCTTCTTCTTATTAAATATATACTACAGCAAAGTAGTGAAATCATCATTGAAAATTATAGAAAATGATCTTTAGGTGCATGTATAAAAAAGCATGCAACGTTCTTTCCTTTTAAGCAAAAAACGACGAGGATATCAAAATTTTACCTTTGTAAATCGTCATGTTCCTTTAATACGTAGGTCATACTTGGTCTGTTCAAAAACAGCGAGAGATCTTGTTCACAGGGCCAAAGAACCTTGCAATCAAGTTTGTCCAACAGCTTGTCTATAGAAAATTTCTTAGGTACATTTAAAGCAATATGAGCGTTTAAACCTAATAAATAAAGGAGTCAATCAAAGGTCTAGTATTCTGAAGAAACTGACTACATGAACTCTGTCATGACGATCAACTTTAATGAGAGCAAACTAATAGAATAGTTAATAACGAACATACAAATTAAAATTTGCTAGAAAAATAAAAATTTTGTATAAAAAATTGGTGTTTCCACATCATTCTGATCTTGAAAAGATAAAGTGATCAACCGAATCTTTAAAATATTCGAATTAGTCTTAATTAGTACAACCTTTACAGAAATAATATTTTCATTGAACATATAATATTGACTACATTGCTAATGACTACTGATATTGTATGTAAGGAGAAAGAAGTGTGGAGAAAGAGCGCATACACGATTTACACACGTGCTAGATATGTTCATTTGTTTGTAATCAAAATGGCATGGAAGCCTTTTTTTTTTATAATATAAACAATCATTAGTATATTCATAAAAATTAGCATGAAAAATATTTACCTCTCTTCAACAAGTGAATACTTTGTCATAGTCTTAATTAGTGCAACCCTTACAGAAATAATATTTTTATTGAACATATAATATTGACTACGAATGTTTTATGAAGTGCGGTATTTGAAATTAAATGAAGATATGACCTTCGCACTTTGCTGGACAATTTAAGTAATCGTCTCAGGACCTGAAAAAATCAGGTGACTCAACGGGATTCATACCGCAGAGGTCATGGGTTCGAATCCTGTTGAGTCACCTGATTTTTTCAGGTCCTGAGACGATTGCTTAAATTGTCCAGCAAAGTGCGAAGATCATATCTTCATTTAATATTGACTACATTGCTAATGACTACTGATATTGTATGTAATGAGAAAGAAGTGTGGAGAAGGAGCGCATACACGATTTTATGCAACACACGTGCTAGATATGCTCATTCGTTTGTAATCAAAAGGGCATGGAAGCCATTTTTCTTTTATACTATACACAATCATTAGTATATTCATCATCAGCAGCATGAAAAATATTTACCTCTCTTCAACAGGTGAATACTTTGTCATAATTCTTGCATAAGAATGTTGTCCAGTGCAATTATGTGCCTCATCAAATACAATTGTAGAGACATCAGCCAATTTGAGCAAGTTTCCATTGTCAACTAAGAAATTGACAAATATCTCTGCAGACATAACCATTACATCAACAGTACGTTGCTCCAATGCTTGACGAACTTTGCCCCAATTGTTGCTGCCAACGTTTTCTTCATCTTTCTGTCCAGTTAGGAAAAGAACTTTCAAATTCGGCAGTTGCGCTTCAAATAAACAACATAAATTCATCATACACTTGAAATACTGGTATAATATTCAGTTCTCCTATTCACACCAATTCTTTAGTCATTATTTAAACATACACGACTGGAGGAAGATAATAAATGCAGGGAAAAACTAGAACGATAGTATTCATATATTCAGCTCTGTCCGACTGATTTCTTTTTTAAATTAAATCAGCTGAATATACCAATTCAGCCAGGCAGAGCTGAATATATGAGTATTCACCCCCCGTTAACGTTCTACACTCGGCCTTTGTTAAATGCAGGAATAATCTTTGTAATAAATGGAATTATTGCATATTCGCATGTTTACAATGTTAACGTTCTAATGCCTTTGTTAAATGCTCTAACCTATTAAGATTATTCCATAATTCGCATGTTACATTCTATGATTTCTCATTATTGACATACCTTTGAGATACATGAATTGCTGTTGAACAAGTGGTATCTTTGGCGCCAAAAAACAGCAACTTTAGTGGGATTAAGAAAACTCATGCATGCAATCGCCATTGCAGCAATTAGGGTCTTACCACATCCCGTAGGAAGATACACAAGGGAATTTCCTGTCATCGTTTCAAGAAACAATTTTCTCTGATAATCGCGTGGTTTATCCTTGGTAAGTTTAACAATAGTATTCTTACTGGTAAGAGTACAATTTAAGTAAACTAAGGGAATGGATCTAGGCCTCAAATTACTTTCTGTAGTTTTACTGGGTCTTTCAATAGATATACCCATATCTTCAAGGGATTTTAAAGCCTTTGACCATTTATTCCACTTTTTTTCTTCGTGTCTGGATTTAAAAAAAACTTCATTGGCACTGAAAGACAGTAAATCATTCATATAAGATCCTAAATAGTTCTGGCAGTTTGGTTGTCGACACTTTGCCTTGAAGGGAGCACGAACTCTTTTCCTTGGATCAGGATTTTGTATTTTTTCAATTATTTCATCCAAATCAATTCCTCTTTTCAAATTCATATGAATCCCAGCGCAACCAATTAAAGTGAATTGAAGATCTGACAACGAAGCTATCAAACTTCTACAATTTCTACAATGTAATGCCCAATCCATATTTACAATGATAAATGAGCACCAGCCACGTTGAAAATAAAAGTGAAACTACCAGCAGAATCCTAAAAAATCCTAAATAAAAGGTTATTTTTACACTGTTGATGTTTCTTATCAATTCATAAAGATGAATTCAACTTCCAAAATAGTTAAGATTGATACATATAAAGAAATGATTTTATTTCATTGATTGTGAATATTTTTCAATATTTTTCATCGTTAATTTTCCGAACCAATCAATAAACATGTGGTGCGATTTTTCATTCATTTAATTGGCTATAGTTGAATTTTTTAGTATCTTGATTGCCGCAAAGTTTAACAGTAGCTTTTGTGTCAATATTTTAAGAAAGAAAGGTAGCAGGACTTTTTGCAAAAGAATACTTAGGAGTTGGCTCTATTCACTATTTTGTTAAACTAGTTTATATATACAATGATGCGACTTATCAGGAAGATCAAGTTCTAGCTAAAAGGCTTAGTTGTTAAAACAGGCAACTCGTTGCTTCGAAACATGGCATCACAATTTATGTTTTTACTTATTTTTTTCACGTAGAGTATAAAAACGTACATGTAGGTGATGTTCGGCATGTCAACCATTTCGAAGGTCTTGTAAAACCAAATTTACTATAATCAATGCTATCGTTAACTCCCGCCGACGCAGACAAACATTTGATTTGTCTTTGTAATTTCAAATTTGTACCTAGAATTGTGTCATGTACATAAGTTCATATCACTACGCAACGTAAATATCGAAGCTAGAAGCTGATTTTAAATTTGCGTCAAATCTACAAGTTATTGTTCTTAATCGATTATTCACAATACACAACAATAAAAAATGAATATAAAGTCTCAATAAATGTTGTATTTGCCACAATTGAATGAAATTTTACAATAATCAAAGAAAGTACGAAAATTCTACTTGATATCTGTCTTCAATAAACGAAGACAACCGGTAAACGAAGACAATCTAATGTCGCCGATGAAGTAGTTTAATCCTACCTGAATTTTAAAGACTTTTTAGCAGTGTAACCAGTTCGAATTTACATATTTCAGAAGATGAATGTTGACTGCGATGCTTAAGTCTTTATATCGCGCTTTTGAATGAGTAACTGCATGTAAAAACATGTGACTAGCTCATTAGTGTGATTAATATTCTTTCACTTTCGACTTCAGCAGATGATATCAAAAGAACAAAAATTATCATATGAAAATATGCAATACCTATCATAAAATTGAAGACTGAATACGTTAATATTCTCACAAATTTAATCGTAGCAAATGGAGAAATGTTAAACTGCTATAATCGTAATCATTAAGCGCTTTCGCTTATGCGTCAAAATTGGTTTCTTCCAAGAAAAAATCCTTTTCCCAGAAAAAGCAATGTGCCGCATACAGTTACTATTTCCTGGTAATTCGTGAAAGATTATACTTCGCACTTTTTAAAATATGGTTGTGCCTACAAGAAAAGAATACTGCTAAAGAATTCAAAGTATATGTAAGTGGTAAGTTCATATTCAATTGAGTTCATTAAAAATATAAGCAGATGGACTTTAAATTAACGTTACATCAACTTCCTCCTTAATGAGAAAGAACTAATTTGCCATCTTTCCATTCAGTTCACCTTTACTTTAGCTATATAGCTAAAATCAATGAAATTGAAATTAGCTATTATTACAAAATTAATGAGTTTGAAAAGCGAATTTGTTTTCTACTCATACAGATAAACAAACATAAACTGACTTACTGACAAAGAAATTAACATTTCAAACAATGCAAATTAATGTCTGAAGTAAAGTCGTTTTCGCTTTATCAAAACATTTTAGCAGTGAAGCTCTTCTCATGAACTGTTCAATAAACCATTAATTCACTCATTGTTTCTACTTCTGCTCAAGATGATCATTGAGTGTGAAAAATAGCTTTATGACATCGTACAATCAGAATGCCTTACTAATGTACTTGAAATTAGTCTGTATTTGGAAACTATTTTGTACTTTTTTTAAGCAAATATAGCTAGTTATAAGATCTGTATTGTAAAATTGTTGATTGAAATGAACTTTTCAAAGTAGATCGACATCTTTAGCTCTTAGTATTCCATATAACTTCACGATTCAAGACTCTTGAAATAGTTATATAATAGTCAACCATCTTATAAAGCAAGAGCATGCATGTTATTTATATTTGGACAATGTCTAACTTTGTGCAAAATCTATCAAGACTTTAAAAAATAGAGGAAAAGCGTTGTTGCAAACAGTCTGCAAGTAAATACTACGTGTATTCAAGAAAATGGAGCTTTTACCTCCTTAGCTACGTCAAATTTTAGCCACTGATTTTGTTTTTTGATTTCAGACGTTAGTTTTCGAAAATAGTACTTATTGCTTCAACTTCCACGAGGTGCCTTGTTCATTCAACTTAATTACTATTTCATGTGGTTTGCTTACTATTTAAATGTTAATCGCAGCGTTCAAGACAAATATATAAACTATGCATTAATTATTTATTATATAATAGATAGAACAAACGGACAAAAACATGAACAACAATTTTACAACGCATTCATCTTGGTATCTTGAGTGCATTAAATGTAGAAGACAAGTGATTAATGCATCTGATTTGAGATTGGCAGAAGTTGGAACTGATGGAGGATTTCATCTTGCACTTCGACCAGAGCTTGAGCAGAAAATAGATGATATCATAATCAAAAGACAGCATCCTAAAGTCGAAAGGCGTGCTGAAGCTCCATTTAAAATGTTTTGTCAAAATGTTGGTTGCACTCAAGATCTTGGCGTCTATCAAATATTGGAAGGACGTTTTTTCTACGTATTTAGCTCAAAGTCTGTTCGTTTTCGATCAAAAAACGGTGAAATTCAAAAGATCAGAAGATGGAAGGAAAGCCGAGCTGATTTAGAAAGGATGGGCGTTCAGGTTTTGCGGGTAAATATAAATATTTTGTTTCCGAAGCAACATGAATACTGCTACAATTTAAATTCCAAATTTTAATATTCCACCATAACACTCACTAAAACCATATAATTATGTATTTTATAAATATGCAGCAAGTTAAAGTAAGTTTATTACTTTATTTATACCTTCACAACTTTTTTGTAAAATTCATCTAACAGACAAGCAAAATTTTTCACGAAGACTAAAATGAATTGCTCGTCCAGCGTGGGCTTTGGAAGCAAACATTTAAAATATCAACATATTCCTCAAAATGAAAAAGTTAAAAGCTTCTTTACACAAATTAATTTTTAGTCCATTACATAATTCTTCTTGGAGCACAAAAAGATAAAAAATTCTCAATAGGCACAACAAATTTAGTATTAAAAGTTGAAAAAAATTCTAGGTTAAAGCTTTGTGGCAACAAATATCTAAGCAAGCAGCCAATGAAAATGGAACCCAGTCCACTGTCAATGAAATGGTATATTGTGACGTAACAAGAACATCAGATGACCAGTTAAACAAACTCGTTGCAGACCAACCAAGAGAATATCAAAAAGAGTTATTTCGAAAAGCAATGTTAAGCAACGCCATCTTATATCTTCCAACAGGTTCTGGTAAGACACTAGTGGCTGCAATGGTTATTAATGCAATGTTAAAGCTCAATCCTGGAAAAATGACGGCATTTCTAGTTCATAGAATACCTCTTGTTTATCAACAGAGTGATTACATCAAAAGGCAGAATCCAAAGTTAAGAGTGGAAATTTTAGCGGGTGATTTGGCACGTTTTCCAGGCGATCGAGAGCACTGGGAACTAGTAATTAAAAATATTGCCAAAAAAAGCATCGATGTGTTAGTCATTACGGCACAAATTTTTTTCAACTTTCTTAAGGACGATGATGCAACGCTCAAGCTATCTGACGTTTCCTGTATTGTCTTTGATGAAGCACACAATTGCCGGGGCAATCATGTATTTGCGCAGATTATGCGACAATTTTACAATCCACTGAGAAATCAACAGAAACCTCTCGTACTTGGCCTTACAGCATCGCCAGCCGGAGCAGTTTCCATGGAAGAGACGCGTGAACAGTTAACGCAACTTCTTAGCACACTGCAAGCTCGTTGCATTATGCCAACGCTATCTAATGACTTGGAATTACACTGGAATAATCCTAGCACCTCTTACAGTTGTCAGCCACGGAATGCGATAAAGGAAAACCTTGAAGAATATCTTGTAGAATATATTACGTGTTTATGTCCTAAGATTGAGATGCTTTCAGGCATGCCCGGAGCTTTGGAAAAAAATACACCTAAATCCATTAATTTCAAAGGCTGTCTAAGATCAGTTATTGATCACTGTCACAGCCGGGAAGATCGTGTTCGAGGATTGGCACTAGTGACTCACACAATGAACGTCTACAGCGTCATTGAGCTCAATAGAGTTTTGGGTCCTGGTCATGCATTTCAAATTCTCGAGACAATTTTTCGATCTATTGATAATGCCAGGTAAAGATTTCATTTGTTGATTATATTTTAAAGTAACAGCATCAAAATGGAAAATATCTATATTGTAAAAAATCGCAAAGCTCAGATAGTAAATCATAGTATGGCTGTAGAATTATTTAATCTAAAAATACTAACATGAAATTAGTTTAATGTGAACTACTAAGCAAACGTTACTGATGGACATTTTAACTAAGTTGGTTAAAATCACTTGATATTACAGAATATAGTGATTAAATTGTTTTAACTAAAAGCACTTACACATAAATTTAACATCTTGAATGAAAAAATTTTAACTTTAGTTCACCGATGGATTTGATTGCAAAACGTGTCTTAAAGCTCTTACCAAATTATGAAACATTGAAAACACAGTTGATGTCAATGTCTAGAAGTTGTTCTAACAAACCGTCCGGACGCTTTGAAGAACTGCTAAAGATTGTACGAGATTTTCTTAATCGTGTAAAGAAAGATCCCTCTAGTCGTGCTATTATCTTTGTTCACATGCGCCGCACGTGTTTGAAGCTACAGGAAGAGTTGAATAAAGACACTGAGATACGAGAGAAATTGAAGCCTTTAGCATGTGTGGGCCATGGAAATGGTTTTGATGGTATGCAGTGGAAGGGAGAACAAGAAATTGTTATTAACAAGTAAGAGGACCATAAAAGATAAATATAACATAAAAAACATAGTTTGTTGTGTTCACTAGTCTAAAAAATGCCTTTAAAAGTTCAATGGCTATGGCGAATGGTTTAAAAATACAGACTTCCCAAGAATTCTAAAAACCAACAGAAAGCCAAGAGTTTCTTGGGTTCGTCAACTCTAAGAATTCTTTTGTTTTTCAGAACTCTTAAAAACTGTTTATTGCTTGGCCTTTAACCACGGCAATTGCGCTTTTCAAGGCAATATATTTTTTGAATATATGTCGCTTGTTTTACGTAAACGTAATAAATAATGAAATTAAATTATAAAACTTATTTTAATCGTAAGGTTTCACGCTGGTGATTGCAAACTATTGATATCAACCAATGTTCTTGAAGAAGGTTTGGATGTACCAGCATGCAATTTGGTCATTCGCTATGACAGTCGTGGTACAAGTCTTCGGGCCCTGGTGCAAAGTCGTGGGCGAGCAGCTCGAAGAGCCGATAGTAGGTTTGTTATCATGTGCAACAATGATGAAGAAAAACAGCGTTATCTTGATCTTGCTGTGAAAGAAAAAAATATTGAAAGAGCTGTAAAAGAGAAGGTAAAACGAACTTCAATATAGTTTTGAAAAAGTTCATATGAATTTTGATATTTCTTTTAATGAATAATTTACTTGTCAATTAACCCTTCAAATGATAGGTATCTTGCTTGGGATTAAATCAATTTGCCATTTATTATTTTGCTTGTCATTTTTTACACTTGAATCGTGTTTTACTCTGATTGTTGAAGAAAGGTTTTTGGTTTTGGTATTACTGAACTTATTATTTAATAGCTTTATTTGATTACAACGTTAGAATTGTTTGTTGCTTTTAAAACAGTGCATATAATTAAGTTAAGTAAAAGAAACAGCAAAAATCAACAACGAATGTCTGTTTCTAGCAATTTGAGGTATACGTTTTCAGTTTTTGTACCACAAACCATTTACTATAAATCAACAATGGCTGGCAACAGAAAAATCTGTTTGTCACAAATTCATACCAATCTAAGTAAGTTTTCGAGCAGCTTTGACAGTGTAGCGTATATCACCCACAGTTTGCAGTAACATTTTTGCTTTTCTCTTTAAAGGCAGCAATTAGTTATTCGGATAGTCAGGCCGAAAAATTTGGTTGTAAAGCTCAAGCCATTGGAACAGGCGTTTCTAAACAAAAAAAACGCAAGGCCAATAAGGAAGAAGAAACAAGTAAGAAGAAACGACGTAGTTTGCAAGCTCAACTAAAAGCATGTGCCAAGTTTACCCTGTATTATCCACCATCCACGCAAATTTCTGATGCCGTAAATTTCCTTGAAAAATATTATGACATCACTCACTTTCAACCAGATGGTCCAGGTGGACAGGTTTCGAAAGGCATTGGACAACATAACAGGTTTGTAAGAATCATTATATCAAATATTTAAAGGAAATACGACCATTATTAGTGAATGTTTTCACAATGAACAGTTTTGTCTCTTTCGAATAGTTTTCGTCAAGTATCCTATCCATCACTTGGTATTTTTGTTTTATTTCTATGATATAATATGTTATTTTGTTTCGTCAACAGCCCTTCTATGATCTTTCATTTAAAATTTGATTTTCATTTGCTTTCCTAAATAGACGCATATATAGAGTTTTAACATAGATAGGAAAGGCATAAAACGTTCAAAATGTTTTTTTTTTACACAATCAAAATAATACAGAAATCGTTTTTCGAGAATTTTAAATCCAGCTATGCTACCCATGAAAACGTTTGACAGTTGATCATATTCCATTGAGTAAATTAACGAAATCTGCATAAAATTATGGATCTGCATGAAAATTTGAATCTAACAATCTTTTGTCGGGCGATCCCTTATTTTAAAAATGGATTTGTTTGCTGATACTATTGCAAAAACGTGATCCTGTTTTTCCGTTTAGGATGCTTAAAGTGTTTTTAGACATAAAAGAATCTACGGATTCCAGGCATTATGAAAATAATAAAACAAACACCAGCAACGAACTCAGTGAAGCAATTGTTAACACTTGGTGTTCAAATGGACCAAAGTTTATGTGGCTTGAACGAAGAGGGCAAGCTCGTGGTCGGGGCGCAAGCGTGCATCCTTTATTTCTTACTGGTATTGGTGTGGGAGATTTTAAAGATAGGTATATATGTAGTATTCTTTCATATTTTGAATTCTATTGGGATGGAAATATATATGAACACTTTCAATTGCGGGCTGCAATTTTAAAGTTATCGAAATATACAATGTAAATTAGCATTGGTTGAACCTTCAACATTTCCTCCAGATTGGCACTTTGCTCATATCATTCGTTGCAAAAGGCATTTGCGTGAGACTTGCACGATTTTTTGACTTCATTGATATTGAAAATAAGCATTAAATCCAACCATGTATAGGAATGCTCTCAAAGAATATACTTTTTGAAAGATCGAAGTTTGAATACAGGCATTCAAAGTATTGCCATAGTGAAACAGTATTCAATTTTACTTTAAAATGAAGAAACTTTGACTCAAAATATATTTGTTCCTAGATCAACATTCAATGAAGAATGGTTTCATACGACGAATACTGGAAGTATGATCATTTTTGAACATGACCTTAAAAACGTTACAATTGCATTTCAAAACCAGAACGACGGAAACGTTATGAAATTGGAGTTTCCTTATAAGGAAATGCATGATTGCGTCATAGTGGATATGGCAAGACCTAGATCGGGCGATTGTACAATAATTATTCCATTAAGAAGCATCCCAAAAGTTTTCGAGGCCGAAGGTAGTACAGCACTTGACGTTAATAATCAATTTATTAATTTAATGACTTCAGATAAGCCGCATTTATTTATTCGTAAAGTTCTGTTCTGTTTTGAACGAACATTGACCGCATTCAATATGAAATACCAGGTTTTTACAACAACGATGCTGATGCTGACGAAGACAGTCGTTTGCTGGAGATGTTGGAGCAAGGAGAGATTATGTCGGAGTCTGATGAAGCTGACGATGAATCAGGCGATGACAGCAACGAAGAAGAAAAAGGTGCTTCCATGGCAAACACCGGAAATGAGGGAAATGAGAGGAATATGGAGCCTCAAACTGAAATAATTGGAAAATTGAAACTTGTCACAAAATGGAAACGTCTTAATCAAATACCGCTTGAAAAACATACTTTTCGATTTGGAACATTTGGTAATTCCATGGCTGTGAAAATCGTCCTTCCGCTTAATACAAACGTTTGGGATTTGTTGCGTACATTGGGCTATTACGAAAGGCGAATATTTTTTACTTCCATTGAAACGAATCAAAGATCAATCCACAACTTGTCTCTCAATGTTGAAGAAAAACTAAGTCTGAAAGTTCAATACGCTGTCGAATGTCTGACGAGTCGGCATCCTTCCGTCAGGCAGAGAGTCAGCCCTGCATTTATCCAAAAATTGTTAAAATCCGAGGATAAGAAATGTATTGATGCATTAGAAAGGTATAAATCGTTAGATAGAAATGTTTCTCAGATAAAAATGTTTCTTAACAAGTAAAATGTCTTTTAAAAGTTAGAAAAAATAAACATGTCGATAGATTTTTTAAGCTCAACTAACGCACTACATTGGCGTTATTTTCCGTGTTCATTCTCTGTGAAAACCATGGAACTCTAAATAAAAAATGTCCATAATATTTTGAGTAGTTGGGCTATGTTCATAGTGGTTCATTTTGAGTAGTTGGGCTAAAACGTGAGAGCTCCTAAACATTTGTTTTTGGATTGCTGATGTTAGGTTTCTTTACAGAATCGCTTTGCTGCTTGATGATGAATATTTCGTGGATCCTGAAAGTACGTTGCACCATTTAATGGATACCTCGACAACCCTAGGTCGTCGCAAGCTTGTTGTACCAGAGAATTGCGTATTCGTTCCACGTGTAGTTTTCACACCAACACGTGTAATTTTCTTTCCACGTGAAGTGATGGAAAAAAATAGGGTCCTACGACATTACAATAAACTCGAGTTTGTCTGCCTGCAAATTAGGGATGAAGATTTCTCCAGGCTGGCTGGTCACTCAGGCAATATTAACGAAATTTGAAAAGTTGCGACAGATATTAATAAACGGACTTAAAGTTGGAGGGCGGACATATCAATTCTTGGGTAGTTCTAATAGCCAATTACGAAGTCACAGTAGCTGGTTTGTGCTGCCAACATTGGAAGAAGATGCAAATACCATCAGAAAATGGATGGGAGAATTCAGTCATATAAGGTTCGCACATTGAAAATTCTCATGGATGTGTTTCAATATTATATCTTGTATGTATAGATTCTGTTTCTGCTAATATTTACTTTTATTGCTCAGTTGCTTTGTTTGTTGTTTTTTTTTTAAAAATTCACATGCATCACAATTTCCACCACTTTTGGCAGTCGTTTGATAATTGTCTTTTTTCAATCACAAGTGAATGGAACTAATACATGAATCTCGAGCTCTGCTAAAATTAAAATTGAAAGCAATAATTAACAACATTACAAAAACAAAATAAAGTGTGAACATTAAAAATTTTCGAATTTTTATGATAGATGTGTTGCTACGCTAATGGCAAGAATGGGCCAATGCTTTTCAACCTCAACGAATACGGTTACTGTTATTCCTGAAGAGACTGGAATCGAGTATAAAGAGATCGAGGACGTCACAATTTACGCAGACGAACAGACATATACATTTTCAGATGGCGTTGGACGTATTTCATCAAATACTGCAAAGGATGTATGTTTTTTAATTGTGTTAAGTAAATTATCCAGGCCTTTTTTTAACGTAAAAAACATTTGATTTGTGGTTCACGTTGGTTTTCCCGCCGAGAAAAACTGAACGCAGCATAGAACATGAAAGTATTGAAAAATTCTGTAAAACACTATGTTGGATGGTTTTTTAATGTATTTTCTTCAAAATACTTCTTCAAACTTTACTGGAAACTAATAAATACTAAATGTATCATTCTTTGCCACTTTTTGACACACGGTTCCATTTGATATTTTTTCTATAGGTTTCAATGTTTATTGACAAAAAGGTGCCACCAAGTGCATTCCAAATTCGTTTTGCTGGATACAAGGGTGTATTAACTAGTGATCCAAATATACCGAAAACCTAATACAACCCAGACCAAGTATGGGCAAGTTTAAATCAACACACAGGCAACTTGAAGTATTGCAAACGTCTCGTCCACAAGCAGTATACTTAAACCATCAACTTATCATGTTATTATCAAATGTTGGCGTACCGGATGACGTCTTTATGAAACATCAAGAAAAAATGCTCGATAAACTTGCTCGTACGTAGTATCACGTTGTTATTTATAGTTCCTTTTCTTGGTAATTTTCTTTGAAACAATGTGGTTAACTGAAGTTTAATAGCTAAATGAATTATGGGGGTTGTCCACAGAATTAAGACTAACTTTGAGATTTAAAATTTGAAAGGTAATAGAGAGACGTGGAGTGTAAAATGATCGTGTAAAACAGCCTTTTTATACGTAAAAATTAGCTTTATGTGAACATGGCTCAATACTAAATCATTCGTGATGACATATGCATTTCAACCAAAAATATTGTATATTTACTAGGTATATATTAAAGTTGATGGTTTAAACCCGGCAGTATCGTTACATGTTTGTAAATGTAGATCGTCCAGGTTAGCATAGTCCTGAGAAGGACTGTTTTTGTTGTTGTTGACTGACGCTTCGACAACCTTAGCGGTAGTCACCTTCAGAGTCAAAAAAAATGTCTGGTACGATGAGACATTATTTGAACAACGGGTTTTGTTCTATAGAAATGATGACAGACGAAGAAGAGGCAAAACAAAGGTTATCTTGTGGCATACGAACAGGAATAAACTACAAAAACCTTAGTGAAGTTGGTGTGTATCTAACTACCGAACCTTACTTTCGCTCTCTGCTTTGTGCACTATACAAAGAAAAATTGCATGGTCTATTATCAAAGTCAAGAATTTTGTTGCCTGTGAGTAAAGCACGACTTATGATGGGTGTCATGGACGAAACAGGACTTCTTGAACCTGACGAAGTTTTTGTGCAGTACACTAGAATACGTGGTGATGGAGATGAAGATTTCACTGGTAATGAAAAGACCACTCTTAAAGGAAGAGTCGTTGTTACTAGAAATCCTTGTCTACATCCGGGAGACATACGACAGCTTGAGGCTGTTGATATACCAAATTTGAAACATCTTGTGGATTGTGTGGTTTTCCCAAGCAAAGGAAGAAGACCACTTCCAAATGAAATGGCAGGTAAACGAAGAATCTACTTGCACAATGTTTATAACTCACTAAAATTTAAAGGGATGGTTTTTGATTTGAGATTTTTCACATGTATGAATCATTTGTAAATGTGAAACGCAGTTTTCACTGAATAAAGCCCCTTTAAACATTATTAACGTTATTTTTGAAAATGCAATTGCAACTTAATGTTATGTATGTGGTTGATTTCTATAATTTTACACCATTAAGTCACATCGTTTTCACACGTTTGAAATATAGTATAATGATTTTTGGACGGAGACTGAAAAATAAATATATATAAGGATGGAGTGTGATTTTTTAGGTGGAGATTTAGATGGTGATCTTTACTTTGTGTGTTGGGATGAAGATATGTTACCAAAGAAACAAAATTTTCCACCAATGAACTACAAGGCACCAAAGAAAAAGGAAGAATCATGCCAAATAACTTTGGAGCACATGACAGACTTTATTACTGAATATATTAAACGAGATCAGCTTGGTTAGTGACTAAAATGTTCACACACACTGAAAATTGCAAAGCTTACGAAGTTTGACTTGAAAATTACGAAGTTTGACCGTGTAAGGGAATGGCACGAGGAAGTTCGTTGTTGTCGCAACAATGTTTTCGCGCCAAAATTACGCAGTCGTACTCGTAGTCTTTGTTAAAGCTCTCTAATATGCATTTTGAAAGTTGAAAAAAACATACACAAGCTTTACTAATATCGTGATATTATCATAAATTTATTTCTATTCTGTTGGAATGCATAAACAACATTCATACACAACAAACAACATATTTACAATAATGTATTTCAAACCATCATACTTCATCTACCCATTACTGCTCTTAAAATGATTTTTATAAATCGGGGAGAATTTGGAAATAATTTTTTTCTTCATATTATATGTTTTTTTCTCTGAAAGGCTAAACTAAATAATTTTGTACAAAAAAGACTGATCAACAAAATACGTATCTCAAAAACGTCCTTTTTTATCAAATAAAGTTATAATAGTTGTATTTAATATCTATGTTTTTGAAGCCAAAACTACAAAAACAACTACAAAAACAAACTAGTACTTCAGATACACAAGACAACTAACTTAACTTAAAAGTTAACAAAGATAAAATAACGTGATTTCAATGAATAATTATGTACGCAAGATTTTACTTTTAAAATATAATTTTATAATTATAAATAATGAAAAAATAAAACATTCTTTAATAATAAGCACAACATTTCTTTTAATTAGTTTTATCAATATCATCATACATTGATGTAGTTACATACCACTGAATCTATTTCCTACTATTTTTCAATCTTCAGGGATCATCGATAACACACATAAAGCACAAGCGGATTTTCAAGGAAATGGAATCGAGTCAGAAGTTTGTCTTCAACTGGCAGAGCTTCATTCCTTAGCTGTTGATGCTCCAAAAACTGGCTTATGGCAAGAAGTTCCTGTTGGTGCACGACTCGGGAGTATCCGGATTTTATGATGAAGTCAGACAAACCTTCTTATCCTTCACAGAAAATTCTCGGAAAGCTCTATCGAGAATGCAAATGTTTTCAGGAATCCATGAATTTCTGCTCACCTAGTAAAGTTGGCCATGTAAATCCAATTTTCCTTGTACAAGGTTTTGAAGAATATCTTGAGCAGGCGCAGGATTCTTTTACAGAGTACACAGAGCATATTGAGAACATTTTGAATTTATACGGCATCAAAACAGAGGAAGAATTGACGAGTGGTTGTTTTATAATCTTCAGAAAAAATTGGGCAGAGAACGACAGCAGGTTTGTGATGTTTACTGTTTTAAATTTTGAAAAATAAAAGGTAGAAAGGTTAAAAGAACGTTTTAACATCTATAAAAAATAAAATTCATTATTCGTTTGATACCAGTGACAATGAGTCAACAAAAAACTCAGATAACTCTTTCCACTTGTATACCAACGGAACTACACGAAATATCTCATAATTTTTCTATTTGCCACTACTATAAACATTTTCGAATTATTACACAGGTAACAGATGTTGTCAGACGACTAATGGCGGAGATCCGCGTCACGTTCCGACGACAGTTCTTCACTGAATTCTCTCGCGATCAAGCTCCACTGGACAATTTTGAAGTCAGCGTAGAAATGCAAAAAGGCTTCTGCATGGTATTACGTTGCTTACCAAAGTAAGAAAGGTTCATATAACGATGAACATCGTCAAAACGCTTTATTGGCTTTCCTTGGATTGTTGATGAAGTCCTAGTCACTATACCTCCCAGCAAGAAACTTTCCTTGAAGCAAAAATCGCACCAGAAAATGCTTACTCAAATATTGCAAATAGCCTAGGTAATCTTTTCTCGAAACAAGCAGAAGAATTAATTGAAGGCTACCAGCATCGTCTCCAGGTGAAATCCATCGTTGAAAGTACAATTGTATCAAAAAGAGGATCTGGTAAAGTTGTCATGTTTGGATCTTCAGCAACACTATTCTTTGAAGGCAATTCAGATATCGACTTATGCTTTTTGCCTGCCAAGGAACTAATTCTTAGCAAAAATGAAGTGAGCTTAGCCAAAAATATCCGTCATTCTGAACAAGAAAAACTTTTGAAGAAACTGGAATCTTGCCTTCGGACAATTTACAATGGCGTGCATTTTGTTAAAGCGAAAGTTCCCATTTTCAGATTAGCTGGTCTAAAGGACAACGAGTACACATCAAAGCTCTGTGTTGACTTCTGTGTTAATCCAGATGGGTTCCTTAAGGCCACAGTCGTATCCTGTTATATACATAAGAATCCACCACTTTTGCCATTGTTGCACATGCTTATAAAGTGGGCACGTGACTCTGGATTGATAACAAAACGTGAAGGCTCGTTTATTAACACAAATGTGCTTACTTTTATGCTACTGTCATTTTGCGTTCGTGAAGGCTGTCTGTGTGTACCGGAAGTAGAAGATGTTGTCATGGAAATACAGAAAATAACAACAGACCAGGTATTAACAAAAAATCCTATTTACAATCACCCAAACAAATGAACTTACAGGTTTTGATTTTATTGATATTATGCTTTCAGTCGTGACTGACCAATTATAGGAAAATGAAAAAGTCAGTTTGAACTTTGAAATAGAATCGAAAATTCAACATTTTTCAAAGAAGTCAGTTTGAACTTTGAAATAGAATCGAAAATTCAACATTTTTCATAGAAGTCAGTTTGAACTTTGAAATAGAATCGAAAATTCAACATTTTTCATAGAAGTCAGTTTGAACTTTAAAATAGAATCGAAAATCTAACATTTTTCATACAATACTTTTATGATTTTTTAATTCAAATTTTTGATTCATTGTATCGTTGATTTGGCACCATAAACTTTCATTGAAATAATCGGACGACTGTAATTTTAACTGATTTCTAAATTTTACAAAACAATGTAGTTTACTGACGAAGAAGAGTTGGAAATTTGGGGAAAAACACTGGATGAGCTGTCGGGTGTGAACGTTGAAAATGACGAAGATATTGACATGGAAGTCAACTCAGAACTGAAACAACAGTACCACTTTACGCTAGGTCCCAGGAACATTCCACTTGGTTATGTGCTACTGGAGTTCTTTCGTAGCCATCAGTCAATTATTGACTGCAATATTCCAAACATCTTTAGTAGCTTGCTAAGGGCCGAGCAATTTTCAGATCTTCTCGGTGAGGGAGATGCACAATTGCTTCATGACCAAATGCAAAGAGCGTATCACATATTAGCATTACATTGTGACGTCACAGTTCTTCTTGAGGTTTGCTCTTCAAAAGAACAAATTTCATGTCAACTCTCGGATCAACTGTCTGCATGGATCGCTGGATCTGAAAGCCATCACTCCAAGCTATTCTCTGAGAAATCTGGAGCTAAAGTCCGAATCAGACCTCGCCTTCCAGGACTCGGTACCAATCTCCTGTTAGAGGCGTCTGGTACATCTGTTGCATTAAGGTTTGTATGTCAGAACTAAAATCTATGTTTCATCAATTTGTGTTTTATGTTGTAATTTATTAGTTTTTCTCAAACTATCATGTTGTAAGATTAAACTTTAAAAGTGTGAAAAGTTGACTTTTATTATTATTTGCGAAACTCAAAAGAAATAAATCATTAAGTTTCATTCGTAAGTTTTTCTATAAACAATGGCAAGTATTGTGCAAAGATTAATTTGGAGATTTTCACAACTGACTTGCCAAACAGACATATCTTATGAGTTTTATTGCTTAAGCATGAGGATTTTCTAGGGTATAACGAGGATGCGTTTTGGTGCATATAACACATTGTGCATCAGAAAGCCTTACACAAACAATTTTTCGATGATGCTTAAGCATGAGGATGTTCTAGGGTATAATGAGGATGCGTTTGAGTGCATATAGCACATTGTGCATCAGAAAACCTTACGCAAACAATTTTACGATGATGCTTAAGCATGAGGACTTTCTAGGGTATAACGAGGATGCGTTTGGATGCATATAACACATTGTGCATCAGAAAGCCTTACACAAACAATTTTTCGATGATGCTTAAGCATGAGTATGTTCTAGGGTATAACGAGGATGCTTTTGGGTGCATATAGCACATTGTGCATCAGAAAGCCTTAAACAAACAATTTTACGATGATGCTTAAGCATGAGGATGTTCTAGGGTATAACGAGGATGCGTTTGGGTGCATATAACACATTGTGCATCAGAAAGCCTTACACAAACAATTTTCGATGATGCTTAAGCATGAGGATGTTCTAGGGTATAACGTGGATGCGTTTGGGTGCATATAACACATTGTGCATCAGAAAGCCTTACACAAACAATTTTTCGATGATGCTTAAGCATGAGGATGTTCTAGGGTATAACGTGGATGCGTTTGAGTGCATATAACACATTGTGCATCAGAAAGGTTTACGCAAACAATTTTACGATGATATTTATGAGTGATTTAAAAATATGTACGAAGCCTTGAAAAAGTACAACTGTATAAACGTATTAAACAAAATGAAACAATGAGTTATGCAAGTATTAACCACGAATAATTTGTATTTTCTCACGTTGAAATTTACTTGGAAAAGTTCCTTAATCAATATAAAAATTTAATTTTAGACTCTTAGAAAACATTCTCGACGACAAATCAGCAAATTTGTTGGCACAGCCATTTTCCAGCCTTAGCATTTGCTTTGTCACTGAAGCCAATGTGATGATCTTCGAAGGTAGTCATAGCGACAACGATTTAGTCAATTTGGTTCCATATTATGGTCGGCATCATGCACATCACGACTATCTTATACGTCACGTTCCCCTTTTGGCTTATTCACCACCACGATTATCAATGACAGAACCTAATGAAAGGTGTTTTCAGATATTCTTTGAGAAACTTTTACGTCAGCTGGAAGTTATCGCCCGAGACTACACTCCAGTGGTGCATGGCAGAACGCTTCAATTTAATGTTCACTTTGGTCGTTTGTACACATTTGACATTCCCAGAGCAATGATAGAGGACACTGATCCTACAACAGTTAGAACGATTCAAATATCCCTAAAAAGGTATTTTGCCGAGTATTTTTGATCGCAAAACAATGAAAAGGATTCTAATTTATGCAGAACTTATCATTTCATAGTTTGTTATAAAATAACAACAATAAAATGCGTGCGCTCATAGGTCTTTAGCTATGTCCGCATTAGCCTGTCAAGCCAATTTTTGTTAACTCAAATCAATCTTCGAGAATTTGCTAGTGAATCGTGAAAACATGTTAAAAGAAAAATTATCGCAAACGTATCCGAGGTTTGCAAAAACCATTGCTAACACGAAAATCGTCTTTTCTTTTTTTTGTAAAATAACAATATTGCAAAACAAATGAACTTAACTAAAGCAAAGAATTTAATTTTCCCTCTAATATGTACTCATAATTGATTTGCTAATTCTCTTTAATTGATTTAATCTACTGAGATCTGTATTTCATGCTTGAAAAACTTGGCACATAGAAAGATCAGCGCATGCGTTTCATTATTTTCTTCCACTAATGTACAATGTAATATAACTGACACCTTAACTAATATTTGTTTGAGAAATTCTCTCTATTTGAATTAATTTAGTAAGTTACAGAGTTTACGCTCTTAAGAAAGGTGCAAACTCTGAAAATATACTATAAAATGATTATAACAAATATAATGAATCATTTTTCAGGTTTTGAAAGTAAGGCAGCCTCGTTAATGTCGCTGGAATCAACAAGCAATACCAAAAAGCTATTTCGCATGCAACCAAAGCGTCGAAAGAAGCAAAATCGTAAAGATGAAATAAAAAAGATGCCGAACAGAAAATAAAAAAATAATGCAAAACGACAGCCAAAACACTCTTTTTTTACGAATATTCCGGAGAATTGTGCTGACAAAATTACAACTTATCTTCAAACACAAGGTTTCATGGAAGATCCAAGTTTGTCCTCACCATATTATCTTATTATCGTTAATGCAGACGATGGTAGAGAATGCGATATAATATACGATTCAGCTTTTAATCCGAAGTCTATCCGATCTCCTAAACTGCGATGGTTCGTGGCTGATGTAAAACGGCTATGGCAAGAAAGATTTTCCATTCCAGACGACAATTCTGCCGATGCAAACATGCTGAATGGATCCGAATGTGATTTTAGGTAAATTGCACGCGAATTTCAGCGTCGTGTTTACAAAACATAAATTTGTGTCAATCATCCATCCTCCCTGCTATGAAAAATTAAGCATAGCACATAAGAGCAATAAAGGCCATTCATTTTTCCAAGTCTTGTGAACCAGTCAAAAATCTGTACTATTCGTTCAGTTTTAACTATCAAATTATCTACTCTTACGACATGGTTTAAATAATTGTATTTTTTAAATAGATTAATGGTTAGATCATTTGAAAATTTTCCACCGAATGCGGTCGAGAATTTACCACAGAAAAAGTTTCTCGATATTCTAAAAAGAAACACATCATATCGACAGAGTAATGTGACACAACCAGCAAGTCCCAGTCAATCCACTGTTTCACCCTATCCATTCCTCATTGATCTTAATTGTAAAAACAATATGGCAATGATACGTCATCATGTACAACAGAAGGTAAGAAGAAATTCACAACAAATTTTTATTGCCTAGTTATTCGTGAAAAACTTAGGCTAAAAAGTGCTTTTATTCGTGAAATTCAAATGCAGGAGAGCATTAGCTTCATGGAAGATTATCGGTTTGAAAATTCTAACTTCAGAGAAATCTTTGAAACACATTCACAAACAACCTGAAATATGAAATTTTGCAAATGCTTTAAAATCGCGAGGTTCGAACAATAAACTAATTAAACAATTCTTGACATGACACTGGTTTGGTTAAAAAAAACACGAAAGAAGTCAAAATTCTTTAATTTCTCTCTATCGACTTGTACTTGGATACTTCATTTTAGACTTTACCTACTAAGTCTGTTACAAATTGTTTATTCTACGATAAAGAAAAAGTATACATTTTCCTGTTTAATCATTCCCTTCAAAAACCAATGTTATTTATTTTATATATTTTAAGGTTTTTACGTACAACAAAGATTATTCAAATAGCAACGAATTTCTCGCGTCGACAAAAATTAGTCTGGATGAAATCGTTGAGTATTCAAGGCTTAAAGTCAACGGTCGCTTTGAAACTGTTTTCAAACGCTATGAAATGACTTTAGAGCCAAAATTGCCTGTTGATTGGATATCACGTCGTGAAGTGGAGACGTTTGCACGCAACATTTGGTCACTTGCAAGTGAAATTGCACAACAAGCTTATCAATAAAGAGCTGCCGAGCTATTAGGAGAGTAATAATGGAAATAGTTTTTTAAATTAATGAAATATAAAGTTTGTTTTGTTATACCATCATCAACAGGCCTAATTCACAAGGTGCAACATGCATTTAGAAACGTTTTCGTCTGCATTTATATACTTGAAATTCTCATTCTTGAAACTATGAAACACTTTTCATCGTAAAGATTGTTAGTTAGCTATGAGCTCATTTTAAACTTCATTATCACTTTTCCGAAAAATTTAAATTTTTCCTGAGTTCTGTTAAATGCAGTTTATAATTATCGTTTTCTCATGTATGGCAAAAAGATCTTTAATTATTTCCACTTTTTTAGTTAAAAGGGTTTTTGTGTTCGATGTGTTTAAGAGGCTTCTTAAAATTAGGAAAATATGGATAATTCTGTTAATGGTATTTTGGCTGACCATATGTTTGGTAATACTTGGGCGACACTCGCGTTTTTTGTTGATAGTTTTGAGCTGCAGCTGGATGAAATGCTAGAGACAGAGTCAACACTGTAGTGTAGCTTTCATCAATGAGTGATGTCATCATGTCATCCATCACAGATAGGGCTTGGAACAAACATCGATCAATTAACACTTAATTAAAACATCTAACTACCCAGACGTGCAACAAACACCAATCAATTAACACTTAATTAAAACACATAACTACACAGATGTGCAACAAACACAACAATCGATTGACATGTAGTTCTCAAAAAAACTAAAGTTTTCATAGAACATGGCCATAAGTAAAGGAAGCTATCTAACAGTACACTTCATAATAGCATGAACCTTCATACTATTCGCAGGATTCATATTATGATGTTTCACTTATGGTGGTTTGAAATAACAGCATGCTATCTTAGCTCTTTTCCGTTTAAATATTATCAAAACAAAATGAAAAAAAGTCATTGTTATAAATCGTCGTTTGATCTAAATTTATACACCATCTAAGAAATATTACGTTTTCCTTGATAAATCAAGAGTTCTCGATACACGAAATATACTTGGTAACATTTCACGCAAAGTGTGAAACATTTCTGGTGAGATTCCCTGAAAAGACAACGATAACAGCAAATGAATCGAATGCAGTGAATGCTTGGGGTCGTACTTAAATAAAAACTGATGATGTGTGAGCGCCATTGCAACATATAGCTACGTATATTTTGCTTGTAAATACACAGAAAAACGTTATGATCGAAATGTAAATGTTTTGAAACAAATCTCAGTTTGTTCTTATTGTTAAGAAGTTCAGGAAATGAATAAAAGCAGCTAAAGAACTTTAAGTTATTGAACAGTTACAGCACTTTATTTATGTATGAGTTAGGTTCGCTGAGCTGTAGAACTTGTCATCAATAAAGTTCTACAAATTTGTTTCGATTGCCGTACAATTATGACCCAATGACCATTTTGCACTATTTCAACCTGGCATCTATTTGACCTAAAGAGTGTAGAACTAGAAGGGTCTTCTTGGCAACCTAGGGGTCTGGAAGGAATCTTTTCATCAAATGAGGGATATAAAAGGGGTCTATTTGTCTACTGAAATGTCTAGAAGATGTCTTTTTCTCGACTGAGGGATGTACAAGGGTTCTTTTGGTCAAAAGAGGTGTCTAGAAGGGGTTTTATGTCACGTTTCTAAAATGGTTATCTTGACCTACCTTAGGTAAAACAAATTGAATATTAAACGACTCTGACCCGCTCCATGAAGCACATTCCATCATAAAACCTGTCGGAAACAAAACATGCAAACAAAATCTTAAGTAAACAATCATTAATTACACACAAAATAAAACAAAAAACGCTTTGTATACACGGAACAAAACGCAATAGCTATCGTGACACATCTTCAGCACATTTTAAAACGCTTTATTAGTCAATGTATAAACGTAGCAAAAAGTAATCGTAACACACCTTTGACACATTTTAAAACGCTTTATTAGTCAATGTATAAACGTAGCAAAAAGTAATCGTAACACACCTTTGACACATTTTAAAACGATTTATTAGTCAATGTATAAACGTAGCAAAAAGTAATCGTAACACACCTTTGACACATTTTAAAACTAGCTCAGCACGACGTGTACACCATGTAATTGTCATATCCTGGAAATCATGAATTCAGCGGTCAGTTTATGCGGTAGTTACAACAGAACAATAATATTAAACATATATTACAAGGACAGTTCAAAGTTTGAAAAACGCTGCTTTTTGACACGTAATTTGCATAAACCATAAATTGTTTCATATTCAATTTACAAAATTCTGACGAAAAAATGATCGGACATTGTATTGTTTATGTAGAATAGTGGCAATAAAATGGTAAGGAGATGGTTTAGAGTTTTGGGGTATTTGTAAATCTGATTCTAGTAATTGAGAACGATTATCTATAAAGGCAGAAGGCATTAAAGTAAATGTTAACTATTTAGCGTTAGAAAAAAAAGCATAAACGATCACGGGAAATTTGAATACAGGTATATTGTAGCGCAAATGACTTTTTTTAAGAATTGTTTAAAAAAAGCATAAACGATCACGGGAAATTTAAATACAGGTATGTTGTCGCGCAAATGACTTTTTTTTAAGAATTGTTTAAAAAAGCATAAACGATCACGGGAAATTTGAATACAGGTATATTGTAGCGCAAATGACTTTTTTTAAGAATTGTTTAAAAAAAGCATAAACGATCACGGGAAATTTGAATACAGGTATGTTGTAGCGCAAATGACTTTTTTTTAAGAATTGTTACGGGCCTTTACGGTTTGACTTGGATGCAGCTAAAAAATCGGATCTGGATATTTTTTGGTGGACTCTTTTCTTGCAATGAAATGCATACAACATGCAGGTACGTAATAAATTGGACGGCTGTCTCTACGCGATCAAATGAATTCCTTTGAATCTTAAAAGTGTTCTGTTTAATCGCAAAATTACTCGGGAAGTTAAGTCACTTGGTACATTGAACCATGAAAATATTAAATGAAGATATGATCTACGCACTTTGTTGGACAATTTAAGCAATTGTCTCATTAACCTGAAAAAGTTAAGGTGACTCAACGAGATTCGAACCCACGACCTCTGCGGTGCCGGTGCAGTGCTCTAACCAACTGAGCTATGAAGTCACACAGTGGAGAGCAGGTGTGACTCAACGGGTTCGAATTTTTCAGGTTCATGAGACAATTGCTTAATTGTCCAACAAAGTGCGAAGATCATATCTTCATTCGATTTCTAACACCGCACTACATATAACAATCTTTCATGAAAATATTGTCAAGTAAAAGGAAATTTACCATCCAAAATGAACTATAATTTATGACATAAGGGTTAAATTCAGACGATACAAGTTGCTTGGCTTAATAATTTTTATTTTCGTGAAAACTATTTCAAAAAAAGTAGATAATCCCGTTTTTCCATGAAGCCTATGGATGCTTTCGTTCATGATGAGACAGTTATATTGTATAAGGAGGCTCTCGTTCATCACGAGAGAGTTATGAGAATGTTAAATTGTAAAATTTTGAGCCTTTGAAGTTCCTTGGATGTTCTTGTTTCTTTTATGGGAAGAACTGTTGTATAAAATTCGAAAACAAAAAACCCCGTTTTCGGTCCATGCTTCCCGATACCTTGTTAAGCGTAAGGCACTAGAACGCCGCATGTTAACGTTTCGGTAGGAGATTTCGGCCCCTCCACGCTATCCTACTTGGGAGATGCAATAGCAAGCTTCCGCCCATCAGACCCCGAGATCACCTGCGATAGGCTTTGCTCGGGGTACGCAGGGAGAGTGCGGTCGCGACCCGAAACGTCTGGACCCCTAAGCCACTGCATACTATATCGCACCCAGCTTCCACTGCTAGTTGACATCTACTATATGAAGTTTTAGCTTCATATATATATACCAAAATTTAAAGGCGTACGAAAGTTGTGGGATAACTGTTATCGTTACTGCGCATGCCCAGATGATTTCTTTGATAATTTGCGACTAAGTGAGTTAGTTGACACAAATGTAGTGCAAGTACATATAGTTAGTCGTTGTCATGACTACGAACAATTACTCGAGTGGACTGCGCATGCTCGAGCGCATGCGCAGACGATTTCTCTATTAAATTGTTACTAAGCATGCTATTTACTTCAAAATTGGTGCTAGTAGAGGCAGGTGGTCGTTGCCATGACTTCGTACTTGACCAACTGCTCATGTCGACTGCGCATGCTGAATCAGACTGCGCATGCGCGGATGAGTTATCTGAATATTTCTGACTGAGCTATCTAAATGCTATGGTATTATTATATGGCAAACGACATATCTGGCAAAAACGCGCGCTTTGTTTGGCTCCGAAACATTATTGCCGGTGATTATTTTCTGGTAATCGACCACGGTCCAAAACGCGTAATTTTACAGTCAAATGTAAACAATGCTCGAGCGCATGCGCAGATGATTTCTTTATTAAATTGTTACTAAGCAGGCTATTTACTTCAAAATCGGTGCTAGTAAATGCAGTTTCTCGTTGCCATGACCATGACTATGAACTTGGGCAGTTGGTCAAGTCGACTGCCCATGATCAAGCATAATGCGCATGCGCAGATAACTCATCTAAAAATTTGTGACCGGGCGAGCTAATTACTCTATAATTGGTACTAGTACATGCAGTTGGTCATTGCCATGACCACGAGCTTGGAGATTTGGTGGAGTTTACTACGCATGCTCCGATTAATTATCAATTAATTTGAAATTGGAGCCATAAGATGAGCTGAGCAAGTTTACAATCATCGATTTTTGGCATGCTCTTTGTCTTCTTAAGCTTGATTTGAAAAATACATATCAAACTCATCAACACTTTTTTACGGCATTCGTAATATCCGCGACAACGTTGGAAATGTTTTTGTTTTTCGCAATAGCTTTGTATCTGCATAATACATGTCATATCCAAGCTTTCCTTTGATTTGATGGAAAATGGTTTTGATTTACTCTTACACCTTCTGCCTTAGTCGTTCTGGATTTCTAAAATAAGAATAACAAACCCCACCAAGAGCATCTTCTTTCTATTTTATTGCCACTATTCTACATATGCAATACTATGTTCGGCCATTTGATTGTCCGAATTATGTATTTTGATCTCGTATTTTTGACACGTGTGTCTACCGTCGGAGAAGTGGAATTTAGCCACAATCCATCGACACTTTGCACAAAAACCAGTTTACATGTGTTTCACACTAACATAGGCATTACTACAGTTGTCGTAGAAAGGTTGTGACGCACCGTGTAAATTGCATTGTGTAGGTAAATGAATGATGTGTTGTCAGTATTTATATTTCGCAAATATAAACAACAATTTGATTGCTAAGATCTCAATATAATAAACAAAGAAACGAATCGCAAATCTGCGCTAAAATAGTAAATTTGACAACACGCAAAAAAGTGATGAAATATATGTCATACCTCAGTGATTTCTTCCGCTAGCAACACCGGAAGTGTTATTGTATGAATATTCTGACGTGATGCAGTATGTAGAACATTACGTAATCCAGTGACAACTGCGTTACGGCTAGCAAGAGTCGGAGATTTGAGAGAGTCATCGACAACAAGATGAAAAACGACATGAACTTGAGATAGATTGGAGTGACGTGTAATGTAGAAATTTCCTGAAATGATTAACATCAACTATTTATCACTACCAAGCTTACACCCAGTCTTACGTTTAAGACAGTTCCATCTCATTAAACATCATCTAATTCCATTTAACGCCACTTTATACAAAATGCTTCACCACATTAAGTTCATGCATCATTACATTTTGTAATCCAACACACTTGCTTTGCCAATACGTACATAAGTTTTTAAACTTCAAATGTAATTCAGTCTCATGATCATGCCTAAACCAATCAAAATACATGTTCTTTTGTACCTGTTACAAACAAGTATAAATTTGTTTTTGCTAAGTCATTTGCTATCCATTTTTCAAGGTCTGTGACTTGAATGTTCGCGTTCTTATTTCTGATTTTCTCTATTTTCTGATTAAAAGAAATCAGTCGGACACAACTGAATGCATGAATTACCCACCCCTCCTAAAAAAACTATTAATGTAATGGACGGTTAATCTTACGTAAAAGCCGTTGCTTAACCTAAATCTCACCTGCTTCAATAGTCGATGATCTAAAAGCTTCTGAATTCCTGTGGAGTGTACCATCGCAAGCTCCGTCCATCTTCTTTTGTCTTTCTTCCAAATTTTGTTGAATCATACAAAATTGTTTGTCCAAATCGGGAAAATGGAAATCCGTTGATTGTTGGCAAAGAGCAGCAAATTCTGTCAAATAAATAACATTTAATTTTTCACGTTAATTTGTCATCATAATTCGTCTCAATGATGCCGTAACTTTAAAGTTAAAAGATTTACAATGCTCTACGAAACAGTCTCGCTAAGGACATTCCAACAAAGCTTTGAACCTCTATGAAGAAATTGCTGGCAAACAAACAAGTTATGGGTTAAGTTATAGGAAAATAGTTACGATTTTTGGGGGAGGGATTGTTTTGATAAGACTAATTATTAATAATTAAACAACTACGTATGATGCTAAATGACTTTAGGAAATTAGGATGCCTCACCTTTCTTTATTCCTGTATAGGAGTTGATATGACTGTCAACAAGAAGGACCAATCCAGATAAAGACTGAGAATACAGAGACATTGCTGTTTGGATTCTTTGAGGTTGCGCCAAAATACTGCTCCTAAACACAAAAATGAACAGAATGATTCAAAAAAGAAACGCGCCTGAATTTCGCTGTAAGTAACAGACATATGCATTATTTTCTCAGACTAATGACTTTCAAAAAGTTCACCAAAATAGTAACGCACAAGAAGATAAAAGCTGATTTAACACAACATAACAGGAACTACTAAAAGTATTAAGGTTATCTCTTTGGAAAAGAAGGATGAAGTAGCTTAGATACCTGGTTTGACCTAAATTTGCTTTTCCACACAAGTCATAAAAAAGTAGGAAATTTTACGAAAAAATATCTATTTATCATAATCAAACGAAAAACACAACAGCATTAAGGTCTGTATGGACAACATGAACATCAAACATTACATTACACTGGTTTAGCAGGTTTGTAACAACATCAAACATTACATTATGCTGGTTTAGCAGGTTTGTAACAACATCAAACATTACATTATCCTGGTTTAGCAGGTTTGTAACGACATCAAACATTATATTAGCCTGGTTTAGCAGGTTTGTAACAACATCAAACATTACATTACCCTGGTTTAGCAGGTTTGTAACAACATCAAACATTACATTAGCCTGGTTTAGCAGGTTTGTAACGACATCAAACATTACATTACACTGGTTTAGCAGGTTTGTAACGACATCAAACATTACATTACACTGGTTTAGCAGGTTTATAACAACATCAAACATTACATTACACTGGTTTAGCAGGTTTTAACGACATCAAACATTACATTACCCTGGTTTAGCAGGTTTGTAACGACAAAGATCGAGAAGATCGCAACACATCAATCTTAAGTTATGAGTTGACTTCATTTGAGCACCTAGAAAATAAATGAAGTCGTTCTTACGTTGTTTATTAAACGATATTTCTATAAAAATATCATAAATTAAAACAATAATGGCTGTAGAAAGAAAAGTTGATATCTTTAAATTTAATGAAAATTTGCTTTTTATTTAATCAAAATATAGATTAATGTTGGCTAAAATCGACTGAAATTCTAACATGGTGCAAGGAAACAACAAAAAAAGTAAAAAATCGGTTGAAGGCTTAAAAAAGCTTTCCACAGTTGACATTTTTAAGAATATTTATACATCGCATTATTTCTTCTTTTGAAATAGTTATAAGTTATGAAAATGTGGATTATTTCGTTTGATAAATCACTATGATAATACTATTAAAGTTCAGTCACTTACATTTGCTTTATATAACATTTCCACAATTTTACACTAACTTGCAATCAAATCTTATTCTTGAACAATTTCTTGAGCAATACAAGTGAAGTTAAGATTTTCGAGTTAAATTTAAGAAAAACTTGCACACTTGACTTTTCAAAGACTCGACATTACAATTTTTGAAAATGCACGAGAACCTTTCAATACTTGAAGAACATTATTTTTCAAAACAAATTAAACACCGTACCTAAATGTATTGTAAAACTTTCCTCGAGTCTTGGCCCATTTTCAGTGGCATCATCTGGTAGCAAGCTCAGTGTCGACGGACTACTAGATTTTGTAAATGACAAGGAAAAATGGAGAATCTAACATTTAAATCATTCACAGTCTTAGCTACAGAGCGTCATTTTAACTGCATATGATTGCCTCTCGTCGTAATAATCATTGAACTTTTATTATAGCTATCACGTATAGTCAATAAAAGAAAAGTTATTTACGTGATGATTTAGAACTTGTTACTCGTTTTCAATTATCGAAGACTTTTTACAAGAAAATGTGCAAGCGTTTTCTTTACAAGAAGCAACCTTAAGTGCCTTTGAACGACGCACAAGGGCATAGGGCCTAATAACAAGGGCCATAGGCTATGACAAAGTTGTTGGACTTTACGTCGGATGTCTATTCCTCCCAGTAAGTTCGGTCTTTTGATAAAAATTGCGTCCCTTACCCTCCTATGCCTTCGCATTTCCCAATTTGTTTTTGTACCTCATAATATCGACAATAAGGATTAAATTTAAAGTTCAAACCAACTACTACACGAGTTCTGAGCATCCTGCATTTGAACAGTAGTTCGTAGGGTTTTTAACAGGGTAAACGGTTTAAATTAGGAACATTTAACTAGTCCGTAATGACAAAAACTAAAAACTAATTATGTCCTGATACAACGGGCCTCTCGAAAACCAAGGCCTGTAGACTTAAACTTACTTAGCCTACTGAGTATTCCGCCACTGTTCAAGCATGATCAAGTTTCAAACCAAATTATTTATAAATTGTACGAAAAGCTTTCACAAGAAATTCAGGAGCATGCTTTGCAAACGAAGCCTTCCATTGATGAAGTACATAAACTAGAACCAAGTAAGTGTTTGAGTTACGTATGTATAAAGTAAATGGTTTGAACCCGGGACATTCATCCACAAACATGTTACGTATGTATAGCTACATTTATTATAACATTCACAATGAAGCTTGAACATTCCGATGAATATGGAAAGTTTGGAAAAAATTAGCGAACTCGACAAAATAAATCAGGCACGCATGTCATTTAAGAACATATGACACAAACGTTGAAACAAAAAGATAAAGTTGATGGTTGACTTCCTTTAACATCAATCCACCAATCCCAAAATTGAGGGAGTCTGAACTTCACCCACCAATCCCAAAATTGAGGGAGTCTGAACTTCACCCACCAATCCCAAAATTGAGAGTGTCTGAACTTCACCCACCAATCCAAAATTGAGGGAGTCTGAACTTCACCCACCAATCCCAAAATTGACGGAGTCTGAACTTCACCCACCAATCCCAAAATTGAGGGAGTCTGAACTTCACCCACCAATCCCAAAATTGATGGAGTCTGAACTTCACCCACCAATCCCAAAATTTCGAGAGTCTGAACTTCAACCACCAATCCCAAAATTGAGAGAGTCTGAACATCACCCAATAGTCCCAAAATTGAGGGAGTCTGAACTTCACCCACCAATCCCAAAATTGAGGGAGTCTGAACTTCACCCACCAATCCCAAAATTGAGGGTCTGAACTTCACCCACCAATCCCAAAATTGAGAGGGTCTGAACTTCACCCACCAATCCCAAAATTGAAAGGGTCTGAACTTCACCCACCAGTCCCAAAATTGAGAGGATCTGAACTTCACCCACCAGTCCCAAAATTGAGAGGGTCTGAACTTCACCCACCAATCCCAAAAGAGAGGGTCTGAACTTCACCCACCAATCCCAAAAGAGAGGGTCTGAACTTCACCCACCAGTCCCAAAATTGAGAGGGTCTGAACTTCACCCACCAGTCCCAAAATTGAGAGGGTCTGAACTTCACCCACCAGTCCCAAAATTGAGTGGGTCTAGACATCCACCCACCTACGGCTTCCCAAGCCCATGTTCACATCCATATCATTTCTAAGAATTTTTAATTTCCAAAAACTTCTTCTAGGTCATCGTAGACCACGAAACACACACACAACGTTTAAAAGCAGTGTTTGCCGAAACACAAACACAGTTCAAATTACGTACCTCTATGAATAAAATTATTTGGTATAGGTATTGACACCTACATTTGGTATTTACACCAAATTATACGTAGGAGTAAACTGTAGTCCCAATTTGCTGTGCAACATGGCGCAGTATATTTAGTTAGATTACCCGCAGTTAGCCATCTCCGTGTTCTTATAGGTCGAAAAATGCAAATGATTTTCTGTCACTATGCTAATCACATGCGTAATATGGTATACGTCAAACTAAGACGATAAAATTATAACCTTGATATAAAATGTTACAACTATTACCTTTCAAACGGTCCACCGGACTCGAAACCTTTAAAGGATAAAGAAATTCATTAAATGTTTGTAGATGTAGATAAAGACGTAGATGCAGTTTGTAGATGTAGATAAAGATGTAGATGCAGTTTGTAGATGTAGATAAAGACGTAGGTGCAGTTTGTAGATGTAAATAAAGATGCAGATGCAGTTTGTAGATGTAGATAAAGACGTAGGTGCAGTTTGTAGATGTAGATAAAGACGTAGGTGCAGTTTGTAGATGTAGATAAAGATGCAGATGCAGTTTGTAGATGTAGATAAAGACGTAGGTGCAGTTTGTAGATGTAGATAAAGATGTAGATAAAGACGTAGGTGCAGTTTGTAGATGTAGATAAAGATGTAGATACAGTTTGTAGATGTAGATAAAGATGTAGATATGTCTGTAGATGTAGATAAAGATGTAGATGCAGTTTGTAGATGTAGATAAAGATGTAGATACAGTTTGTAGATGTAGATACAGTTTGTAGATGTAGTTTGTAGATGTAGATAAAGCTGTAGATACAGTTTATAGATGTAGATAAAGATGTAAATAAAGATGTCGATGCACTTTTTGGACACGGATGCAGATGCAGAGGTAGATGCAGTTTGTAGATGTAGTTAAAGATATAGATGCAGCAAATTAATTAAAATTGCTTTATCAACAAGTAAAATCATACAGAACAATTTACATACATACGTGAACACTACACAGTAAACACTGACCGGTACTTGATGATTTCACTAAATCTTCATAAACTTTACTGATCCATTCTTGATACTCTCGTTTTTGTACCTCTTGAAGATCAGACAATGCACTGGACCACTGAGTTGATATCATCTACGACAAATAATATCATACATTTTCAAATCATCGCATTCTTTTGAAAGAAAGATTTCCATGAGACACTAATAATGTGAATTCAAATCCATAATTTTTTCAGCCCACAAGACTTCCATCGCTTTGTCCTTTTAAACAGATTTGTAAATTGGCTCCTTTCAGATTTTAACCTCAAACACACATCTTGTTTTACAAACCTGTGTATCCTCACAATGTTGGACAGCGAGACGGTTTACTGTATCGTGATAGTTGTCTGAATTAAAACCAGAATCAAGAATCGCCTTCATTTCATGACTTTGCCTAGGTAAGTAAAAAGTGATTGGCTAAGCCTTCATTTCATGACTTTACCTACGTAAGTAAAAAATGTTTGGCTAAGCCTTCATTTCATGACTTTGCCTACGTAAGTAAAAAATGATTGGCTAAGCCTTCATTTCATGACTTTGCCTACGTAAAAAGTGATTGGCTAAGCCTTCATTTCATGACTTTACCTACGTAAGTAAAAAGTGATTGGCTAAGCCTTCATTTCATGACTTTACCTACGTAAGTAAAAAGTGATTGGCTAAGCCTTCATTTCATAACTTTGCCTACGTAAGTAAATAGTGATAGTTGTCTGAATTAAAACCAGAATCAAGAATCGCCTTCATTTCATGACTTTGCCTAGGTAAGTAAAAAATGGTTAAGTAAGCCTTCATTTCATGACTTTACCTACGTAAGTAAAAAGTGATTGGCTAAGCCTTCATTTCATGACTTTGCCTACGTAAGTAAAAGTGATTGGCTAAGCCTTCATTTCATGACTTTACCTACGTAAGTAAAAGTGATTGGCTAAGCCTTCATTTCATGACTTTACCTACGTAAGTAAAAAGTGATTGGCTAAGCCTTCATTTCATAACTTTGCCTACGTAAGTAAATAGTGATTGGCTAAGCCTTCATTTCATGACTTTGCCTACGTAAGTAAAAAGTGATTGGCTAAGCCTTAATTTCATGACGTTACCTAAATGAAAGTCAAGAAATTGAACCTATGCACTCTGCTGTAAAATTTTATTGTTAAGAAATTTTGACCTTTATGAGAGAGAAAGCGTCAAGGACCAAGATAGCTACAGAAGGCTAAAGCCATGAGCTTTGGAATGAAAGTTGGGTCTAGCTAAAGGTGAAGACACTAAAAGCTCAGAGAATGAGAGGGGTGTCTAGCTATAAGCTAAATGATAGGGAGCTGGGTCTGGCTACAAGCTTACAGGAAGAAAGCAAGGTGTAGCTAGAGGCTTAAAGAGAGAGACCTGTGTCTAACTACAGGCTTAGAGACAGTGAGCTGCGTCATTAAGCTACAGGTTTACAAGACAAGAGCAATGTCTAGCTATAGGCTTCAAATGAGAGCTAGGTTGAGCTGTAGGCTTAAAGATAGAGAGCCAAGAGATAGAGTAAAACCACAGTAAGCTTAGGATTTACTACATAGCAGACATGCACATACTTCTCTTCTAACTTCATTAAAGATAGAGAGCCAAGAGATAGAAATTATAACCACAGTAAGCTTAAGATTTACTACATAGCAGACATGGACTTACTTCTCTTCTAACTTCATTAATGCAGCATCACGTTGTTTCAAAAGATCTTGAACTGCTAATGCATAGGAATTCTCTAACTGAAGTAATGTTTCCAAAGCTGAGGAATGAATGAGAAAATGATACATCTCCGAAAATGTTAATTCTTCTGTAATAACATCCTTTGTGTCAGAATATCTTGAGCATTCACGAGTGAAGGCTTCAACCCAAGTAGTATGCAGAATTGTCGTGGTTTAGTCTTGAATCAATGATCTCATCTGCTCGATCATTGTAGTAAGTTTCATTTTCTTTAGCAACGAATACTTGAAGGGTGTACTCTAAATCTTAAATAAGGAAACAGAGAAAAAAAAACATAGTTGCATCACTCACATTTATAAAAATGAAACATAATGACACACATTTAACATAAAGATAAACAACACAGATTTTTAAAAATCACACAATGATAGATGTTTAGCATGTAAACGTTTTAATGTGCTCCAAAGAATAATCTTTGGGAATTAAGCATAGAAACTCATGCCATATGAAGAAAGATCTTTTCTTGTAAGTTTAAGTAATGTATAGCACATTCACAGTGTCATGATTGATGATTGAGTATGTAAATAAAGTATGTTCATATGTAAGTAATGTATGTTTTTCATAAAATATTTCTTTGCCAATTACCTAAAAGTCTATCATGAAAACTTGCTAAAAGTGAAAAATGACGTTTAATTATTTGTTTTTAAGAAGATTGAAAAGTAAAGTGAAAATTTCAATCTGACTCTCTTCTTGACAATAAAACTTTCAAACACCAAAATCTTTTTTGTTGTGTTATCTTAATTAGATCTTTAGAAATTCCACACCGTCCAATACATACAGTACGTACGTATACTGAGCAAGAAACATACAATACATATGTATACTGAAAGATTGCAGGGCACTTTAGGAGCATATTATGATTTTATTGGATAGATTTTAATACCTTCTTCCAGATATGCGGGTAGATTATGATAAGCAAGTATTCTCAAACACAGTTCTTTTACATTCCATGCTGTTGTTGGAATGGCGACGTTTGTCTGTAGTTTGCATACTTTATCATCATTGACAAATTCATAAGAAAACGGCTTTGTTATATTACACTCTTCCATTGCTTTTCTGACATACTGTCATTTTTCATAAAATAATATAATAGGTTATACTTGAAACCATCCGTCATATTACTACATGTTAACCAGATGAAAGGTGTTGCTAAACCTTATTGAGCAGCTACAACCATTCCCGAATAATTATTCACAAAAGTAAGCTAAAGGAAAGTAATCACATCAGTAATAAAAGGATTGAAATTTACGAAATATTTTTAAATGTCGCGTGGCTGCTTGCTTTTGCGCATCGATCGATTAAACATTTTGCTCATTGTGTCTATAGTTTACACGTAATATGGCTAACAAGCTTTCAAACTGTCGACAATAGCAAAATAAATCGTTATCAATCCAACTTTGATGACAATGACGTTTAAAATCATCAACCACTAACTTACATTACAAAACGTGTAAGTACTTTGGAATTGGGAGATGAATATTGATACTTGTGATCAATACAAGTCATCGTGCACCAAGTCATTTTGGTTGATAGGTTCAAGTCTTAAGTACAGTAATCATTCGGTTCAGTAAGTCAATGACTCCACAAGCTGGTCGTCGTTGTTTATCGAAATAATATTGAATTTTCATTTATAAAAACTCAACAGATGTTGGACTAAAATTTTCAATATATTTATTTTGTTGGATGCCGAAAAGAATTTCGTAAAATTATTTGAGTTATGGGACGTCGAAATCGGGAGAAAGCCAATGCTGCATCGGTTAGCCGACGAAGAACAATACTTCAAATTGAGCCTGTATCACGTCGCAAAGAAGATGAAGGTTTGAACGATGCTTATATTTTTCCTTGAAAAAAGTTTTTTTTCATTTTTCATCAAATAAATAAACTGACTTATTCAAAATTTCTTTTCAATAAAATTGAAGTTTCTTTGGCGTATCAGTAATGTCTAATGATGATGATGATGCGAGAAACTCCCAAGGAATTCGTTAATTGTAGCTTTTGTTAATGAATAAAATACCTTAAAATTTAATTCCCAAACCAATTGAATTTGAATTTTTCTAGTTTACTCTATCTGGGAAAGTCTTATCAATATTTGTGCTGTAAATTTGATACTAGGATGATTACCATTCTTAATGCACGCTGATTATTTTTCCAATCGTGTACAAGATACTTTTGAAACCAGTCAATCTGTCCTTCATCTTACCAGCAGCATACTATGCTCATTTATTTAGTCATTTTTTCACTGTAACACTAGATTTGTGGCTATGTTTGCACATTAATTGTGGGGATGTGATGTGCATAACACCTCCTTTATGAAGTAGGTGTAAAATGATGGTCAATGAATGAAATTAATAGATGACGAAAAATATGAGTCTGATTAAAACTGTTAGTTATGTGTATCAAATACAGTACTGCCACTCTGTGTATGCACATTTCACCTACCAAAACTTTATTCTCCCCCTACTTCCCCCTGCGATGATTTTCCTTGTTTCCCCCCTTCCCCTACACAGCAACATATCCCCCTATTATATACCCACATCGGGTCGGACCATTGAATTTTTTAGAAAAGTCCCAGGTCTCTAAATCTAGAACACCCGGATACCTCCAAATTGTGTATCCCTGTTTTCAGCTTGCTAGTTTTATTCTAGTAACAAGTCCTTATGTTTAAGAATCTTTGTGTATGAGTAATAGCCATGTCATTATCTATTCTTTTCAATGCTACTGTTGTGTCATTAGTTTATTTACATGTACATAGGAGGAAATGTGATGGAACAAAACGTGAAGTAAATCCAACAAGTATATCAGGTGATGTGCAAGAAAGCTACAAAATATAATTTTGAAAGTCTTGCTCTTAGTGTATGTAAACCTTCCAAAAAACTTTGATTCAAATAATGTTTTTAGTGGTGAAATTTCACATCAGTCTTACGTACACCAGACATCACTACGTATGTAGTCTAAACTTTCCTTGGAAGTACCTAGTTTGTTCCCACAAATTACATTTCACATTGCACAAATTTCCCAGCAAATTTTTTTCCTTGATAACCATTATGGGCCCAGCATATCCCAACCTCTTTAATAACAAAGATGACAACAAAATCACCATGGATATTATGTGCACCATGTCAACAAAACAATTTTCCATGAAAGGAATCAATGCTCTCCTTGTGATTAATTAATCAAAATTCAACAGTACAAGTTAATGAATAGCTTAGATCAACCTATAAAGCATGTTGAAGGCTTATTAAATTTACAAGTCCAATACTTAATGCTGGTTTGAAACTTTTCAATGTTCTTGTACAACTGTATGAAATGAATTTGGTTTTGTTGAAAAATTTAGAAAGATGGCTTCATCTCTTCTGTTTGTTGAAAGGGTAAAATTGTTTTTAGGTATAGGATTACTTGGCGAATATGCTGAAGAAAGTGATGAAGAAGGTGAGATTATATTTGCATTATAACTTTTGATCTGCTCAAAGAAATACTTCCATAATCTAATTTCAATGATGTTATTCTCATTTAAGGCATGTTCACACGATCCGATTTGTCTGATCCAATTGTTTGATTCCAACTTTAGGTTGCTTGTTAATAATTTTGTTGATATTTATATTTGTTTGGATATTTATAGTCGTGTGAACAGCCATTTGTGCTATGCAGTACATTTATCCATATATTTTTCCTTTTTTTGTTCTTTCGTTCAAGTCTTTTTCATATCTAATGTTTAGTGCCAAATGAAACTTGGAAAGTATTGAGAGTGAGAGGTCTGGGACTAGTTGGCTTACTTAGATCTTATCGGATGAAAATAGAGCAAGTTCTATTTATATCCGATTATTCAGACTGATCGGATTATCGGAATCTCACTTTACATGTGTTCACACGTTCCGTTTTTTAAATCCGATCCGACAAAATCGGATCGTGTGAACGGGCCTTTAAAGAGAACGTTAGCGTTTCCTTTACTATCTCATGATCCAATTTTATTTTTTGTAACTTTATTGTGGTGTCGTTGTTAGATGAAGAAATGTCAAGTCAAAGGATTGAAGATGGTGCAAATGTTGAGAAGAAGACTGAGAATAATAAAGAGAAAAAGGAAATAGATTCAAAGCTTAGCAACTTCCTCAAAGTATGCGTTTTATGGTTGTACTAAAAGTCTGTACTAAGTTTGCCTATAGTCAACTACTTTTCAAGGTATGGTACTATTTGTGCTATATTTGATTACCATTTGAAGCATTTCACATTTAAATTGGTTGACAAAAATATTTTACATTACCTACTCATTTTAATTGGTTGACAAAAATATTTTACATTACGTAGCTCATTTTAATTGGTTGACAAAAATATTTTACATTACGTAGCTCATTTTAATTGGTCGTCAAAGACATTTTACTTTGCATAGCTCATTTTAATTGGTCGTCAAAGACATTTTACATTGCGTAGCTCATTTTAATTGGTCGATAAAAGCATTTTACATTGCATAACTCATTTTAATTGGTCGACAAAAACATTTTACATTGCGTATAGCTCATTTTAATTGGTCGACAAAAACATTTTACATTGCGTATAGCTCATTTTAATTGGTCGACAAAAACATTTTACATTGCGTATAGCTCATTTTAATTGGTCGACAAAAACATTTTACATTGCATAGCTCATTTTAATTGGTCGACAAAAACATTTTACATTGCGTAGCTCATTTTAATTGGTCGACAAAAACATTTTACAATGCGTAACTCATTTTAATTGGTCGTCAAAGACATTTTTTGTTATGGATGTAAATCGGCGTCGATCTTTCTTCTTCATCATCATTGAAATATACCAACATATCAAACAATAATTTTACATTATCTTTAGGAAATTGAGGCTATAAGCACAGACAGTACAATGTCCAAAGAACATAAACAAGATAATCCTGAGGAATCACAAGTTGATGCCATTGATGATCAAAATATACAAGGTACATATCGGTACATATACGTACATCTACGCACCTGTACATGTCGTGATTGTTTTCATTTGTTTTATGATCTCAGATTAACAGACGTATGTGAACAGTATTTACTCTTGTACTGTTTTAGCATTACGCAATCTTTATAAACATGTTGATTCATATCAATGTAGTAGTATCTTTTTATTCAATATTTTCCTGTTTACTGGTTACTGTCGATAATTTACAATAACCTTCTCAGGACTCTACTAACCTTGACGATCTTCATCCACAAACATGTTACGATACTCCTGGTTCAAACCATTTGCTTTATTGTCGTTATTACTGTTGCATTTCATCATGTTTGACTCTATTGTGTAGGTAGTTTAATCTTAGCTGTACGTATGTTGTGATGTGCGTCTATGTTGTCTATGTAGGTGATATCTGCATGTCGCTCTTTGATGTTAACTGTGGCTTGAGATACTAGAATTATGAATAGAAATACCTATTTTGATTTCTATTTTTTTATTTGTATTTATATTCATAAAAAAAAACAACAAAAGCAAAGTTTTTGTTTGTAGCAACTGAACTAAATGTTAAGCAGACTTAATCATGTGTCGAAGTAACTCTTAAAGATGACGTAATTTGCTTGAATTTGTAGATTACGTATTACCGGAACCATGGCAACAAGTATGCGATCCAAATACGAATTATATGTACTATTGGAATACATTAACGAACGAGGTATCTTGGGAGTTGCCTGAATCTCTCATATCAACATCATTACCAATGTCTGCAGTGGATAATAAAGTTGATGCTGTAGTATCTAACACTGACATCAGTCTGAACACGTCAGCCAATGAGGAAAAAGATGGCAGTAAGAATGTTTATGAAGAATCTGTTGACACAGAAAGAAATATTTTGAATGATCCTGAGGCTGCAAGTGACTCTGGGTCAGATGGAGTAGAGGGGATTCCTGTTAAATCTGATGATGCTCCAGGTACATTGACGGTACATTGACGATAGTCCAGGTTAGTCGGAGAATAACTTGAAATCGTTTCTCTAATGAGAGTTCTGTACATGATGATCGTCCAGTTAAGAAAGGAGAAGGATTTTGAGGCTGCAAGTGACTCGTCAACCTTAGAGGTAGTCATCTTAAATCTGATGATGCTCCAAGTACATTGGACGATAGTCCAGGTTAGTCGGAGAATATTTTAGGAAAAGGAAATCGTTTCCTCAAATTGAGATTTCTTTATCGAATTTAGACAATGGTGTTGTTTCATTGGACAAATCTGGTCATAAAGACAAATACCAAGAAGAGGCAGAAAATATTGTGTCAAATAAAGAATCTTTAATATCCAAGTCTTTGCCCACGAAAATTCGTGCAAAGAAAGAGTCTGTTGATATGTTTCAAGACGATTCCCGTGAACTGGATACTAACGATAATGACAATAATGGTAAGGATAGAATACAAGTCATTATCGTATGTTTCTCTTTAGCAGAGTCCGCTTGAACCGCTTTTCCAAAAACGTTGAAAGTTTAGGTTTATCTTAGACAACTTGTTTTCTTACATAGAAGTTTTATTTTTACGTGTCTGGTACCAGAGGCCCATAGATGTTCCTTTAAGGAACGTATTATATTAACAATGCACGTATTTGACAGCAGGCTCCGTTCCATCAGCAATTTTTGTGTTTTGAACATTCTAATATTACAAGCGTTCCACAGGTTAAAGAACTCTAGAAATTACAGTCTCGTTGCTTGAGTATTTTGATTTTTTTACTGTCTTTCTTTATCCTGCTCAGAAGTATGTTTACCAAAAACGCGTTCCGAACTCGTTCCGAAATGCGTTCCAAATGCGTTCAATTGCGTTCCAAATGCGTTACAATTGCGTTCCAAATGCGTTCCAAATGCGTTCCAAATGCGTTACAATTCCAAATGTTACAAATGCGCAATTGCAGCTTAAGGTGGAATATCAAATGAACGTCATCATTTGTGCATCATCGATCACAGTTAATCAGATAATCAATTAAATTTATACTCATATATACATGTGCTCACGCGAAAATCCGATCATTGATCTGTAATCATCATTCATACTCGCTATACAAGTGTTCAATTTCGGAAATTTTCGATGTCATACAGAGTTTATTTCAACTATCGGGCACGCGTTCAGAACTTGTCCCCTAATTTCGTCGTTTCGGCCGCGTTCGAACGCAAATGGAACGCGAACGTGGTGTTAAGTTACTTTGAGCAGTACTGTACATGTAAAGTTTATCTTCTATGCAAAAAAGTAAACTATTCCTGAATGAAACGTGCAAAATCTTTTGATTGAAAAAAAGTACTTCTTTGGTTGCCATTACTGTAGTATTGATCTAAACTCTGAGAGGGGTAGTGCAGACTAATTAGGATAGTTGACGTTATTACTCGGTCGTACTATACGTATCTTCAATTTTCTAGCCCATAACAGCAATAATATCAATTGGAATATACGTAAAAGTTGTAATTTTTGGATGATTTATAGAGCTGTATATTTTCAGGTTCCCAGGTGGTAAAACTCAGCGATGACAAGCGGTTGAGAAATGCCGTCGCCGAAGATATGCCTGAACGTTCGCCAAATTTGGCTCAATCGGTTACGTCACCTACTCCTGATGAATTGAATGAAGTGGAACAGGGTGAAAGTCCTTTGATTGAAAAAACTGATATTGAAGAAGTAGTGACAACATTAAAGAGGTCAAATTTAAGTCGATTCACGTGTTAGTTGAAAGGCTAAAGTTGATATACTAAAACGGAGATTTTTTTAAAGATCTAAAAAGGAAAACGAATCTGATGATGAAGGAACTTTAAAAAAACCTAAAGTGGAAAGTGAAAGTGAATCAGAAGGAGATTTTGCCGAAAAACTTTTAGAAGGTAAAGAAAATTATTTGTTAAACGATCGGAAAGGATTATTGAACATGTTTCTAAACACAATCATTAACTGTTTTTTTTTGTACGCTGTTTGAAATGATAGTCCTGAGAGAGTGAACAATTGATACTTTTTTGTGCGCTGTGTAAAGCGACAGGAAGAAGTGAACAATTATCTTGAATAACGATGAAATTTTTTCATTAAAAGAAGTAATTCAAATTTGAAAATGCTGTTGAAGTTCAAAATTACCCTTTTGGATTTTGACAACATAAAGAATTTGGCTATAGTCGTAATGCCATTTTGGCTTCTTGTTCTATTTTATACCTATCGACATATATTGTATCATCCATATTTCATTCCAGTCTCCTAAGTGTATCTCCAATTCTGACCGTTTGAATCCGAATAACTCTTGCTTCTCGTACAAACAACGTAAAAAGCTTAAAAAATCGTTTGGCGTAACTCAATGTTTACTACGTACGTACGTACGTTTTACGCACCTTTTTTTAGAATTTCTTGAAGGTAAACCATGTGATGCAGGTTTATCTGGTGATGATATGGATGTTGACAATGAAAGGGATCAAGAAACAAGTGGAGACACGACTTTACTTCCCCCTGAAGCTTTTGAGCACAACCGATCTGATCGAATAACAGATGAAAAGACTTTAAAAAAAGGTTTGTTGGTACAGGAGCTTCATACTCCTCAATTTTAATCCATTAACAAAAGTAGGAAGTGACTAAAATGGAAATATTTTTTAATCATATGGTTTTGTAGATGCACCCGAGGGAAATGTCAAAGTTGACAATGGAGTCGACGAAGAGAATGAGAAGTTAACTGTATGTAAATCTTATAGATCTTTTTTATCACTTAACTTATTTTTGAACTTGTAAGACTTTGTTGCACGCCATGTGGCGTATAGAATATTGTCAATGTTGCATTTTGTATGAATATTGTCGTTGTAGTATGTGGTATGAATATTTTCAATGTTGCATGTTGTATAAATATTGTAGATGTTGTATGTTGTATGATTATTATCAATGTTGTATGTTGTATAAATATTGTCATTTTGTCAATGTTACATGTTGTATGAATATTGTCATTTTATCAATGTTGCATGCTGTATAAATATTGTAGATGTTGTATGTTGCATGTTATGAATATTGTCATTTTATCATGTTGCATAAATATTGTCGTTGTAGCATGTGGTATGAATATTCTAGATGTCGCATGCATAATTGTCGGTCGTACAGTGCGTATAAATAATTCTTGATTTTGCGATTGAAATCTTCATCTATATTTGTTAATGTCGCATGAATAATTGCAGTTACTGTTTTATTAAAAAATTACTTTCTCGATCATTTCTGTATTTGGACAACAAAACTAAAAGTTAGTGCTTTCCAAATGTATATAATCGCAACCTAAAACTGGATATTGTGCATATCTTCAAGTCTGACTGGATGTGGTTGTCATTATTAAATATTTTTTCTTTAAACAGTTAGAAATCCATGATCTTTGTCAATTATTGTCGAGCAAACTTGAGTTTCTTAATGTCAGAAAGGATGATTTAAACAAACTTGTCATAGTTTTAATACAAATGGAGGTAAGATAATATTGCATATTCAGTTGTCATTTGTATTCACAATGAAAAGTTTCAGCAAAGCTAAACAAAGTGAAGTTTGAAGTTCGCAAAATGGCTCCCTTTTCTACCAAAAACTTAATGAGAACGTTGCGCTCGAATGTGAGTAAACCGCTGGCTTCATTGCTTGTTTTGCAATCTTTTGTTCCATCTACCGTGGAGTCTCTACTTTCAAAATAAGTTGCCTCAAGAGGAAGCTACTTTCGGAGGAGTGGGGCAGATACTTTAGGGGGCAGCCACTTTCAGAGGGCGCTTAGTTTCGAGTTATTACTTTCAGCATCAGTTGAATCTACGTACTTGTTGGTTACCCTTTAATCCACGCTGTATTTGGATTTATTTCGATTAAAGTTTAAATATTGTAAAACTCTTGACAGTTCTACAAAGAGGGCGATTACTTTGATGATTCTTAAGTAAATGTTGCTTGACGTTTTGATTAGACGCGTATTCGAGACTGGCGCGAAGGTGGATTGTCAAGTACTTATATAGTGAAGAAATTAAGAGAAGCTGCTCAGGAGTTAACTAGTTATGAATTATCTGCTGTTCCTGAAGGATGGACTTGTCATTGGGAGAGGTACTGTATAAAACTGAACAAAACTTCTATAAGTTATAAAACGTTCTATTCGCAGGATTTTTTCACCTTCAAGAACTTCTCTGTGATTTTATGTTTTCAAGAGAATGTAATTTTTATTTAAAAAATTCTTCGTCGGTGGAAAACGTGTTTGAATTTTTATGTTTGAAAACTTTGAGGCTTTTTGGCCTTCATCGTTTACGTCATTTAAAAATTGCGAAAGTGGTTTTGTTAGAGATATCTTATAAATTCTCGGGAATTCATTGCTTTCAAATTGCAGCAAGTGTAACATATTTATCAATATGAAGCATTATATTTTACTAATATTTAATAATAGAGTGAAGTGGAGCGAAATTATCTCCTCCGGAGGGTGTTCAAGGATACGTAATTACTAAAGATCAATGCATTAATAAACTATACATAAACTAGAAAATATGCAGTTACGTACATAATATATACATTAATTAAGATAAAAATTTGATAGGATTTACATATCAGTTAAAGAAAATCAAATCGTCAGTTGAAAGTCTGAGATGTAACGCTAAGCTATCTGTTATAATTTCATAGTCATTCATTTTGTCTTGCTCTAGAATGTAAGAACTTTAAATTTTTTTAACTAGGATTTAATAATTTAAGTGTAAACAGCATGAGACGATTCACTGAGCTAAAAACGCAAGTCGTTACCCATAATTCCGTTTGCTTTCGTAGTTTTTCGATTACTCTACTTACTCGTATGAACCGATGATACTTTATCTAAGTAAAATGATGAAAAGTAATTTGTACTTTCGGACTTGACTGTATCTCTTAAGAAAATTTAATTTCAAAATAACATTCGTGATGAGTCAAAAATCTCTTTAACATAAATGCTTGGAAATGTAACATGACTTTTTCATTGCTAAAATTCTTAGAATTCTGAAAGATTGAGTAATTAAATAGTTTCCGAAGTTGTGTAAATCGACCTTTAAAATACCGTGGTTAAATTAATGGGTTAAAGAGCTTACTGCATGGCTGTCGTTGTTGAATTGTGAATACATTAAAACAGCGTAAAGTTTGAATAAATATTTAATATAAAGACGATATTCGAAAGCGCTTTCTTGTTGTAAACGAAATGATTTGTAAAAAGAAGAATTGAGCTATTTCTGTGAAAGAACAAATTTTCTTCCATGTTAACACAATTGGATGCATACGCTTTTGACTACATGGAGTATTATATAATGAAGATGTTTTAAGACACATGCTTTTAACTACATGGAGTATTATAAAATGAAGATGTTTCAGTGGAACTTCTTCAGTATAACAATTGAGGTAAGAGAATGAAGATTATTTTCTGGTTCGTGAAAATTACTCTTGGATATGTTGGAACAAGTCCGTATATTTAAGGTAATTTGTAACCGGTAAGTATTTGTAATCTACTTCTGGTAGTTATGTAAGATTTATATTAGTTAACAAATCAAGTCGAAACGTGGTCAGCGGTTTTCAACAACGTAATTTTACCGAGGTACCACGTTTTGTGTTCACTTGTCACGCGAAGGCTTGAAAGGAAATCTTTAAAGCGTTCATTTATACGCAATCAAACTCAACGTGTGTTACTGTAACGTCATTGCAAGTGGCTACACTCAAAGTAGCGTTTTTCGTCATTCTTTGTTTCAATTGTATTTTTTTGTGTACTGCAATGATGTTTTAGTAACTTACATACTTCGAGTCTTTGGTTGTTAAGTATCTGCTTGTCTCTGTAAAAATTTGCTCACCTCATTTTTTGATGTTTATTTGTTTTTCTTTCTCCTATTTTCTGTAGCACATACAAAAGATATTTTTACACGAACAGTAAAACAGGCGAATCTCAATGGGAGTTCCCTCAAATCTCCATCAACACCATCAACACAGATGTCTCTTCAGTTCCTGGCGCTGGAACAGATATTACAGGTACTTTTTAGTTTACATTTAGGTTACTGCTAGTACTAACCTGCTAACTAGATTACTTATTCTGAATTTAAGTTTACAATCTTTCATTTATTCCAGGTCGCATTGTAGAAGAAAATGCTGCGAATATCAGCAGCTCTAAACTATCTTCTGTTGGTAATGCCATTCACAATACTGTGCTTTATTCAATAATTTATACTCTCAATATTTGATCAAAGAAGGCCTTATTTCCGTTTTACATCAAAAAAAGATATCTCTTGCAAATTGTATTTTTGTTTGACCTTTGCACGAACTCTATACATTTCTATGTCCGGCAGAAAACATCGGCAAAAGTTATTTAATTTTATGTATTGTAACATACAAAACTATTTTTATAAACTTTATCTTCTAAACTTTGCAATGTTTTGTCAAAACTTTTAATTTTCTATAACCTAGAACTAGAAACAACTTGTATAATCTTTTTTTACATCTATGCTTTACTATGGCGCCGTGCATCAATGTCTTTAATCTGTGCAAAATGAGGAGGTCTTATCCCACCTTTTGACTTTTACTTAAAGCAAACAAGATTTTCGAAGTACAACTTATTTGTCTTTACCAATTTTTAAATCGATAGAATGATTAAGATTTAACAGATTTTTTAATTACACACTCTGTTTTTTTTCCGTTTTGATGATATTATCCCTCGCCCGTTAAGTGTCAGGAAGAAGATTGCAAACGATATTAATAAATTTTGAATTTTCATCACTTTGCCTGTGTTTTTTGTTTGTTAGTTGTGACATATTTTGTTTCTTTATCGTAGACAACTCTCGTTCTTTTCATGATTTGAAAAATATCAAGACAGATGCTCCCAGTGGTTATAGTTACCAGGCCCCAGTCGTAGATGAAACCGACGTCACCAAAGGTTGAATAAATTATTGAATGATTTTTATTTTCTTTGTGTTATTCGACGGCAAAATCTGTACTGCGTTTCATAATTATCTTCGTAACATCGTTCATCATCACTACACAATGATTTCATTATCATTACATCATCAAATATATTTTTCTTAGATCCCTATCGATTTCTTGACGATAGCCCTCCGGTTCCTAAACCAGACAACGATCACGGTATTATTCACAAATTATGTTTCGTCTACATGTTTGTAGTCTAAGCGATAATGAGCCCGCAAACTCGACTCGAAAGTATCACGTGTGTTTTGGAGGAGGCCACGTGAAAAGGACTATCATTGCTTGTTTTTTACGGTTGGATTTGACTTTTGAGGACTCAATGCAACTTAAACCAAAATCCTGAACCTCCATATTTTTTGTGTATTTAACAGCAGTGTAAATTCATTATGGAACTTCGCTAAACATGCATTGTTTTAAATGTGATTATTTTTTGTATAGTGCGGAATTCGACTCTTCAATTCTTTCTTGAGTGTTTTGTTGTATGCTTTTGCTACAGTTTCCTTATTTTCATGTAGAACCTTCAGTATCACCACCGCCATTACCCACAGATGTTCTTATTGAACCCCCACCACCACCCCCACAGTCCCCTCCATCCCCACCACGTGTGACTAATATGAAGTTTGATAAATCGAGATCAACTGTCCGAACTTCAACAGATACTACTGTTTTCAAACAAGCGGTAATTGATCTGGCATTGTTACAAATTTTTGTCGTAAAGCAACCGTTCAGTGAGAATGAAATCTTTTTTTCATAAATTAGGTAAAGTCAAGTGTATCAAAGTCGTCTCCAGTCCCTACGCAAGTATCTGTTAAACAGAAGAAGAAGAAGGTGAGAAAGGTTTTTTGAATCAAAACACAAGTACACATTTTTTCGACTTCTTGCTACCAAAAGGGGAATTTCGTTCACGTGAAACCTAAGGACCTTCCAAATGACCTAAATGCAACTGTAAAATAATTTTAGAGAAATCAGCTTCATTGTAATCTTGTTTTATTGTAAATTCAGATCCTCAAAAAGACTTGATACCTCCATGTATCGTATTTTGCGTAATCTGTTTTTGTCTATACATGAATCAACAACAAAACATAGTTGACAACAAAGAATCCTTACCACACAAGTTTTGATTTTGTATCATTTCAGTCAAAGCCAACTTCAGCGCCAATACGTTCATCAAAAGTCAAACAAATGTCTTCATTGGTGCAAAAATGGCAAGCGATTAAGCAGCAGGAAGCAAGTATTTCAGAAGAAGAAAGTGAAGAGGAAGATTTTACAACAAGAACGGAAGCACAAATTCAACAATGGCGTCAGGAACAGATTGAAAGGTTTTTTACTCTCTTCAGTTCATACAATAGTGTTATGTAATGTGAAAACAATAGAAAAATGCAAATGAAAGGTTTTTTACTCTCTTCAGTTCATACAGTAGTGTATTGTAATGTGAAAACAATAGAAAAATGCAAATGAAAGGTTTTTTACTCTCTTCAGTTCATACAGTAGTGTATTGTATTTAGAAAACAATAGAAAAATACAAAAATTGCTTGATTTTTCCTTGTCTATATCAGCCATTATCATTTGATTATTGAAGTTTCATTTAAAAGATTATCCTCAAGCAATAACAGGATTAGGTTTTTTAATTTCAAATTAAATAAAGGCATAGCCAAAAAGCGCTCATTTCGCTTATTGTGTACATATATAGAGTTAAAGTTTCAATTCAAAGAACATTTATCTATTGAACAATTTCATTTTTTTACAGTGGTCTTGCTGCTGATAACCCAAACTTCCAGAAGATTACTGGAGACTGGAGAGAGCGCGTTCGTAAAGCTAAATTAAGGAAAGGCATTTTAGACAAGTAGGAATTTTTAAATTCAATGATATTAGTTTCCATGGAACGAAATTGTCTACGCACGTACACTTTTTATGAGCTTATCGAACTTCGAATTTTGTTGAACACAGTTCATCCTTTCAATCCAACATATTCCCATCAAATACAAAACATGCCTGATAAATGGACAGAGAAGTAGAAGTAGAAAATGAAAATATATTACAATAACCAAAGAGTAATTACTTGATGATTGTTACAAAAAAATGCGTAGGGTGTTACTTCATGTATGACCCATGAACATTTCCAGTAACATTCTCAGCTTTACTGCAGATGAATACTCGTCACATCAGTTATTATATCAAATTTTGAAAAATTTTGCATAATAATGAAAAATTGTTACTTGTGGAAAAATTAAAGTAATGCAATTTGTTTCTGTTTCTGTTTAGATAATTATACGCATGATGCATGTGGGTCATTCATTTAATGCGTATGCAATGAAAGGGAGGAAGCTGTATGATCAATGCATATGTTTGTGTACAATGGGGGAAGCTGTATGATCAATGCATATGTTTGTGTACAAGGGGGGAAGCTGTATGATCAATGCATATGTTTGTGTACAAGGGAACGTAGCTGCTTAGCCGTTGTCTTGTAAGAATGATATTTTGAGAGCCAAATATTGAACATATACGCACAAAGAGGAAAGGGGGAGGTTTTAACTTTGGATAATTTTATCTACCTAATAAATGGACGACAACACCTCCCAGAACAGGATATTTGTCCTGTCTAGTGAATTACAATTTAAACTGGAACGCTAAATAAACATAAATTAAACTAACTTACTTCGAAACTTAAAAGAAGCCTCGATTGAACGATCTTTCTTTTGAGAGACGTTAACGTTACAGCTGTATTACACCTTCCTTTGCTGTAATGAATTTTTCTTCTTTACGTAAATCTGTCAGGTTTAATTGACTAACAATTCTTCAGAATTCGTGAAGGAAACTGAACTGTTATTTGACTAACTTTTCTACAGAGCTCATGAAGAAAACTGGACTGTCAATCCACTGTTCTATTATCGACGGCTAACATCTGTACCCTTAACGAGGGTAACTTCATATGTTTTATTACATTTTTCCGATAAAGTTGCCTTTCTAAATTCAAACTTTTCTTCGGTCAATACATTACTATAATATCAGACAATAGTAATTATAAAAACACCAATCTTTCATTGAACAAGATATTTTTAAAATTTGCAAGACAATTAAATTATCCAGGAAGTTTTTGTTTCTTTGAAAACGAATTTGTTAAAAATAGGACTTCACTATTTTACATACGTAAATATTTCGTTAATCGACTTATCCTGTCACGCAATATCACATACTGAAGATTTTGCAAGGTTGAAATCACTAAATTTATATAATTTTATGATTATTTTAAAGTTAACATGATTACATAAGTACGATAGCTATGATAATATTAACTTTATAATGCGAAAAATCCACCATCGAGCGTTGTTTTTTTAATGAATGACTCATCTCTAAGTGGATCCAACTATAGGAGAAATAATTTACCCCGTATCCGCTATGAGTCATCTCTATTCTTTACTGAGCTAGCGATACTTCTAATTATCTCAAAAGAGTAGTTGAGTGACTGGAGTTTGCTTTCTGGTTAACCCTTGGATTAGTACTTTGCGCCTGCTTACTGACGATCTTATTGCTGATGTATTAGAACGATGGTTTTATATTCCAAATGAAACTAAAACGTACATTTTAGACAGTAATTATAAAAAGCACTAGTAAACAAAGGTCTTTCATTAGTGAACAAAGGTCTTTCTCACAATTTGCAAGATAAGCGAGGAAGTTTTGTTTCTTTGATAATAAAATTGTTTATAACAGGACGTTGTGATGTTAAATGCTCTAAGTTCCACTTAGAGAGAATCGTCTGTTTTAGAGAGTTATATAGTTCTAAGAATTTATAGTGAAGTGAGTTTACTTCAAAAGTGTGAGTAAGGTAAGAGAACTATTTATTTGCATGATAAGAACAGTAAGTAATTTATTGATCACAATAGTCACGCAATTTCATATTCCTTCTGCAAACTTTAATCTTGTGAGAGAGATTGACCATAAATTTAAATTATAGTTTTTTACTTAAAGGCTTGACAATTCGAACGATATTAATTTTATAATACGAAAAATCAAATGTTAACCTACTTTGTGTTGTGAACACATTAACGCTGAACTTAAGTCCCCAGATGAGCGATTTGAAACGTTGTAAAATTTGTCGTTTAACTTTCAGTGACTGAATAAAGCTTCATTTGTATGATATGTGGCCAACCACAGTGCCATTTGCTGTGTCAGCCTGGGAGTAACTTTTAATGTTTGACTGTATCTATTCATGATAGGCCATGGGCCCAATCGCAAAAATTCGTCCAGAAATAACATCGGCATGCGTCCACTGAGGAACCAGCTGAATTTTAACAGGGCAATCTGGAAGATAAACAAAAGACTTTGAGAGACGTTAACGTTTAAGATGTTCTGTTACTGTCTTCATTGAAATAAATTATTCTAATTTATTAAAGCATGCTCATATAGTTTTGGCGACAGCAATGGGCATGTTTGACTTTTCTGGAGTAATGTAATCATTATGATAGTACTCCATATCTAAATAGATAGAACTGTATTTTGTTGAGCTATTACTACCTGGAGTGATGTTATCACCATTACCGTTAAAGAACAATTAAAGACGGCAACCTAAAATGTTGTAGTACGGTATGCCGATCAAGTTGCCTTGTATAAAAACACCAATCTTATTAGCAAACAAAGATGTTTTAAAAATTTGCAAGACTATTGAGTTAGCGAGGAAATTTTGTTCATCTTTTAACGAGTTGTTAAAAACAAGACGTAGGGATGTTGAATGCAGGTGTTGCTCTAACTTTCAGTGAGTAAAACTTTATTTATATGATTTGGGGTCCAACCACAGAGCCGATTACTTTTTCAACCTGGGAGTAGCTTTTAATGTTTTGACTGTGTTTATTCATGATGGTTGATTGTTTGTACAAACTGACGATGTCTTCAGATCGATGGACTGTTTTGGTGGTTTTAGTTACTGACAAATCCTTGAGAAAGACTGTTTTTATGGCAGCAGTAACTAATGAAATTTTTGTGCTTCCGAGCATTGGCATTGACCATTCTTCACAATATTCACCGATCTTAAATATTTTATTGAATTGTTTTGAAAAATATTACATGACTAGCTTTGTTTTATCGTTTTGATTGGCACTATTATAAAGCAAGATAAATTTGCGGTTATAATTTGCGCTTTTGGAACAAAAATGGCAGCTAGATAGCCATGTGACCATATCCACGCAATCGAATTTATCATAATGCAAAATGCAGTGTCAGCAGAGAACATACGTGTCCCAACAACTACAAATACAGGACTCTGGTATTTGCATTTTCTAGAACTACTGTAACATGGCTGAGATAAATCAAGATATGGAGATTCGTATTTACACTAAATGGATAAATTCAAAGCTTGGAAAGGTATTAAAAGAGGAATTTTGTTTTTATCAATTCATAAATATAGTTTGATATTGCTTCTTTCCAGGAGCATACTCCGGTAAAGAATTTAATCGAAGACTTGCAAGATGGTCTTGTTTTGATTTCACTCCTCGAAGTATTGTTAAACAAAAAAATTGTAAGTTGTTGTGTTTTCTAATCAACTTTGAAGGAGAGCTGTTAAAATAATACGTTTCTTCTATCTCTATATAGAATTCAGACGTACCAAAATCAGAGATCGATAAACGCTTAAATATCCAAAAAGTTCTGGAATTGTTAGAAAAAAAAGGGGTAATTCATGACTTATGAGAATAAGTGTGTTTTTTGTTAAAAAAATTTTGCATTCTTCATAAAGGCTAGTGTCAGCGAATTTTATTTTCAATTTCAGTTAAAATTACCAACAATAAATACCCAACATATTGTTAATGGTAACAATAGCCAAATTCTAGCCCTGGTCTGGGAGATTATATTGCACTTTCAGGTAAACTTTGAAAAGTAGAAGAATTAGCAATTTTTTAAAGGAAAGAGTCTGTTTTTTTTATTTACGCTCATTTTGTGCAAGCTTTGCTGAAGTGTTATGAACTTATATGATGCGCCAAAATGCATGAGCATGAAGGGGAGATAGCACCAAGTAAAAATTATCTCCCCATTTTGTTTTATATCTACATTACTAGCATCCAAAAAGATGACACTAAATTAAAAAGATTTTTTAAGAAAATGGCAAGCCATTTATTTGTTAGATTTGTGGAGTTGTACCGGATGAACAAGGAAAAACCACAAAACCTAAAAATACGTTTTTGGCATCAAAATCTCGTTTGAGTCAGGTCAAGGTTGAAGAACGTTTGAAGAAATGGATGCAGAATGTGCTTCAAGGGTAAACAGTGGATAGTTAGAAATCGCACTTTGTGTCATTTTCTTTCATTATGAGCTAATTTATAGTGAGTCGGAATTCATAACGGTTGATGATCTTGAAAGGAGCTGGTATGATGGTTGGGCATTTGTGTATCTTCTATACGTTTTTCGGTAATGTGGCTATTTTTCTATTTCATTTCGTAATTACATATATACGTATAAACCTAATATAAAGACGGTATAACATCTTTTTTCATTGTAGTCCAAGTTCTGTTGACATAAACAAAGCAAAGGAAATGTCTGTTGAAGAGAGACTGGAGTACTTGTTTCATGTCGCAGAGAAAAAATTCGGTGTTCCTAGCTTGCTGGATCCTTTAGGTTTGAAAACTGAAATGATTACTTAACTTGAATAAACTTATAGTCACTAAAACGTAAAATATTGTTTTAATATAGATGTTGAAGAAGGCAATGTTGATAAAGAACGAATGTTGATATATTTTTCTTCATTATACGAAGTCTTGAGAAATATTAAAATAATAAAGATGAATGAAGATATAGAGATTTGTATTTACACTAAATGGATAAATTCAAAGCTTGGAAAGGTATTAAAAGAAGAATTTTGGTTTTTATCAATTCCTAAATATAGTTTTGGATATTGCTTCTTTCCAGGAGCATATTCCGGTAAAGAATTTAATCGAAGACTTGCAAGATGGTCTTGTTTTGATTTCACTCCTCGAAGTATTGTTAAACAAAAAAATTGTAAGTGGCAGTGTTTAGTAATCAACTTCGTAGGAGAGCTGTTAAAATAATACGTTTCTTCTGTCTCTTAGAATACAGAAGAACCAAAATTAAAGATCCATAAACTCGTAAATATCAAAAAAGTTCTGGTATTGTTAAAAGAAAGAGGGGTAATTCATGACTTATGAGAATAAGTGTGTTTTTCTTTAAAAAAAATAGCATTCTTCATAAAGGACTAATGTCAACGAATTTTATTTTCAATTTCAGTTGAAATTACCAACAATAAAAACTCACCATATTGTTAATGGTAACGATACCCAAATTCTAGCCCTGGTCTGGAAGATTATATTGCACTTTCAGGTAAACTTTGAAAAGTAGCAGAATTAGCAGTTTTGAAAGGGAAGAGTCTGTCTTTTTTTATTTACGCTCATTTTGTGCAAGCTTTGCTGAAGTGTTATGAACTTATATGATGCGTCAAAATGCATGAGCATGAATGGGAGATAGCACCAAGTAAAAATTATCTCCCCTTTTTCTTTTATATCTACATTACTTGCATCCAAAAAGATGACACTAAATTAAAACGATTTTTTAAGAAAATTGCAAGCCATTTATTTGTTAGATTTGTGGAGTTGTACCAGATGAACAAGGAAAAACCACAAAACCTAAAAATACGTTTTGGGCATCAAAATCTCGTTTGAGTCAGGTCAAGGTTGAAAAACGTTTGAAGAAATGGATGCAGAATGTCCTTCAAGGGTAAACAGTGGATAGTTAGAAATCGTATTTTGTGTCATTTTCTTTCATTATGAGCTAATTTATAGTGTGTCGGAGTTCATAATGGTTGATGATCTTGAAAATAGCTGGTATGATGGTTGGGCATTTGTGTATCTTCTATATGTTTTTCGGTAATGTGGCTATTTTTCTATTTCATTTCGTAATTACATATATACGTATAAACTTAATATAAAGACGGCATAACAACTTTTTTCATTGTAGTCCAACTTCTGTTGACAAAAACAAAGCAGAAAAAATGTCAGTTGAAGAGAGACTGAGTACTTGTTTGATGTCGCAGAGCAAGAATTCGGTGTTCCTAGCTTGCTGGATCCTTTAGGTTTGAAAACTGAAATGATTACTTAACTTGAATAAACTTATAGTCACTAAAATGTAAAATATTGTTTTAATATAGATGTTAAAGAAGGCAAAGTTGATAAAGAACGAATGCTGATATATTTTTCTTCATTATACGAAGTCTTGAGAAATCATGAAGTAGAAATAAAGCCCAGTAATGGCACAGGTATATATTACCATACATAAACATATGTCTGAGACAGTTACGTATGCTAACACGCTTTTTTTTTGTTCTAGACAAGCCATCGTCTGTATTTCAGTGCTGCCGTCGTTTGTTTTATTGTTTTCGTTTGTGTCAATGCTAAAGTGTCTAAGTAGCACACAAAGCCCTTGTATTGTTAAATTCCATAAAATGTAAAAAAAGACAGCTTACTTTCAAATTTGAATGTTGAATTTGAAAAGGAAGACAGTATGTTTTGAAAGTAGAAAGGTGTAAATCTCAATAATCAAAGAATTTCATTTGATTTTATTAAAGAGTTTAAGATCTAATTAAAATGTACTCATGTCTGTTGAGCTTTCGTTTAATTGTCTCTTCAACATTTAAGCATCTTTCAATGATTTAAATTTTTTCTAAATGTGAAACTCAATTTACATCATTTTTGTCTTTTACTTGGCACACCAAAAAAATAAATTCTGTATTGAGATTAAGTATAATATCAAGAATTATTCAGACTGAGGTCAATTAATTGATGTTATCTGCCGAGGCGAAACTGAGGTGGTAATTGACCGAGATCTTAATAGTTCTTAATATCATGCGAAAGCCGAATATAATAATTGTTTTATCATACAATTCAATAATTGTTTTATCATACAATTATGAATGTAGAAGCCTTTAAATTATCTCTGTACAGTGCTTCGATGTAAAATAATGTTGACGGTTTGCTTTCTTGTTGAAAACTTTCCCGAGCTTTCAAGAATTGGAACCCATGCAAATTTGGAGAAAGATTCCGCCATTTGTGTTCTTACATAATTTTCAATTGTATATTGAAAGTAATTGAAATTATTTGCAGACTTTAAGCCAATCACAATCAATATTACACCATTATTGTATAAAAATTAAAATTATTTTCTACAATATGCTGATCACACAATGAAATTGTTCAAATAGCATCCATGATAATTCAGCAGTTAAACACACGAATAAAGAACCAGCAAAAATTCACTTAAATCCAATGGCAGGCTTTATCTAAATTGCATTATTTACTGTTCATATCTTACTGCATGATTAAGTATACCTTGGCAATATCTGATTTTAAACAGAAAGATATTAGAAAGGTTTAACAATTAGACTTTTAATTGTAATTTTTGTTCAAATTCTCTATTGTTGTGCGCAATGATGAAAGACATGGCGTTAAAGGATATTTTCATTTTGGTGTTACATATAATACAAGATAAATTTGATGCTCAAATTGCAGCACATTAAGATTCAGCAAGTCAATTTTTTAAATTTTACCAGACTTACTCTGCAGTCTGCATGAATAAAAAAGTATCATGTGAATGATTCTTTGTTTGGCATACATACACATTAACGTATGTATGAATATTTCACTTATCTTTGTTGTAATAACTTAATTCTGTCATGTTTTGGCGACAACAAAGTTCATGTTAAGAATTTCATGTAATATCTATATTACTCTTCATATAAATCGACCAAACCGTACTTTGTTCAACTACTACTACTTTATGTCAGCACCATACACTACCCTTAAAGAGTGTAACTTAACTTTACATGTAAGTAGCTACTATGTCTAACAGGTTACAGACCATCTACGTGAGCCCTAAAGTTTGCCAGAGGCGGATTCTAAAATACCTGACAATGGTGTGGATTATAAAATTACCAACGTTGTCTTTTCAATAAAAAAAGATATTTTAAAAATTTACAAAACAATTAAGTTGGCAAGAAGGCATTTGTTTCTTTGTCAAACAAATTTGTTAAAAGTAGGAACTACATGCAAGCATTCAGTTGCTCTGAATTTCTCTAAGCAAGAATCGTTTTATGCATAAACAGAAGTTGCACAGAGTTATACAAACAAAATACTTCATAGAGAAGTAAGTGCCGTTCAAAAGAATGAAGAGGTAAGGAAAATATATATTATTTATATTAAAAGAATAAAGAATATTTTCTTTCTCAACTTACCTGGTCACGCAATGTCGCTTTCCATAGATATTTCAGCTGCCGCGTTAAAATCGAAGAAGACGATGAATTATATAAGACTATTTAAAGTTAACATGATTATAAGCCTGAAAATAATGAAAAAATTTACAAAAAAAACAAAAGATCAACAGTCGAACACCGTTCTTTAATGAGGTCAATAGCAGTACTAATCTGCCGGTACTTCGCACTATACTTTTCTCAACTATCGATTCTAGTTATTTTAATAGGGTATTGAATACAGTGGTGAGAAATATTCGCAGCAGATTTTATTGCTAGAACAAAAAAGCAATGGGGATTACTGTTCAAATAGACAAGAACCTACATTTTGCTAAAGACAGTACTAACAGTCACTGGTGTCAATATAACTTAACAAAGATGTTTTTAAATATTTGCAAGACAATTAAAATAAGACAGGAAGTTTTTGTTTCTTTTTGAATGACTTCGTTAAAAATAAGAATTGGCATTTTCATTGTTTGACCAGAATATGTATTTATCTTAGTGTATAACGGACGACTATAACTAAACTTTACATGATTAACTCTCCTTGTAGAACTAATGAAACATGCCTCGCCTAACTCAAGATAGAGAGACGCGCATTTACACTAAATGGATAAGTTCAAAGCTTAAAAAGGTATTTATAGAAGAGTTACGGTTTTAATCAATTGTAAAAATAATGTATTTTTGGATAATTTTTCTTTTCCAGGAGCATATTTCAATTGAGAATTCGATCGAAGACTTGCAAGATGGTCTTGTTTTAATTTCACTCGTTGAAGTCTTGTTAAATACAAAAATTGTAAGTTGTTGTGTTTTCTAATCAACTTTGAAGGAGAGCTGTTAAAATGATACGTTTCTTCTATCTCTATATAGAATGCAGAAGAACCAAAATTAAAAATCCATAAACTCGAAAATGTCAAAAAGGTTCTGGAGTTGTTAAAAGAAAACGGGGTAATTCAAGCATGAACGACTTTTATAAAAATCAAAAGAAAATGAAGTGTGTTATTTTCTTTTTTAAAAACAGTTGCATTCTTTATAGTTAAGGTTATCCATTTACAAAATAAAGGACTGATTTCTACGAATTTTGTTTCAGTTGCCCCTTACGATGAAAAATGAAGAAATTGTTGAAGGAAACGATACGCAAATTTTAGCTCTATTATGGGAGATTATATTGCACTTTCAGGTAAATTATATAAAGTTTTTAATGAAAATAATATCTTGCTAAAGTGAACACACCTGGAGAATAGCATAAAGTAAAACATTGGTATTTTGTAAAACTTGTTGTTCGTTTACATTAAGTCTGCATTACGGAGAATAAAAAAGATAACACTTAATAAAAAAGGATGAAAATGTGACTTAAAATGTCTATTATTTATTTGTTAGATTTATAGTGTTGTGCAAGATGAACCAAGCACAGCTATGAAACTTAAAGATACATCATCAAAAACAAAACCTCTTTTAAGTCAGGTTGAACAACATTTAATAAAATGGATGCAGAATGTTCTTCAAGGGTAAGCAGTAAATAGATAAATATCAATCATTTCATGTCTTTTTCCTTAATGGTGAGCTAATTTAGAATGTCTGACTTCATCATGGTTGATGATCTTGAAAGCAGCTGGCAAGATGGTTTAGCATTTGTTTTTCTTCTATATGTTTTTCGGTAATATGCCTATTATACTTCATTTTATAATTACATATAGACTTTTATAAAACGAATATAAATTGTTTGACAACTTCTATCTTTGTAGTCCATCGTCTGTTGACTTACGCAAAGCACTAAAAATGTCCGCTCAGGAGAAGCTGATGTACTCATTTAGTGTGGCAGAGGAGGAATTTGGGGTTCCTTGCTTGTTGGATCCTTTAGGTTTGAAAAATGAATTGATCCCTTGAGTTGAATAAATTTAGCACGTAAACATGCTTGTAGTAGAACAAATTTTTTAATATAGATGTTAAAGAAGGCGAAGTTGATAAAGAAGGAATGCTGATATATTTTTCTTCATTATACGAAGTCTTGAGAAATCATGAAGTAAAAATAAGGTCCAATAATGAAAAGGTTATATATTACCATGTATAAACATATGTCTGAGACAGTAACGTATGCTAACGCGCTTTTTTTCGTTTTAGACAAGCCATCTTCTGTATTTAAGTGCTGCCGTCGTTTGTTTTATTGTTTTCGTTTGTGTCAATGCTAAAGTGTCTAAGTAGCACACAAAGCCCTTGTATTGTTAAATTCCATAAAACGAAAAGAAAGACAGTTTACTTTCAAATTTGAATGTTGAATTTGAAAAGGAAGACAGTATATTTTGAAAGTTGAAAGGTGTAAATCTCAACAATCAAAGAATTTTATTTGCTTTTATTAAAGAGTTTAAGATCTAATTAAAATGTACTCATGTTTCTCGAGCTTTCTTTTAATTGTCTCTTCAACATTTAAGCATCTTTCAATGATTTATATTTTTTCTAAATGTGAAACTCAATTTACATCATTTTGTCTTTTTCTTTACACACCAAAAAAATAAATTCTGTATTGAGTATAATATCAAGAATTATTCAGACTGAGGTCAATTAATTGATGTTATCTGCCGAGGCGAAACTGAGGTGGTAAGTGACCGAGATCTTAATAAATCTTAATATCATGCGAAAGCCGAACATAATAATTGTTTTATCATACAATTCAATAATTGTTCTATCATACAATTATGAATGTAGAAGCCTTTAAATTATTTTTGTACAGTGCTTCGATGTAAAATAATGTTGACGGTTTGCTTTCTTGTTGAAAACTTTCCCGAGCTTTCAAGAATTGAAACGCATGCAAATTTGGAGAAAGATTCCGCCATTTGTGTTCTTACATAATTTTCAATGTTCTATAAGTGTAGTAATTGAAATTATTTGCAGACTTCAAGCCAATCACAATCAATATTACACCATTATTGTATAAAAATTAAAATTATTTTCTACAATATGCTGATCACACAATAAAATTGTTCAAACAGCATCCATGATATAGCAGCAGTTAAACACACAAATAAAGAACCAGCAAAAATTCACTTAAAATCCAATGGCAGGCTTTATTTAAATTGCATTATTTACTGTTCATATCTTACTGCATGATTAAGTATACCTTGGCAATCTGGTAATTTCTGATTTTAGACAGAAAGATATTAGAAAAGTTTAACAATTAGACTTTTAATTGTAATTTTTGTTCAAATTCTCTATTGTTGTGCGCAATGATGAAAGACATGGCGTTAAAGGATATTTTCATTTTGATGGTACATATAATACAACATAAATTTGATGCTCAAATTGCAGCACATTAAGATTCAGCAAGTCAATTTTTTTAAATTTTACCAGACTTACTCTGCAGTCTGCATGAATAAAAAAAGTATCATGTGAATGATTCTTTGTTTGGCATACATACACATTAACGTGTATGTATGTCAAAAGAAGAATGCATGCTTTATACTTTTCACTTATCTTTGTTGTAATAACTTAATTCTGTAATGTTTTGGCGACAACAAAATTCATGTTAAGAATTTATGTAATATCTATATTTTTCTTCATATAAATCGACAAAACCGTACTTTGTTCAACTACCACTACTTTATGTTAGCACCATACACTACCTTAAAGTGTGTAACTTAACTTTACATGTAAGTGGCTACTATGTCTAACAGGTTACAGACCATTTACGTAAGCCCTAAAGTTTGCCAGAGGCGATTCTAAAATATCTGACAATAGTGTGGATTATAAAAATACCAACGTTGTCTCTTCAATAAAGAAAGATATTTTAAAAATTTACAAAACAATTAAGTTGGCAAGAAGGCATTTGTTTCTTTGTCAAACAAATTAGTTAAAAGTAGGAACTACATGCAAGCATTCAGTTGCTCTGAATTCCTCTAAGCAAGAATCGTTTTATACATAAACAGAAGTTGTACAGAGTTATACAAATAAAATACTTCATAGAGAAGCAAGTTCCGTTCAAAAGAGTGAAAAGGTAAGGAAAATATATATTATTTATATTACAAGAATAAAGAATATTTTCTTTCTCAACTTACCTGGTCACGCAATGTCGCTTTCTATAGATATTTCAGCTGCCGCGTTAAAATCGAAGAAGACGATGAATTATATAAGACTATTTAAAGTTAACATGATTATAAGCCTGAAAATTATGAAAAAATTTACAAACAGAACAAAAGATCAACAGTCGAACGCCGTTCTTTAATGAGGTCAATAGCAGTACTAATCTGCCGGTTCTTAGCACTATACTTTTCTCAACTATCGATTCTAGTTGTTTTAATAGGGTATTGAATACAGTGGTGAGAAATATTCGCAGCAGATTTTATTGCTAGAACAAAAAAGCAATGGGGATTACTTTTCAAATAGACAAGAACCTACATTTTGCTAAAGACAGTACTAACAGTCACTGGTGTCAATATCACTTAACAAAGATGTTTTTAAATATTTGCAAGACAATTAAAATAAGACAGGAAGTTTTTGTTTCTTTTTGAATGACTTCGTTAAAAATAAGAATTTGCATTTTTATTGTTTGACCAGAATATGTATTTATCTTAGTGTATAACGGACGACTATAACTAAACTTTACATGATTAACTCTCCTTGTAGAACTAATGAAACATGCCTCGCTTAACTCAAGATAGAGAGACGCGCATTTACACTAAATGGATAAATTCAAAGCTTAAAAGGTATTTATAGAAGAATTACGGTTTTAATCAATTGTAAAAATTAATGTATTTTTGGATAATTTTTCTTTTCCAGGAGCATATTTCAATTGAGAATTCGATCGAAGACTTGCAAGATGGTCGTGTTTTAATTTCACTCGTTGAAGTCTTGTTAAATACAAAAATTGTAAGTTGTTGTGTTTTCTAATCAACTTTGAAGGAGAGCTGTTAAAATGATACGTTTCTTCTATCTCTATATAGAATGCAGAAGAACCAAAATTAAAAATCCATAAACTCGAAAATGTCAAAAAGGTTCTGGAGTTGTTAAAAGAAAACGGGGTAATTCAAGCATGAACGACTTTTATAAAAATCAAAAGAAAATGAAGTGTGTTATTTTCTTTTTTAAAAACAGTTGCATTCTTCATAGTTAAGGTTATCCATTTACAAAATAAAGGACTGATTTCTACGAATTTTATTTCAGTTGCCCCTTACGATGAAAAATGAAGAAATTGTCGAAGGAAACGATACGCAAATTTTAGCTCTATTATGGGAGATTATATTGCACTTTCAGGTAAATTATATAAAGTTTTTAATGAAAATAATATCTTGCTAAAGTGAACACACCTGGAGAATAGCATAAAGTAAAACATTGGTTTTTTTGTAAAACTTGTTGTTCCTTTACATTAAGTCTGCATTACGGAGAATAAAAAAGATAACACTTAATAAAAAAGGATGAAAATGTGACTTAAAATGTCTATTATTTATTTGTTAGATTTATAGTGTTGTGCAAGATAAACAAAGCACAGCTATGAAACTTAAAGATACATCATCAAAAACAAAACCTCTTTTAAGTCAGGTTGAACAACATTTAATAAAATGGATGCAGAATGTTCTTCAAGGGTAAGCAGTAAATAGATAGTTATCAATCATTTCATGTCTTTTTCCTTAATGGTGAGCTAATTTAGAATGTCTGACTTCATCATGGTTGATGATCTTGAAAGCAGCTGGCAAGATGGTTTAGCATTTGTTTTTCTTCTATATGTTTTTCGGTAATGTGCCTATTATTATACTTCATTTTATAATTACATATAGACTTTTATAAAACGAATATAAATTGTTTGACAACTTCTATCTTTGTAGTCCATCGTCTGTTGACTTACGCAAAGCACTAAAAATGTCCGCTCAGGAGAAGCTGATGTACTCATTTACTGTGGCAGAGGAGGAATTTGGGGTTCCTTGCTTGTTGGATCCTTTAGGTTTGAAAAATGAATTGATCACTTGAGTTGAATAAATTTAGCCAATAATCAAGCTTGTAGTAGATAAAATTGTTTTTATATAGATGTTGAAAAAGACAAAATTGATAAAGAACGAATGCTGATATATTTTTCTTCATTATACGAAGTCTTGAGAAATCATGAAGTAAAAATAAAGTCCAATAATGAAAAGGTTATATATTACCATGTATAAACATATGTCTGAGACAGTAACGTATGCTAACGCGCTTTTTTTTCGTTTTAGACAAGCCATCTTCTGTATTTAAGTGCTGCCGTCGTTTGTTTTATTGTTTTCGTTTGTGTCAATGCTAAAGTGTCTAAGTAGCACACAAAGCCCTTGTATTGTTAAATTCCGTAAAACGAAAAGAAAGACAGTTTACTTTCAAATTTGAATGTTGAATTTGAAAAGGAAGACAGTATATTTTGAAAGATGAAACGTGTAAATCTCAACAATCAAAGAATTTCATTTGATTTTATTAAAGAGTTTAAGATCTAATTAAAATGTACTCATGTCTGTTGAGCTTTCGTTTAATTGTCTTTTCAACATTTAAGCATCTTTCAATGATTTATATTTTTTCTAAATGTGAAACTCAATTCACTTAAATCCAGCAAAAATTCACTTAAATCCAATGGTAGGCTTTATCTAAATTGCATTATTTACTGTTCATATCTTACTGCATAATTAAGTATATCTTGGAAGTCTGGTAATTTCTGATTTTAGACAGAAAGTTATTAGAAAGGTTTAACAATTTCACTTTTAATTGTAATTTTTGTTCAAATTCTCTATTGTTGTGCGCAATGATGAAAGACATGGCGTTAAAGGTTATTTTCATTTTTCTGGTACTTATAACACAACATAGATTTAATGCTCAAATTGCAGCACATTAAGATTCAGCAAGTCAATTTTTTAAATTTTACCACACTTACTCTGCAGTCTGCATGAATAAAAAGTATCATATGAATGATTCTTTGTTTGGCATACATACACATTAACGTGTACGTATGTCAAAAGAAGAATGCATGCTTTATACTTTTCACTTATCTTTGTTGTAATAACTTAATTTTGTCATGTTTTTGCGACAACAAAGTTCATGTTAAGTATTTATGTAATATCTATATTACTCTTCATATAAATCTTCAAAACCGTACTTTGTTCAACTACCACTACTTTATGTTAGCACCATACACTACCCTTAAAGAGTGTAACTTAACTTTACGTGTAAGTAGCTACTATGTCTAACAGGTTACAGACCATCTACGTGAGCCCTAAAGTTTGCCAGAGGCGGATTCTAAAATACCTGACAATGGTGTGGATTATAAAATTACCAACGTTGTCTTTTCAATAAAAAAAGATATTTTAAAAATTTACAAAACAATTAAGTTGGCAAGAAGGCATTTGTTTCTTTGTCAAACAAATTTGTCAAAAGTAGGAACTACATGCAAGCATTCAGTTGCTCTGAATTCCTCTGGGCAAGAATCGTCTTATACATAAACAGAAGTTGTACAGATTTATACAAACAAAATACTTCATAGAGAAGTAAGTTCCGTTCAAAAGAGTGAAAAGGTGAGGAGAATATATATTATTTATATTACAAGAATAAAGAATATTTTCTTTCTCAGCTTACCTGGTCACGCAATGTCGCTTTCTATAGATATTTCAGCTGCCGCGTTAAAATCGAAGAAGACGATGAATTATATAAGACTATTTAAAGTTAACATGATTATAAGCCTGAAAATTATGAAAAAATTTACAAACAGAACAAAAGATCAACAGTCGAACGCCGTTCTTTAGTGAGGTCAATAGCAGTACTAATCTGCCGGTACTTCGCACTATATTTTTCTCAACTATCGATTCTAGTTGTTTTAATAGGGTATTGAATACAGTGGTGAGAAATATTCGCAGCAGATTTTATTGCTAGAACAAAAAAGCAATGGGGATTACTGTTCAAGTAGACAAGAACCTACATTTTGCTAAAGACAGTACTAACAGTCACTGGTGTCAATATCACTTAACAAAGATGTTTTTAAATATTTGCAAGACAATTAAAATAAGACAGGAAGTTTTTGTTTCTTTTTGAATGACTTCGTTAAAAATAAGAATTTGCATTTTTATTGTTTGACCAGAATATGTATTTCTCTTAGTGTATAACGGACGACTATAACTAAACTTTACATGATTAACTCTCCTTGTAGAACTAATGAAACATGCCTCGCCTAACTCAAGATAGAGAGACGCGCATTTACACTAAATGGATAAATTCAAAGCTTAAAAAGGTATTTATAGAAGAATTACGGTTTTAATCAAGTGTAAAAATTAATGTATTTTTGGATAATTTTTCTTTTCCAGGAGCATATTTCAATTGAGAATTCGATCGAAGACTTGCAAGATGGTCTTGTTTTAATTTCACTCGTTGAAGTCTTGTTAAATACAAAAATTGTAAGTTGTTGTGTTTTCTAATCAACTTTGAAGGAGAGCTGTTAAAATAATACGTTTCTTCTATCTCTATATAGAATGCAGAAGAACCAAAATTAAAATCCATAAACTCGAAAATGTCAAAAGGTTCTGGAGTTGTTAAAAGAAAAGGGTAATTCAAGCATGAACGACTTTTATAAAAATCAAAAGAAAATGAAGTGTGTTATTTTCTTTTTTAAAAACAGTTGCATTTTTCATAGTTAAGGTTATCCATTTACAAAATAAAGGACTGATCTCTACGAATTTTATTTCAGTTGCCCCTTACGATGAAAAATGAAGAAATTGTCGAAGGAAACGATACGCAAATTTTAGCTCTATTATGGGAGATTATATTGCACTTTCAGGTAAATTATATAAGTTTTTAATAAAAATAATATCTTGCTAAAGTGAACACACCTGGAGAATAGCATAAAGTAAAACATTGGTTTTTTTGTAAAACTTGTTGTTCCTTTACATTAAGTCTGCATTACAGAGAATAAAAAAGATAACACTTAATAAAAAAGGATGAAAATGTGACTTAAAAATGTCTATTATTTATTTGTTAGATTTATAGTGTTGTGCAAGATAAACAAAGCACAGCTATGAAACTTAAAGATACATCATCAAAAACAAAACCTCTTTTAAGTCAGGTTGAACAACATTTAATAAAATGGATGCAGAATGTTCTTCAAGGGTAAGCAGTAAATAGATAGTTATCAATCATTTATGACTTTTTCCTTAATGGTGAGCTAATTTAGAATGTCTGACTTCATCATGGTTGATGATCTTGAAAGCAGCTGGCAAGATGGTTTAGCATTTGTTTTTCTTCTATATGTTTTTCGGTAATGTGCCTATTATTATACTTCATTTTATAATTACATAGACTTTCATAAAACGAATATAAATTGTTTGACAACTTCTATCTTTGTAGTCCATCGTCTGTTGACTTACGCAAAGCGCTAAAAATGTCCGCTCAGGAGAAGCTGATGTACTCATTTAGTGTGGCAGAGGAGGAATTTGGGGTTCCTTGCTTGTTGGATCCTTTAGGTCTGAAAAATGAATTGATCACTTGAGTTGAATAAATTTAGCACGTAAACATGCTTGTAGTAGATAAGATTGTTTTAATATAGATGTTGAAAAAGACAAAGTTGATAAAGAACGAATGCTGATATATTTTTCTTCATTATACGAAGTCTTGAGAAATCATGAAGTAAAAATAAAGTCCAATAATGAAAAGGTTATATATTACCATGTATAAACATATGTCTGAGACAGTAACGTATGCTAACACGCTTTTTTTGTTCTAGACAACTCATCTTCTGTATTTAAGTGCTGCCGTCGTTTGTTTTATTGTTTTCGTTTGTGTCAATGCTAAAGTGTCTAAGTAGCACACAAAGCCCTTGTATTGTTAAATTCCATAAAACGAAAAGAAAGACAGTTTACTTTCAAATTTGAATGTTGAATTTGAAAAGGAAGACAGTATATTTTGAAAGTTGAAAGGTGTAAATCTCAACAATCAAGGAATTTTATTTGCTTTTATTAAAGAGTTTAAGATCTAATTAAAATGTACTCATGTTTCTCGAGCTTTCTTTTAATTGTCTCTTCAACATTTAAGCATCTTTCAATGATTTAAATTTTTTCTAAATGTGAAACTCAATTTACATCATTTTGTCTTTTTCTTTACACACCAAAAAAATAAATTCTGTATTGAGTATAATATCAAGAATTATTCAGACTGAGGTCAATTAATTGATGTTATCTGCCGAGGCGAAACTGAGGTGGTAAGTGACCGAGATCTTAATAAATCTTAATATCATGCGAAAGCCGAACATAATAATTGTTTTATCATACAATTCAATAATTGTTCTATAATACAATTATGAATGTAGAAGCCTTTAAATTATTTTTGTACAGTGCTTCGATGTAAAATAATGATGACGGTTTGCTTTCTTGTTGAAAACTTTCCCGAGCTTTCAAGAATTGAAACGCTTGCAAATTTGGAGAAAGATTCCGCCATTTGTCTTCTTACATAATTTTCAATGTTCTATAAGTGTAGTAATTGAAATTATTTGCAGACTTCAAGCCAATCATAATCAATATTACACGATTATTGTATAAAAATTAAAATTATTTTCTACAATATGCTGATCACACAATAAAATTGTTCAAACAGCATCCATGATATGGCAGCAGTTAAACACACGAATAAAGAACCAGCAAAAATTCACTTAAAATCCAATGGCAGGCTTTATTTAAATTGCATTATTTACTGTTCATATCTTACTGCATGATTAAGTATACCTTGGCAATATCTGATTTTAAACAGAAAGATATTAGAAAGGTTTAACAATTAGACTTTTAATTGTAATTTTTGTTCAAATTCTCTATTGTTGTGCGCAATGATGAAAGACATGGCGTTAAAGGATATTTTCATTTTGGTGTTACATATAATACAACATAAATTTGATGCTCAAATTGCAGCACATTAAGATTCAGCAAGTCAATTTTTTAAATTTTACCAGACTTACTCTGCAGTCTGCATGAATAAAAAAGTATCATATGAATGATTCTTTGTTTGGCATACATACACATTAACGTGTATGTATGTCAAAAGAAGAATGCATGCTTTATACTTTTCACTTATCTTTGTTGTAATAACTTAATTCTGTCATGTTTTGGCGACAACAAAGTTCATGTTAAGAATTTCATGTAATATCTATATTACTCTTCATATAAATCGACCAAACCGTACTTTGTTCAACTACTACTACTTTATGTCAGCACCATACACTACCCTTAAAGAGTGTAACTTAACTTTACATGTAAGTAGCTACTATGTCTAACAGGTTACAGACCATCTACGTGAGCCTTAAAGTTTGCCAGAGGCGATTCTAAAATACCTGACCATAGTGTGGATTATAAAAATACCAACGTTGTCTTTTCAATAAACAAAGATATTTTAAAAATTTACAAAACAATTAAGTTGGCAAGAAGGCATTTGTTTCTTTGTCAAACAAATTTGTCAAAAGTAGGAGCTACATGCAAACATTCAGTTGCTCTGAATTCCTCTAAGCAAGAATCGTTTTATACATAAACAGAAGTTGCACAGAGTTATACAAACAAAATACTTCATAGAGAAGTAAGTTCCATTCAAAAGAGTGAAGAGGTAAGGAAAATATATATTATTTATATTACAAGAATAAAGAATATTTTCTTTCTCAACTTACCTGGTCACGCAATGTCGCTTTCTATAGATATTTCAGCTGCCGCGTTAAAATCGAAGAAGACAATGAATTATATAAGACTATTTAAAGTTAACATGATTATAAGCCTGAAAATTATGAAAAAATTTACAAACAGAACAAAAGATCAACAGTCGAACGCCATTCTTTAATGAGGTCAATAGCAGTACTAATCTGCCGGTACTTAGCACTATATTTTTCTCAACTATTGATTCTAGTTGTTTTAATAGGGTATTGAATACAGTGGTGAGAAATATTCCTAGCAGATTTTATTGCTAGAACAAAAAAGCAATGGGGATTACTGTTCAAATAGACAAGAATCTACATTTTGCTAAGACACTACTAACAGTCACTGGTGTCAATATCACTTAACAAAGATGTTTTTAAATATTTGCAAGACAATTAAAATAAGACAGGAAGTTTTTGTTTCTTTTTGAATGACTTCCTTAAAAATAAGAATTTGCATTTTTATTGTTTGACCAGAATACGTATTTCTCTTAGTGTATAACGGACGACTATAACTAAACTTTACATGATTAACTCTCCATGTAGAGCTAATAAAACATGCCTCGCCTAACTCAAGATAGAGAGACGCGCATTTACACTAAATGGATAAATTCAAAGCTTAAAAAGGTATTTATAGAAGAATTACGGTTTAAATCAAGTGTAAAAATTAATGTATTTTTGGATAATTTTTCTTTTCCAGGAGCATATTTCAAATGAGAATTCGATCGAAGACTTGCAAGATGGTCGTGTTTTAATTTCACTCGTTGAAGTCTTGTTAAATACAAAAATTGTAAGTTGTTGTGTTTTCTAATCAACTTTGAAGGAGAGCTGTTAAAATGATACGTTTCTTTTATCTCTATATAGAATGCAGAAGAACCAAAATTAAAGATCCATAAACTCGAAAATGTCAAAAAGGTTCTGGAGTTGTTAAAAGAAAACGGGGTAATTCAAGCATGGACGACTTTTATAAAAATGAAACAAAAATGAAGTGTGTTATTTTCTTTTTTAAAAACAGTTGCATTTTTCATAGTTAAGGTTATCCATTTACAAAATAAAGGACTGATCTCTACGAATTTTATTTCAGTTGCCCCTTACGATGAAAAATGAAGAAATTGTCGAAGGAAACGATACGCAAATTTTAGCTCTATTATGGGAGATTATATTGCACTTTCAGGTAAATTATATAAAGTTTTTAATAAAAATAATATCTTGCTAAAGTGAACACACCTGGAGAATAGCATAAAGTAAAACATTGGTTTTTTTGTAAAACTTGTTGTTCCTTTACATTAAGTCTGCATTACGGAGAATAAAAAAGATAACACTTAATAAAAAAGGATGAAAATGTGACTTAAAATGTCTATTATTTATTTGTTAGATTTATAGTGTTGTGCAAGATAAACAAAGCACAGCTATGAAACTTAAAGATACATCATCACAAACAAAACCTCTTTTAAGTCAGGTTGAACAACATTTAATAAAATGGATGCAGAATGTTCTTCAAGGGTAAGCAGTAAATAGATAAATATCAATCATTTTATGTCTTTTTCCTTAATGGTGAGCTAATTTAGAATGTCTGACTTCATCATGGTTGATGATCTTGAAAGCAGCTGGCAAGATGGTTTAGCATTTGTTTTCCTTCTATATGTTTTTCGGTAATGTGGCTATTATTATACTTCATTTTATAATTACATATAGACTTTTATAAAACGAATATAAATTGTTTGACAACTTCTATCTTTGTAGTCCATCGTCTGTTGACTTACGCAAAGCACTAAAAATGTCCGCTCAGGAGAAGCTGATGTACTCATTTAGTGTGGCAGAGGAGGAATTTGGGGTTCCTTGCTTGTTGGATCCTTTAGGTTTGAAAAATGAATTGATCACTTGAGTTGAATAAATTTAGCCAGTAAACATGCTTGTAGTAGAAAAAAATTTTTAATATAGATGTTAAAGAAGGCGAAGTTGATAAAGAACGAATGCTGATATATTTTTCTTCATTATACGAAGTCTTGAGAAATCATGAAGTAAAAAAGCCTTCAGTAAAGCAAGAGGTATATGTTAGGATACAAGCATATGCCTGAAAGAGCTAGATGTTTGTTGAAATTATTTTTATGGTTTAGATTGAACATGAATCGATAACATTGCGTATTGGAAATGATGCCATGAAGGTTGAAATAACATCGAAAAATAAGTCTGCTTTGCTTATAATGAAGCTTTATTACACTGTCCTATATTCAATGAAAGGAGTGGAAGAGAGAATTAAGAAGATCGCAGAAAAGGAACCAAGTCAGGAAAGGGCTAGAGAATTGAGAGTGAGTTTGAGTTTCTTGTTTTCCTTGATGAATCATTCAGTAGATGTGTGGTGTCTGATTGAGAAAACAGATTGGATTTATTTTCCAATTTGTTTTATGTGACTTTACATTTATTAGTCTGTGCACGGTTTTTTATCTGAACCAAGGTTCTTTAAAAAACCTGTTGACCTGGAAGGTTAAAGTCTCTCGTATTTGAGTTGTTCATCTATAACATCAAATGACGAGTATACTCATTCAAGTTCCCAATGTTATTTGAGAGTCATACGATGTTCATAGTATGTTATCATTCTGTGGTCTGATGAAGTCAACAAAAATTGAAAGTGAAAATATGGCACAAGTTAATTGTCTTTATTTTCCCTCTATTTATTACATAAATACAATCTGATTTAAGCCTTCTACTTTTCAAAATGGCGTCAAATTAAACAATAAACAATTTTTGTATCTTTTGACAATATTTTACATGAAACCTTTGCACATACATGCTGAGTATAAGCCATATTGTTTTAAAAGTGTAGAATAAGGTTTTGTAGACCAACCTGTAGATTTTAGAAACGTGGAGCAATTAGACAACGATGTTCGTGGTTATATTATTCCTTCGAAAGAAACTGCAACAGAAACTCAAAACAAAGGTTAATTAGGTCTCAAATAAGGTTGAAAATACACGATGTGTAGATGGTATGAGAATATCCTCATCTTTTGCATTACGAGGAGTCTGCTCAATTTTAATAAAACTATTTCTGCTATTTTTAATAAAACCATTAATTGAATAATGAAATTTAGAATCACTTTAAAAACAACGAAGTTCTTGTGTAGGAAATGCTAATGGAAATGCAAGAAATACAGAAGATGATCGATGAGTTGAATGACGAAAATAAAAAGATTTCCTCATCCTCAAGTTTTGATCAAAAAGAAATTCTTGAAGTCCTGAAAGAATTTCGAGAACTGAGTAAACGATGGTCGGCACTTGTAAAATACAATGGTAAAGAGTTGTTTAAGTAAGAGAAATCGTTGTGAATAGAATTGCTTGTGAAAATGTTTTTAATTCTTTCCACCTTTTTTTTGCAGGCAGCCCGCCACGGTAGTTTCTAGAAGCATTGTTAACGTAAGTTTCATTGTCTATTTAAATGTTTTCTAGTTTTTTATCTTGGTTTAGTAAACTTTTTTTGCAGCTGTTATCCAGTATTTGGATATCTCGTATATTCTTAAACTATTTTTGCACCAAAAATTGCATTTTTCTTTTTGCATATTTTTGAACCTTATGAGCTACGTAAATTAAAATTTGATTTTGAAGTTTTATTATGAAGTGTTATTCTTAAATGAAGATATAATCTTCGCACTTTGCTGGACAATTTAAGCAATCGTCTCAGGACCTGAAAAAATCAGGTGACTCAACGGGATTCGAACCCATGACCTTTGCGGTGCCGGTGCAGTGCTCTGACCAACTGAGCTATGAAGTCACACAGTGGTGAGCAGGTCAATATTGTTAGGCTCATGTTTTCTCGTGAAAGGAATGTCGTATGAATGTTTTTATGCAGTGCGGCATTTGAAATTAAATGAAGATATGATCTCAGTTGGTCAGAGCACTGCACCGGCACCGCAGAGGTCATGGGTTCGAATCCCGTTGAGTCACCTGATTTTTTCAGGTCCTGAGACGATTGCTTAAATTGTCCAGCAAAGTGCGAAGATCATATCTTCATTTAATTTCAAATACCGCACTGCACAAAAACATTCATAAGTGTTATTCTGTTGATTAACCAACTTTGTTAGTGCAGCGCAATTTCCCAATGTTAATCGTTTTGTTACGTTGTCATAAATGTCAAAACCACAAGCTTTAGAATAAAGTGTCAACAATATTATAGACGGATCAATCTTTTAAAAATAAGTTTTACGGGAATATTTATTGTTTTCAAGAATCATTGGACTTGACTCGAATCCCTAATTTACCATTCCTTGTAAAAACGTTAGCTTTGTAGTGAAAGACATGAACATGATTTTGGCTATGATAAACGTTGCCTTTTCAAAACATAAAATGCGAAAATAGTCTGCAATGAAAATTATATTTTACAGAGTGCTCAACTGAAGATTGGAGACTACGTCATTGAGATTACGTCAGTGTCTTCCAATGACATCGTTGTAAAGTTTGTGGTCGTGTATTATGAAGTTATTACTATCATTCAAATGATTGAAGATAAAATGAAAATCATCGAGCAGGAACAATCAAGTTTAAAAACATCACAAATGGTTGATGTAAGTAACGTTTGAAAAGTGCTGTTCAACGCATGAATATGCCTTTGTCAAAAACATGTAATGTCTAACTGCTTTGCTACAAGAATCAATGTCAAATGATTTTGCTTTAGGAGATTGCTCAAATGATGAATCAAGTCCAAGAAATCAAGATTATTGAGTTAAAAGATCTCATGAGTGAAATGAAAATAGCTGAAAATGTTGACTCAGAAGAACTTGATGAATTGAATAAAGAGTTTAAAGAATTTCAGTCTTATGTTACACGAATGAACTCTTTAATCTTAAAAAAAAAGGTAAGTTGTTGACTTTTTGAACTTGTAACGATGTACTTCAATTTTCTAATATATTAGTTCGCAAAATTTGAAACCTTTTTTGTTTGTCAAGAATGAGCCTTTTATATCCTTCAATACACCATCCATGGAAATTGATGGCGATGATACAAAGAGAGCCTCAACTCATGACATCGTGTTAAGTTATAAAACTGCTTACCCCAACATATTGTCAGCGGTTGAAAGACTGGAAAAGAGGATCAACAAGATGCAAGCCGAGAATCCAAGCCAGAAAAACGCAAAAGCATTGAAAGTGAGTTTGTGCAATTTTTTTTTAATGATTTGTTGTCGTTTCGAAGTATGATCGTTTTATGAATACTGATTATTCTCATGACTTTATAAACTTGACAATTTCATTCAGGTAATCGACATAGAAATGCAAGAATTACATAAGGTTTTATGTCAAATGCACAATGAAATGTCTACATCCTTAGAAGTTGATCCAAAGGAATTTTCGAAAATCCATAATGAATTGGAAAAACTGATTGAGCGATGGTTGATACTTGTAAAAAACAATAATAAAGAAATCATGAGGTGAGGCAAGGAATTTCAAACAGTTCGTAATTAAACACGAAAACATTTATTAATTCTCTGCGATGTCCTTCAGACAACCAGCCATTGTTCGAGAAATCAAAACGAGAAAAACTGCTCATGTACGTAAGTCTGTAGAAATTTCTGTAATAAAAAAATTATAAGTAGAATGTTTCCATTGTTTCATAGAAATTTTTTATATTACATAGAAGTAAATTTCAGGTGCTAATCTTTTCTTTTAATTAATAATTAATTCATGAGAATATATTTTACTAATGTACGTGAATTTATCTAGAGATGGTCCACTGGAGTTTTGTGGGGAGAGTTTATATTATAATTATTCTCTATCTTGTCAAACTTTTTTTGTTAAATTTTGTTACCTTTTTGTTGCGATTGGGAGATTTTTAAAAATGCGTCCATTAAACACTGTCATAATCGATTTTGCTAGACTATCTGGTACATTAATATTTTGTAGTGAAATACGAACCCCGCCTGCACCTTCTCTAATCAAGACTAGGAGATATGTGTACCACTCCTTTATTTATCTACTTTGATTTCTTTTTAAAAGTTCTTTAAAAGGTTGAACAAGAAAAAGAAAAAGTATTATGATTTAGTTGTTACAAGAAAACTGAATATTATGTGCAGACAGAGTTTACCCATTGTTTTACAATATGAATCGGATCATCTTTCTTTCCTCCTAAATTTCTTAGTTCAGGAGGAGGGGGTGGGTGTGAAAATTCGCCTCAACACTTTTAAAGAGAGAAATAAGAAATCGTTAATTTAAGAACGCTTGACGGTAAATTTCAGTGGCAATAATTGAATGCCATTAAGAATTTCTTAATTAAACTGTTAAGATGGAAATAAGTGATGATAAAAAAGTTTTCCTAAACTTTTAATTTAGCAAGACTGTTAATCATACTCACGAAATATAACTTAGTCTTGGTTACAACTTTATAGAATAATTTTCACAGCTAAAATTATTTTAATAAATATATACAACTGTCTCAAGCAATTCATTTTTGGTCATCTAAAGAAAGTTTGTTGAGTGATTAATTTTTAATAAATTTATTGATTCTTCATATGATGTGTGAAAAATTGCATAATCTTGCGATAAAGTTTTATTTTACATTTACATATGTCAAACCATTTCTTTAGAGTGCTCATTTAACAATTGGGGACAAAGTTATTGAGATCGAATCTGTTTCCTCCAATGGAATTGTCATCAAATACAAGATTTTATATTATGAAATTATCACTATCATCGAAATGATTGAAAGTAACATTAAAGTAATTATAAAAGAAGAACCAAGTCAAAAAACGGCTGCATTACTTGATGTAAGTTGTTTTGAAAATTTAATAATTCTGATTTTATAAAAGAATATTTGGACTTCCCAAAATTATTAAACGACATGAGACTACGTGTTATCATCTAAATTATGTTTTGATAAAACAATTTTTTGCCCTAGGAGAATATTCAAAGACTACACCAGCTTCAAAAGAATATTTCAGAATTACATGAGCTCATTAGTAAGATAGAAGTGGCTAAAAATGTTGATTCAAATGAGCTTAAGGAATTACTAAATGAACACGAAGATTTCATAGCTCGTCTTACTGAAGTTAATGCTTTTATCTCAAACGAGAAAGAAAGGTTTGTATATTTATCACATTCTGTTGTCTTTCTTTTCAATAGAATATATCTTTACAAGTATAGTTATACATCAATCATTATATATTGTGTATCTAGGCAACCAGTTCTGGTCACAAAGACTGTGTATGAGACAAGTAGAGAGGAAGAAATTGTACGAAGTTTACATTCTCGAGTCAAATTGATTTTAACGTAAAAATTGTTTTCTCAACAAACATCATATCTTTCATGAGAAAGCTTTACAGGTTTTGTTTTTTTTGATGCATTGTTCAACCAAACGATTTGTTATCACATAATCTTAAAAAAATAATTGTATTTATTCTATATAACCATTATGTAAATATTAGAAAATTGTAGTTACATAGACGCGATTATTAGCCTGGCTAACGGCATTACATTTTACAGGATATTGTACATTTAATAAATAAAAGATATTTACTTCAATGCTCAAAAAAAGTCTATCTTCTACGAGATCAACAAAAATCTCATAATGCGAGACAGCAATTGCATTAACAATCATACATAGCATTGGTCATCAATTTTTCAATAAAACTCGCCGATAAACATAACATTACACAAGTAAGATAGTTAAGACAATCCCCTATATCTACGGAAATTTACATTAGTCCAAATACAACAAGATTACAGCCAATTTTCATTCTTTTGAAACTGATCCCGTGCTCTTATTTCTCTTCATTTAAATAGTTACTTATGAAATTAGAGTAAAAAAACTGCCAAAGCTGAGAATAATAGATTGAGCATCAGCCAGATAGCACAATAAAAGCATTGAATTCCAACAAATACGACTCTATAGTCTTTACCTCAACTGACTATTATTTAATGATCCTGAAATTTCTGTATGATTCACTTCAGCCTATATAATGTTCAATATAGCAAACGACATGTCTTCTACGTCATGTGCTAAGTCTATAATACTCCATACCTTCTCTGACAGAATGCTACTTTTTTGAACAGAAGATGCTTATGATACTAGCTGTACATGTTATGGATCTGTAGGCAGAAGAAACCTGAATTATTAAATATTTGCAGCTGAATTAAGTCAGCTCTGAATGCGATGTCCTTGTTACAGTAAAAAAAACAGACTTTTTCATATCACAGATCTAAATCTTAGCTAACTTGTCTCAATTCGATGTTTAAAGCTCCGACAACTGTGATTGTATAAAGTCAATCCTCTCAACATTGCTAAGAGGACATTTTCAAGACAACTAAGATAGAAAAGAAGTCTTTGTTTCTTTGGTAATTATTTGTTTAAAAAAGGACGTGGGCTGCTAGTGCTGTCATACGCAAGCGGTTGCTCTAAGAGAATTCCTCAAAGGAAGAATCGTTTGTATATAGTTGTCGAGTAGTTATTGAGAGGTACATAGTTATATGAATTTATAGAGGAATGAGTTTCATTCAAAAGATTATATAAGGTAGGACAATATATATTTACATCATTTCATTATTTCATTTCATTTCATTTCATTTCATTCCGTCGTCACGCAATGTCATCCTCAATATTCGCACAAATATCTGCTGCAATGTTTAAATTTTTGACGGCAGTAACGTCAATAGTAGATTTTGTCGTAAATAGAATAACTATAAAAGCTAAAAATATTGCAACATTATTTTTCTAAAACAAAAAATAAACTGTCGATTTCCGCTCTCTTATTATAGTTCCATAATAACCTCATTTGGCAGCACTTGCGGAGCTTCACTTTCTTGAAAACACCATACTTCATGTTATATTAACGAGTACGAAAACACGGCATACTTTTTAAGGTTAGCACCAATAGATTTTTGTAAAGATAAAAACAATATAGTTGTAAGAATTATCTCAAATCAAATAACTATAAAAATATAAACTTAATTTATACGATGTAGGCGATTGTCCACACTTCTTTCCTTTATTAAGGTACATAAAAGTTATTTTACCGACAAACTGACTGCACGTCAACTTTAAGAAATGTTTCTTTATATAAAAATATCAGTTAAAATCAAAATCTTTTTATGCAAATCTCGCACATTTTAGGAAAGATTAACAATTTTGTTGATGGCTGGATTTCTATTACATCTCTCACCTTTTGTTGAGTACTTTGCGAGTACAGATTTAAGGTAATTTTTTTTATGTTTATTTTTATTTAATTGTGACATGAAAGATAGATATCCCATCTTATCTATATAAGATATTAAAAACATATTATTGTATAAATTATAAAACAAACGCATTTTTATTATTTGCTAATGTCGTCTCTGTTTACTTTAGTCTAACAAATGACGTAAATCAAATCAGCATGATATGAATTCTTATGACGTCATTATGCCATTTAATTAATATAGATAAAGAAATAAGAAACCATTTTGTTCGATTTTCAAAATTTACCAGCGTGCATTAAAATGGAAATATGACAATTTCAAGTTTGGACAACTGATACGCATTGAAATTATAAATGTAGGAAAGTTACTAAGAAAGGGCAAGGCTAGGACACAAGTTTGCTTGATACAATGCCTGTTATATCAGCTTGACAATTTTTATAAAAAGATGTATTTTTCGGAGCATTCAAGCAGATGGATACGTTCTTAGATAGTTTTAAAATCACAGTATGATTTGATGTATTTAAAACAAACCCAAACCTACAGATTGTTACAAAAATCAAATATACAAAAAGGTATAGTACACTTTAAGCAGATTTATTTACACTTAATGATTTTACAACAACTTTGATTCACTTGTTTATAGGACAGAAAAAAAAAATTTCTGAAAGGACCTGACATTTTTTGTCGTAATTGATATAGACAAAATCAAAACATTTTTCCTATTTATCGACCGTTATCCGACCAATGGTCACCCAGCAAAAGTAACATGTTCTGCTGACTCCAGCTTTTTAGGACCCATTCGACAGCGTTGAGCACGATTTAGTTGCTCCTTAATATTAACTACAATGTCCAAAACGATTTAAAAAATTTTAAAAATTTGATTTCTATATAGTTCTCAAAAGTGAACACTCTTTGATTTCTTCTTTAACGAAAAGTTCTGCAAATAACAGACTTTGAATTAGGAATTTTTGTTTTAAGTGGTGGATGTTAGACAATCAACTTCTAGTAATTTTTTGTTGACGTAGTTGATGTTAGACAATGAACTTCTATAAACTTTAAATGAACATCTTTAGGATGAAGCAGGAGAAAAAGATGCATATTTACACTAAATGGATCAACTCAAAGCTTGAAAAAGTAATCTAACAAAAATTTAAGCTGCTTTAAACACCCTTTTTTATTTTTTGATGATTTTTCTTTCCAGACGCATCCTCCTATAAAGAATTTATATGAAGACTTAAAAGATGGTCGTGTTATATTTTCGCTACTCAACGTCTTGTTAAATAAAAAAAAGGTAAGTTTGCATAGGGTATTAATTATCTTTGAAGAAGCTGTAGAAATAATACTTCTTTTCGTTTTTAGAATACAGAGAAACCAGAAAAAAATTCTTCCAACTACGAAAATGTTCAAGACGTCCTTACAGTTTTAAAGAAAAGAGGGGTAATACGATAATTACTTCAATCAGGAATCAAAAATGAAGAAGTGTTGTATTATTTTGGATGAAAGCTATTTATTTTATAGTTCATTTGATTTGCTTACTGTAGAAAAGCTTTAAATGTCTTCGAAATTTATTTCATTTGTAGTTAGAAATTGACATAATAGAAAGTGGAGAAAATGCCAAATGGAATGAAAGGGAAATTCTTGCTCTGATTTGGCAGATAATACTGCATTTTCAGGTAATTACACAATAATACTTTACAACTATTAGAGTCAAACACTCTCCTTTCAGAATTCTTCTTATTTTGTGATAAATGACGTGAAATTCCCCATAGGGGCAGAGCACTAAGTATAACAATGCTCTAATCCCTTGTAATTATATCTGAACTATTTACATAGAGAAGTTGTTATCAAGTTGAAAAAAGCAAATACTACATCCACATGTTTACTAGATTGAAACAGTTTTACCAGATGAGTTACTAACAACTTTGGAAGATAAAGATTCGTCATTGCGGACGAAACATCTTTTAGATGAAGTTGAAGAGCGGTTGTTGAAATGGATACAGGATGTTCTTCAAGGGTATAAAGTTTTCAGTTGTTGATGATAGTCAACTTGATTTGTGTCTATTTCGTTAATTGTGATGTAATTTAGAATGTTTGTGGTAAATGATCTTGAAAGCAGCTGGGAAGATGGTTTTGCATTTTTGTTTCTTCTATCTGCTTTTCGGTAACGTAGCTATTTTTGGTTTTAATTTTAAGATCAATACAAATGGAGTATAGATATACAACTTATTTCTTGGTAGTCCATCTGCTGTTGAAATGAGCAAAGCACTAAAAATGTCTTCTCGTGAGAGGCTGAAGTACTCATTTGATGTTGCAGAGCAAGAATTCGGTGTTCCTAGCTTGCTGGATCCTTCGGGTATAAGAAGTTAAATGATTATTTCATTTGTTTGATATTGATGAAAAACGCAGATCAAATTTATTTGAACAGACGTTGAAAAAGACGAAGTTGATAAAGAACGAATGTTGATATATTTTTCTTCATTATATGAAGTCCTGAAAAATCATGAAGTAAAAAAGCCTTTACTAATGCCAGAGGTATATCATCGTATATATCTGAGATGAAAAAATATTTTAATGTGTGTTTATGTCCCTTTGAAATTAGCATGAATCAACAAAACTGAGCGCTATTTAAGCTAAAAAAAAATAACATGATTTTACTATTTGTGAAGATTTATTACACCATTGTGTATTCAATGAAAAGAGTACAAGAGATGATGGACAAGGTCACAAACAAATCGACTGGCCAAGTGAGAACAAAAGAATTGAGCGTGAGCTATATTTTAAATGTTCACTTACACTCATTCAACAGAGGATTAAATTGTCCAGTATAATCACACGATTTCTAGTTCGACAAAAATATCAGAGTAGTTCTTGTTTCAGTAATTTTGACGAATGGAAAAGAGGATCATTTTTAGAATTTTTTGCCTAATTTGGTTGGATAAAACTTTAAACTTTTCAACTATATAAAGCAAAGTAGAAGAGTTTAAGCTCATCAGACCAAATTAAGTAAAAAATTACATCTGTTATAGACATTGCAATCAATAATTGAAGCATATCCATTTTATCATAACTTTAAGGAAATGGACAATTTTTAAGGATAATTTTTCATAGGCAGAAGATTTGGTACTCATCGTTTGAATTTTGTTTTGTTACTTTTTGCTCAATAATTTCAGCACGGGGAGTTGAATTGTAATGTGCTTTTACAGGAAATTCAAATGGAATTATTGGAATTACGGAAGATGATTCATCAATTCAATAACAGATATAACGATATCTTTCGATTCCAAAGTTTTGATCACGAGGAATTTTGTCAAGTCATGAAGGATTTTGGTGAACTTAGTAAACGTTGGTCAGCACTTAACAACAAAGAAATCCCAGGGTAAAATTACTTGTCTTGTTTAGTGGCTGCTTGTGGGAAGCGTGATGTAATACTTTTTATTGTTTTTTTTGCAGCTCAAGAAGAATCATTAATGTGAGTTTTTTTTATCTTCTTAACACATCTCCAGTTTTTAAATTTGTCTTCCAATTTTTTAATTTGTCTTCCAGTTTTTTAATTTGTCTTCCAGTTTTTAATTTGTCTGTAAGTGGTGCTGGCAACTTTCATTCCATTTACAAAACAAAGATTTATAGTCTTGGAGGCATACTTAAACTCACTTCAACTTCTTCCTTTGTTTTCATTTGTTTATGTAATATATACTTTAAAAGTGTCTTAAAAGGAGCAAATACCTTGGTGAATGGTCAAATACTAACGAAATAGCTTTTAAAAGGACTGTTTAAGCCAGAACACTAAACCAAGAATTATAAAAGAGCTGTTTTTAAAGATAATAGACACTATACATTTCGGCAGACTACTTATCAGGTGTCAACGTCTGCTAAATTTGAGCTTCAGAATCATGCCATATTTATAATATTACCAAAATTCTACGTCATCTCTGAATTTAGAGATGACGTTCGAAAGAGATAGATGAAACACATAATCTTTCTGTCGACGGAGAACGGTATTTGCTCTTTTCAAGACAATTTTTAAATTTGTCACCACGATTTGTCTCTGTTTTACAACTTTTTATCTTGTTTTATCCAGAGTGCTCATTTAACAATTGGAGACAAAGTTATCGAGATCGAATCTGTTTCCTCCAATGCAATTGTCCTCAAGTACAAGATTTTATATTATGAAATTATCACTGTCATCGAAATGATTGAAAGTAACATTAGAGTTATTAAGAAAGATAAACAGAGCCAGCAGACGGCAGCATTGATTGGTGTAAGTAACATATAAATCGTGCAGTGCATAAAAATACTTTTGCTATAAACAATTACAATCATTTCAGGAGATTATTCAAATGATGGATCAGGTACAAGAAATCAAGATTAAACAGTTAGAAGATCTTATAAGTGAAGTAAACATGGCTGAGAATGTTGACTCAAAAGAACTTGATGAATTGAATAAAGAATTTGAAGATTTTGAATCTCGTCTTACACATATTAAGGATTTTCTTTCAAATACGAATGTAAGTTATTGAGTAAGTTATTGAAAGCCTGTGGTATTCCTCTTTTAACTTTTCCATCACATTTGCAAAATTTGAAACTATTTGAATTATAATTAAAAACAACAATATCTACAATATATTATAATACAATATAATTAATTATTCAGTTGCCATAAATTCTTTACTTGAAACCAATTCTTTAGAATTCCTAAAATAGTTACGTTTGCCCATGTGAGTACACAATGGCAATAATAAAATGTTCTTTTGTAGAGTTCCAACAGCAGAGTTCCAACATGGCAGACGATAAGAAAAAGTATAATTAAGGTTGTAATGATGTATATAACTTCTTCTCGCATTGCGCCCTTTTCTGGAACTTATAATTTAAGACAATCTTAAGCATGTTTTATACAATTTATATTGGTTTATAACTTTCTAATCAAACTTTCTTATTTACTGTTTCTCATGAATCACGAGAAAACCATCCATAGGCTTCATGGCAAACAAGGATTAAGTGGCTCCCTTTAAGTAACATGCAACGCTCTAGTACTCAATTATCTCAGGGTATCAGGAGGCATGGACCGAAAACGGGATTTTTCTTTTTTAAATTTGTCTTTTTTTTACAAGAATTCCTCTCATAAAAGACACTTGAACATCCAAGGAAACTGAAAGGTTCAAACATATCCTGCCTTGACTTATAAATTAAACAAACTCTAAGCATGTTTATACTTTTTTTACATGTTACCTTTTACAGTGTAGCATTCTCATAAATCTCTCGTGATGAACGAGAGCCTTCTTATACAATATAATATTCTCATCATGAACGAAAGCATCCACAGGCCTCGTGGAGAAATGCGATTATCTACTTTTTTCTAATGCAATTTCTACAAAGATAACATTTAATAAGCCAAGAAATTTTAATCATCTAAATGAAACCTCGCTTTCAATCTTTATGTTATAAAATTTTGATTCATTTTGGATGATAAATTTCGTTTTACCTTAAAATATTTTCATAATTCAATGTAGAAAGTAACTTCTCTTCTACAGTAATTTACGGATTAAACAGCAAATTTTTCGGATTCAAAGGAATTCTTTTGATTGCATAGAGACAGCCGTCCAATTTATTACATATCTAAGCGTATATAACGCATTTCCAAATCACGTACAAAATTTCCCTCACATGACCAACTTACCGTCTATTTAAATGATGTGTGTAATAAAAAGAACTCTTTAATCTTAAAAAAAAAGGTAAGTTATTGCCTTTTTTGAAATTGTAACGATGTACTTCAATTTTCTAATGTATTAATTAGTTCGCAAAATTTGAAACCTTTTTTTGTTTGTCAAGAATGAGCCTTTTATATCTTTTAAAACACCATCCATGGAAATTGATGGCGATGACACAAAGAGAGCCTCAACTCATGACATCGTGTTAAGTTATAAAACTACTTACCCAACATATTGTCAGCGGTTGAGAGACTGGAAAAGAGGATCAACAAGATGCAAGCCGAGAATCTAAGCCAGAAGAACGCAAAAGAATTGAAAGTGAGTTTGTGCAATTTTTTGTCATGATTTGTTGTCGTTTCGAAGTATGATCGTTTTACGAATGCTGATTATTCTCATGACTTTATAAACTTGACAATTTCATTCAGGTAATCGACATAGAAATGCAAGAATTACATAAGGTTTTATGTCAAATGCACAATGAAATGTCTACATCCTTAGAAGTTGATCCAAAGGAATTTTCAAAAATCCAAAATGAATTGGAAAAACTGATTGAGCGATGGTTGATACTTGTAAAAAACAATAATAAAAAAATCATGAGGTGAGGCAAGGAATTTCACACAGTTTATAATTAAACACGAAAACATTTATTAATTCTCTGCGATGTCCTTCAGACAACCAGCCATTGTTCGAGAAATCAAAACGAGAAAAACTGCTCACGTACGTAAGTCTGTAGAAATTTCATCTTAAATTTCTTAGTTCAGGAGGAAGGGTTGTGTGTGTGAACGTTTGCCACAACACTTTTAATGAGAGAATTAAAAAATCGTTAATTTAAGAACGTTTGACGGTAAATTTTAGTGGCAATAATTGAATGCCATTAAGAATTTCTTAATTAAACTGTTAAGATGGAAATAGGTGATGATAAAAAAAGTTTTCCTAAACTTTTAATTTAAAAAAACTGTTAATAATACTCACAAAATATAACTTAGTCTTTGTTAAAACTTCATAGAATAATTTTCACAGCTAAAATTATTTGAATAGATATATACAACTGTCTCAAGCAATTAGTTTTTGGTTATCTAAAGCAATTTTTGTTGAGTGATTAATTTTTAATAAATTTATTGATTCTTCATATGATGTGTGAAAAATTGCATAATCATGCGATAAAGTTTTATTTTACATTTACATACGTCAAACCATTTCTTTAGAGTGCTCATTTAACAATTGGGGACAAAGTTATTGAGATCGAATCTGCTTCCTCCAATGGAATTGTCATCAAGCACAAGATTTTATATCAAGAAATTATCACTATCATCGAAATGATTGAAAGTAACATTAAAGTAATTACAAAAGAAGAACCGAGTCAGAAAACGGCTGCATTACTTGATGTAAGTTGGTTTGAAAATTGACTAATTCTAATTTTATAAAACAATATTTGGACTTCCCAAAATTATTAAACGACATGAGACTACGTGTTATCATCTAAATTATGTTTTGATAAAACAATTTTTTGCACTAGGAGAATATTCAAAGACTAAACCAGCTTCAGAAGAATATTTCAGAATTACATGAACTCATTAGTGAGTTAGAAGTGGCTAAAAATGTTGATTCAAAAGAGCTGAAGGAATTACTAAATAAGCACAAAGATTTCATAGCTCGTCTTACTGAAGTTGATGCTTTTATCTCAAACGAGAAAGAAAGGTTTGTATATTTATTACATTCTGTTTTCTTTCTTTTCAATAGAATATATCTTTACATACATTGTTATACATCAATCATTATGTATTGTGTATCTAGGCAACCAGTTCTGGTCACGAAGACTGTGTATGAGACAAGTAGAGAGGAAGAAATCGTACGAAGTTTACATTCTCGAGTCAAATTGATTTTAACGTAAAAATTGTTTTCTCAACAAACATCATATCTTTCATGAGAAAGCTTTACAGGTTTTTTGATGCATTGTTCAACCAAACGATTTGTTATCACATAATCTTAAAAAAATAATTGTATTTATTCTATATAACCATTATGTAAATATTTGAAAATCGTAGTTACATAGACGCGATTATTAGCCTGGCTAACGGCATTACATTTTACAGGATATTGTACATTTAATAAATAAAAGATATTTACTTCAATGCTCAAAAAAAGTCTATCTTCTACGAGGTCAACAAAAATCTCATAATGCAAGACAGCAATTGCATTAACAATCATACATAGCAATGGTCATCAAATTTTTCAATAAAACTCGCCGATAAACATAACATTACACAAGTAAGGTAGTTAAGACAATCCCCTATATCTGCGGAAATTTACATTAGTCCGAATACAACAAGATTACAGCCAATTTTCATTCTTTTGGAACTGATCCCGTGCTTATATTTCTCTTCATTTAAATAGTTACTTATGAAATTAGAGTAAAAAGACTGCCAAAGCTGAGAATAATAGATAGAGCATCAGCCAGATAGCACAATAAAAGCATTGAATTCCAACAAATACGACTCTATAGTCTTTACCTCAACTGACTATTATTTATATAATCCCGAAATTTCTGTATGATTCACTTCAGCCTATATAATGTTCAATATAACAAACGACGTATGTTCTACGTCATGTGCTAAGTCAATGATACTCCTTACCTTCCTGACAGAATGCTACTTTTTTGAACAGAAGATTCTTATGCTACTAGCTGTATATGTTATGGATCTGTAGGCAGAAGAAACATGAATTATTAAATATTTGCTGCTGAATTAAGTCAGCTCTGAATGCGATGTCCTTGTTACAGTAAAACAAACAAACTTTTCATATCACAGATCTAAATCTTAGCTAACTTGTCTCAATTCGATGTTTAAAGCTCCGACAACTGTGATTGTATAAAGTCAATCCTCTCAACATTGCTAAGAGGACATTTTCAAGACAACTAAGATAGAAAAGAAGTCTTTGTTTCTTTGGTAATTATTTGTTTAAAAAAGGACGTGGGTTGCTAGAGCTGTCATACGCAAGCGGTTGCTCTAAGAAAATTCTTCAAGGCAAGAATCGCTTGTATATAGTTGTCGAGTAGTTACGGAGAGGTACATAGTTATATGAATTTATAGAGGAATGAGTTTCAGTCAAAAGAGTATATAAGGTAAGACAATATATATTTACATCATTTCATTTGTAAGTGAATAAATTCGTCCATTGATATACCACGTCGTCACGCAACGTCATCCTCAATATTCACACAAATTTCTGCTGCAATGTTTAAATTTTTGACGGCAGTAACGTCGATAGTAGATTTTGTCGTAAATAGAATAACTATAAAAGCTAAAAATATTGCAACATTAACTTTCTAAAACAAAAAATAAACTGTCGATTTCCGCTCTCTTATTATAGTTCCATAAAACAAAAAATAAACTGTTGATTCCGCTCATATTATAATAACCTCATTTGGCAGCACTTGCGGAACTTCACTTTCTTGAAGTCACCATATTTCATGTTATCTTAAAACGAAAACACGGCATACTTTTTAAGGTTAGCACCAATAGATATTTCTAAAGATAAAAACAATATAGTTGTAAGAATTATCTCAAATCAAATAACTATAAAAATATAAACTTAATTTATACGATTTAGGCGATTGTCCACAGTTGTTTCCTTTATTAAACCATATAAGAGTTATTTTCTCGACAAACTGACTGCACGTCAACTTTAAGAAATGTTTCTTTATTTAAAAATATCAGTTGAAATCAAAATCTTTTTATGCAAATCTCGCACATTCTAGGAAAGCTTAACAATTTTGTTGATGGCTGGATTTCTATTACATCTCTCACCTTTCGTTGAGTACTTTGCGAGTACAGATTTATGGTAATGTTTTTATGTTTATTTTTATTTAATTGTGACATGATCAATAAAAGATAGATCTTATCTAAATAAGATATTAAAAACATATCATTGTATAAATTATAAAACAAACGCATTTTTTTATTTGCTGATGTCGTCTCTGTTTATCTTAGTTTATTAAATGACGTAAATCAAATCAGCATGATATGAATTCTTATGACGTCATTATGCCATTTAATTAATATAGATAAAGAAATAAGAAACCATTTTGTTCGATTTTTAAAATTTCCCGGCGTGCATTAAAATGGAAATATGACAATTTCAAGTTTGGACAACTGATACGCATTGAAATTATAAATGTAGGAAAGTTACTAAGAAAGGGCAAGGCTAGGAAACAAGTTTGCTCGATACAATGCCTGTTATATACAATGCTTGACAATTTTTATAAAAAGAAGTATTTTTCGGAGCATTCAAGCAGATGGATACGTTCTTAGATAGTTTTAAAATCACAGTATGATTTGATGTATTTAAAACAAACCCAAACCTACAGATTGTTACAAAAATCAAATATACAAAAAGGTATAGTACACTTTAAGCAGATTTATTTACACTTAATGATTTTACAACAACTTCGACAATTTTGATTCACTTGTTTATAGGACAGAAAAAAATAATTACTGAAAGGACCTGACATTTTTTGTCGTAATTGATATAGACAAAATCAAAACATTTTTTCCTATTTATCGACCGTTATCCGACCAATGGTCACCCAGCAAAAGTAACATGTTCTGCTGACTCCAGCTTTTTAGGTCACATTCGACAGCCTGATATAAATAAGCACGATTTAGTTGCTCCTTAATATTAACTACAATGTCCAAAATGATTTAAAAAATTTTAAAAATTTGATTTCTATATAGTTCTCAAAAGTGAACACTCTTTGATTTCTTCTTTAACGAAAATTTCTGCAAAATAACAGACTTTTGAATTAGGACTTTTTGTTTTTAGTGGTGGATGTTAGACAATTAAATTCCAGGAATTTTTTGTTGACGTAGTTGATGTTAGACAATTAACTTCTACGAATTTTTTTTTAAGTGGTGGATGTTAGACAATGAACTTCTATAAACTTTAAATGAACATCTTTAGGATGAAGCAGGAGAAAAAGATGCATATTTACACTAAATGGATCAACTCAAAGCTTGAAAAAGTAATCTAACAAAAATTTAAGCTGCTTTAAACACCCTTTTTTATTTTTTGTTGATTTTTCTTTTCCAGACGTATCCTCCTATAGAGAATTTATATGAAGACTTAAAAGATGGTCGTGTTATATTTTCGCTACTCAACGTCTTGTTGAATAAAAAAATGTAGGTTTGCACAGGGTATTAATTATCTTTGAAGAAGCTGTAGAAATAATACTTCTCTTCGTTTTTTAGAAGACAGAGAAACCAGATAAAAATTCTTCCAACTACGAAAATGTTCAAGACGTCCTTACAGTTTTAAAGAAAAGAGGGGTAATACGATAATTACTTCAATCAGGAATCAAAAATGAAAAAGTGTTGTATTATTTTGGATGAAAGCTATTTATTTTATAGTTCATTTGATTTGCTTACTGTAGAAAAGCTTTAAATGTCTTCGAAATTTATTTCATTTGTAGTTAGAAATTGACATAATAGAAAGTGGAGAAAATGCCAAATGGAATGAAAGGGAAATTCTTGCTCTGATTTGGCAGATAATACTGCATTTTCAGGTAATTACACAATAATACTTTGCAACTATTAGAGTCAAACTTTCTCCTTTCAGAATTCTTTTTATTTTGTGATAAATGACGTGAAATTTCCCCTAGGGGCAGAGCACTAAATATAACAATGCTCTAATCCCTTGTAATTATATCTGAACTATTTACATATAGAAGTTGTTATCAAGTTGAAAAAAGCAAATACTACATCTACATGTTTACTAGATTGAAACAGTTTTACCAGATGAGTTACTAACAACTTTGGAAGATAAAGATTCGTCATTGCGGACGAAACATCTTTTAGATGAAGTTGAAGAGCGGTTGTTGAAATGGATACAGGATGTTCTTCAAGGGTATAAAGTTTTCAGTTGTTGATGATAGTCAACTTGGTTTGTGTCTATTTCGTTAATTGTGGTGTAATTTAGAATGTTTGTGGTAAATGATCTTGAAAGCAGCTGGGAAGATGGTTTTGCATTTTTGTTTCTTCTATCTGCTTTTCGGTAACGTAGCTATTTTTGGTTTTAATTTTAAGATCAATACAAAGAGAGTATATATATACAACTTATTTCTTGGTAGTCCATCTGCTGTTGAAATGAGCAAAGCACTAAAAATGTCTTCTCGTGAGAGACTGAAGTACTCATTTGATGTTGCAGAGCAAGAATTTGGTGTTCCTAGCTTGCTGGATCCTTCGGGTATAAGAAGTTAAATGATTATTTCATTTGTTTGATATATTGATGAAAAACGCAGATAAATTTTATTTGAACAGACGTTGAAAAAGACGAAGTTGATAAAGAACGAATGTTGATATATTTTTCTTCATTATATGAAGTCCTGAAAAATCATGAAGTAAAAAAGCCTTTACTAATGCCAGAGGTATATCATCGTATATATCTGAGATGAAAAAATATTTTAATGTGTGTTTATGTCCCTTTGAAATTAGCATGAATCAACAAAACTGAGCGCTATTTAAGCTAAAAAAATAATATGATTTTACTATTTGTGAAGATTTATTACACCATTGTGTATTCAATGAAAAGAGTACAAGAGATGATGGACAAGGTCACAGACAAATCGACTGGCCAAGTGAGAACAAAAGAATTGAGCGTGAGTTATATTTTAAATGTTCACTTACACTCATTCAACAGAGGATTAAATTGTCCAGTATAATCACACGATTTCTAGTTCGAAAAAAAATTAGAGTAGTTTTCGTTTCAGTAATTTGATGAATGGAAAAGAGCATCATTTGTAGAATTCCTTGCCTAATTTGGTTGGATAAAACTTTAAACTTTTCAACTATATAAAGCAAAGTAGAAGAGTTTAAGCTCATCAGACCAAATTAAGTAAAAAATTACATCTGTTATAGACATTGCAATCAATAATTGAAGCATATCCATTTTATCATAACTTTAAGGAAATGGACAATTTTTAAGGATAATTTGTCATAGGCAGAAGATTTGGTACTCATCGTTTGAATTTTGTTTGTTACTTTTTGCTCAATAATTTCAGCACGGGGAGTTGAATTGTAATGTGCTTTTACGGGAAATTCAAATGGAATTATTGGAATTACGGAAGATGATTCATCAATTCAATAACAGATATAACGATATCTTTCGATTCCAAAGTTTTGATCACGAGGAATTTTGTCAAGTCATGAAGGATTTTGGTGAACTTAGTAAACGTTGGTCAGCACTTAACAACAAAAAAATCTCAGAGTAAAATTACTTGTCTTGTTTAGTGGCTGCTTGTGGGAAGCGTGATGTAATACTTTTTATTGTTTTTTTTTGCAGCTCAAGAAGAATCATTAATGTGAGTTTTTTTTTATCTTCTCAACACATCTCCAGTTTTTAAATTTGTCTTCCAATTTTTTAATTTGTCTTCCAGTTTTTTAATTTGTCTTCCAGTTTTTAATTTGTCTGTAAGTGGTGCTGGCAACTTTCATTCCATTTACAAAACAAAAATTTATAGTCTTGGAGGCATACTTAAACTCACTTCAACTTCTTCCTTTGTGTTCATTTGTTTATGTAATATATACTTTAAAAGTGTCTTAAAAGGAGCAAATACCTTGGTGAATGGTCAAATACTAACGAAATAGTTTTTAAAAGAACTGTTTAAGCCAGAACACTAAACCAACAATTATAAAAGGGCTGTTTTCAAAATTAATAGACACTATACATTTCGGCAGACTACTTATCAGGTGTCAACGTCTGCTAAATTTGAGCTTCAGAATCATGCGATATTTATAATATTACCAAAATTCTACGTCATCTCTGAATTTAGAGATTACGTTCGAAACAGAGATAGATGAAACACAGAATCTTTCTGTCGACGGAGGACGGTATTTGCTCTTTTCAAGAGAATTCTAAATTTGTCACCACGATTTGTCTCTGTTTTACACCTTTTTATCTTGTTTTATCCAGAGTGCTCATTTAACAATTGGAGACAAAGTTATCGAGATCGAATCTGTTTCCTCCAATGCAATTGTCCTCAAGTACAAGATTTTATATTATGAAATTATCACTGTCATCGAAATGATTGAAAGTAACATTAGAGTTATTAAGAAAGATAAACAGAGCCAGCAAACGGCAGCATTGATTGGTGTAAGTAACATATAAATCGTGCAGTGCATAAAAATACTTTTGCTATAAACAATTACAATCATTTCAGGAGATGATGGATCAGGTACAAGAAATCAAGATTAAACAGTTAGAAGATCTTATAAGTGAAGTAAACATGGCTGAGAATGTTGAATCAAAAGAACTTGATGAATTGAATAAAGAATTTGAAGATTTTGAATCTCGTCTTACACATATTAAGGATTTTCTTTCAAATACGAATGTAAGTTATTGAGTAAGTTATTGAAAGCCTGTGGTATTCCTCTTTTAACTTTTCCATCACATTTGCAAAATTTGAAACTATTTGAATTATAATTAAAAACAACAATATCTACAATATATTATAATACAATATAATTAATTATTCAGTTGCCATAAATTCTTTACTTGAAACCAATTTTTTAGAATTCCTAAAATAGTTACGTTTGCCCATGTGAGTAAACAATGGCAATAATAAAATGTTCTTTTGTAGAGTTCCAACAGCAGAGTTCCAACATGGCAGACGATAAGAAAAAGTATAATTAAGGTTGTAATGATGTATATAACTTCTTCTCGCATTGCGCCCTTTTCTGGCACTTATAATTTAAGACAATCTTAAGCATGTTTTATACAATTTATATTGGTTTATAACTTTCTGATCAAACTCTCTTATTTACTGTTTCTCATGAATCACGAGAAAACCATCCATAGGCTTCATGGCAAACAAGGATTAAGTGGCTCCCTTTAAGTAACATGCAACGCTTTAGTACTCAATTATCTCAGGGTATCAGGAGGCATGGACCAAAAACAGGATTTTTTTTTTTTAAATTTGTCTTTTTTTTACAAGAATTCCTCTCATAAAAGACACTTGAACATCCAAGGAAACTGAAAGGTTCAAACATATCCTGCCTTGACTTATAAATTAAACAAACTCTAAGCATGTTTATACTTTTTTTACATGTTACCTTTTACAGTGTAGCATTCTCATAAATCTCTCGTGATGAACGAGAGCCTTCTTATACAATATAATATTCTCATCATGAACGAAAGCATCCACAGGCCTCGTGGAGAAATGCGATTATCTACTTTTTTCTAATGCAATTTCTACAAAGATAACATTTAATAAGCCAAGAAATTTTAATCATCTAAATGAAATCTGGCTTTCAATCTTTATGTTATAAAATTTTGATTCATTTTGGATGATAAATTTCGTTTTACCTTAAAATATTTTCATAATTCAATGTAGAAAGTAACTTCTCTTCTACAGTAATTTACGGATTAAACAGCAAATTTTTCGGATTCAAAGGAATTCTTTTGATTGCATAGAGACAGCCGTCCAATTTATTACATATCTAAGCGTATATAACGCATTTCCAAATCACGAACAAAATTTCCCTCACATGACCAACTTACCGCCTATTTAAATGATGTGTGTAATAAAAAGAACTCTTTAATCTTAAAAAAAAAGGTAAGTTGTTGCCTTTTTTGAACTTGTAACGATGTACTTCAATTTTCTAATGTATTAGTTCGCAAAATTTGAAACCTTTTTTGTTTGTCAAGAATGAACCTTTTATATCTTTTAAAACACCATCCATGGAAATTGATGGCGATGACACAAAGAGAGCCTCAACTCATGACATCGTGTTAAGTTATAAAATTACTTACCCAAACATATTGTCAGCGGTTGAGAGACTGGAAAAGAGGATCAACAAGATGCAAGCCGAGAATCTAAGCCAGAAGAACGCAAAAGAATTGAAAGTGAGTTTGTGCAATTTTTTGTCTTGATTTATTGTCGTTTCGAAGTATGATCATTTTATGAATGCTGATTATTCTCATGACTTTATAAACTTGACAATTTCATTCAGGTAATCGACATAGAAATGCAAGAATTACATAAGGTTTTATGTCAAATGCACAATGAAATGTCTACAACCTTAGAAGTTGATCCAAAGGAATTTTCAAAAATCCAAAATGAATTGGAAAAACTGATTGAGCGATGGTTGATACTTGTAAAAAACAATAATAAAGAAATCATGAGGTGAGGCAAGGAATTTCACACAGTTTATAATTAAACACGAAAACATTTATTAATTCTCTGCGATGTCCTTCAGACAACCAGCCATTGTTCGAGAAATCAAAACGAGAAAAACTGCTCACGTACGTAAGTCTGTAGAAATTTCATCTTTCCCTCCTCCTAAATTTCTTAGTTCAGGAGGAGGGTGTGTGTGTGAAAGTTTGCCACAACACTTTTAAAGAGAGAATTAAAAAATCGTTAATTTAAGAACGTTTGACGGTAAATTTTAGTGGCAATAATTGAATGCCATTACGAATTTTTTAATTAAACTGTTAAGATGGAAATAGGTGATGATAAAAAAGTTTTCCTAAACTTTTAATTTAACAAAACTGTTAATAATACTCACGAAATATAACTTAGTCTTTGTTAAAACTTTATAGAATAATTTTCACAGCTAAAATTATTTGAATAGATATATACAACTGTCTCAAGCAATTAGTTTTTGGTCATCTAAGGCAATTTTTGTTGAGTGATTAATTTTTAGTAAATTTATTGATTCTTCATATGATGTGTGAAAAATTGCATAATCATGAGATAAAGCTTTATTTTACATTCACATACGTCAAACCATTTCTTTAGAGTGCTCAGTTAACAATTGGGGACAAAGTTATTGAGATCGAATCTGCTTCCTCCAATGGAATTGTCATCAAGCACAAGATTTTATATCAAGAAATTATCACTATCATCGAAATGATTGAAAGTAACATTAAAGTAATTACAAAAGAAGAACCGAGTCAGAAAACGGCTGCATTACTTGATGTAAGTTGGTTTGAAAATTGACTAATTCTAATTTTATAAAACAATATTTGGACTTCCCAAAATTATTAAACGACATGAGACTACGTGTTATCATCTAAATTATGTTTTGATAAAACAATTTTTTGCACTAGGAGAATATTCAAAGACTAAACCAGCTTCAGAAGAATATTTCAGAATTACATGAACTCATTAGTGAGTTAGAAGTGGCTAAAAATGTTGATTCAAAAGAGCTGAAGGAATTACTAAATAAGCACAAAGATTTCATAGCTCGTCTTACTGAAGTTGATGCTTTTATCTCAAACGAGAAAGAAAGGTTTGTATATTTATTACATTCTGTTTTCTTTCTTTTCAATAGAATATATCTTTACATACATTGTTATACATCAATCATTATGTATTGTGTATCTAGGCAACCAGTTCTGGTCACGAAGACTGTGTATGAGACAAGTAGAGAGGAAGAAATCGTACGAAGTTTACATTCTCGAGTCAAATTGATTTTAACGTAAAAATTGTTTTCTCAACAAACATCATATCTTTCATGAGAAAGCTTTACAGGTTTTTTTGATGCATTGTTCAACCAAACGATTTGTTATCACATAATCTTAAAAAAATAATTGTATTTATTCTATATAACCATTATGTAAATATTTGAAAATCGTAGTTACATAGACGCGATTATTAGCCTGGCTAACGGCATTACATTTTACAGGATATTGTACATTTAATAAATAAAAGATATTTACTTCAATGCTCAAAAAAAGTCTATCTTCTACGAGGTCAACAAAAATCTCATAATGCAAGACAGCAATTGCATTAACAATCATACATAGCAATGGTCATCAAATTTTTCAATAAAACTCGCCGATAAACATAACATTACACAAGTAAGGTAGTTAAGACAATCCCCTATATCTGCGGAAATTTACATTAGTCCGAATACAACAAGATTACAGCCAATTTTCATTCTTTTGGAACTGATCCCGTGCTTATATTTCTCTTCATTTAAATAGTTACTTATGAAATTAGAGTAAAAAGACTGCCAAAGCTGAGAATAATAGATAGAGCATCAGCCAGATAGCACAATAAAAGCATTGAATTCCAACAAATACGACTCTATAGTCTTTACCTCAACTGACTATTATTTATATAATCCCGAAATTTCTGTATGATTCACTTCAGCCTATATAATGTTCAATATAACAAACGACGTATGTTCTACGTCATGTGCTAAGTCAATGATACTCCTTACCTTCCTGACAGAATGCTACTTTTTTGAACAGAAGATTCTTATGCTACTAGCTGTATATGTTATGGATCTGTAGGCAGAAGAAACATGAATTATTAAATATTTGCTGCTGAATTAAGTCAGCTCTGAATGCGATGTCCTTGTTACAGTAAAAACAAACAAACTTTTTCATATCACAGATCTAAATCTTAGCTAACTTGTCTCAATTCGATGCTTAAAGCTCCGACAACTGTGATTGTATAAAGTTAATCCTCTCAACATTGCTAAGAGGATATTTTCAAGACAACTAAGATAGAAAAGAAGTCTTTGTTTCTTTGGTAATTATTTGTTTAAAAAAGGACGTGGGTTGCTAGTGCTGTCATACGCAAGCGGTTGCTCTAAGAAAATTCTTCAAGGCAAGAATCGCTTGTATATAGTTGTCGAGTAGTTACGGAGAGGTACATAGTTATATGAATTTATAGAGGAATGAGTTTCAGTCAAAAGAGTATATAAGGTAAGACAATATATATTTACATCATTTCATTTGTAAGTGAATAAATTCGTCCATTGATATACCACGTCGTCACGCAACGTCATCCTCAATATTCACACAAATTTCTGCTGCAATGTTTAAATTTTTGACGGCAGTAACGTCGATAGTAGATTTTGTCGTAAATAGAATGACTATAAAAGCTAAAAATATTGCAAGATTAACTTTCTAAAACAATAAATAAACCGTCGATTTCCGCTCTCTTATTATAGTTCCATAATAACCTCATTTGGCAGCACTTGCGGAGCTTCACTTTCTTGAAGTCGCCATACTTCATGTTATCTTAAAACGAAAACACGGCATACTTTTTAAGGTTAGCACCAATAGATTTTTGTAAAGATAAAAACAATATAGTTGTAAGAATTATCTCAAATCAAATAACTATAAAAATATAAACTTAATTTATACGATTTAGGCGATTGTCCACAGTTGTTTCCTTTATTAAACCATATAAGAGTTATTTTCTCGACAAACTGACTGCACGTCAACTTTAAGAAATTTTTTTTTTATTTAAAAATATCAGTTGAAATCAAAATCTTTTTATGCAAATCTCGCACATTCTAGGAAAGCTTAACAATTTTGTTGATGGCTGGATTTCTATTACATCTCTCACCTTTCGTTGAGTACTTTGCGAGTACAGATTTATGGTAATGTTTTTATGTTTATTTTTATTTAATTGTGACATGATCAATAAAAGATAGATCTTATCTAAATAAGATATTAAAAACATATCATTGTATAAATTATAAAACAAACGCATTTTTTTTATTTGCTGATGTCGTCTCTGTTTATCTTAGTTTATTAAATGACGTAAATCAAATCAGCATGATATGAATTCTTATGACGTCATTATGCCATTTAATTAATATAGATAAAGAAATAAGAAACCATTTTGTTCGATTTTTAAAATTTCCCAGCGTGCATTAAAATGGAAATATGACAATTTCAAGTTTGGACAACTGATACGCATTGAAATTATAAATGTAGGAAAAGAAAGGGCAAGGCTAGGAAACAAGTTTGCTCGATACAATGCCTGTTATATACAATGCTTGACAATTTTTATAAAAAGAAGTATTTTTCGGAGCATTCAAGCAGATGGATACGTTCTTAGATAGTTTTAAAATCACAGTATGATTTGATGTATTTAAAACAAACCCAAACCTACAGATTGTTACAAAAATCAAATATACAAAAAGGTATAGTACACTTTAAGCAGTTTTTATTTACACTTAATGATTTTATAACAACTTCGACAATTTTAATTCACTTGTTTATAGGATAGAAAAAAATAATTTCTGAAAAGACCTGACATTTTTTGTCGTAATTCATATAGACAAAATCAAAACATTTTTTCCTATTTATCGACCGTTATCCGACCAATGGTCACCCAGCAAAACTAACATGTTCTGCTGACTCCAGCTTTTTAGGACACATTTGACAGCGTGATATAGTTAAGCACGATTTAGTTGCTCCTTAATATTAACTACAATGTCCAAAATGATTTAAAAAATTTTAAAAATTTGATTTCTATATAGTTCTCAAAAGTGAACACTCTTTGATTTCTTCTTTAACGAAAATTTCTGCAAAATAACAGACTTTTGAATTAGGACTTTTTGTTTTAAGTGGTGGATGTTAGACAATTAAATTCCAGGAATTTTTTGTTGACGTAGTTGATGTTAGACAATTAACTTCTACGAACTTTTTTTGAAGTGGTGGATGTTAGACAATGAACTTCTATAAACTTTAAATGAACATCTTTAGGATGAAGCAGGAGAAAAAGATGCATATTTACACTAAATGGATCAACTCAAAGCTTGAAAAAGTAATCTAACAAAAATTTAAGCTGCTTTAAACACCCTTTTTTATTTTTTGTTGATTTTTCTTTTCCAGACGTATCCTCCTATAGAGAATTTATATGAAGACTTAAAAGATGGTCGTGTTATATTTTCGCTACTCAACGTCTTGTTGAATAAAAAAAATGTAGGTTTGCACAGGGTATTAATTATCTTTGAAGAAGCTGTAGAAATAATACTTCTCTTCGTTTTTTAGAAGACAGAGAAACCAGATAAAAATTCTTCCAACTACGAAAATGTTCAAGACGTCCTTACAGTTTTAAAGAAAAGAGGGGTAATACGATAATTACTTCAATCAGGAATCAAAAATGAAAAAGTGTTGTATTATTTTGGATGAAAGCTATTTATTTTATAGTTCATTTGATTTGCTTACTGTAGAAAAGCTTTAAATGTCTTCGAAATTTATTTCATTTGTAGTTAGAAATTGACATAATAGAAAGTGAAGAAAATACCAAATGGAATGAAAGGGAAATTCTTGCTCTGATTTGGCAGATAATACTGCATTTTCAGGTAATTACACAATAATACTTTGCAACTATTAGAGTCAAACTTTCTCCTTTCAGAATTCTTCTTATTTTGTGATAAATGACGTGAAATTTCCCCTAGGGGCAGAGCACTAAATATAACAATGCTCTAATCCCTTGTAATTATATCCGAACTATTTATATAGAGAAGTTGTTATCAAGTTGAAAAAAGCAAATACTACATCTACATGTTTACTAGATTGAAACAGTTTTACCAGATGAGTTACTAACAACTTTGGAAGATAAAGATTCGTCATTGCGGACGAAACATCTTTTAGATGAAGTTGAAGAGCGGTTGTTGAAATGGATACAGGATGTTCTTCAAGGGTATAAAGTTTTCAGTTGTTGATGATAGTCAACTTGGTTTGTGTCTATTTCGTTAATTGTGGTGTAATTTAGAATGTTTGTGGTAAATGATCTTGAAAGCAGCTGGGAAGATGGTTTTGCATTTTGTTTCTTCTATCTGCTTTTCGGTAACGTAGCTATTTTTGGTTTTAATTTTAAGATCAATACAAAGAGAGTATATATATACAACTTATTTCTTGGTAGTCCATCTGCTGTTGAAATGAGCAAAGCACTAAAAATGTCTTCTCGTGAGAGACTGAAGTACTCATTTGATGTTGCAGAGCAAGAATTTGGTGTTCCTAGCTTGCTGGATCCTTCGGGTATAAGAAGTTAAATGATTATTTCATTTGTTTGATATATTGATGAAAAACGCAGATAAATTTTATTTGAACAGACGTTGAAAAGATGAAGTTGATAAAGAACGAATGTTGATATATTTTTCTTCATTATATGAAGTCCTGAAAAATCATGAAGTAAAAAAGCCTTTACTAATGCCAGAGGTATATCATCGTATATATCTGAGATGAAAAAATATTTTAATGTGTGTTTATGTCCCTTTGAAATTAGCATGAATCAACAAAACTGAGCGCTATTTAAGCTAAAAAAATAATATGATTTTACTATTTGTGAAGATTTATTACACCATTGTGTATTCAATGAAAAGAGTACAAGAGATGATGGACAAGGTCACAGACAAATCGACTGGCCAAGTGAGAACAAAAGAATTGAGCGTGAGCTATATTTTAAATGTTCACTTACACTCATTGAACAGAGGATTAAATTATCCAGTATAATCACACGATTTCTAGTTCGACAAAAAAATCAGAGTAGTTTTTGTTTCAGTAATTTTGATGAATGGAAAAGAGGATCATTTGTAGAATTTTTTGCCTAATTTGGTTGGATAAAACTTTAAACTTTTCAACTATATAAAGTAAAGTAGAAGAGTTTAAGCTCATCAGACCAAATTAAGTAAAAAATTACATCTGTTATAGACATTGCAATCAATAATTGAAGCATATTCATTTTATCATAACTTTAAGGAAATGGACAATTTTTAAGGATAATTTGTCATAGGCAGAAGATTTGGTACTCATCGTTTGAATTTTGTTTGTTACTTTTTGCTCAATAATTTCAGCACGGGGAGTTGAATTGTAATGTGCTTTTACGGGAAATTCAAATGGAATTATTGGAATTACGGAAGATGATTCATCAATTCAATAACAGATATAACGATATCTTTCGATTCCAAAGTTTTGATCACGAGGAATTTTGTCAAGTCATGAAGGATTTTGGTGAACTTAGTAAACGTTGGTCAGAACTTAACAACAAAAAAATCTCAGAGTAAAATTACTTGTCTTGTTTAGTGGCTGCTTGTGGGAAGCGTGATGTAATACTTTTTATTGTTTTTTTTTGCAGCTCAAGAAGAATCATTAATGTGAGTTTTTTTTATCTTCTCAACACATCTCCAGTTTTTAAATTTGTCTTCCAATTTTTTAATTTGTCTTCCAGTTTTTTAATTTGTCTTCCAGTTTTTAATTTCTCTGTAAGTGGTGCTGGCAACTTTCATTCCATTTACAAAACAAAAATTTATAGTCTTGGAGGCATACTTAAACTCACTTCAACTTCTTCCTTTGTGTTCATTTGTTTATGTAATATATAATTTAAAAGTGTCTTAAAAGGAGCAAATACCTTGGTGAATGGTCAAATACTAACGAAATAGTTTTTAAAAGAACTGTTTAAGCCAGAACACTAAACCAACAATTCTAAAAGGGCTGTTTTCAAAATTAATAGACACTATACATTTCGGCAGACTACTTATCAGGTGTCAACGTCTACTAAATTTGAGCTTCAGAATCATGCCATATTTATAATATTACCAAAATTCTACGTCATCTCTGAATTTAGAGATTACGTTCGAAACAGAGATAGATGAAACACAGAATCTTTCTGTCGACGGAGGACGGTATTTGCTCTTTTCAAGACAATTTTTAAATTTGTCACCACGATACAGTCTCTGTTTTGCAACTTTTTATCTTGTTTTATCCAGAGTGCTCATTTAACAATTGGAGACAAAGTTATCGAGATCGAATCTGTTTCCTCCAATGGAATTGTCCTCAAGTACAAGATTTTATATTATGAAATTATCACTGTCATCGAAATGATTGAAAGTAACATTAGAGTTATTAAGAAAGATAAACAGAGCCAGCAGACGGCAGCATTGATTGGTGTAAGTAACATATAAATCGTGCAGTGCATAAAAATACTTTTGCTATAAACAATTACAATCATTTCAGGAGATGATGGATCAGGTACAAGAAATCAAGATTAAACAGTTAGAAGATCTTATAAGTGAAGTAAACATGGCTGAGAATGTTGACTCAAAAGAACTTGATGAATTGAATAAAGAATTTGAAGATTTTGAATCTCGTCTTACACGTATTAAGGATTTTCTTTCAAATACGAATGTAAGTTATTGAGTAAGTTATTGAAAGCCTGTGGTATTCCTCTTTTAACGTTTCCTTCACATTTGCAAAATTTGAAACCTATTTTTAATCGTTTTAGGATGAACCCGATGGTCCAATCTCAACAAATGATATTGTATTAATTTATAAAACGTCTTGTCCTAAGATCTTGTCAGCGGTCGAGAGACTGGAAGAGAGGATCGAGAAGATTCAAGCAGAGACTCCAAGCCAGCAAAACGCTAAAGAATTGAAAGTAAGTTTGAAATGAATTGTCGATGTTTTGAAGTGGTGTGATTAAAAGAAAACTAAATTTTCTCATTAGTTAAAAGTTCAAACACTTCACATTTTTATTGAGGTTATTCAAAAAAAAATGCAAAGTATATCATGTCAAATGCAAACTGAGATGTCAAAACAACTAATTGAGCGATGGTTTATACTTGTAAAAAATTATAATAAAGAAATTATGAGGTGAGAAATGAAATTTCATTCAGTTCATGGCTGCGGACGAAAACGATTATTAACGATTTCATTGTGAATTCCAGACAGCCTGTTGTTGTTCGCGAAATCAGAACACGGCAAACTTCTCATGTAAGTCTCTATGAAAACATTTTTTATGAAATAAAAGCAATAAAACGCGTGCGCTGATTAGTCTGGAGCCGTGTTTACATTAACCTGTGCAAGACGATTTGAGCTCAAAAAAATTAAGTCAATTATTCCAAGAAAATTCTCTAATCAGCGATGAACACATGTAAGAGAAAAGATAAAAACGCTTGTTAATTTGTCTACTTTGCATTATTGTTATTTTAAAAAGAAATAAAAGATGTTTTTCGTGTTTCCATTTACTGGCTTATAGAAACCTCTGGGACGTTTGTTTGACTCTCAAGCAGATTTAACTCTCGACCTTTGATCTCGGGCTTGCACTGATCTGATCTCCAGTTTTCCAAAATGTCTCCTCGGTATGCATTAGCATGTGCAAACACAGGAAACAACTTTTATTTCTTAAATAATAAGAACGGATATAGACACAAGAAAGATATGTAGTGCAGCAAAGAATTGAGCTCCCACCGTTATGTAAAAATCATTAATTTATTTCTTACACCATAAAACAAGGACTGAAGACAAGTAAAAAATCTTCTAAACTGCATATGGGTGAGATATTCTCAACACGACTGCTGTCTTTTAATGACATCATGTTTTGGTCTTAGTTCTAAAGACATTATCGGAAAATGAGAACTTCGATTTTTCCGTAAAGAACTCCTGCTCGGTTAGTAAGGGCTTAGTAATTTAATAAGGGTGAAAATGGATAACTATGGAATGGTGAAGACAGTTTTGTTATTTCATTCAGATCATCATATCTTTAGAGTGCTCAGTTAACAATTGGAGACAAAGTTATTGACATCGAATCTGTTTCCTCCAATGGAATTGTCATCAAATACAAGATTTTATATCATGAAATTATCACTATCATTAAAATGCTCGAAAATAACATTAAAATTATTAAGAAGGCAGAACCAAGCCAAAAAACAGCCGCATTACTTGATGTAAGTGAAAATTTAATTTGTTGTGCAATTTAGATGGGTTATTTTGAATTTTTAAATTTTAAAATTATTGCATGAGACACAAGTGGTATGATATCAAACTACGAAGCAATATTTTTACTTCAGTAAGATGTCCAGAGACTGCATTCACTCATATATAGCTATTAAAAACAATAAAGTTATAACACAGAATAGATATCTTAAACAGAAGAGCCACTCGTGTCGGAACCTATGATGTTAGTGTCCCCCGCTTTTCTGAAGCAAATTCTAAGGCGACACGCCTTCCAGCAAGATACTTCCGCTAGATCGCAATAGAAAATATAGATGTTTTCACAAATACATTGTTTTGCACTACAAAAGCTTGGAACCTTATCGTCTTCGATAAGGTTCCAATTTCGGCAAACTTTTCCTTTCAGCGTGAATTATTAGTAAAATAGCATTCTCGTGCAATACTATTACATTTTGATTTTGTGAAAGTATCTTGCTGGGAAGTCACGCATGCATAGTAAAAAATATGCCACGATTTTAGCCGAGTGGGCCTTCTGTTAGATATCTATTCTGTGGTTATTACATGAAAGTATGAAATAATATATTTTTTTAGGAAAATATCCAAAGGCTACACTCACTTCAAAAGACGATTTCAGAGTTAAATCAACTTATGATCGAGATAAAGGTTGCTGAGAATGTTGACGTGAAGGAGCTTGAACAATTACAAATTGAACACAAAGATCTTATGACACATCTTGCTTATGTGAACGCCTTTATCTCAAAGGAGAAAGAGAAGTATGATTCTTAATTTATCTTATTCTTGTTTTTCTTTTCTATCTTTAAATAAATGGTCATATCAATCCTTATCTATATTGTTACTAGGCAACCAGTACTGATTACAAAGATTGTGTATGATATAAGGAGAGAGGAAGCAATTGTAAGAAGCTTGCATACTCGAGTAAAAATAATTTTAACGTAAAAATTGTTTTCTCAAAGACTTCATAGCTTTTGTAATATGTAGCTTTACAATCCCTTCCTTCTGGACGTTTCTTTTTATCCAATGTCTTGTTTGCACATATTCCTGAAAAATTAAATAGCCCTGCTTAATTTAGATTACACTCTTTCTTTAATATTGGAAATCATTACTATCCCATGCTTATCTGCTTATCTTTTTATCTTCAGAGCAGATTCCTATTAATTTAAATCTCACTTAAAAACTCAGTTGGAGACATTATACAACGTATTTTCGCTTTTTTTGCTTTCTTGCAGTCATTGTATTTATACTTATTGCAGTTTCTTGACTAAGAGTTTTCAAAGATATGTACATTAATACAACCTTAATTTTACATTTTTTTAACGTCTGCCATGTTGAAGCTCTACTGTTGGAACTGTACAAAAGAACATTTTATTATTGCCCTTGTGTACTCATATGGGCAAACGTAACTACTTTGGGAATTCTAAAAAATTGGTTTCAAGTGAAGAATTTATGGAAACTGAATAATTAATTATATTGTATTATAATATATTGTAGATATTGTTGTTTTTAATTATAATTCATATGAATAATAAATGTTACCACTAAAAAATGCTTGACGACTCGAGTTTGCACACAATTTTTCAGAGTAATTTTCTTTAATGCTTGTTTTTCTTCATGATCTTCATTTTTTCAAGTGGAAGCTTTGAGTGAAAGTTTTCAAGCATGGCTATTATTATATTGACAAACACATATTTTGACAATGGTAACTTTATTTATGACATTAGTTGACTTTTGAAAGAAAACACCTAAAAAATGTAACAATAGAAAACCAAAACTGTCGAAACGCTTTTACTTGAGTCATACCATATTGGCAAAACTAGAAAAAATGGCAACAACTAAGTCTTTATATATATTTATTGAAATAAATGAAATATGTTCACATTTTTTTCATGTTTAGCTACACATCCCACTACTATATACCACGTTAGCCAACGAGCTTCAAGACTGTATATGTGATTCCTCGATATTTCTTTTGAACATACTTCAGTAGACTCAGTGTTATTCATGGTTTGTTTTGTATTGGAACCTCCTCCTAGCTAGAGCTTTTATCGTCGTCAACATGCTTGGAATCATTTGTGTTTTCATTGGTCAACGAGTCCTGTTTCAAAATTCTCGATCGTACGTTAGGTCTTGAACTGCGTTCAATTTCATCAAGCCAACTTCAACCTGGCGTCGTCGTTCCTTCTCTGTCAAGCTTGAGTTTGTTTCAATGTTGCAAGTTTCATTTTCAAGTATTTTTTCTACGCCAATCCACGAATCATAATATCTGTCATAAATATTAGAGCATTGTTTATGCAAAAAATATGCAAATACAAAGTTATGGGGAAAAATAAAACATCTCTACATTGTCATTGATATCACGAGTGGCGTAACAAAGAGTTGATGAATTCGATATGCATTAGTCAAAACAAGCTTAAGAAGACAGAGCATGCCAAAAACATATGATTTAAAATTTGCTAAGCACATATACAAGCAGCTATTTCAGAGCTCACTCCAACACAAATCAGTTGAGAATTAATCTGATCATGTAGTCAACTCCAAAAAATCTCTAAGTTAATGGTTATGTCAACGACCAACTGTATGAACTAGTATCGATTATGGAGTGGTTAGCACGCTCAGTAACAAATTTTAAATAAATCATCAGAGCATGTGCAGTCTGTATGAGCATGCGCAGTCGACTTGATCAGTTGTTCAAGTTCATGGTCATGGCAACGACCAACTGTATCTACCAGCACCGATTTTGAAGTAAATAGCATTCTTAGTAACAATTTAATAGAGAAATCATCTGGGCATGCGCTGACTTTAATAATACCACAACTTTCGTGAGCCTTTGAATTAACGTATATATATATATAAATCTAAAATATGCTAGTAGATGTCAACTAGCAGTGGAAGCTGGGTGCGATATAGTATGCAGTGGCTTAGGGGCCCACACTTCGCTGGCGACCGCACTCTCCCTGCGTACCCCGAGCAAAGCCTATCGCAGGTGATCTCGGGGTCTGTTGGGCGGAAGCTTGCTATTGCATCTTCCAAGTAGGATAGCGTGGAGGGGCCGAAATCTCCTACCGAAACGTTAACATGCGGCGTTCTAGTGCCTTACGTATAACAAGGTATCGGGAAGCATGGACCGAAAACGGGGTTTTTTGCTTTCGAATTTTATCTTTTGTTTAATTTTTCTCATAAAATAAACCAAGCAATGTTTCAATTAACTTTTTCCACATTGTGCCCTTTCTGTCACTTATAATTTAAGACAATCTTAAGCATGTTTTATACAATTTATATTGGTTTATAACTTTCTAATCAAACTCTCTTATTTACTGTTTCTCATGAATCACAAAAAAACATCCATAGGCTTCATGGCAAACAAGGATTAACTGGCTCCCTTTAAGTAACATGCAACGCTCTAGTACTCAACTATCTCAGGGTATCAGGAGGCACGGACCGAAAACGGGATATTTTGTTTTCAAAATTTGTCTTTTTTTTACAAGAATTCTTCTCATAAAAGAAACTTGAACATCCAAGGAAACTGAAAGGTTCAAACATATCCTGCCTTGACTTATAAATTTAACAAACTCTAAGCATGTTTATACTTTTTTACATGTTACCTTTTACAGTGTAGCATTCTCTTAAATCTCTCGTGATGAACGAGAGCCTTCTTATACAATATAATTTTCTCATCATGAACGAAAGCATCCACAGGCCTCGTGGAGAAATGCGATTATCTACTTTTTTATAATGCAATTTCTACAAAGATAACATTTAATAAGCCAAGAAATTTTAATCATCTAAATGAAACCTCGCTTTCAATCTTTATGTTATAAAATTTTGACATACAAATGACATACAAATTATATCCCTTGTACAATTTATTTATACCTTAAAACTTCAAAACTCCATGTTTGATATAATGATAATTGATATAACAATTACAACTTTCTGTTAAAAACGCTTTGCGGAGGCTTCTTGTTTAAAAAGTTCTTTATGTGATAAATTTCTAAAATTCCTGAAGTTCAATTGAGCCTGTGGTATTTTGGCAACAACATGAATCATATTATATTATATACGTCTTGTATCTTGAGTTAAATCGAAATCCACAGTATCCCTCACCTGACGCAATTTACTTTTAAAGTTTCCTAACTTATGCTAAAATATGTGTTAACAGTAATAATAAATTGAGCCTAAATAGCCTTCCAACAAAGCCAATTAAATATGCTCAGCGAATTTGCAAGACAATTATTTTAGCAAGCACTTTTGTTTCTTTGTTAATGAAAACATTTAAAATAGCAGTTGCTCTAAATTCCTCGAGGCAAAAATTGTTGTTTGTTTATAGTTATTGAGAAGTTATAGCAATAAGAATTCATGGAGAAGCGAGTTTCCGTCAAAAGATTAAATACAGTAAGTCAAGTATTTCTTTATTTTGAAATAACAAAGAGTAAATTTGCTGATTGAGTTACCTGGTCACGCAATTTTACACTCTATAACGATTCTTCCGGCTAAATCGCGCCAGACGATTAATCACAAGATTATATTATAGCTAATAAGACTCACTACAAACCAAATAATTTGAACCATATTATAATATTTTATAATATAAAGATTTATTGTTGACCTCGGTATCACTTTCAAGCAGATATAGTAAATGAGACGTCACTTATAGTTGCTCAGGATTTGGTTAAGCGCGATAACCATCATGTAAACAGTAAGCACTACACGTTAAATATTCAAAATTGTGCAACTTGTTTGTATTTAGTTTGTGTTACTCTAACAAATAACGGAGCTTCACTTAAACTGAGTTAAATCATATAATGAAACTTAGATTCAGTTGAATTAGCTATGTAAAGCATGTATGCAATTTTGACCATCTATTATTTTGCTGAATAAGAATTTGAAATTGCATAAAACCATGCTAGTTACTTTTAACTTTTTCACTTTGATTGAATTCGTTAATAATGCAGTTTTCTTTTCTTTATATCAATAAATAGTTGTTAATACTCTGAAATGTACACGAAGTTTTATGTCTGGAATGTTCTTCGTTAAACTTATCATTAAGGCTTATGAAGCACATTTTAAAAGAAGATTCCTTAATTGCTATCATTTTGGGTCTTTTTATGCTGTTTGTCAAACCACTCATAAACAAAAACAAATTCATTTTATACAAAGCATGTGACCTGCTGACCCATTTTTTTTATTTTTGAAGTTGATATCCATCATTCTGCATGAGAAGCGTAAGAACTTCGGCTGACTGTAATTTGTAACTGTAACTCTTACATTATATGGAGAGCATGGCAAATGCAGAAATCGAACAAGCATTCTTTTAGTCAACACTGTCGTCATCTAAGTAACTATGAAAAAGTTAGTCGCTTTATAAACATCTAATATCTGTTTAAAACAGTTTTAAAACAATGAAAATTTTAGCTTAGGTCCTTAGAAAAAGTGATCACGTCCACGTAATATGAAGTGTGAAATGTGCTTTTCTGCACTCGGTACAATTTCTTTATTTAACTGATATAGATAAATATAGCAACTGCACAGTTATTAATTGAGCATGAAATATAACTTTTTTATACCGAGGATCATGCAATTAATGTTAATTGATTTATCTTGACATTTATAGAAATATTATTTGAATCTTGCATATGCATGCATGTATTACGACAAGCGACTAACGTTGATTAACTCTTCTTGTAGAACTAATAAAAGATGCCAGGAATAAATCAAGATACGGAGATACGTATTTACACTAAATGGATAAACTCAAAGCTTGAAAAGGTATTACAAGACAAAATTTGTTTTTTTTAACAATTCCCAGATTTAAATTGTTTTTGGAAAATACTTTCTTTGTAGACGCACCCTCCAATTCAGCATTTAATCAAAGATTTACAAGATGGTCTTGTTTTAATTTCTCTCCTTGAAGTTTTGTTAAATACAAAAATTGTAAGTTGTAAAAAGTATTTATCATCGTGAGAGGAGAATTGTGATATATCGTGTTTTCGTTCTATAGAATACAAAAGAACCAACTCATGAGATTCATAAACTTAAAAATGTTTCAAAAGTCTTGAGACTGTTAAAAGAAAAAGGGGTAATTCGTGAATCACATTCTTATAAAAAATCAAAAGAGAAAAAAGTGTGTTAGTTATTTTCTTCAAAAACAATAACATTCCTCATAGCTGGCATGATTTACTTTGTAGTAGAAATGCTTGATATCTGTATAGATTTCATTACATTTGTAGTTTGAGCTGTCATTGGAAAGTGAAGAAATTGTCAAAGGAAATGATACTCAAATTTTAGCCCTAATCTGGTGGATCATACTGCACTTTCAGGTAAAGTACATAAATTATACAATATAACAATTAGGAACTTTTATAAATTACAAGTTAACATGCTGTTGTAAATCAAATACCATTTTCATGTTTTCACCCAGGAAAAATAACGCTACAGTATTTTATCAAAACGAGCGTAGACACTGAATTTTCAGCCACCCTGATTAAAACTGCACAAACATATATGGAATGGTTAAAAAAGCCCTCCCTCTTAAAAAGAAACAACTTAGAACAATAAATTCAGTCGAATCTTTTAACCTTTAAAATGAAGATAGTGACAAGCATGATTTTGAATGTTTAACTTTTTTTCAAAAGTTTATGCGTTTCTTCACACATGCATGGTTCTTTCTTTGACGAACAATGAAATAATTGAAGAAATTCATGTGATTATAACAATTTTCCACTAAATCAACCATGTTATCCTTTTAAAGTAATTATTCTTTGTGTAATCAAGATTCATTTTTATTTTTGCCTAGTCATTTCTAGCTTTGCATACAAACGACAAAGTTTTACTGATAAATATAGAGGCCTCCTTTTTCACGCCTCTCTCAAATATACGCCACTTTAAATTTCTTCCATATTCACCAAACACTCACTGCGCGTGCATTATAGAAAATAAACTATAATTTCGTTTTTAGTAATTTTTTTAAATGTGCACTATTGAAGTATAAAAACAGATATCAGAAAAAAGCAATGAGTTAAAAGGAAAACACACATAATCTAATTGCTAGATTGAACGAGTTATGCACGATAAGCAAAGAACATCCTTGAAAGCAGAAGGTCCATCATTCCGTATCAAACAAGTCTTAACTCCAGCTAAAGAACTGCTGTTGAAATGGACACAGGATGTCCTTCGAGGGTATACTATAAAAATTTTGTAATCATACTTTGCATGTCTCTTTGCATTAAACTGTGTTGAAATTTAGGATGTTCACAGTAAATGATCTGGAAAAAGGTTGGCATGATGGTTTCGCATTTGTGTTTCTACTATTTGTTTTTAGGTAATGTGGCTAATTTTGGAATTTCATTTCCTACATAATTACGTATAGAATATTAATTTACAATTTTTTGTATTGTAGTCCCTCGTCCATTGACATAAGCCGAGCATTAAGAATGTCTGTTCAGGAGAGACTGAAATACGCATTTGATGTCGCTGAGGAAAAATTTGATGTTCCTAGCTTGCTGGATCCTTCAGGTTTAGAAAATAAAATGAAAATTTAACTTGTATAAAGTTCCTGGAATGTATAAATGAAATTTGTTTTAACAGACGTTGAAGAAGGCAATGTTGATAAAGAACGAATGTTAATATATTTTTCTTCATTATACGAAGTCTTGAGAAATCATGAAGCAAAAAATCCTTATTCAGTGATGCCTCAGGTATAAAATTGGGTATCAGCATATGTCTGAAATGCAAAGAAAATCAATATGTGTGTTTTTTGTTTAGAATGAACATGAATCAATAACATTGCGCATTGGTGATAATGAACTCAAAATCCAAATAACATCAAAAAATAAGACTGCTATGCTTTATATAAAGCTTCATTACACTGTCCTGTATTCAATGAAAGAAGTGGAAAAGAGAATGAAGAAAATCACAGAAAAGGAGCCTGGACATGATAGGGCAGGTGAATTGAAGGTAAGTTGAAATTTTTAGTTTTACCTACACTCAATAAATCATTTCTCAGAGCATTGACTTCTCTGGGTCAATGTAAATTCTCTAACTTGAAGACGATCAGTTTTGTATTTATTTGAAAATAATAAAAACCAAGCAATTGTCTATTTCTTTATGTTACGTTCATTATTCTTTGCATTTTGTTTTTATCTACATAAACAATTCTTTCATATCGTTCGTTACGTGATATATTCGTGATTTTCTGTTGCGTTGCAATGTAAACTCTGTTAATAAACTCTTGTAATGAATTACAACGTTCTTGCACAGGAAATTCAAATGGAAATGCTAGAATTAATGAAGATCATTGGCGAATTAAATGAAAAAAATAGAGAAATGTCCATGTCTTTAAGTATTAATCACGAAGAATTTTTTCAAGTTCTGAAGGAACTCACACAGCTAAGTAAACGTTGGTCGGCACTTATAAAATACAAAAATGAAGAAATCTCAAAGTAAGACGAGCTCTTTCATTTATCGTTGCTTAAAGAGTTGTTTTGAAATTTTCCTGTTGCCTTTTTTGCAGACAGCCAGTTATCCTAGGCTCTGGAGGCATCACAAATGTAAGTTTTATATTATATTCAAAACATTTCAATTGCTTTTACAATGAGTGAAAAAAGGAGTGAGCACAGCTTTAGTAAAAACATTGGGCCTAAATGAAGTATTTCCACAAACGGAAGTTAAAGACGTAGCATTCAAAAGGTCTCATGCCGACATCTACGAAAGTACAGTTTTTAAATATTGTTCAAAGAATAAAAGTTGAATTCCCATGTTTTCATAAACACTTAATGTACTTTTACCTTGCCTGTAAGTCGTGTTTGCAGTGTTCTTCGATATATTTGGTTTCCAGCAGTCATCCATTGCAAGGCGGTGATTTGCAAACATCAATTTATTAAATTATTGCTTACAGTAATTAGGTCCTTACATAGACGCTATTTCCTTACAAAACAAGACAAAGTTGCCTTATTTTGTGCGTTTTTATTTGTTTAAAGACATTCGTTTAATCTTGCAATATTTAGTAATTCAAGCTATACATTTCAATATTATAATAAAATATCAGTATTTTCAAAAAATAATATAAGAACATATTCGACATGCATTAGAGAGTACACTTTTTACAATTTGAAAGTTATCCTCGGTTTAAATTTTGGTTGAAATTAAAGAAGCAGTATTTGGCGTATTTAAAACAAAAGAGGACAACAAATAAAACTGCGAAAATTGTCTGCAATAAAATTTATACTTGCACTAAAAAGCGAGTTAATTAACACGGCTTCATAAGTTTTATTTTGCTGCATTTAGAGTGCTCGATTAACAATTGGAGACGAAGTGGTTGAGATTACATCAGTTTCTTCCAATGAAATTGTTCTCAAGTATATGATCGTGTATCATGAAGTTATTAATATCATTCAAATGATTGAAGATAAGATGAAAAATATTGAGCAGGAAGAACCAAGTTTAAAAACTTCCGCAATACTTCATGTAAGTAAAGTTCGAGACATTCACAACATAAATATATGCATTTTCATTATTTTTAGTTTTCAGACAAACAATTACGACAAAAGCTGGCAATGAAACTGTAAATTTGAGGACACTTTTTTTAGGAAATACTGATGCAAAATGATCGTGTTTTAGGAGATTGTTCAAATGATGGATCAGGTTCAGGAATTCAAGATTACAGAGTTAAATGATCTCATGAATGAGATGAAAATAGCTGAGAATGTTGACTCGGATGAACTTGATGAACTGAGAAAACAGTTTGAGGATTTTGAATCTGACCTTTCACGTATATATGACGTACTTATGAATCAGACTGTAAGTTCTTAATTTTATTTAACAGATCAATAATTTTTGCTGATTAAATCACTTTTTAATCACCCTACCTTAAAATTTCCCATACCCCTTTCAAAATTCTTTTCCATTTGTATCCAAAATTTGTTTTTTTAAGAATCAACAGATAATTTCTAATGAAACACCATCCACAGAAATTGACGGCAGTATTCTAAAAACCACAACAGAATTAACCAATGAAATTGTGTTGAAATATAAAACTGCGTATCCCAGCATTTTATCCGGTGTCGAGAGACTGGAAAAGAAGATTGAAAAGATTCAAGAGGAGAATGCAAGCCAAGAAAACGCTAAAGAATTGAAAGTACGGTCATCCAATAAATTTGTGCTTGTTAAGGTTCGTTCACATGATCCGATTGTTTCAGTTCCGACTTATGTCTGCTTATTCAGACGGTCCCATAAAATTGTTGATATTTATATTCGTTTAGATATTTATAGTCGTGAGAACAGCCATTTGTGCCATGCAGTACATTTATTGATATATTCTTCGTATTTTTCTTCTTGTTTCCAAGTCTTTTTCAAATCTATGTTACTTGACCAGTCGGCTTCCTCTGATCTTGTCGAATGAAAATAGAGCAAGTTTTATTTCCATCTGATTTTTAGATTGACGGATCCGACTATCGGAGGCTCACTTTATATGTGATCACACGATCCGTTTTTAGGATCGGAGGAAATCGTATCCGACAAATTGGATCTTGTGGACGGGAATTTAGAATTTGTTCATATCATTACTTTAAAATTTGACATTTGTTTAGATAATCCGCATAGAAATGCAAGAATTACAGAAGATTTTATGTCAAATGCGAAAGGAAATTTCAAGATCTGCTAAAGTTGATCCTAAGGAGTTCTTGGAAATCCAAAAAGAATTGGAAGAACTGATTGAGCGGTGGTTGATACTTATGAAATACGGTAATAAAGAAATCATGAGGTGAGACGAGGAACTTCATAGAGTTTATAATTGAACACGAAAACATTTATTAAAATTTCTACGACGATGTCTTATAGACAACCAGCCATTGTTCGTGAACTCAAAACAAGAAAAACTACACACGTACGTAAATCAGTAGAAATTTCTGTAATAAATTATAATAATTAAAATACGTTTCCATTGTTTCATGGAAATTTAACATTACATAAAAGTTAGTGGGTGTTCATTATACACACCCTTTAGGAGAAAGTTTTCCGGTAATAATCTTTTCTGACTTGAAAGACAAAACAAAATGTACGCTGGTTACATGTCAAAATGAATAGCAAACAGAACCAAATCAGTTAAAAAATTGAAGCGGTTAGCACCTGAAATAAAAAAGCATACATGCGAATACAATGTGCTCACAGTTTTTATTTGCCATGATTCTGTGTTTTACTTTTGGTCTTTGGAGCAATCCAAACAGTATTTTTACGATTTTCATTCTCAGTGAGTAATCAGTCTCATAATGAAGAAAAATTTCATATAAACACTTAAAATGGTTTCATTTATTCATCATTGGCTTGATTTAATCTGGCAAGTTATAATACATTTCTTTTCAAAGAAATAATTATGATCAAAGCTGGCAATATCCTTGTCTATATCCTTTTTTGCTATAAGTTGAAATTCATGTATCTTTTCTTTTGATTAAACCTCAAATCTCGCGCTTTTTTGTTCTTGCCCTTTTCTAAGTGATGTGTATAAATAATTACTAATGTCGAATATTAATGAACACAAACTTTGAAAAGACGGCAATGACTCTATTTCATTTAAAATTGCATAATCAACATACAGTTGCATGTACTTTAAAAAGAAAAACTCAAAACATGCATGATATCCTTAATACAGAGCAAGTGAAAAGATTGAATGATTTCTAAGAACTTTAGTGACAATATATTAATTACAGGATTTTTGAAGAAGTCTTGTAATATGTGAAATTGATGAGAATAAGTAGGGGCGGTATAAAACTCTCTTGCATTAACGTACTCCACTTTTCTAATAAAAAGTTATACTTCTCTGAGTAATTGAGGTTTTTTCCAATTACATTGGTCAATCTTTTATTTTTAGAGTGCTCATTTAACAATTGGGGACAAAGTGATTGAGATCGACTCCGTTTCCTCCAATGGGATTGTCATCAAGTACAAGATTTTACATCATGAAATTATCACTATCATCAAGATGATTGAAAGTAACATTAAGATTATTAAGAAAGAGGAACCAAGCCAAAAAACGGCTGCATTACTTGATGTAAGCTGAGTTGATAGTTAACTTTTATTTAACATAGCCTATTTTCGACTATTGAAATTTTGAAACTATGACAGGATATTAGTGATACAATATTGAATTATTTAGGAAAACATTCAAAGACTGCATCAACTTCAAAAGGATATTTCAGAGTTAAATCAACTCATAAGTGAAATAAAAGTTGCTGAGAATGTTGATTTGAAAGAACTTGAAGAATTGCAAAACGAACACAAAGATTTTATAACACATCTTACTTATGTGAACGCCTTCATCGCAAACGAGAAAGCAAGGTAGAATTCCTAATTTATCTCATTCTGCTCATTTTCTTTTCTATATATGGTATCTTTACATACATGTTTATGTATATCATTATGTATAATGTTACTAGGCAACCAATTCTGATCACGAAAACTGTTTATGAGATGAGCAGAAAAGAAGAAATCACACGAAGTTTACATACTCGAGTAAAATTGATTTTGACGTAAGAATTGTTTTCTCAACATGCATTTTACATGAGTTAGCTTAAAATTTCCATTTTGACACTTCGTTTCACCTGAAGATATTTACGCACATATTCTCAAAACAAGCATTTTAATAATGTTACATATTCACTGATACTTTGCAAAATACGCAATCAATTAGAGTCTAATTATTAGATATAAGCTGAATAAGAATTCTGGATCATTGAAATTAGAAGTTTATGTCAATTAAGCACACCTTCTTCACGTATGAATTTAATTCGAACTGCATTGGATCAGCAAAAATCAAAAAAAGTGTCTGACATATATTTACTAATTATATATTTAATTTTAATAATAAAGACATTGATTTTTTTACTTATTGGTCCAAAGCGATATTTTTTTATTTCCAGCTATATTTGCATAACATGCATTATGAATGTGATAGGTTATGTAGTATTTGTATGGCACGCATTTTGAATGAATGTGAAAGGTTAGGAACTATTTACAACTGTATAACAGAATTAAGACCCCGTTTACACTATACCGGATTGCTATCTTAGCAGGTTGAATATTCTTTCTATTAAAAGGCACTGAAATTGTTCAACGTCAGAAACACAATCAAATCGACTAAATCTATCAGCTTAATAAGCTTTTACTCCGAACAGTTAACCCTTAAGCCAATGAAGATGTCGTGATGAGCGAATCCGGTATAGTGTAAATGCCGCCTAAAATGTTTAATTTGTTTGTTTAGGTTTTCGTAAGTAAAAGCTTCTTAAAGAATAAACATTGAAAGATAACAAACACAATCATGCACAATTATTTGGCGAAGAAAGATCAAATTATTCAAACTGCACATGGCATATGTAAATTGATGTTCGATATTTTAATGCCTTTGCTGGTCAATGCGAGAATTTGACTTCGCCAATTGCACGTGTCGTATTATCTTCCAATTTCCGATTAAAATACAAAGTAAATGCTGAATATAATGATAAAGAAAATGTTTCGAGTAATTTTTGAATTATGGACTAGACAAGAAAAGGCAGAAGGAATTACCTTACACAAAGCTTCTCATCTCGACTCGCATCACTCTCGCTTGGCTGAGTGGTGATCACTACAGATGACGGTTTGGTGATCACTACTTCTCGGGTCAAGACTGCTTCGTTCTCTTTAGCTTTTTAGAGTTCAATCATACGTAAATAACTAAGGGTGAAGTCAATGGGTAATGTAGTTGCACCTTCTAAGGTTCAAGACCACGTTGTACGTTGTATATTTCTACTTCAAAGTTAAAAAAAGGGGGAAATATGCCAGGAAACTGTTAGTATTCGTTGTTGAGCTTCTGGCTTGACAGACTCTGTCTGACCTCCAATGCACGAGGTCCTTGGTTCGTTCCGGCGGCGTCGTCCGACGTATAGATTGAGGATGAGTGTACGGGTTGAGGTAAGGAGGGGATCTGAAAGGGCGTTCAGTTTGCCCTCTGATTCCTGACTGTTAAAAAATGACTTCCTTCGGAAAGTCATCGAAAAATTTAAACAAAAGACTTAGTTTTTTTAGGGCAAAATTTTTGCAACAGACGCCCTTGTCTTTTTTTTATTTGCGATTTTTTTCTGAAAATATACTAAGTGTCGCATATCTTTTTGAAAAACCAACAATAGATATACCAGTTGAGTACACCTTGCGTACACTATTATTTATCCTTCCTTTGCTTTTGATATTCACGGTTCTCGTTCATCTTAATATTCATCGTTATGCTCAATACACCAAACCCAACAACAACCGACGACTGACCCTCGAAGGATTCGAACCCCACATCACAACCTGAGAAACCTCACTCTACACACTCGACCAGTGAGTGCGTTGGAAACAGATGGCAAATTTAGTCTATTTACGATAAAGAAGCTTGAAGTATAATAAAAAAAATTATTTCGTTAAGTGACAGTCAAGAAAACAAACCACAGATTTGTAGCATCGACTTTCAAACTATTGACATTTTCACAACAACGCTAGAGATAAATCGAAAACCATTTCGTTGTAGGACACAATCATTAATTTCAGTCTTGTCACACTACAGCATTACATTAATATAATTTCAAAGTTCTAACCATGGGACTTTATCCCCTGTACTCGGCCATGGCTTCTCGATGCTCAAATATAATATTCATATTGTTCTCTAAATACTGACCCAGTAGAGCGAGTTAATTGCTTATTGAAAACACTTTATACAGTCATGACGGTGTTTTACAAGAACTAGTCGATATGATAACTGCAACATGCCTTTTATATGCTTAAATATGGTGCGGTATATATCCACTGACATATAGCTTTCTTGGTGGACGTCGTTGTAACTCTGCATTGATAGCCTGCAGTGTAAAGTGGAGTTTCGTTGAGAATCATTTCCAAACTTGACATACATTCGTCCTACATGTGGTCTATTGTAAATATCAGCAAACATTTTAGCTTGAAATGACTGCTTCATCTCCCATGTTCTCGTTTTCAAGTAATGTTGAAAGCGCCATTTAATTTTTTCTTTTCTGCTTGTGTGTTTCTATTTTTCACTCTTTCAACCATTGCACTTGCGATTATTGTATTAATTCAAAAAACTGAATTCAGCGCTACTTTTATAGGTTTTGTTCTTAAGTATTTAGACATAAGTTCATGGCGTAAGAAATATCTTGAAAACTGTAGTTCTTTTGATTTAGCCATTTTATGGATGGTGCGCACCACTCCCCTGGGAGTGAAAGAAAAATAAAATATTCGCCGTATTGGATGACATTTGCATAGTACATCTAAGAAAATCTTTGTCAAAATCCTCCAACTCAATGGTCATGACGTACTTGCACACAGTATGACTAATTTAGTGCGCAACTCGGACTCCTTTCAAACGTGACCTGAAGCTATTAAATTCAATAGATGTAACTATCTGAATCGTTATTCAAATTGTACCTTACAATCAGTGTTGCGTCCAGTCCGTTATAGCACAAAAACAATACACAGGATACACAACACAATTTATGAGGAGATGATCCTGAGTAATTTTAAGGCCTGAGAGGAATGGATCAACTTGAACAATAAATCAAGCCTTGTCATATCCAACTGAGTCATATCCAAGCTTTTTTATGATTCGACGGAAAATGGTTTTTATTTACTCTCACACCTTCTGCCTTAGTCGTTCTGGATTTCTAAAATAAGAATAACAAACCCCACCAAGAGCATCTTCTTTCTATTTTATTGCCACTATTCTACATATGCAATACTATGTCCTACCATTTGATTGTCCGAATTATGTATTTTGATCTCGTATTTTTGACACGTGTGTTTACCGTCCGAAAGGTGGGTTTCACGTGTTGTATTATCTTCCAATTTCCGAATAAAATACAAAGTAAATGCAAAATATAGTGGAAATGCAAATGTGTCGAGTCATTTTTCAATTATGGAATAGGCAAAACACGCAAAACTGCAGGTGGGATTGCCCTCCACAAAGCTCAACTATCATCGTTTGCTCTTATAAGTAATTGGTTTAACAGATTTGAAACATTAACACGCAATTTACTCACACGTGAGCTTACGTAAATATATCTTTCAAAATAAAAGAGTATTGGAATTAATGTTCTTAACACAAAAATTTAAGAATAGTAACTCTAAAGGATAGATAAAGTGGGCTGAAAAACCATCATTTCAGGACAGTTTGAAGCATATACATGCTTCTTCGCTAAATATTTACTTTGAATACACATTTTCTATGCAGTCAAATATAACACGGTATTTGATATTATTCATCTGTTTATCTGCCTAGTAAAACGCACTTCCACTGCACATGTTCACAATTAAAGAAACTGTATCAATTCCATAGAGACATTTCGTTGCATTAACAGTTTATTAATCTTGCATTTACGAAGGCAATACATATTATAAAATAAAAATTGGTCGACATTTCACATTATAAACTCTTAAGAGAAGCTCATTATATGACAGAAACATAAATATTGAAAGCAAAAGGAGAGAGAAAATTTCTATAATGCTTGATAATATGTTGTTTGTTTGCATAGTTTTCATCATAACAATTCCACTAAATTTATACGAGGCCTTTGGTGCCGGTAAGGTTTGCACTGATCTACTTGAGAGATCTCACAAACTTCTCCGAGTATTGCTAAGGTCTAGTGCAAACAAAAATCTTATATTTCTTATTATTTTTTCGTTTCCTTTTGTTTTTATTTTATAATTCTTATAAAATGAATAATTGAAGCTGAATCTTTTATAAACTACCTCGAGCATAATCTTCAGATTACTGATACAAACGCTACAAAAGACTCAGAACATTTATCAACACTTAAATATCATTAGCAACTTTCAAAACGAGATAACAAATAGCTTAACTCCTTTTTATTTTTCAAAAGTTTTCCCTAATGAATTCAAATTTTTTTGTAAAATTCATCAATATAGATAACTATTTTTGGTAATGGAAAAGTCTAGCCCTTCTTTTTTTTTCCAATACACAGTTCATTTCCTGGTAAACTTATCTATCTTCATAAAAATAAACAGGCACAAAAAATTCCAACCATCTTCTTTTAACATTAAGCTGTCATATAGCCATTGATTTATTGAATACTGTGGATTGACCTTACTTTGTTTACGACCCTGTTGTTTCAACACCGTTTCAGCTTGTCCGAACGTCTAGCCACATATTAATTATTGTAATAAAATATATTTACCCATAACATGCATTGTGAAGTTATGGCAAAAGAGTCAAAGACTGTACATACCGAAGATAGCATAAGTTTGCCAAATATAATGTAGTGTGGAATTTACCAGTGTCAGAAAATGCTATACTTCTGTCTGCTGTACCGTTAGAACTAATTGTTACAATGTTCAATTCATGCTTTCGATAACTGCTCATGAAACATACATAAAGCAACACGTATAATTTAACATATTTAAGCGCATTTTCTTCAAAATATTTGTAATTTTATCTTGTAATTTCCCCTATAACATATAACTGAATGTCTCTCGAAACTTTTTTAGCTTTTTTACGTTCGTGCACAGACGGTGAATAAGCAAAGTATATGGGCGTTTAAAATCTTAAATTGAATCCAAACACTATAATTTGTTCCATGTACCAATTTGAAAATGTAATTCAATATTGCAATTCTTTAATTAATAGATGAAGTTTAACAAAACTGCCTTTACATATACGGTTCTATAGCCTTTGAATGTTATGATTGTGTTTCATAACTGTAACGATATCATTAAACACAGTGTTTATCAAAAGGTGAAACCGAGTATTAATTTCATCTGCATATGATGAAATGATGATTACGTCAAATAAATCGTTTTATTAATTGGTTGAACGTAAACAAACATTTGCTTTGCATTGAAAACGATGTCGAAAATCAAGGATGTGGCTTCAATACAGATGTGAAAATATTTAAATATATGGCAATATACCCCCTTCATAGATGGAAGCTTTGAACTTTGCATGAGAGAACTGAGTCATTAGTTTACACTTAAATTAATTAATGGTGAACTGGAATAAAACACAGTAAGATTAACAAAATGATTACGATATTGCATTGTCCTTCGAGTTTTTTTTTTTCTCTTATTTAGTACGCATTTAAGTAAACCAGATTATGAAATTCGCTTTTTTATGTCTCATGTATATTTTACATGTAAAAACACAGATAAGTTATTTAATTAGAAAAATTTTAGTAACTGGAAATTTATAACCAATGCACAGTTTTGCTGGAATTTTGAATTCAACATTGTGCTACGATAAATTGCTTCATCCAAAGCGCTAGGGTCTGTTTTAGATGTTTAGTTGCTCATAATTTTACAATCGGTAAATGTCATCAACAATTATGAAATTTTCAAAAACATAATGTACAAATAGCACAAATAGTTATTTAAAACTAAGATGAAAATTGCAATGTAGAAGTACTGTTTAATTATGTTTATAATATAGTGCATTGCGCTTGAGAAAAGTTTGCCATTCACGACACTGAAGTTAGCGCGAACAAATTTCATTGTAAATTAAATACCTGCTGCTTAATACATCGTCTAACAATCACACCATATGGATTTCATGTGATCATAAATAATTACTTTAACTGTATGGTCATGGTCTTGAGCGATGACATTCATACAACACAACATCTCTTGTCTTGTTGACAACATGCATAAAAATAGGAAAACTTTTCAGAAATAATTGTATAATATTAAATTACATAAGATATCTTGCCTTGTTGACAACATGCATAAAAATAGGAAAACTTTTCAGAAATAATTGTTTAATATTAAATTACATAATATAAATAGCTATTACCCTCTATACTTGTAATTTAATACTGTCTGAAGATGTCTTAAGAGTCAAGACGAAAAGTTACGCTTCTAAATAACTATTTCTTTTTATACGTTATTTTTGTATTGAATGGCTCTTTTAAAAGCACCTTGCTGGGCTTTACTACTTATATTAAGAAGTAACTTATTCAAGATTAACAACACGATTAACAATTACTTTATTGTTAGCCTAGTTTGAAGATAGGATGTTATTGCTTGATGTCAAGAGCTTGTTTACATAAGGACAGCACGAGAATATAAATCAAAATAAAATAGCTTCATGGACAAAGAAATATTTTAATAAAATTATATGCAAATTATGACGTAGCTATAATGTTGTGAAACTTGGTATATAAATCCAATCACCCATTGATTAATACGGAAATCGCATTTGAGCTTCCACAAGACATCGTGTTAAACAAGAAAACTAGACTGTGGTAGGTATTTCATTATATATTATGAAACTTTTGCTTGTGTTGTAATATGAACTTTGATTGATGTTCTGGTTTTGCTGTTTTGCTGTCCGTAATTATAAACAAAACTTGGTTCATTGTATTTTTAAGCTACGGAGGAGTTATTTCTTACATTACAAAATTGCGCTGAAACTTTCTATAAACTGTAAATTATTGTTGATTGTAAATTCAAAAAGCAAGATATCGATGCAACGGATAGCTATACATTGCTACTGCATGCACATTAATAAATCAAACGTTTTATTGAAAAGAGAGTTGTTAGCCATGAATTGAAGAAATTTGAGCATTCATCCCATCATACAATTACATTTTTTTCTCATCGAAAACTTTTATTTACAAATCTTCAAGATTAAAGACTTTTCTACGCATCTTTCTTTGTGATAACTGATAAGAAAAAATACTTTACCGATCACTCGTAATCAACCTAGCGCAAACTAAAAACTATTGCAGTTTCCATAGTAAAATGTTTTTGTAAGACCTGATCAAATCTTTCATGTGTGTAATAAGGACAAAGTACCATCGTTAGATGTTAAGAATTAAATCACGTTTACTCCTCATTTGACTCTGAAGATGACTACCGCTAAGGTTGTCGAAACGTCAGTCAACAACAACAAAAACAGTCCTTCTCAGGACTTTATTAACCTGGACGATCATCATTTACAAACATATAACGATACTCCCGGGTTCAAACCATTTACTATGTTAAGAATTAAATGGTTCAAGTCGCTAATACTAAACTACTATTAGTCGTTGCCGGTCAGAAAAAATTGTTGACTGTATAAAGTTTTCAGCAACTGCTTGTATCTTATAAGTAAAAGATATTTATGTGATATCGGCTGAAAATTAAAATATTCTGTTGATTACATCATCATCTATATCTGTTACGTAACTGATAAGTCAGAACCATTTAGTAAAATCTATCACGTACATTATTGCAGCTTGACTGCGATAAACGCTGACTCACATCCGCGCTCACTTCGTGCGACACAAGAATCTCGCTCTCTCTAAGTAAAGTCATTTCTCCATCAATGGCAAGATATTCTATAAAATTTTTTAAATCAAGCTTTCATTAAAGAAAAAAATGCTTTCTTCGAATAAATATGAGCTGATTTGGAAGTCGCATCATTTTAGCGTTAGTATGGACGTAAGTCTTGCAAGTTAAAATAAAGTTTGAAATCTTAATCATTCCTTATTTCTTTAAAATTCTATTGTTTTTACGTAAAACAAGCACAGAAAAATTAACATAGCAGGACTAAATTAGCGTGCATGACCATATATGATCGCGTATACAAATTTAAGAAATTTTACTTTAACTGAGCGCACATTAGCTTATTCGTTAGAAGTGTTATGTCAAACATGGATAAAATTTTGGTAGTTTACCTGTAAGGATTTCTGGTTTGTAAATGACTGTGGAGACTTGCGACTAGTTTTTGAAATTAACAAATCACAAAATGTCGACGAAGGCCATTCATACAAAGCGTATTATTTGTCTTGTATATTGAAGGTCACGACGTTCAATTTTTATGACATTATTTTGATATTCAATTTATGTGCTCTTCAGGAAGTGATAACTGTAATTTTACGCACATTCGCATCATATATCACAAATTCTCCTTCCGTGGAAGTTTATAAAAACGTCAATTAAATGATTGGGGAATATTTTATTCGGAGTGAGATTTTTTACAACATTCATTTCGTGCATTGTTGCGCGTGCCTCATTTTGTTGACAATATTACAGTTCATAATTTCAAATGCTTTCATTCGAATGTCGCGAGTCAATTCACCTTTTCTGTACTAAATGTCTAAAACCACGTGTATTGATCTACACGCGCTATAAAATGTAAACAAACCGCATAAGTTGGTTTTGATGTTAGTTGTAGTTTCCCAACTATGATGAACAGGTTTTCTCGATCAGACGATAGTATAAACACAAATTATTTGTTCCTTAGATTTAACATTTCTATAGCGTAATGTATGTCATTGTATTTCGAGTCAGCTTAAGCCTATCTGATCTTATATCTAAATAGCGACAAAAAGTTTGAACAAATTTGAAAGTATGTATACATCTTATACGAAGCTTAAACACACTATTGCTATGTTTTATTAACGAGAATACACACAAAGTCAACACACAAATGCTATGTTCTACTGGAGAGCATAAACAAAATGAACACATTCACTACTGCGTTGTTCAAAGACTTAAGCCTTGCCACACGTAGCCAGGTATTTTAAAAAAAAACTTTTCTCCGTTTCGGCCATCCTTCCACACGTAACCGGCGTTTTCATTGACAAATACGAAAATTTTTGAAGATGCTCTTCAGACTGTACATTTTTGAAAACGCCAGCTATTTGAATACGTGTGGACAGCTAAAACGGATATTTACGATGGCATCAGAAACTAAGATCCAGGCGACAAACTCTTATGATTTGTGCTTATTCATGCGTATTTTGGCGATTTAGCGTATTCGCGTGGAGGGTAAAGTCAATTTGGAAACGATACGTGTGGACGCATTTTTTTTCATATACAGAGAAAAAATAACCGTCTTTTTAAATATACGTGTGGACGCATTTTTTTTTCATATACAGAGAAAAAATAACCGTCTTTTTAAATATACGTGTGGACGCATTTTTTTTTCATATACAGAGAAAAAATAACCGTATTTTTAAATATACGTGTGGACAATGACTTAGCATAAACGCAAAGACAGGAACAGGAATTAACTTTTCCTCCCAAACACGCATGCGTCGTGTAGCAGCATAAGAACCACTCGAAGAATGACACAGCCTATCATGAAAATTTCACGCCAAACTTTAATTCAGAAATATAGGAGAAAATGATGAGAAGCAACAGAAAGGTTATCGAAGCCAAGATGGAAGAAGAAGGATACATTTTGACCAGATATTTCCTAAAAGATATTCCCTAAGAAACCTGAAATCCATCGATTTTAAAAAAAGATTTTTGAAATTTTTAAAATCTAGACATCCTTATTTTAAGACAAATTAGCGTAGAAATTTTCATCAATATCGACTTGATCTCTTTAACTTCAATCCTGTTAGTCTAGATCCACCTTTATCAACCACGCAAACATCAGATATGAAACATTAAATACGAGATTTTTAAAACGTGGTCAATAGAGTTTTGAGATTTTTAAAACCTGGGCATCCTTATTTTAAAACAAATTAGCGTAGAAATTTTAATCAATATCGACTTAATCTCTTTAACTTTAATCCTGTTAGTCTATATCCACCTTTATCAACCACGCAAACATCAGATATGAAGAACATTAGATTTTTAAAACGTGGTCAATAGAGTTTTGAGATTTTTAAAACCTGGGCATCCTTATTTTAAGACAGATTAGCGTAGAGATTTTCATCAATATCGACTTAATCTCTTTAACTTTAATCCCGTTAGTCTATATCCACCTTTATCAACCACGCAAACATTAGATATCAAGAATAACGTACACGCCTAAATAATTAACAAGATAAATATATGGCCTTTTTCGCCTATATTAACAAGATAAATATATGGCCTTTTTCGCCTATATTAACAAGATAAATATATGGCCTTCCGTGCCGGGAAGGCGGGAAATATTCAACCTCGCGTCCCGAAGGAAAGACTTGAAACACTCCCAACTGACGACAATGGTGCCGAGATAGTCGCGCGATACGAAGATAATCTTTGGAAATGACTTCTCAGGAGGAAATAATGTTTAGCACCGGTGACTTTACCAACTTCATTCTCCAAAAATATTACTGTGAGATAACTTTTATCTTGTCCATGCTGTTTTTCCCATTTATTTTAGTCTTTAGTTGTATCGTAGCTCCTCCATTTCATTTGCACGATTTTTTACGCACATTCTCGATAAAGCTGTTGCATCACATCTACGCTAGATTGCACAAGCAGGTATTAGACTTATGGTTGTTGCGAATGTGTTCCTAACACGTGTTCCCAAAAAAAACACAAATTTAACCGATTTCACCCGGAAAAATAGTGGTCAATTAGCTAAATCCATTTTAACTGTCAAGGCTATTTTAAATTTTGCCCATATTATTCCATAATAGGTAGTAAGCTATTTCTTTTTAATCAACCATTACTCCGACTTTTATGGTGAAACAACACTACTGAACTATTGTATAACTGTATTGTAATCATTTGTTTAGTATTTTGCCTTTTGTGGAGTATTAAACTTGTTATTTAGCGTTTTACTCACTCAAAAGTCTGCGCCGACTTTGTAATCAGTTTGACCTATCTTGCCAAAAACTACACGTACAATCCGCATACAGTACAGTAATTTTGCTGTTAACTTACGATAAATTGAATAAAACGAGCAAATTGCTAACCAGTATCTTAAAATGCGTTATATAGGTTGATGATCAATGTTTTTGGTGTAAGTCGCATCCCAACAACACATAATTATTTGTCATGCTATTATGATATAAGAAGATACAAACTGTTTAATTCAGCGAAATAATATTAAGCGGAACTAACTTTAAATGCTAACGTAACAGCTACACCGTTTATATAAATGTCGTTAAGTGGGACGATGACATCCATTATCTGTTTGCAGTATTGAGTGATACGTTTAGCCTTGTTTGATGAAATAATCCAAAAGATTTTTACTAGAACAAACCTTGCGCGCGATGATGGTCGTGTTAAAAGTCTTGCTTCTAATCTTCCTTAGAGTATTTGCAAATCAAGGTGAGTTTCCTTTACATGGTTGCCAATTATGCTTCTTCTGCTCTATGAATAAACAAGCAAACAACCTTTTTTTCTTTTAGCCACTTTGGTTGATATTCAAATCATGCAAAATAAAGTGCTTTTTATTCCATAACTAGGAACTGCTGCCGCTGGGCTTGTGAACTTCGAATATTCTACAAGATTGTGTTTGGCATTCATTTTGGCATTAAATAGTGTCGAATGTTCCAATAACATTGGAGTGGGTAAGTTTAAATCATATATTGTTCATCAATTCGTCATTTTTCAAACGTCATTTCTACAAGACAACTGAAAAAATAGTTCATGTCAGGCATTTATGTAGCCATTTCAAAATGGATGAATGAAGATCAAAAAAGTTACCACATTAAGTCACGCAAGCAATTAAGCAAATTTCCTTTTAAATATCTTTCTATCTAACAACAGATTCATTTCGACTACTTTGTGTGAATTAAATAAAAAGATACAAAAAAATACAGCAGTTTTCACACATCAGAGGTACTGAGATTTATAAATAGCAATCATGCGCTTCAGGTGCACATGGATTTTTGTGTAATTATAGTTGGGCGATGGATTATAGATTTAAATAGGATCATATGCAGCCTTGATGACGCATACGATAGATATTTGAAAAACTTGAAACATTATTTAGTGGGTGTATACATGAATCCGGAATGAGTTTCGATCCGGAATGAACTCATTCCACTTTAAAAGAAATCCTACTGCATGTTTACATGAATCCGGAATGAGTTTCGATCCGGAATGAACTCATTCCACTTTAAAGGAAATCTATCTTACTGCATGTTTACATGAATCCGGAATGAGTTTCGATCCGGAATGAACTCATTCCACTTTAAAAGAAATCTTACTGCATGTTTACATGATCCGGAATGAGTTTCGTTGGAATGAACTCGATTCACTTTAAAAGAAATCCTACTGCATGTTTACATGAATCTGGAATGAGTTTCGATCCGGAATGAACTCGTTCCACTTTAAAAGAAATGCTACTGCATGTTTACATGAATCCGGAATAAGTTTCGATCCGGAATGAACTCGTTCCACTTTAAAAGAAATGCTACTGCATGTTTACATGAATGTGGAATGAGTTTCGATCCGGAATGAACTCCTTCCACTTTAAAAGAAATCCTTCTGCATGTTTACATGAATCCGGAATGAGTTTCGATCCGGAATGAACTCGTTCCACTTTAAAAGAAATCCTTCTGCATGTTTACATGAATCAGGAATGACTTTCGATCCGGAATGGACTCATTCCATTTTAAAAGAAATCCTACTGCATGTTTACATGAATCCGGAATGAGCTACAACTCGATCCGGATCGAGTTTATTCCTATTTTCATTCCGGATCGAAATTTCGTTTTAACCTCATGTAAACGCGGGTGAGTTTCATTCTGTGATATTGTGATTAATGACAGAAGCACGCATGTATGCCATGGGTATTAATCTTCTGGCAGAATTGAAATAGTAAGCAAATAAAGCGGCTAAATGGGCTAAAATGAGTGCGAAGAAAAACAACAATTAGTTTCATGCAAGTGTTAAGCTTTCATTAACTTGGAACAATAGAAAAAAAGGGTTGCTATAATGTTTATGCTCTCCATCTTCAAATTTCAAAATTCCCGCAAAATGTCAACTTTGTGTTGATTTCCCATGTAAACATGGATTGACATCACGTTTTAATCGGGATTGAAAGTCATTCCGGATTCATGTAAGCACCCCCTTATACGCTCTTCAGTAGTTTTTTGAGCTTTGTTCCAGTAATTTAACTGCTCAAACATTTCATTGTATTTTGCAGAATAAATTACAACCCACACTCTTTGTCTTTAATGAACAGCGAATTTTTATCATTGATTCTAGTATCTTATTTTTACATGTTGTTGCACAACTTCATCATAACACCAGTTTTGTGCGACAATATATGCTCCCTTACAAAATTGTTTAGTGGAATTGTATCTGGCGAAGAAAGACGAGGCATACAAGTTTAGAAACAATAGAAAGGGCTTTTTTATTTTTCTTGATAAATACCGGACGAGACCAATCAAGAATGTTTGCTTCTTTAAATGGGATTTCAATAACACATTCTAAGTTGCCTAAATTACACGAATTAATATCATGGATTATTTGATGGATAAGATAAAAGTCGTCAGATGATGCGATAGGCTTGGATTTATATTACTCATATTAACTTTATTCGTTAGTCGACTCTTGTCAATTGCAATGGCTCTTCAAATTCAAACATGTTGCGAAATAAATTGATATAAATCTGGATTCATCTGGATAATCGTTAGTCGACTCTTGTCAATTGCAATGGCTCTTCAAATTTAAACATGTTGCAAAATAAATTGATATAAATCTGGATTCATCTGGATAATCGTTAGTCGACTCTTGTCAATTGCAATTGTTCTTCAAATTCAATCATGTTGTGAAATAAATTCATATAAATCTGGATTCATCTGGATAATCGTTAGTCGACTCTTGTCAATTGCAATGGCTCTTCAAATTCAAACATGTTGTGAAATAAATTGATATCTGCATTATATTTTACCGAATTTATTATTGGAGAAAGTTGCTCCCTCCCCTTGCCAACGACTATAGCAGTAAGGATCTTCATTCATTACATATAAGTGATGATATTCTTGTTGTCAATAAGATATTAATGCCAGCCAAAAGGTTTTCGTCTAATTCATTATTTATTCCAATAGTAGCAATATTAATGAGTATAGGAAATTCTGAAGCATTATTTACAAAAAGGTTACAATATTTGGATCAGCTGAAACAACCAGTAAGCAGTGTAAAGTAGTAGAGATATTTTTCCACTAAACACAAAAGCTAAAAAGTTAACACAAGAATACGTGAAAGAAGAGGTTTATGATTTCAATTAAATATATTCACTGTGTATTTATGATAGTAGAAATACTTATTCTTAGCATCTTATATCAAAGAAATTTCGTTTGAACATTTATTTACATTAACCATTTCTCTGTTTAGTAACAAAGGAAGAAGTGGTTTCAATTTACAGCGCCAACTTTTCATAGAACATTTATTTACATTAACCATTTCTCTGTTTAGTCGCAAAGGAAGAAGTGGTTTCAATTTACAGCGCCAACTTTTCATAGAACATTTATTTACATTAACCATTTCTCTGTTTAGTCGCAAAGGAAGAAGTGGTTTCAATCTCAGCAACTTTTCATAGAACATTTATTTACATTACATTTCTCTGTTTAGTCAAAGGAAAGTGGTTTCAATTTACAGCGCCAACTTTTCATAGAACATTTATTTACATTAACCATTTCTCTGTTTAGTCGCAAAGGAAGAAGTGGTTTCAATTTACAGCGCCAACTTTTCAGACACTCCTCCACACCGAGATCCTTACTACATCAAAGTACATCGATGTGTTATTGATAGTCATTCTTGGCAATGTGGAGAAGGTTGGCCGAAGCCAAAGTTTCAACGAGAAATCAAGATTGTTGTTCCTGATTTGCAAAACCAAACCAAGTTCTACAAATATATCGTTTATAATCATACATCTTGCAGATGTCAAACACAAAATCCAAAAGATAATTTTATTCTTCACAAAAACATGTCGTCTCATGAAAGTAAGATATTTTCCTTCTTTGATTTTTTGAAGTGTAGTTATGTCTAGACTTCAGTCTGAAAAGTTTTCCACACTAGGAGACATGTGGATGAATAATCATCAAAGTTGAATATATCTTTTATTTTATTTCATGCCATAAAATATTTTCAGCATGCTAACTTGCCCATTATTTGTGTGTTTGCAGTTACTAAGAATGAATTTCTTTCGGAAGTTTCAAAGAACCCATTCAACTTGAGAAGCTGTGAAAGAAGTTATTGCAACAAGCTTCATCCTCGTTTTCATGTGCATAGTAAACATATGGAAGTTACGCGTGATAAGATGTTCATACAGTTCTATCAATGTCTTCCTGGTTGCAATGAACAAATCGACGAACTTTCCATTCCAACATTCTTGAGTAGTGGTAAGAAATTTAACGAGGCGATAAGAAACAGCACATCTTGTAGCCCATACTGACTAATATATTATACTCATTATTAATGACGACCGATTTATCAAATTGTAAAAAGATATCCATTGTTGTGATTATCAATTCGACCATGTCGCATGTAAAGAAATAAGTGTAACCAATACTCTACTATTACATAGAAATGTAAAAATTAACTTGTCCAAGATTTAAACATTAATTATTACTAGCCCTTAATAACCGAGCGCGATGTCTCTACGACGAAATCTCGACGAAGACCGACGTTTTTTTGTTAGTAAAAAAGTTATTAGGAATAAACAGAGCTCGACTTCAAAACAATTATTTTAAATGGTGAACGAAGTGTTTTCTCGCATTCAGCAGCGGCCCATCTTGGCGTTTCCCTGCCATCTGATGGGCTGTAGAAGCGGAATTTCACCATTCTGACCGTGGTACGGAATCATTTTGCTAAATACTTGAGTTCATCGAGGGTTTTTTTGCTTTGATTTTGTTTGTTTTACTATGTAAAATTATAAACCAACTTTTACTTGCAACAATGTATTATAAATGAATTTTAAGTTTTCAAAAGTAAAAATAGATTGTTTTCTTGCTCGCCATTGGACAATCCAATAATACTGGGAAAAACTCACACTATTTACCGTTTAGGTAGGTCCAGGATGGAAAAAATATTTCCCCTCGGTTTAAAAAACGTCGCCACGGGCAAATATTTCCCATCCAGCAAATAACATATATTCAGTTTTTAAATTACAAATGAGGTACCTGCAAGCGTAACATAAAACGAGATTAAATTTCGTTTTCATGCACATGCAGAACATAAAAATATTGATGCATTTATTTTATTAGAGTTACTATAGCCTGGGAAATACCTTACCCAATCAGAATTTACATTTTATATCATTATGGTTCAATAAAGCTGACATGGCAGTTGAAATTTGGATTCCATGAATGAGGTAGTTTTATAAAATCTCTCGGATAGTCGCCAAAAACGCGTTTATCCAAAGAAAAATTTGATGGTACGCTTGTGGTCGCAAAATTATATCCACCTTGCATGTCCAGTCGACGCGTTTCTGTAAAGATAAAAATTTAAGATAAAAAATTCTTTCACAAATATAAATATATCATTTCATGGTTGGAGAGTGGGTACGAATTTTTTGCTCGGAGAGTGGGTACGATTTTTACTCTCGGAGAGTGGGTACGATTTTTATTCCCGAGTTGAGAAGGATTGAAAACAAAAGAGTGTAGAAAGCGAAAAAGTTCGCTTTCAATCCTTCTCAACGAAATATTGTATCTAATAATAGTACAAACGAACCAACCATGAAGTAATCTTTTTACTACACGAGTATTCAAGTCTGAATTATCATGAAATTTGTCGCTGAAGACATAATTCAAAGGTTTCAAAATAATTATATAATTTGCACAAAAACACAAGTGAATTGTTTGTATAGGTAATAGTATGGTTTCAAGTGCAATTTGGAAAAAACATGCACGAGTGAGTTTTTCAATGACTATCAAAATTGCACGAGTCCGAACTGCAAACTGCTTCGCTAAAGAAAATCTACTTAAAACTTACGCCAGCCGTGGTAATTGCTTTGTTTACAATAATTTAACTTTCCCGCTTTTGAAATGTTTTATTTTGATTGGCTCCTACATCATTTCTTTGTTTGACTAACCAATTAGGAGCGCATTTTTCAAAAAGAAATTGCACTGTATTTCTTTTTTCTTGCACTGTGTTTCACATTTTTGCACTGGTATTTACGATCAATTGCAATGCTCTTAACCAACCAGAATTGAGAAATTTTTTCATATACATTATTAAGGATGAAAATAAAAATCTCGCGCGTAGATAGTCACGCGTTACGAAGATAATCTTTGGAAATGACTTCTCAGGAGGAATAATGTTTAGCACCGGTGACTTTACCAACTTCACTCTCCAAAGATATTACTGTGAGATAACTTTTATCTTGTCCATGCTGTTTTTCCCATTTATTTTAGTCTTTAGTTATATCGTAGCTCCTCCATTCATTTGCGTGCACGATTTTTACGCACATTCTCGATAAAGCTGTTGCATCACATCTACGCTAGATTGCACAAGCAGGTATTAGACTTATGGTTGTTGCGAATGTGTTCCTAACACGTGTTCCCAAAAAAAACACAAATTTAACCGATTTCACCCGGAAAAATAGTGGTCAATTAGCTAAATCCATTTTAACTGTCAAGGCTATTTTAAATTTTGTTCCCATATTATTCCATAATAGCTAGTAAAACCGCTATTTCTTTTTAATCAACCATTACTCCGACTTTTATGGCGAAACAACACTACTGAACTATTGTATAACTGTATTGTAATCATTTGTTTAGTATTTTGCCTTTTGTGGAGTATTAAACTTGTTATTTAGCCGTTTTACTCACTCAAAGTCTGGCGCCGACTTTGGCAATCAGTTTGACCTATCTTGCCAAAAACTACAAGTACAATCACGTACAGTACAGTAATTTTTGCTGTTAACACTTACGATAAATTGAATAAAAACGAGCAAATTGCTAACCAGTATCTTAAAATGCGTTATATAGGTCGATGATCAATGTTTTTTGGTGTAAGTCGCATCCCAACAACACATAATTAATGTTGTCATGCTATTATGATATAAGAAGATACGAACTGTTAAATTCAGCGGAAATAATATTAAGCGGAACTAACTTTAAATGCTAACGTAACAGCTACACCGTTTATATAAATGTCGTTAAGTGGAAGCGATGACATCCATTATCTGTTTGCAGTATTGAGTGATACGTTTAGCCTTGTTTGATATTGAAATAATCCAAAAGATTTTTTTACTAGAACAAACCTTGCGCGCGTGATGGTCGTGTTAAAAGTCTTGCTTCTAATCTTCCTTAGAGTATTTGCAAATCAAGGTGAGTTTCCTTTACATGGTTGCCAATTATGCTTCTTCTGCTCTATGAATAAACAAGCAAACAACCTTTTTTTCGTTTAGCCACTTTGGTTGATATTCAAATCATGCAAAATAAAGTGCTTTTTATTCCATAACTAGGAACTGCTGCCGCTGCGCTTGTGAACTTCGAATATTCCATAAGATTGTGTTTGGCATTCATTTTGGCATTAAATAGTGTCGAATGTTCCAAAAACATTGGAGTGGGTAAGTTTAAATCATTTATCGTTCATCAATTCGTCCTTTTTTAAACGTCATTTCTACAAGACGACTGAAAAAATAGTTCATGTCAGGCATTTATGTAGCCATTTCAAAATGAATGAATGAAGATAAAAAAGTTACCACATTAAGTCACGCATACAGCATCCTTCTTAAGGCGAAGCCGTCCTGCTGTCCATCCTACTGATTGCATCGCTTTAAAATTTTGCACGAAGCACGAACTCTCGAAATGTTGCGAGAACAATCTTGAGCTCTTTGTTGGCTTCAAATTTTACACTATGAGTAACAAAGGAGCACAAGAAACGGAAACGTCGTCAAAAGACTGAAATTTTTGGGAGAAAGTTATATCACTTAAAGTCCCACAAATTTTTCTAAGCTTACAGGCTGCGCAATTAGTCATCCGCCGCTTAGTATGGATGGAATGCACTGATAATGTTCATTCATAAATATCTTGTTAACTTTCGAAGTAAGAAAATTAGGTTTTACTATTAAGAATTCACTTCCTTTAAAAACCTAAATAAGCAATATTTTTAAGAGGTACAATAAATAAGGTCAAAAAATGTATGTAAATAATGGGTAATAACGTTTTTCAGTAGATGGCATTAAATTTCTACTGGGTTTAATAAAATTTCAAATGACTTTCTTACTATTCAATTTAACGCTATTAGAGTTAGACTAGAATTTTCTATTCAGACATAAAAAAATTTCATGTAAGCACACATTACAATGAAATTGACTTTATATTCTCAAATTGAGTATATTGCAAAACAGCATCCCCACTTCAAATGTAATTCACAGTAGTCAATAATATCCATATCTTACATGCAATGCTTGTGTTCTGTAGGTTTTCAGCCTGTGACACATAAAACAAGCAATTTTTAACAAATAATAATAATACCTAGTAATGATTTCATTCGCTTAAAAACACTTTTTCACAAAATTCAGTCGTTTATCCTATCATAACATAACCTTGAGAAACTGAATTTTTAACATTTTCAATTTAAATAGCCAAAGATTGCAGTGAGGTACAAAAAAATGGCAAGAAGGAAAGTGGAGTTTATGAAATTGATCCTGATGGTCAAGGATCTTTTAATGTCTACTGTGACATGAATTCATATGGTGGTGGCTGGACTGTATTTCAAAGACGCAAGGATGGAAGTGTTGATTTCTATCGTGGGTGGAATGACTATAAAGAAGGTTTTGGTAATCTTAATTCTGAATTTTGGCTTGGATTGGATAAAATATACCGACTAACATCTGCAAGGAGAAATAAACTTCGTGTAGACCTGGGAGACTGGTTTGGAAGAAAATCATATGCTGAATATGATTATTTTGCTGTAAAGAATGAAAGTAAAAAATATCAACTAAATCTTGGTATATATTCTGGTAAGTTAAAACGTTAATATAAACGTTTGAGGAAAAAACATTTTGATATATACAATATTTTTGAATGATATGAGTGATTGCAGTTTGCAACGGGGGATTCTCCAAGTTTTGATAAAAACGGATAGTAACGGTTGGTTTCGAACTAAAGCCTTGTTTGTCAATAAAAATATAATTAATTTTGAACTTAAAAACTTACCGAAAAAATACAACAAACAAACGTAAAAAGTCGTTCCAATTTGCGAACGATTCTGTTGCAAAGATTGATTGTGACATGTAATGATTGTGATTAGCTTATCATCAACATTAAATGCAAATTCAACTGCAGCTTTGTAAATTACGTAATAACCTAGCACCTGAACAACATGTAGCTAATAAACACGACTAAATTGTTTGGTACATATGAAAGAATCTATACTGTGAATATCATTGTCTAATGATCATTGACTGAAATCTTTTTTATAAAATGTAATTATTGAAGTAAGCCCTAGTAATTAATTGTAAATGCAAGTTTCAATGCCTAAATGATATGTACATTATAACTTGTTCTTACATTTAAAAGTTTTTTATGAACTTATAACAGCAACCTAAAACATAACAGAAATTTATTTAAGTTTACATGGACAATTCACATTTATAAGCATGAAACACAAATATATCAATTGAGCCTCGGAAAATACCCAGGTACGCCATTAAGTAAGGTCTGTTTCATACGTAAAACTTTGCATACACCGAACAGAGCCCTCTATTTGTAAGAGTTGGGACATGTATTGTTCTCTGGTTTGCGAACGTTGACTGGACAATATCGATCACATGATTATTTTCCGCCATTTTTGTTCCTAATTTTAAAATTTCAACTAGTGTTTATATGGCGATTACTACAAGTTTGTTTGTGTTTTGAGAAAATATTTTGATTTTTTGGAGGTATGGCTACAATAATTGATTATTTGATAGCTAAAACATGTAACTGCATAACGCCATAATTATGGATCAAGAAAAAAGAAAGAAATGGCTTTACGATAGACTGGATTGTGTGTAGTGAGCATTGTGTCTAACTGATCTTTATCTAAAGGTTTATTTGAAGATTGTTTTGAGTGAAAATCATTGGAAATATTTCTCCTAATGCTAACGATTCAATAGTTTTCTTACATACAAAGCCTGTCCTTATAGAAGATTATGACTTATCATTATGTTCGAAATTACTCTAATTTACAAGTTCTTAACCACTTCAAGAGATAATTATTGCTAATCCAATATGCTAAAATAATATACTTTCAAATATTGTATTTTGCATCTTTAGGAAATCCAAAGTATAGTATCAGTAATCATAAATAAAATATTTACTGAAACAGCTGGGTAAAATACATTACTGGTAATGAAATACACATTCTGACTGTACTTCAAACCAGAGCATGTTCAATTTGGTTATCAATGATTTGTTCTGGTCTTTACATAATCAATGATTTGGTGTGGTCTTTGGTCTTTATAATTTGGAAAACATGCAGAAGTTTTGTCATTACTCAACATTATTTTTTAAGATAGATTAAAACTTTCAGACTCATATACAATGTCAAATTCTGTACAAACAGTGACATTTGTAGCAAACAGGCTGTTCTTCAAGGCAGAATTGTTTTATAATACACAAACATAATTTCCTTTTCAACAAATGCTTCACCAAATAGAAGCCTATACCGTTTTGCATTAGAGTTAAACTTTAACTATAATCTCAGTTTCACAACCAATAAGAAATCAACAACTTCACATTAGATTAATAGGACATAAGAGCTACTGCATCTAACAAATATTTTAAATTCATAATTTTCCAGCAAAAGTTTTTTGTAATCTATCTGTATTAAATTTTTATGCCTGGACTACATTGCAAAATGCTACCTAAACAAAATTTCACGACTACAGTGCTTCAAAACAAACTTGGATTAACACTGATTCAATGGTGGCACAGTTTAAGTCAAAATAAATTATAGCAGCTCAATTGTAAATTTAAAATACTTTAGTTTAGAATAATAAGATTATTAGTGGTGAATTCTAAAGAATATATTTTTACCAGTTGGTACCTCTACGTTTTCTAAATGTAAATATAACCAAAATGAGCTGCAGTTATTTATTTTACTTACATATACCACCAAAGGATTGATTCAAATCTGGAGATATTTGTAGTAACGTGTTTTTCCAGAACAGGAATATGCAGCCAAAATGTCAGTATTTTCTTTATCGCTGGTAAATTATAAGCAATGAAAACAAATATCTTGGTGCTTTAGTTGAAAACTGCGAGAATATACGTTCACATACGTAAAACGCGATCTAGCAGTGGGTCACGATTAGTTTCAAAAGCACGAACTAGTCAACATCGAATGGCTAAACTCTGCGAAATTGCGTTTGGTTTGCAGTAATTATTCACAAAAACGCCAAAAGCTTGATTGTGGTTTCCGATATGTTTAAAATTTCCATTAAACAAGGCGGAAATTTATTATTCTTTTGTTCATTAACCAATTTCAAAGTTTTATTACAAGTTTAACTACTACCGTGAAATTGGCACCACATTGGGCACTGTTTTATTTGATGGAAAACGTGTTTTAAAGACGATTTTTCGATTTATCATTTTGAATGATAAATTTTAGTTGAATGTGGTGTTGAATGTTGTGATGAATGTTGTGTTGAATGTTGTGCCCAATGTGGTGCCAATTTCACGGTAGTAGTTTAACTTGCAAGTAGTCACGAAAATGGCGGCTCCGCGCTCGCCCCAGACCCGTTGTCCTAACTCTTACAAATAGAGGGGCTCTGACACCGAACGCATTAAAGACAAAAGAACCATTGTCAAATGAAGATTGACTGAAGTCACTTTATATCAGCCTCTAATAATCAATGTAAATGCAAGTGTCAATGCCTAAATGATATATACATTAAACTTGTGTTAATGGAAGTTCAAAAGAATTCTATAACTGCATTTAATGCGATTTTTGAAAGCTATTACTTTTCTTAGGAACTGCTGGAGATTCATTATCTTATCATAAAGGCATGGCGTTTCAACCAAGATTCAGATAATGTGATAAATGAGTGGAAACTGTGCCATTGACCTGAGAGGTGCTTGGTGGTATAGGTTTTGTCATTATTCCAACCTGAATGGACAGTACTATAGTACAGTATACGGCAGTTTGAGTCGTGTGGTTTGGTATTATGGAAAATGGACACTGAATCCTTAAAGTTTACTGAGATGAAGATAACACCATAAAAACTTCCGAAAACTGTGATGTATAAATTTGATCATTATTTCTAATGAAACTTTCAACATTTAATTATAGCGTTTTAGCTTTATGTCTTTTAAAACAACCTGATGAAATTGTTAAAAATGTGTTGGTGAAACAATACTTTCTAATATTTTCCCTAAAATTAAGCTGATTAGGTAATTATATGATTCTAATGTTACGTCTTTCCTCATTTTTTTAATGAGATGTTGCTCTTTAAAGCGGTTTCCGTATGATCGTTCCTGTCGGCGGGATCGTCTTTGTCGCTTGCAATTTGTAGAAGCGACAGAGACGATCTATAAAACAACTCAACTGAAACGACAAAAGCGATCCTTACGTTGAAACGATCCTTGCGTATCGATCGTTTGAGATAGACTAAGTTCTATCCTTGCGACAGAAACGACCGGAAACACCTTTACGCACTTGCATTTTTTAGTAAACGATTACAAGCAGCTAATTCTATCTTTTCGCCACGTTTTCACGCAATCTTTGATGTATCATGCATTTCATGCAATTATCTTACATCATATTCACTATGTAAACAATGTCACTTTTGATTGGTCAACTGCAAATAATTCTAGATATCTGTAGGTAAGACGTCTATTTACAAATAACAGTTTGTCATGAAAGCCGATTTTGAAAAAATTCATATTATTACCCGTGTCGCATGTTCTTAATCGTCTGAAGCAAAGGTTCTTAAATGGAGAACGTCAATATGTTGTAGGAGATCCTCAAAGCGTTCTTGTTGACGCCATATTTAATTTATATATGCACCAATTTATATCATCATACACGACATGCACACGACACACTGTACCATATCTAGATGTCAGCAACTGGAATACAATTATGAAGTATTATTGACTTGCAAAACTCTTGAAGTCTTATTACGATCAGGGAATGAATACAACGGCAAGGAGAAACAAGAGCAATACAAAAGGCAGCTGATGAGGCAGGGCTACATTCAGAAAAGTTAAAGTGAGTTAGTATTTCTACCTACTTTTACTTGGAGATTGCAATACGCAGTACTCTCAAATTGTGCACTAAAATGTCGTATTCAAATCTGCATTATGTATTTCTAGTTTAGTATTATACATATATTTTTGTTAAAGGTGTTGCCATTGATTGCCAGGCGGGGAAGCGGTTCTCAATATAAATATTAGAGCCCAACAAATAATTTTAAAAAATCGTCATAAACAATTTGGTTTTATGAAAGAATTGAAATTTGTCATCATGCAGTTAATGTAGTATTTGCATAACATTTCCTATATAGGTGGGTTTGCACGTAAGTATTTCTCCATATATTTTCTTGCTCTTAATACCTTATATGACAGATTAATAAAACACACTCAAGATCCTTTAAATGGTTACTACTGAGGATGGGTTTACTTCATAGTGATTTGATTCTATAAAATTTGAACACAAAATCCTTCTTGTAAACTTATAGAAATCCTCGCAAAGTGTTACGCTCCTTTTACGTTTGTTCACAATATTAGTGCTCATTATGTACAAGTTTGATACATACATATAAGATATTATTGCTGATTAACATCCGTTCTAAAAAATCCACATGGAAAGAACTTAGTGCAAAAGACCATGCATTTACACAAATGTTTTGTAAAGAAATAACGCACACTATATGCAAAAGTTGATGAAGTGGTGGTTACATTTCAAACATTGTTCGATGTAGAATGTTCCTTATAAGATATGGTATTTAAAATAGCAAATGGTGTTTAAGTTACATTACCACGGTGACAATACAACAACGAAAAAGCCAAATTCAGTCACGTGATGTAAATCTAACGGTAAAAACAACACTACTTAACTGTTCATCTACATACAAGATAACAAAATTGATCGAGTTTATAACTCTGAAGAATTGAAAACATCGCCCAAAAGAAATGAGAAAGAAGAGACAATCTATAGAAAAAACAAAGCTGATATTTCATAAATATTTTTTAAAACATACGTAAAATTAAAACATTTATTCGCTTGAAGAAAAACAAAACCGACGCCAATATGTAAGCACATGCGTGCAATAGGTAAAAGTTACTTGAATAGGCTGTGTAAAAAGCCTATGAAGGTATATAAAACAAACCTAAATTAAATGGCGTCATTAAACCCTAAACTGACGTATTCCAAAACTGAACCTTAAATAAACGAGAACTAAGACAGTGAAAATAAATCTGTCAAGACATACGTTCTCATAGAAATCTAAATTTCCAAAATTTATCTCATATATTAATACAAGGACGATTGTTAAAATATATACCAATCAGCTTCTTCGATAACTTTTCAATCTCGTCTAACGACTTCAGTCATTTCATTTTGTAAACGTAAATACGCACGGACGAAAATACCTGAAATTTCGAGAGTTTAGATAAAATTTTCACGAAATTTTTATTTCATGAGGTACCTTTCCGCTGACTTTGACAACAAATCCGCCATATTTTTGACCACGGGCCGCGCGCTAATAATTGCGGTAATTTTGTTAACGTGTTCCCTCCAGGTCTCATAGATCTCAATGGAAATACCTCTGCAACAAAACACCGATGGAAAACCTCTGCGGCAAACACCGGGGAGAACCTCTACGGCAAAACACCGATGGAACCTCTACAACAAAACACCGAGGGAAAACCTCTGACAAAACACCGGGGAAACCTCTACGGCAAAACACCGGAAACCTCAACGGCATAGCACCGAGAATACTTTTACAGCAAAACACCGACGACAAAAAATCTCTACAGCAAAACACCGACTAAAATCTCTACGGCAAAACACCGACGACAAAAAATCTCTACGGCAAAACACCGACGACAAAAAATCTCTACGGCAAAAACCGACGACAAAAATCTCTGGCAAAACACCGACGACAAAAAATCTCTACGGCAAAACACCGACAACAAAAAATCTCTACGGCAAAACACCGGGGTAAAACCTCTACGGCAAAACACAGAGGGAAATACCTCTACGGCAAAACACCGAAACAAAAAACCTCTACGGTAAAACACAGACGACAAAACCTCTACGGCAAACACGAGGAAAACCTGTACGGCAAAACACCGAGGGAAAACCTCTACGGCAAACACTGGGGACCTCTACGGCAAAACACCGAAGACCTCTACGGCAAAACACCGGAAACCTCTACGGCATAGCACCGAGGGAAATACCTCTACGTCAAAACACCGACGACAAAAAACCTCTACGGCAAACACCGAGGGAAAACCTGTACGGCAAAACACCGAGAGGAGAAAGCAAAAAAAGCAAAGCAATCAAAAGCAAAAAAATAAAACACGAGAAAAACAGAAATAAAGTACTGAGAATAAATAGTTATACCGCAAGGAAAAGCACAATCATCACATCATTAACACACATGGTAGCTATAAATGCTGTAACTCAATTCAAGCAATAATAGATAGCCACATTGTAAACAGCAGATCATCCTTTTCATATGAACTATACTTCGGGAGTTATTTTTAACCATAAAATTGTCTTTATGTTCTCTTAAATTATTACATATATTAGTGAATTACCTTTTGATCATAAGAGGGATATTTGGTGACGTCTCCGGTAAAAAAGGGATAATGTGGATGATTGTAATCAAATATCCATTCACTGAAGTGGTTACCAATATCGTATCCTCTGAATCAAAAAATAACAAATATTATAAAAAAGTTTGACAAGGTAAACGATGTTTAAAATAAGAAAAATTGAAAAGTTTTGATGAAATAAATAATTTAAAATGTTCAAGAAGAAAGATAAGCAACCGGTTGAAAAGCATTATGGGTACAATATGGTTATTTTGTTGCCAGCTCTTCCCTTGCTCAATTGATGACTGCTTTAAAGCCCGCCACACTGGTGAACTTGCCGCGCGTTCTCGTTGTGTGATCGATAAAATTTCCTAGTGTGCGCGGAAGTTTTGAACAACATTTGTCATTCATGACAGATGAGTCAAATATCAAATGCGCGTTTGTTTAATTTTGTCGATCACACTTGTTACGAATAACAAGTACGCGCGGCAAGTTTACCAGTGTGAGGTGGGCTTAAGTGAACAAACAAAACCGTTGCTATCATAATATTTGACAACTCTACGCAGCGCAAAGATAAAATAATATTCCAGATATAGAACAAAATGTCTCCTTCCTTCCTTCCTCATTTGCGGTTTAAACGAAAATCATCCTTCTCTCTTCTCTTTTTTTTCACCTGTAGTTATAACAAGAATATTCAAAATCAATCACACGAATTTTTGCCTCATCGAGATCTTCATTTGCTTTCACCAACAAGTTTCCTGTAGGTATTTAAATTATATTTAACCTTTATTAAATACCCATAATATTCACAATAACCTAGTTGGAAATCTTTACCTGGTTGTACGTCATTATGGCAGAAGAAAACTGGTGATTGGCTGTTTTCAACCACGTGCCTAACACATCAACAACAAAATAACAATAATGTAAGCAACACTTAAATTCATTGATCCTAAAACATCTTTTTGGCACATAAGTATTTCCAGTTTAATTAACTTTGTACATGGTTTATTTTCAGCAGTTAATGTCTTATATTATATAATTCAATAAATTAATGATTTGTGATTATGTGAATTAAAAGTACTCAAAAATCTATTGTTTTTATTCATTTAGTACTGTGGTTGATTGACTGTGTGTCCAAATAAGTAAGTACGTCATACAATTGCTTCAATATAATGTTCTTCTTTGTAAAAATTCTTAAGTAAAGGCCACGTAGTCCAAAGGCAGCATAATAAAAAAAACCACAGAAAAATAAGAAACCATTATTATTCTATCATGACGTTGATATTTGATCTTCATCTGGCATGAAGCATACAATTTTTAACATCACTGTCAGACTACTGACTAGCAGAAGTAGTAGCTTAAACAGACAACGACAACCTAATGCATATGTATAAAAATAAGCATTCATTTATCACGTAAGTAATAAAAAATTTACTGTGTTTCTAAACGCGGGAAGTTTGGAGAAAAAATAAATTATGTGCCAAGCACGAGCACGAATTGAGTACTTTCAATGAATTTCGAGTTGCTCCAAAACTTTCACAAGTATGTATTTCATTCATAAATGAAAACCAACATTAAAAAGACAAATTTAACGACATATTGTTTAAATTTTCTGTTTCCACGCAAACCACGCAATCTGCGATACTTTTGCGAGACTGAAAAAGAGTTTCTGATACACGGGGTTTGCGAGCATTTAACCAATCAGCGCCAATCAAATTTATTTTCAAAATACCAGAAAATCAAAGATTAAGACAACTTTAAAAAGGGAAAACCGTCTGTATCATCTACTTTTCAAGCTAATCCTACATCGTACGTACGCTCAGTCAGTCACAATGTATGATCTCAATTATAATCACAAAATCATGTAAATACCCCACCGATAGACACACTAGTTTCCCAACAAGCTCCTCCCCCCCCACACGTGACCTGTCTCCCTAGTCCCCATGACCGTTCTGTTTTTGAGTAGCTGACTATTTTCCATACCTGATAAATTTGAGAATTTCATCAATGTCAGATAAATTTGAAAATTTCATCCAAGATCTTTAATTTATCAACATTGGAAAATTTAAGACCTTTAATTTCCTTCACAAATCTATCAAAAAAAATATAGACTATGTACACTGTGATAAAATAATAATATAAGGAGATGGTAAGGTCATATTGAACAATATGAATTCCTCAATATATTTTAAAAAAAGTTGTAACAGAAAGTGGGTTTACTTCAAAACTATTTCAGATTGGTGCAAAAGATTCAAAAAGTCAAACTCACATTTGAAGTGAATCCAAAAACCAAGTTCCTTCCTTTGAAAGAGGAAGTTTTAGCTTATGAAATGCAGCTACATGCTCAGCTATTTGTTTTGATAAACGAGGATACTGGACTTCCCGACTAGTCAATGCTCGAACCTTTAACAAATTACAACACAAGTAAATTAAACTTTGGTAAACAATGCAAAAATTTATGTTGCCAAAACTTCAACTATTTAACAGTTTAATTCAAAAATTATAAATTCTTTCCAACACAAATGAGAATGAATTTACAATTTTTCTATACAGACTGTATAGTGAGTATGAAATAATCAATACTGATTATACTACTATCAGTGGAATACAAAACTCAGCTGTGCTAGAACAGATTTAAATTGATATTAAAGCTGGAAAGCTAGGCAGTTCTTTCCATACAAGCAGGTGATATACTCACTATAAAAGATAAACTTTCCTTACATTAATGGATTTTCTACTTACATTAGGAATAAACTGTTCAAGTCTTCCTTGGAAATATACCATAAACTCTGGGGCCATCTTTTCAGCTAAAAGGCCACAAATGATGCATTCCTCCATCATGCGAAACATTGTTGTCAGACAAATCTGCATAGAATGCACCATAGCCGAAGCAGTGCTTTGTTCACACCATCAGGATTTGAAGTTTTCATGGCAGAGAGCACAGAAACAAATGATTCGTTAATCCACCACTGTAATTGTTAAAAGCGTATGGTTAAAATAATCACTCAAACTATGATTTCATCTCTTCTGAAGTAAGTTTATCAACAAAAGAACAACAATAGACAAGCATAGAGGTAAGATCAGAGCATTGGTTAAAAAAATACAAAATAAGCCCATTCTTAGATTAATCATATCTTACAAGATCTTTTCTTCTGGAAATTAATTTCTAAATCAAAGGCACTATTAAGAATATACTTTGCATATAAAACAAGGATGCATATTTTATTTCCGCATTATATTCTGCACCCTGAACACAACTAAAAAACTTTGAACAAGAAAATATCAGACAGAAATATGAGACATGGAAGTTGGAAATTACAAAAAATTAGCTGCACTTGAGAAATTTTACCACTTTCATGGACAAACAGAAATTCTGCAATTGCAGAATTCAGTGTTTATTGACTGGCATAATTGCTGGATTTCTTCATATTAAGATAACCTGGACTTTAGGTGTGGCTTTTACACACCCAAGATATCTTTTGAAATCCATCACACTTTGCAATCTGCAGCCCTAAACTGCAGAAAATCTTGCATATCGCATCGAAACATAAAATCTTGAGAAGAAATTTAGTGTGGCAGCTAACACAAACAGCCCAGTACTCTTTAAAATGTTGGCAATAGAGATATAGAGAATATTTTCACCTTAAATATCATTGAGAACATTTTTACCATTAAATAATTGTCGCCCCATCTAAACAATATAGTTCTTACAGTTGCGTATTTGAAAATTGTACTTACTGAATTCGTTCAATTTCAAAATGTTGTGGACTGATTTTCTTCCATTCCCCACCGAGATATTTTCGACATAATTATAGCCGAAATCTTTGATCTTAGCGTCAACCATTTTCCAGTAAGAAAATAATTTTCAAACTACGCAGAACTTTGTAGAAGCATGGTCGAAACCAGCCAAGCAACAACGCAGTCATTTTAGTGATGGCTTGAGAAATGTGTCGAATTTACTCAGGAAATGACAACAATCACTGATTCTACGGTCGTTGAAGGTCGATCATGAGGTCGTTCGGTAAAATGACGTGAAAATTGCAAGAACTTTGCACAAAGTACATGCAACAAATGACATGATTCAACGTAAACAAAGCTTTAGCCATGTGATACTTATTCATTCGTGGACAGAAGGCGGTCTACCATTTCCTGTTATGAAGTGACGTTTAAACTTCATCCGTCAATGTCACAAAATCATATCCAACAAAACTAATCGTGAAAACGCAGAGCCAAAGGACTTCTAGAAAACGATTAACATGGTAATGAAACGTGCTTTTGACTCCGAAAATGACTACCGCTAAGGTTGTCGAAACGTCAGTCAACAAAAACAAAAACAGTCCTTCTCAGAAACTATACCAACCTGGACGATCTACATTTACAAACATGTAACGATACTCCCGGGTTCAAACCATTTACTTGAAATGTGCATTGCTTACAGTAATAATATTAAGTAATTAAATTATCATCGTTTATTAGTAATTGTAATATTACAAATGATTAGTGTAGCAAGAAATGTACTGTAACCAGTAGCGTAGCTAACAATTACTTTAGACGGTGCAGATAGATAAATTTTCCTACAACAGGGCGTGGCAATTTGGGCGTGGCTAAAAGAAATGCATTTTTTAAAAATGGGGTTTAAAAACTTTGTACAAATGAATATACATAAGGCTTTACCATTTTAAATAAACCAAGTGCAAAAAATGTGAAATAACAAATAATTATTAAAAAATTCTTCTAGTTTCCTCGTTCAAGAAAGGCATTTGAAGTTCTCGAATGGAAATTTTCGAATTAATTTCTCGCGGTTGATGGAAATACACGAGATTCAAAACGTTTTCTGTCATCGTACTGCCTATCTGTTTTTATCGAAAATGATTAACATTGGAGAATAGGAAATTTGACGGACACTGAACTTAACACGTGAATATCTTTTACAATTTGCTACTTATAAATTACTGCAAAGAATTTGATAAAAAAAAACTTTTACAAATGGCACACAATCTATAGCTATTAATTGTATTGGTGAGAATGGATTTAAAGTCCAAATATATTTTATTTTTGTTGTACAATTGAATAAATAATCACTTTCATCACTGGCGCTGAATTTTTGTGAAAACAATCAAAAAAAATTTTATCCAATCTGAATGAATGAGAAAACAATTTTAGCCAATCTGCATCGCGTTTTAGCATTCAAAAATATGACCAATGCTTAGATAAGTGTCCTAGCATAGGTTTTGAAAATTATTTGCCACAAAACCTAAAAACATTCGCATTTTTCACATGCATGGAAATACATTTTAAGGTAAAAAAACTGCAAAAATGCAGTAAAATTATTCATGACTAATGAGATGTATTTTTTTCGTGGTCTTCCATGTACTTATAAGATATTTATGGTTTTGTGAAAGTGTTTCAGTCAACGGTCGTTAATTTGTATTGAGAGTTGCCTACCTTGTCAAAATATAAGACCTTTTACACCATATAAACGTGTAACTCACGTGAGATTGTCCACGTAACAAACATTGCATATACTATACTTGCAAGAAATATACTTACTACATATATCGATTGTATAAAAAACATAAACAGATTTCTGGGCCGCCTATGGTAGGACATACAATAATAGAAAGTTTCTACCTGTGAATGAAAGTGAACTAATATCTTTTACGATCTCAGGGCAGAAGCTGCCAAATTCTGTTGGTTGTATGCAATTCCTTGTCATTATCTCATAACACTCCATCCGTATATGTACAAATTTTGCAGAACACTTTGAATCTTATTGCAAATCTCTTGTGGTGATTGCTTCCTCTTCACTTTCGAAATCAGATTCATTGTCCTAAAGCAAAGACACTGGTATGTATTTTTTCATGTCTTTAGCAAGATCATGAATAATTCCCACTACTATATACCACGTGAGTCAACAAACTTTGAAAGTGTAAGTATGATTTATCGATATTTCTTAACTGAGAGTCGTTCTGATGCTTAAGAAATCATGCAAAACGCTTAGACTTCAATTTATGTTCGAATAAGTTTACGTACGTCAAAATTTCGTGTTTTCTTACAATACTAACGTCGTTAGTTTTGTCGTTACTTTTCATCAAGTATATTGGTATTTTGTTAAATATTTATGTAAATGATCATTGGAATTATGTCTGATATATAATATCATTAAGTTTTCAGACAAAAATAGGATTCCTATTGGTTGACCTCACTATGAAGAGCAAACAATGCTAATTACGTATGCCAATGTTATGAGAACTCCTTTCCTAAACATTGTCATTGTTGATAGTTTTGCTTGAAGCCACTGTGTTAGCTAGCAGTCCAGCTGTGTGATACGAACAATAATTACTAGGTCAATGTCAAATTCGTTGTCAAAGGCTTGGTAAGTGGTTTTGAGCAATGTCATAGATTATTGGATTTGTTGTGATGCAAAGTGGATGGTTGTGATGCAAAATTCCTGTAATAATTAGTAAAAGGTAAAAGTTGAGATTTTGCTAAACTTCTTAATTTATGACCAATATATAAACTACATTGGCTATTCATTTGTTTTCACCATAGACTGAATGGGTCACGAAGTTATATGGAATAAGTTCCAGGAAAGATGCACAACAAATTCCAGTTGTTGTGAACTGAAAACCTGCATGATAAAGACACAAAAGTTATTTACCTTCAGGATGGAGTGGTTGGTCAGTGTTAGAAATTAGAAGGAGGAGGACAGCAATCGAACAATGTAGGGGTATGAGTGAGATCAGTACAATTGCTTGTGGACGATATGAAGGCTATATGAGGAGGTGGAAAGATGTGAAGAAGGTATTTTAAGAGGTGATTGGCTGTGCAGGTGTATGAGGGGTGGGTGATATGAAGGTGTATGAGGTGGTGGAAGTGCAGGTGTATGGGAGGTGGAGGATGTGCAGGTGTATGAGGGAGGTGGGTGATATGAAGGTGTATGAAGAGGTGGAAGACATGATGGTGTATGAGGAGGTGGAGGGTATGCAGGTGTGTAAGGAGATGGAGGATGTGCAGGTGTATGAGGAGGTGATTGATGTGAAGGTGTACGAGAAGATGGAGGCTGTGCAGGTGTATGAGGAGGTGGAGGATATGTAGGTGTGTAAGGAGGTGGGGATGTGCAGGTGTGTAAGGAGGTGAACGATGTGCAGGTGTATGAGGAGGTGATTGATATAAAGGTGTATGAGGAGGTGGAGGATATGAAAGTGTTTGAGGAGGTGTAAGAAGGATGCTTTTAGGCACTACAAAGAAAAATTAGGAATGGGAAAAGTAAAAAGTGAAAAGCAGGATAAAAAACAATGCCAAAGAAGAGGAAGAGGAGAGAAAATGGAGAGAAAAAAGAAAAAAGAGGGTGAAGAAAGAGACGAGGGATAGTAAATGGTAATCCGTAGAAGGAGATGAGAAAAAGTAAAATAAAATTGTTTCTCCTCCTTTCCTCTCTTCTCCCCTCACTCTTTTTCTTCTCAGCCCTTTCTCTCTCTCTTTTCTCTTCTCCTTCTTCTCTCCTTTCTCTCTCTCCCTTCTCTCCTTTCTCTCTCCTTCCTTTCTCTCTCTTCTCTCTTTCTCTTCCTCCTTCTTTCCTCCTTTCTCTCTCCCTCCTTCCTGCCTTTCTCTCCTTCTCTCTCCTTTCCCTTTCCTCTTCCTTCTCCTTTCTCTCTTCCTTTCTCTCTCCTTCCTTCTCTCCTTCTCTCTCTCTCCTTCTTTCTCTCCATTTCTCTCTTCCACTACTCTCCTTTCTATCTCTCCTTCTCTCCTTCCTCCTCCACTTCTCTTTCCATTTCCTTCTCTTTCTTCTCTCCTTTCTATTCTCCCTCTCTCCTTTCTCTTTTCTTCTTTTTATCAAGCGTCCTCCATCTCATGTTCTTCTTTTTCTCTCCACACATTTCTTTCTGTTTTCCCTATTTTCCACCAGTTTTCTAATGCGAATGAAAGAAACTAAGCTATAACTAACACAAACACTGCAGGTGTCAACACATCACGACTATTATTATTATTATTATTATAATTAATATTTATACATTATTTTTCTTCAGTACAGAACACTGTCATCAACGAAATAGCTGTATAAATACATATAAATAAAACTTAAAACATACTTTAAAAAATTACAATACTAAAATAGTAAGACTAAACCAAAATATTAAAAAAACAGTAACTCTTACACAAAGACCATCATCAACATTAAGAAAACACCAGCACTATGACGAACACTAACACTGATATTAACACATTACTTAAACTTTGACAAATATTAACATTTTCCCAGTTCAAGTGATCACATTTTTCGTTACTATATCCTTCACATATAACCTTAATCTTAATCACAACAACCTATTTTGAATTTTTCAAAAAACGCGCACACCATTTGTAATTTTCTTACCATAAAGCGCACTGCGTTCTATGTGTTGTATTTTGCTTTTCAATCAAGTAGATTGTTTAAAAAAATTTCTTAAATAAGAATTCTTTATAATATTTGTGACTATTTCACATAATTTCTACCCATCTCCTTTAGGTCATAATGTTTATATTTATATCTACTTTATCTCTACCTTTACTTATCTTTATGTCAATCTATCTTTGTGTGTTTCTTCATGTTTATCTATCCTTATAAGTCTACACTTATGTCTTACTCTATGTCTACCTTTATGTATACCTTCATTTTTTATGCAATATCAATATAAATTTACAAGATGTAAGGACTTCAAAATGTTCAGACTTAAGTCTGAGGTGGTGAAACTTCTTGGATCACAATTCGAGAGACTGAATTCCATCCACTGTTTGCATTACCAGCGTTTCCTTGATTGCAATCGCCGACATAGAAACCAGCATTAACTGTACCATTGTTAATGTTGCCACAATATCCCTCTATATGACGATGACGATGGATATTTTGTGTTCCTTTACCTTTCCACATGTAGAGGACACCTTCAATGGTTGGACTACATTCTTTTCCATTGAATTGAAAATACCATCGTTTGCAACAATCGTCACAGTTAGAAATACGGAGGTTACCACCATAGAACACACGAAGGTACGTGTTGTTACATTTTTTTTAAAAAACTACAAGACTAGAAAAACAAAACAAGCAGAATATGAAAAACATTTTCCAATGCATCATTACATCTAAGATGAATGCCTTACACAGGTCCGTAGCAAGATCTATGATTGGGGGAATCATATTTGTATACGTCATAACCTGCAAACAATTGTTTTAAAAGACTTCAATAACTCGGCATATCTTGCATATACTTGTAGTTATGAGACACCTCCTCCTCCAATTACTAAGCTTATGACGGAACTCTTAGAAGCCTACAGTGTAAAGGCTGTTTAAAAAAGTAAGTTCTTAAAAAAGTCCTCTAAAACAAAACGTCGTGTTCTTTCTTCTTCTTTAACCTTCTGCTGCAGCCTTTTTTCTTATGCTTGCATTCATATCAATGCTTATGTCACATGCGTGCTTTGATGATTGTCTTTGTTTGATATTTTTGCCTTTGCTTGTGCTTATGATATTCACTTCAACTGTGTTAACCAAGCTTGATGCAAATGATCTGTCATTGCAATTTACATTATTTCAATTCCTTTTTTCCACAAAACATTAATTAGCTTGAAGTTTTGTTATGAGTTCAAATTCCAGAATCCAAATCGACAAATTTATAAACCTAAATTTGCTATATACATCAGCGTTTTTTGTACACATACTTGAAATGATTGTTACAATTGCATGTAAGTTCAAAACCAAAAGTTATGTTTTGGGCAGTGACATTCATAATGCAAATTTGCTTTCTGCTTGCAAATTTTACCTTTGTAGGTAGTATACCTTTATAAATAAGACATTCGAAATAAATACCTTTATAAGACCATAATTCATTTCAAATCCTTCCTTCCATGTGCATTGCTTCCAGTTCGATTCAATATAGTCTTCTTGAGCGCCTTATACACAACGTTTGCCATTTTCAACCTTTATCACAAAAATATCTACAGTCAGAATTATAGTTTAGTCATGTTATCAATAGTTAAGTCTGGAAAATCGGTAATCATTACGCTCTGATTCTCTTTTTGCACAAAAAATAGTAAAATTCAAAATGTCAAATGTGTAGTTGTTAATTGGAAGATGTATCGTTTAAATCCTTTACATATGTCTTCAACAGTAAGCCAGTAGTTTTTTGCATACCAAAACATATACTCAGTCTTTCATTTTGCTTTTAAGTTCAGTAGCGTATCCGACTAATCCAAGATCGCTCTTTTATAAGAGTCATTGAATGTTATAAAAAGCATTTACTTTCAGTAGCACAACAGCAAAAAGTTAAAAATAACAGAAATGATGAGACGCAAAATTTTGTGTTATCAAAACAAAAAGTTCTTAAAATACTTATTTTTAATTAACTGCCAAATGAAAAAAATACAATTTGTTATATATATTCTAAAACAGGTGCATTCTAGTCATAATGACGTTTAATTATTTGTACGTGACAGAAAAATGAAAGGGGCTTTTATTTGTAATTTTTAAGTTCTCGATACAAAAAGTTTATGACCAAGATATATCTAAGCAAAGTAAAAATTAGCATGCATGCTCTATTCTTGAGCAGTTATTCAGCATACGCGCATGTATAATAACAACAAAATGATCTTTGTTTGTCAGCATATATATGCATGTCCATGTGATAAGATTATAAGAAGTATTTGATAAAGAAAGCGTCTCAAAACTTAGACGATTCAGATTTAGAAGCAATGCATAATAAACAAGTTACTTCATAATTCGGATTGACAGCTACCGCAATAAAAAGCTGATGTCCTTAATTTGAAATGATGTGGAATGTCTTTAACAACATTAGATTCTTCAAGGCAAATACTGACTCATCAAATTGCATTGGAATTTTAAAGCATGGATATAAAAGATACAAAATATATTTTTCTTTTCTGTTTAAGCCGTGTTTCCACTTAGAGATTTAGATGCTCACCTTAAGAATGAATTGAGCTGTTACGATGACTTGTGATGAACTGTCACAATTTTATGACTCATTTGATCGACAAATCGATGTTAGTGATCAATTTCTACTCTTTTGAACCATTAACTTAATAATATACAGTTTTAACAACTTTTAAATACATAGCTACGCACGATACAAACTAAGGGTGCAAAATTACCAAAAATTACGAATATTACGACATTTGAAAATTACAAGAACTTGTGACATTTTGTTGGAAAGTCATTAATGTTGAGCAAAAAAAAATTTTTTTCCTCGTATCTTTAAACTTTTAATTTTAAACTTCGAAGTGTTTGTTGACAGTTATTATCTGCTTGTATCTCCTTATATTGTGAACATAATCTTATTCATAAAACACTTGCTAAAAATTTCATTGCCTACCTCATTCAACGCATTGCAAGCTGCAATTAGAAGAAAAAATAAGAGAATGTGCGCAACCATCTTTCACGAAAGAACGTTAACTCTTAATATATGAAAAATCGCTTGCACTGCGTCTTAGTACAAATAACGGCTGTCACGGAAAACATACTAGAGCTGTGTTTATTTGTCATAAATATACAATGCGCACTTTACATAAGCGGGTACATCATAAAAGTTAATTATTATTCAATATTAATAGTTTCAATTTTACAAAAATATTTCTGCAACGAATCATTGCCAGACAAATTTGGATAATAATTATGTAGGAAATTTGCTTTCGTTATTTAACCTCTACATGCAACACGTTATAACTATTTACAGCTTTTTCATCGTTTTACTCAAACGCATAAAAATATGTATAAAGCGACAATGAAGATCAATTCGACAAGAATTAAAAACTGTTTGATTCGAAAAGTTGTAAATGATTTACATTGAATTAATATCCTACAAAACACACTTATAATGATGGTTAGAGTTTAGAAAGGCATGGTATACATTAATTTTCTTTTTAATAAATTTCACCCTACAACGACATGGAAAACGTTGTGTTACAAAAACAACAATAACCCTTAGGAAATATCTGGGGTCGGTTGCAGGAAGCCAGCATAGCGTTATCCATTGAATAATAATTTTTTTAAACTTTTAAAGAAAGTGGTTTTATTTTGTTTTCGAAAATAAAACTTTGTAATTCTAGAACCAATATTTTATTTCATTCATTGTGCAGTTCAAATCGCACATTTTCCCCTTTTTGCTATCTGTGGATAGTGCTATTTGGCCTTCTTGCAACCAGCCTCTAAACAAATTTATGTGAAAAAGTCATGCCATGCCTGTTCAATGTCATGCCCGCATGTTCTATAGATTTCTCTTGTTTTAAATTGCTAAGTTTTTGTATTTATGACTTCATGATATGTTTCAGATGATTTTGAAGTTGATTTTGAACCACAAAGAAAGAAGGCGAAGCATAAAGAGAAGGAAATGAACAAAGAGAAGAAAGGCGAGAGAAGGTGTGACCCAAAAATAGATTTTTAATTTTGGCTAAAGGGCATCATGCTGTTTTACACAGATATTATAGTACATCTCTAATCCTTTATAAGCCTTTGTTTTGCCTTGTGTAATCCAATGTACACACTAATCTCTTCAATGTGTGATACAACAACGTCATGAAATTTTTTTCTATTGTAAGGCCTTCCATTCGTGAAAAGTTGTACCAAAGAGATATAGAAAAAGCAATTGAAATGTCACTAATAAATACACCTTATGACAGAAAAGATAATGATGTTGGACAAAATGAAAGCAGTCATATCAAAATAAACAGTGAAGGTATTGGTATGTAAAATTATAAATGAAACTGTGAAAAGTGATTACATCATGAAAGAGGAAAAAAGGTTGGGAAGCTGCCCTAATCTACGCAGTACTGAAGTAAATCCAATTCAAACAATGATTTTAGAATTTTTAAAGTTTTTCATTGTTAAGCATTATATAATGCTGTCTTACATTGACCTCAAATTCACATTTTTAGTAAGACTCTTTTTCCTCATCACAAAGCCCTTAATTTTAAACTCATAATGTTTACAGAGTAATCAGTCAAAAGCACAAGTTTTGAAAATGACAACTTTGTTATACTGTCCTAAATGAGGACAGAGAAGGATTTTCTCAGAGTTTTATAAACTAGTCACCACTCTTAGTGGTCTGAATTTAACTGTTGAATTTAGGCACATAGTAGCATATATCCATCAATCACAGTTATAACTGGTTAGCCTTAAAATTAGGAATGTTTAAAAGTGCGGACATATGAAGGTGTGTATGGATGAAGGTAAGTATGTGTAGGGGTAGGTATTTATAAAGTTAAAGATGTATCAAGTTGTGGATGCATGAAGGTTTGGATGTATGATGGTGGGGATGTATGAAGGTATGGTGGGGATACATAAAGGTGTAGTGGGGATTTATGAAGGTGGTGATGTGTGGATGAAGATAGTGATGTACATATGAAGATAGTGATGTACCTATGAAGATAGTGATGTGTTGCATGTAGTACTACTTTTAATGGTGTGATGAGCTTTCTAATTGACTTTTTGCATGGTATTGTAGTGTGTGATTCAAAATGAAAATACATGATCATTATTATGTAAGATGCAGTACCATGTACATATAATGCTGATTGCTCTCTTACTCATTTAATCTAATTAAGATGATGATGCACGCGACACCTGCGATGCACGTGACACCTGCGATGCACGTGACACCTGCGATAAGAGTAGTGCTAAAGTAAACAAGATTCATGACAATGATGTCGAAAGTGATTCCAATGAAGAGAAAATTGCGAACCTGAAGAACGGCAAGAAAATGTCTGGTGGGAGTCATATGTTTTCCGGTAGGCTATATTTTTGTATTTATAAAAATTGTCATTGATTTCAAGTGTCCTATTTGCATATAATGAAATAACAAAAATACAGTTGGCATGATTATACAAGCAAAATATCAAAACAGTTTGATACATACGTAATTGCATTTGCTCGCAGCTTGTCTCTCGTGTTATTCTTATTAGTTTTTCTTCTGACGAGTGCTTATAATAACAAATTTTTGATACACATTTGTTTTAAAAAGAGTCATCCGACTACAAATGCACACCTGTTGTTGGTACAAAGGAGAAAAAGTCATCACCTATAAATTCTTCCAAAGAGAACTTTGGACATTTGAAAAATGAAGGGAAAATTTCCACAATTTCTTGCGTTGGTACAAAGGAGAAAAAGTCATCACCTATAAATTCTTCTAAAGAGAGCGTTAAGCATATGAAAAATGAGGGGACAATCTCAACATTTTCTTCACCTAAACTGTTTACAAACAAAACCAGCGGTTCTTTTTTTCTTGGCGGTGTTAAAACTAAGAATCCAGGTCCGCCATTACGTGTAGCACTATCAAGAAACCATAAGGTTAAACCACTTTACAATAAAGTTACGCTTTCTCAATAACAACTTACTTACACCAAAATATTTTATCTCTGTTTTAATAAAATATGTGAAATGAGTTGTAGGTGATTTGTAAATATTTCAATGTATAATAAATATTGTAATTATACACTAAAAAAAAACTCAAAACATGTTGTTATGGCCAATTGTTGGAGAGTGTAAAGTCAATCTATGAAAACCACCAACTAAATAGTATTTGGTAAGCCTTCCTCCAGCCATGCTTTATACCTATGAAGGATTTTTTAGGCATTCACTTGATAATTTCCCCAAGCAATGTGGATACTCTCCCACAGCTCATTCTTGGGATTTTAGTTTTGGATCATAGTTTCTACAGTTCTTACTCGCTACATAGTCACTGACATTTCTTTAGCTGTAACCCACTTCACTAGCTAGTTCGCTTTTGGAGTAGCATTGATCTTTCGACCTTACCAATACCATTCCACGACATTCAACATTGATTCTTGGCTTTGGACGCATAATTCAGTAATTTGTCTAGATTCTTCTTATCCACTAAATAATTTTTCTTTCACTAAGTGCTGTTGGAATGAAGTTCGACTATATATGTCTTAAAGTGAATGGTTTGAACCTGGGAACTCTGAAGATGACTACCGCTAAGGTTGTCGAAACGTCAGTCAACATCAACACGAACAGTCCTTCTTAGGACTTTATTGTCATTGGTGATCTACATCTACAAACATATATATATACGTTAAATGTCATTTGTGACTGTTGTTTAACCATCTAACCGTGGTTAAATATGATTAACAACAGAATGTAGATTTGTATTATAGGCTATAACGTCTTCCCAAATTAAATAAGAAAATTGAGCAGTTCGTTTTGACAGTTGAATGGTGAAATTATACGGTCTATTACAAATTGTAAGGGAGAGAAAGTCGTTTGAAACTTAGTTTTTGGCTTGCGCTTGTAGCCAACCATTGTATCATTTGCATATTTAAATTATTGGTTCTCTCTTGCACATTAAGTATATAACTTTCACGCAAATGCCCTCAAGAGCGTTAATTGTACCTCATAAAAATGTTTCTACCTTTTTCAAACTTATTTCTGATTCATTTTTGTATACAATACGTAATACAATTATATGTCTTTCAATACCGGCTCCTTAAACTTATCCATACTAAATTCCATCACTATTGTCTATAAAATGATTTAAAAGTGGCAGGTTTGCATGTCTATCCTACGACTTAAAACTTTTGCCATTAACCTTAAATGATGCCCAAGTATTTTACATGCAAAAACTGGTATTTGCGATAGATTTCAATTGTCTCAGTTGCCTGTTTTGACCAAAACTCCCCAGTGATCTCAAATATATATGCATGTTCTACTTTGGTTGCTCCTAACAGTCGATTCATTTCAATTGAATTCATGATCCACGTTTAGATATACTAAAAGCATAGAAACCTACATTGTCTTGTATTTTTAAGCTTTTGTAAGTTACAAGAAAAATATGCATGTGTATATGTTTTCAAAGTTCCTTTGTCGAAGCATCCTTGTAAAAATCTCACTTTTGAAATATGTTTTCCATATCTGTACATTATCATACATTAGGGCATTGTCAATCGCTTAAAAAATGTTTTGGGATAAAGAAACAACAGTCTCAACCTCAAGGCCAAAATATGTCAAAATGTCATTATACGAAGTTTGCATTCTGTACAGTTCTTGCTCGCTAGGTTAGATTGTCCATCTTCTAAATGTGTTTTTCTCGCGATATGACTCTAGCCAGTCACGTGCTGCTTTCATTGATGAATTCATTGGTCCCTGTCCGCCCACGTATGCGACTTTACCTTCTTCGATGGCGTAGAGTCTCTCAGGCAACGCTCCATAGGCCACATTTGCATTGTCGTCCATTGTATCTACCATTATTTGACATGGAAGATTTATTTATTTATTTATTATACTTGAAAGTTCTTAATTTGCATTTTTATTCTTTTAAAAAACGTAAAATCACGGTATAATATTTCCTGTTCTCTGTTTTCATGGGACATTTCAAATACCAGGAATAACTGAATACACATGAATAACGGACCAACAACCAGAAATTTTCTGTCACAAAAAAATTCCATGCCTGATTCTTGAAAGAAAAGTAAAATGTATGCGAGACATGTTTTGAAAATTTCGTGCAAAGAAATCATGTCATAGCAAAATAACATGTAATAAACTTTAATATTCAATGCGAATGACGTAGATACGATAGTGTTAATCACGCTCGTAAAATGACCACTATTGTGTTTGATAGTTTCATCCGTGCCAGCAAATATTTGTAACGATGGAAAACATCAAGGAAGAAAATTCAAAACATTCTTTACTCTATATAGGCATAGACGTTTTAGACGTTTTAAATCATTTTTATATTTAATGAATGCAATCGAACTTACCGTAAAAGGACACCCTTAAGACCAAGACTTGGTGTTCTGTTGTCGGAGGTGTCCGCTTATGAGATGTTTTTTAATTTTTGCATAATTATAATAATTTTTTTAAATATGACTGTTTTTACAATGTTTTGAAGTATAATTATATGCTTGATAACGACTGAAAAGTCCAACATCTGTACACTGAAACGTTTGAGTCCATAGACGTTATCATATAACAAATTCATCATGTATACTGTCATTGTACAGACACAATGCTTAAAGTTCACATGAAATGAAAAAATTTTCTTTGAGGAACATAAATGCGCAAACCTGGAGAAGAAACTATAGTGGTTCATGAAGAAAAATGAAGGAGACGAAGGAATTTACATGCATTACAAAACAACATCTATTTATATACCGTAATATGTCAATTAGATGCGATAATTACTAATTTGACTGAAAATAGATCAAATGCAACCGCTTACAACAGTTTATAATGTTGTTTGTGTAAAGTTGTTTTGGTATTCACCTCCGCTAACGAAAGCTCGTAAATGTGTCTTCACATACAAGAGGTCTTGGCTTTTGAGAAGTGTCTAAGTTTCTTGACTGTATACGATTTTTTTCATACTGTATCAACCCTAAATATGGTTTTCAATTATTATTTGGTATATTTATGAATATATAAAAAAATTTTATTCAAGTTGTGTGTTTCTTAGTCAAATGATTTTCGACAGATGAGAGTAGAAATATGACATTAAAGATCAGCCGGTATAAAGACGGTGGAGATAGTAGGACAATAGAAGTAAAACATTAGTGATCGAACAGTATAAAGCTAGGACCATGGAAGTAGGAGAATACAAGTAAACATTAGTGATCGAGCTGTATAAAGGAGGTTAGGTTCATATTTGCTCTCATTTCCCTCTGTTTTACGATTATCGTAAATTTTTCAAACTAAAGTTCATTTTCATTCAGTTAAATTCACTTTATCTACTCGATAAAAAGCAACTTTTAAATTTATGTATAGTGATTATGATTATGTTTATTAAGGATATCGCTTGATTCTCAATTAGAATATTATCACTAGCTAAATTGAAAACTTGTTACTAGTATTTTGTCTTTTTAAAATTAAATCCATATGTACGCTATACGTACCTTTTTCTTAATCTGCCCGTACTTGCACTGTCAGTGGCTAATCACTATGTGAAATGTGGTTGTATCTAACATCTTTTAGTAACATCGGGCATCGCATACTAAGGCCTGTTTCAAACGGTATATTTTGCATGTGTCGAATACAATTTGCGGCTCGCGTTTTGCTCACAACAAATTCTGGAACGCGATGAAGGAAAGGCGTCGTGTAATATTATTGAAAGAATAACAATCAACGTTGAATAAGGGTTGCTGCATTTATTCAAAACAAAGTATAAGTGCTTTTACAACAAAGATTTTTAAAATACGTTGCCTCAGACTAGTTAAAATATACAAAGCATATTCAATTTTTTGTCTTCTTTGCTTAGCTTGCGATATAACATGACAATGAAAGTCTGTAATTGTTTACCGTGTTTAAATTTAAACTTTGCGCCATATTAAAATATCTATTTTTACCATAGATGTAGTAGTCATAGGTACGTACATATTATATGTGTGCGCATTGGGCCATCATGATTATCCAATATGGCGGCGTCAACATGGCAAAAGATATATAGATTGTACTACAAAATGAGTTTTTTCGCAGTTCTTGCCATTGTATTGTATCGAAATTTATTCAATCAAAGTTTATATAAAAAGGAACATACAGCGATTGTTTTAAGCATATATTTGAGTGACTCTACTAAGTTTGTGTAAAATGATTACTTGGTCAATTCCTTCGTTTATTGCCAGAAATATTATGCTATGTTAACATCCAGCTTTTTCAACTTAAATGGTGTATCATGCTCTTAAAACAGAACATTCAGTCAATTTTACTGGTTCATTGGTTTGCATCGATTGAACATGAACCATTTGCTAATCAGTTCAGTAAAGCTCCAATCATTAAATTGTGAATATGAGGAAACTGATTTTCATAATTTTACTTTACTTATGTTCTAAAATGCTGTGAGCATATAGAATCTCAAATACATATTCATCAAATTTTGTAATAGAAAATAATAATTTCTATTTGATTACTAATTATTTAGCACATATATAGCACACACAAACACACACACACAAGACACATGACATGGCATAATACTTTAATCGTACATTTAAATTGAGATCGTATTAATTTGTTACAAACCGATGCAACAAATTTTACAATAAACGCCAGACAAGCCCGCTGGATTATACTCATATAAATGTCTACACAATGATAGATGATTCCTCAAGTATGGAGTGCAATTGCTATGATTCTTTCCATCACTACACCCCAGCCGCCTTAAGAATGTTGACTATATTAAATGACTCTATTCAAGAGGCCAGATTTCAACATATCATCATATTTCTGGCAACAAAACACTGGAATTGACCAAGTGGCCACTTTAAATAAACTGTTATCGGTAGATAATTTCAATAGTTTTTATTGAATTCACTCAAATACACGCTTAAAACAATTGCTGTATGTTCCTCTTTTTTAAACTTTGATTGGATAAATTTCGA